GCAAATATCTTCTAAATTATTTAATAAAATTGGCGTTGAACGGGAATTTTTTTTAGAAAAATTGGGGGTTATCGCATTTAAAAAAATATAACTGTGTGTGATATCTCGGGAACTAAAGGCTCTAAGACAAAACAAAAAAATGTTTTTTCACAAAACTGTATTCTTACAATTAAAAAAGTTATAGAGGTCCTTTAAGATCGGACATTTTTGAGAATCACTCTGTAGCTCAAAAACGCCTTGACATATCACGATGCGGTTTTTAGTTTTCGACTTCCCTCGAAAATCGAGGTCGGGTATTGAAAAAAGGACGTCTTTTCTACATTTCTTTAGGCGATGACGACACCAGAGAATCGTACGACGATTTCCCGCAATATGGCGACGAACCGGACAGCCTGCCGCCCCATGCCAATTCCACCGGACAAGGAGGACTGGGCGGGCTCGCGCCTTCAGACCAGATTGCTTTGCTCGAGCGCAGAAAGCGTCTGAAGTAAGTGCCATCACGTTTACTTATTCATTCAGTTTCTTCGATCGTTCTTCCGTGAATAGAAGATAAAAAAATGTATCGGGGCAAATAGCAATAATAATAAGTACAAAGGACAATATACACTGTTTAGACCACAGACCTTCAACTCAAAGAGACCCCCATCAGTCAGTCACAAAATCGCCATAGTGATTTAATGGGCCTAAATTTGAACGGTTGCTATGGTAACCATGGAAGGGGGGAGAAAATATTGCCCTACACAGTCAATAAGTCAGTAACGTGGGAGATTATAATGTAGCAATATTCTTATATTCTTATTTCTATTCAGAGTTGGGCTGATGTTATTCAACTAATTTAAATTTAAATTATTGAGATCACTGTAAAAATATGATCAAAAATAAAAAGTAAAACACGACTCTTTAAAAATTTAATACGAACAAATATATATATATATATATATATATATATATATATATATATATATATATATATATATATATATATATATTCTCACGTATTGATTCACGGATGGAAAAATGTGATGACACTATATTCCGGGATATCATCCGTTCGCTCGTTGAACTCCGACTGGAATCCTGCATCCGACTGGAATCCTGCAAATCTTGCATCCGACTGGAATCCTGCAGACGTTTCGCCAAAATCTCACTTGGCATCTTCAATGCTCGCGCTCCGAAAACACTTCGAACACACTCGAAGTGTTTTCGGAGCGCGAGCATTGAAGATGCCAAGTGAGATTTTGGCGAAACGTCTGCAGGATTCCAGTCGGATGCAAGATTTGCAGGATTCCAGTCGGATGCAGGATTCCAGTCGGAGTTCAACGAGCGAACGGATGATATCCCGGAATATAGTGTCATCATATATATATATATATATATATATATATATATATATATATATATATATATATATATATATATATATATATATATATATATATATATATATATATATATATATATATATATATATATATATATATATATATATATATATATATATATACAGTTCATGCTTTTGCATTTTCGTTATATAGTTTGAACAGAAATACCGGATTATCGAGTGGTGGTTTCCCGAAAAAATCGGGGGTTTTTAGGTAATCATCAAGATCAAGAAAGCAAGTGACTGTAAAACGCACAGGATTTTAAAAAATATAAATCCTGTACGTTCAGATGTAGATAAAGCTCTTTTACGATGGTTTCAAGTTCGTAGATCCGAAAATATTGCAATAAGTTGTGTAATCGAAAGCCGAAGAATTGGCAAGGGGATTACAGAGTGAAGATTTTAGTTTTTCTAAAGGTTGGCTTGAACGTTTTAAAGTTCGTCACAACATAAACGTCGGAAAAATTTCTGGTGAAATAGAAGATGTGTTGAACTGGTTTGAGGATAAGTGGCCCAGTATCGCACAAAATTACAGCTCTGAGGATATTTTTAATGGTGACGAGGCTGGGCTATTTTACAAGATGACTCCAGATCGCACCCTTAAGTTTAAAGGAGAAAAGTGTTTGGGCGGGAAGCAGTCGCAGTTGAGGTTTTGTGCAAATAATAAAGCAAAAAATGCAAACTTTTTCTTATTCGTAAATATGAACGACCGAGATGCATGAAAAATATGAAAAATCTACCTACCATTTATTAGTCAAACCAGCGAGCAGATTGAAAATATCATGTTTCTCTTGTAGTTGTTCTATGTCTTGACATTTCTCATTTCTTGCTCTTCTCTACATTTCCGACGTATCACTCTATTTAATTCGTTGTACATATTTTGTTTCATCCTTAGTTTTATATACGCGTGTATCATCCATTAAACTCAAAATATTTTCCGTCATCTATTCCTGTCTCTTTCAAGTTTTCAAGTTGGAAGATCCTTGGTCCAGTTCGGAAATCGAATGCCGAAGAATTAGCCAGGGGATTACAGAGTGAGGATTTTAGTTGTTCTAAAGGTTTTAAAGTTCGTCACAACATACACGTCGGAAAAGTATTGCACAAAATTATAGCTCTGAGGATATTGTCAATGGTGACGAGAGTAGGCTATTTCACAAGATAGAAAAATATTGCGTCTGGTTGACAATTTCGCAGCTCATCCAAAAAATCTCATCCTTTCAAATATCAGATTACAATGTTTGGCCCTCAAATAGCACCTCAGTCGTCCCACCAATGGATCAGGGTATAATAAAATGCCTTAAGACATATTACCGTAGATATTTTTTTGTATGGTTTGATCCAGTTATTTGAAAATAAAGAACCTTTCAACATCACTATCCTAGATTCCATGAAATTACTTGCACAATGTTGGAATGACGTTACTTCAACCACTATTTCAAACCGCTTTCGAAATGCAGGTCTGATAAAATCGGAAGATGAGTTTGATTCAGACGATGACTTACCTCTGGTTCAGCGGTTCGAGAGGTAGAAAAATAATGACGAGGATGACTGGAAGGTTCCTCTAAGTATCTGGTTGCGCAATAGCGACCAAGATCTAACCAACATTGAAATGTATCTTCCTGAGCTGGATAGCTTCCCAACTGTCGATGATAATTTAATAACAACGGAGTTATTAAAGGATAATGAAATTATTACTGAAGTTTTACAGCCAAATGATCCTCAAAGCTCTGGTAACGAAAGCGACAATGATGTTCAACATGACAAAGTAGTTATTCTGAAGCGCTTTGTGCCGCTAAAATTGTAACATTTTTTTTTACAATCGAGAATATGAAATTTATTTCTATTGAAAAAAAATAAACAAAAATAACGATTTTTTTTTACTCAAAAAAAAGTATATATGTATTTTTACTTGTGTGTTTTGAAGTTTAAATAGATATAAAAGTTTTTAGTTTAGGTAGTTTAGTTTCTTTCGTTTTTTAGTGCCTATATTAGTGTTTATTAGTTTTGGATTTTTATATGAAATGAAAATATGTACGGAACTACATTTTTTTTTTGTGTTTTTTTTTTTATAGCGTACTTCCGATTATAGAGTACTCATTCACTGGTCCCTAGAGGGTACTTAATAACCGGAGTTCACTGTCCAATGTTTCCAGATACATTACTAATTATTTCTAAAGCCACATTCTTTTCTTTGGGTGTTAACTCATATTTTTGCCCTTGAGGGTTCAACATATAGGCTATAATATGATATGGCGTGAATGTCAGCTAATATTGATCCTGAATTTTTTGTGTCTGTCACAAAGATTTTACCTGGTCATATTGTGATTAACATGACGACATTAGGTCACAAACTACTTCAGTCAAATATTGTAAAGTATGGGGTTTTCCCGAAGTATCAGTATTTTTTTAAAAAAGCGATCGTCTATCTTCAGTTGTTATTGTTGCATATATAGCTCTCTCATTATGAACGTTTGACCACCCGTCAATGGACATATTCACACATTATCCTGACACAGACGAAAAAGCAGTTTGCCTTTTCGTCCTCATCTAAAAGGCTTGTTGGCGTTTTTCTTAATAGCCGCGTATAACCAGGTCTTGATAAGTGATCAGAATTTTCAATGCATCGAAAGCTCGAATTAGTAGCGAAAATTGCTTTTGCTTTTTGTTCGTCAATCTTTTATGTTTCAGCTGTTGATGTTCACATTACGAAACTACTCAAATTAGACTGATTTTAAAGTTTTTTGCTTTTTCTTTATTTGGACCTCTTCTTTCCTTGGAGAAACAGACAATGTACTATTAGTAACTATCAGGAAGTTGTATTGACTGGCAGAAAGCATGCTACTGCACAGACACTTACTATATGTGAGAGATTAGGATTCGGTAGCGACTACGGACTTTGTTTATTAAGCCTAAAATCTCCATATGGTAGTGATAGTGTAAGGCGTAGAGAAATCTTGCAATTGTACTATCTCTCCGAAGTAGCCATTTGGTGGTGGTTCAGAAATGTTCTGGAGGAATATATTTTAAGGCACTTACAGAGCCGGTTTCTATTTTTCAATGAGTGTAGGATTCTATGGCGAAAAAATTATGTATATCATCTGCACCGTTCATAGAAGACACCTTCATTTTCGTGGAAGATAATGCCCCGCAGAGACTGTTTTGGATTGCAGTCTTGGAATGACCGCCACACTTCCAATAAAGCACCTTTGGGTTGGAATAGAAAAACGTGTTGAAAACTTAATAACAAGCGTATCACGACGAATGCAAGCAGTTATAAGAGAGATAGTAATTAAAGTTCATTTATTTTTTGTAAACTGGAAATTTGTATCGTCAAATTTTGTATAATTCTTCAAACTTTAATTAAAAATGAAATGTTTTCCGTTTCAACGTTGTTCAATTTTCTTTATTTATATTATACTAACATTGGATTAAATAAAGGGCGTAAAAACAAAGACATAGTTACAAAAATTATAGTGGTGCGTTCATTGTTGTACTGTCCATGTCTAATTACCTTGAAAATTTGAAATTATTTGTCTCGCCGTGTATGTCGTTCGGCTCGTTTAGCGAGCGACCGGCCCCCACTTTCACTACCGTTTGATAAATTCCACCTGTTAAAGGAAAACTTTGCTCATTTGACATCAAAGCGGGTCCGAATTCAATTCTTCGTTCCAAGCGCGAGTCGCCGCATACTACGTCATCGACGGTAATCTGCGGCGCGTGTTTTGACGCGTCTACGTGAATTGTGAAACCGAAAACATGGTAGGTTACATTTTCACAGGTGCGAAGTAAAAAGTGCGTTCGCTTCTTTGTACTCCTTCAGTGAATAAATTTGGAACTACAAAGTTAACCGCCTATACAGCGCCGTTTTGTTATGAAAATGGTATTTGGAGGTTATGTTTCGCATATCGATTTTTGAAGGCCCGCCGTGTCGATAAAGGCGTAGTCTCTGCCCCTGAATCTTTATAATATATTTTTTATTATTACTTTCAACGGTGTTGCTACCTTGAATGATCCTGGTCGATGTCGTTGTATAATTTTTTTAGTACTTATATTCGCTCGCTCGGTAAGGGAACGTTCAAAGTTGAAAAGGTGAAAATATGAATAGCAATTTATTAGACATTACGAAAACATTGACCTTTACGTAATGACGATGGGGTTGCGTTTTATGTTTGACCCTTAAGGAAATGTGCTATGCCATGCGCTAATATGATTTCCGTGTAATCTACTAAAATTAACCAAACAGTTATATGCTAGTAATAGTAATTTTTTTTTTTGATGATTGCATTGGAAATTGACTAACAACATTGAACAATTATTTAATGTGAAGTGTGTCTCAAAATATGTCGTCTTCAATTCAATTAAATTAAAAATAAATTTCAATAAAAATGTAATTATTAATATACCCGTTAGGAGCTGAAAAAATGCAGAATGTTATGCTAAATCTTAAATCTGTTTTATAGGTGTTTTTATATATACCATAATATGCCAAATATCGACTTTTCTGTGCCCAAACTATCGGACATCGCATAAATGAAATTAATAGAAAGAAAATAGATAAAAATACGAAAATATAATATTAGTTAACCCAAAATTATATAACAATATAAATTTTACCTATTACTTATCAAATCGGTTGTGCTAAGAGTGCTAAAGAAATCTTGAGGAGATTGCAACGTTGCCAAACCTCTGCAAAATTTACTTTGTCAAGTACAGAGAGCAAAGATCGATTGAAATATTTGAACTACTGAAAGCCCATCTTCAGCACGAAAGCAATATTTTCGATCAAATGAAGATTCCTTACAAAAGCAAGCCTATTGGTTAATTTTATATTCATCGTCCAACACGAAAACAAAACAATACATCGATGGTGACACGCAAATGGTACCAAGACAAAGTACAAGGTGATTCGGTCATTAATTTTCTATTACGTTTTTGTCAAACGGGTTTTCGTTAATTGGAAGCATGCCCGGGTAAAGTGTGTGAAAAAAAAAGTCGAATATCGGCTTTTCATTTGTAACAAATTTTAATTGCATGTTTCGGGAAAATATTCTAAAGAATTTTGGTTTGATTATTTTGTATTTGGGCTGTGCCTACAGAATAATTTTCCCAAGCAAGTCAGATTATATTTTACTTTTAAATATCCTTTTTGATTTTATTTTGCTAATTTTTTCAAAAGTTTTTATTATTATTTTTCTTATTTTAATATTAAGAGCGCCATTTTATATTACTGTTTCTGTGGTAGCAATATATTACACAAAAACGACCAATCACAATTATTATATATTTATTTCACGATGTGTCACATAGTTTTATGTTTAAGTTGTCTCTTGTCAAGACTGACTGACTACTCGCCACTGGTACCTTTGAAATTTATTTTTAGAGATGTTGCCAAGTCTAGTTTTTTTCTTAGATGTCCGGACCCTCTTTTTTAAACGAATGAAATATGTTTTTGTTTTGTTTTTGAGATTCAGACAATTTAAATATTTGGGATTATTTATACTTGAACCCACCTTACCACTTTCTTTTATTTTTATTTTTTTTATTTGGTTAACCATTTGAATTCTAAAAACCAGAAAACTTTAAGCTGATTACTATACTATATTGTTTTAAAACGGAACTCGTAGATTTAACACCGCAAACGTCAGCAAAAGAAAAACTTTCGGTGTTTTATATGTAAGATGTCAATTGTTATTGCTTATATTTGTTACATAGAACTACGAAATTGATTTTTTTTTGTGAACTGTGGTAAAATTAGTTTTATAAGCAATATTTTTCAAATCAAAATTTTGTTTCCCTATTTCCCTAAGCCAGTGCCTACAGTTTTATCGACACGGCAGGAATAGGCGGATTCGAGTTCAGAGTCGCCGTCCGCTAATGAACGGCGGGGCGGCGTTGCCACTGTTAACCGAAATTAAATCGTGGCCATTCGATGTCGCCCAGTTTCGATTAAAGGACACGATGAAAGTCGACGACTTATGACGAGCGTTTTCGAGACGTTTTTCGCCATTTTCTTTCGTTTTTTCGGTTTGTTCATAAAAAATATCTGGGAAATTTTGACGAAGGCCCAGTCCCGGGGTCGCAATCCGGATAACGAAGCGACCGATACCGAATCGCAGCTGGATCGCGAAGGTGAAAGGTTAACGCGACCCAACACCCTGAGCGTCACGCCTAAAGTCTACACGAACTTCAACGTGTTCAATCGCAAGTTGAAAAAGGCGCTGCAAGAACAACGGCAGTTGGATAACATCGAGGAGCGAAGTCCCCAGCGCAGTGACGGTTTGACAGGTCCGGGAAATGTCAAAGACGATCGCGACAGTACTGGTTCGGGGGTGAATCTCGAAGAATTCGCTCAACCGAAGAACGAAATCGAAACAGCGCCATCTGTCGTCGATCCCTCGGAACAGTTCGCGAAAAATCCTCTATTGACGATCGAGAAAGCTTCGCCGATGGCGGAAGGGGGACGACAATATAAAGAAGGAGCGCCTAGCGGCGTTTCCAAAATGGTCATGCTGGGTAGTAACCTGAACCAAAGCGGTCAGCGACCGGATACGCCCCCGGAAACACCGGAAACTCCGGCAGCCGCCGCCGCGGGCCGAAACGACTTCGTCGCTCATCATCAGTCTTACTACAACCCGTCGATTTTGGACAACTCCGAGGTGTGGACGAAAGTGATCCTGAGCAAACGGAATCTGGCCCGGCGGAACAGCAAGAGGTTCGTCATCGGTGACGGGGAGGACGAGCTGCCGTCGCCCCTCACCCCCGATGTCACCTTGACGGAGAGCCCGTCGGTCGAGAATCGAAGCGACTGGTTGTCGCAGGAGAACTGCGGCAGGTTTTTGCGCGTACGGAAGACGCTGACGTGAGTATTTAGTTCTTTTGGCACGTGGCCATATCCAAATATTACAGTGGACCAGTTCGTTATCTCAAGAGCCACTTAGGAGAGCTTCAAAATGATATATTACTCAACTACCTCAAAACGGTCGGGAAGATATAAAACTACCCCAATTAGGAAATACCAAAGTTTGTTATATTTATTTAGCAATCCCAAAAAAATTGGCATTGTTCCAGAAATTGAATTAGGCCACTGAAGAGCCACTTAGGAGAGCTTCAAAGTAATATATTACTCAACCATCTCGAAACGGTCGGGAAGATCTAAAACTACCCCCAATTTGGAAATACCCAAAAGTTCATAATATTTATTTAGCGATCTTAAAAAAATCTGACGTTGTCCCAGATATTGAATTAGGCTACTCAAGAGCCACTTAGGAGAGCTTCAAAATGATGTACTACTCAAACACCTTGAAACCATCGGGAAAATACAAAACTACCCCAATTACTAAATTCCGGAAAGTTATATTTATTTAGCAATCTCAAAAAAAATCTGACGCCACTTAAGTGAGCTTCATAATAATGTATTACTCAACTACCTCGAAACGGTCGGGAAGATCTAAAACTACCCCCAATTTGGAAATACCCAAAAGTTCATAATATTTATTTAGCAATCTCAAAAAAATCTGACATTGTCCCAGATATTGAATTAGACCACTAAAGAACCACTTAGGAGAACTTCAAAATGATGTATTACTCAACCACCTTGAAACCGTCGGGAAGATATAAAACTACATCCAATTAGGAAATACCCATAAGTCATATTTATTTAGCAATCTCAAAAAAATCTGACGTTCTCACAGATATTGAATTAGACGATTTAAGAGCCACTTAGAAGAGCTTCAAAATGATGTATTACTCAACCACCTCGAAATGGTCGGGAGGATATAAAACTAAGAAATACCCAAAAGTTATATTTCTTTGGCAATCTCAAAAAAATCTGACGTTGTCTCAAATATTGAATTAGACAACTAAAGAGCCACTTAGGTGAGCTTCAAAATGATGTATTACTCAAACACCTTGAAACCATCGGAAAAATACAAATGTACCCCAATTACTAAATACCCAAAAGTTATATTTATTTTTCTACTCCCGGCTGTAAAATACCTAATTACCCACCGATCTAGCGTGCGGGAAGCGTCACTTTACCACGTCAGTTTCATTTCCCATGAATCCGAGCCACTTCAGATATTTCCATGATTTTACCGCACGGGTTTGGGAGCAATCGAATGTTTTCGAAGATATTTCCCACGCTTTGAATTTTGACGTTTGTCAATTCTGATGTTCATATCAGCGAATGTGTTCGTGTTGTTTTGCGAAAATATAACCCAAAAACTAACGGTTGTAGAAAAAGTATAGTATGCAACACGTTCGGTAAACTGTTTAACTCACTCGTTTATTAAAAACTGGCTCCGCTCTTGTCAAATAAACTCGTGAATCAAATGCCGTTCACCGCACAATATACTATTGGCAATCTCAAAAAAATCTGACGTCGTTATAGATAATGAATTAGACAAATGTTTTTTTTTTTTGGGAGTTAACGTACAATATTTCCGTGCTTACTTATCCAGCATGTCCACAGGAACATGGTTTTTAAATTAAGATAAGTAACGAAGTGGTCTACTGTAATATTTGCAAAACCGAATCCAAATCCAAATCTAACTTCAGCCGCATCAGTCATCAGGAACCGATTTATTTTTTGGATTTCCGACGGGGTCAATAAACACGAACATACTATTCTGAACAGAATTTGAATTAGGTACCATAAGGTGTTCAAAATAAAAGAATATATTTGGACCATTTGATATATACAAATTAGACGTTTATGGAAAATGACTTCCGGTAAAGACCCGAAATGTTGGTTACTTATGTAAGAGAATATGGTGGTGGTGCCAGATATACTCGTAACGTACATAAACTTACATTTTTTAAATGGAACTCCCGTTATATTAGTACATTTTTACATTCTGAAAAACATTCTGGAACTTTTTTATGTAGCATGTATTATACCTATCTTGAATATTTTAAATATTAAAATTTTAAAATTTTTGGTTGCGGTTCCCTATTAAATTGTTTTATCATAATATAATAAGCAAACTGTAGAGCAAGCAATTCTTTCCCGACCAGCAAGTGTTCTGGTACCCGTTGACGGGTCAGCCTCCACATTTTGAAGTATTCTTTCTTCTCTTGCAGCTGTTCTTTTATACTTTGGTCTCCCTTTATTCATATAACAAGCAATTCTTTCCCGAGCAGCAGGTTTTCTCGTACTCTTTGACGGGTCAGCTTTCACATTTTGAAGTATTCTTTCTTCTCTTGCAGCGGTTATTTTATACGTTGGTTGGTTTGAATGATCCTCTTTCACCAAGTCTTCTGTATATGTTGATGAACGTCTTAGCAGAGGGAACGTTTCTATTGGGATATGCGTCGATATAAAGCCGTCGTGTTTGATCTGCATTTCCATTTGCTCTTCCGTAGCAAGAATGCATATCGCAATATTCCGTATTTCAATATTCCTGACGGGCCATCGCAGTAGCGGTTGGATAATGAGCTCTTTTAACAAAAACTAATTTTTAACGAATTGTGACAATGACTTTTTCAAATTTCATTAAGTCCTGTTAGGTAAAATTACATAACGATAAACACAGGACTGTGTGTAAAATGACTCACTACCATCATTTTACCCCGTTCACCCTGTATAATGCTATAATTTTGTTCAGCCGTGTTCTCTAATCCAAGTTTCTTTTGGCTTTTGTTTAAAAAGGCATTTACTCCTTCCCGAGCAAGATAACTAGATTGAAAAAATCAATTGTAATTTATATGTTATAATAATGTCCTTTTTTTGATGTGTAGTTTAAGGTACATATATTATTGTTATAGTGCAATGCTTACTTTTACTTAAAATGTTTAGATTAATAAATTAATTATCGGTCTCAGATTTCTCTGCTTTGCTGGTATTGGTGTTCTGATATTGAAGTTCCTCCTATCCTAATTCACCTAAGCTCAAAAATTTTCGAAGAATCTGACATGTCTGAAATGTTATAGCTTTTTGTGATGCGTCGAAGATGTTACTCCGCACGTCTAGTTTCTCCAGGTTTTTCTTGAACTTTTTTGTAACGATTCCCTCCGTTGACATAACCAACGGACATATGGTTACTTCGTTAACACGCCAGATTTATTTTACGTGGATAGCCAGGTCTTCATATTTTCGAACTTTCCCAGCTTCCCATGATGTGTTCTATTGATTGTCTAATATTGCTTCATTTCCTACATATGTTATTCATAATAGCTCTAATTACCTTGTCTTGTATTGCGAGCATAAAGCCCTCAGTTTCAGGATAAAGATAGCCGTTATGAAGTCACTGTAGTGATGATATTTTGTCGATGAATGTGTCTTCGAGTGTTAGAGGGTATTCACCATGAAGTGCCTTTTCCTTCCAAATTTCGGTTACTATTGGCATACCTAAAGGACGTTTTGTGGTATGCCAAGATATTTATATAAAAAGCCTCGTCCTAGGACTGCGATGCCTTCGAAAGATTCTGCTTCTTCACCTGGTGTTCCCTATTATTGCGCACTTATCCGTTCTAAATAACATCGTCACTGAATGTTTTCATAGTAGCAATAAGACTGTTCAGTTTTGATCGATTTTCTGCATAGATTTTTAAGTCATCCATGAATAACAGGTGGTTTATTTTGGAATTGCCGTTATTGTTATTATATTATGATTACTATTATTAAATTTTAAATTAAAAATTAACTTATCTTATTTTTAAATATTATTGTCGACTCGTATACACATGTTTAGTCTTTTTCGTATATTTTCTTGGACGGTCCTTAGCATAAACTGTGTTATTCTCCTGTACGCGAGGCGAATCCTATTTCCAAAATCTTCTGGTGTCGTGGGGGGATTCACATAAACACGATCTTTAAAATATCCCCACATAAAGAAGTCTAGTGATGTTAAGTCACATGATCGAGGAGGCCATACGATGAATCCACCTCTACCGATCCATTTCTGTGGGTAATGATTATTTAAAAATTCTCGAATTTTTGCTGGATCTCAATGTTATCAACTTCTTGAAGAAGCTGAAGAGTTTATTAACTGTCGAATAACAATGCATTTTATGAGGATTAGCTGCACCATTACGGAAAAAAGTAGCTTCACCGGAAAACATTATTATTATGGTGTGGTTCTAAATGGAAGGGATTATATTTGTGTTTTCTACTGGTGGGATTAACGGTAATTTTCACTTACGCCTTGTAGCCTTGGAAAAACTATTATGTTCACGTATGTGTATAATTATTAATAAAAAAAGTTGCAGAATTCAAAACAAAATGTAAAAATATGGTGTTACACGTAAAAAAATGTATGTTTTATTCATCACGCTTTTTCAGACCACCCTGTATACTTGTAAATTATAAATTAAAATATATTATAAAAAATAGTTATATCGGCGTTCTAGTAATCAAAAGTGATTAAATGACCGATAAAAAATTGGAAAGTATAAATTGAGGGCGGGAGGAGTCCCACCGGTAGGAGGTAGGAGGTACACCGCACGTTGTCTACGAAAATGCAAACGTCCTGCACGCGTAATAATATGGCCGCCATGATTCTCTCACTTCCGTGATTTGCATGATTATCGCGGAATGGCAACACTTTGCCCGGAAGATTTATTATTAAAAATTTCGGCATCAAGAAATCTGGCCTCGGGAGGTGTCCCGTGTAAAAATGAAATTCGTGTTACCCACCGCTCGCTACAAATTTTTCGAGTGTTGTGTTATCGAACGGTGCCCCGTGAAGTACTCGTATACGCGTCGCAGGTGCTTCGGTTTTGACATGTGGGGATTGGGCAAAAAAAGGTCGGTATAGAGGTATTCCGCGGGGCGATTCACCGTGCTTGACAGGTTAGACGTTTATAGAAAACTTAACGTAGGAGGCCTGGCCTGAAAATTCGGTCGTTTTCACGAGCGACGATGTTCTATCGAGAGACATTTTCAAGGACGCGACGTTGTCACTTCTTCAAAAAAGTAGCATAATGTTTTTCTTTTGCGATATTCGGATTGGGAGAAAGTTGATATTTCGCACATAGTTAACGAAGGTCCTCAACAATAATTTTGCTCCGTATATTATACAGGGTCGTTCGGAATTTTGCGATTATATGAGGCCACGGTATAGTGTCTAATTTTGGCCAACTAATCGACAACTTAGTTTATTTTCAGCTTTTCAAATATATGTATTCTTGGACCAGGAATATAGTGCTTTTACAACCGACCCTGTTATTAACATTGCCTACTGTTTGAGTATCAGTTACTTAAAAAATCGTCTTTTTCTTTTATTACTCGTTCGTCTTTTAAATTGTCATTCGGTTCGACTACCATCTCCACTTCGTCTTCAAATCCTGCGTTGTTTTTCATGTCTTCTTCTAACCGAGGATCATCTGTTTTATTCCACGGTCTCCACATTTACAGTGTTAAAAAACAGGAACCTTCAAAAAATGTTTAATTGTAAGATTCTAATAAATATTTATCTGTATTCTTCTGACGTACCTTTAAGAGTACAGGGTTGAACCATCCAGTGAAAACAGGGTCAAAGTTTGAGAATCAGGTACATAAATATGTACTTACTGGAAGGATCGCAGTCAAATACCTCTGTAATATATACGAACATATACCAATTTAGATTAAACTCTTAAGAACGATGCAATATGTATTACCTGATGTTAAAATAAACGCTTCTTCTTATTCGAAAATACCCCGCAGAATCAATTCTTAATCAACTGTAAAAACCTAAAACATCAAAGCAATAAATGCACTATATCTTTGGTTGTATTATAGTTGTGTATAAAATAAAATTGTAATTTAAATTTTCACGTATTTGAACTTCTAGCTTTACATTTCCCACACACTTTCGTAATATTCTGTATTACGTTTGATATTAGTATATTGTATTTTCGCAAATGTTTGATGAGTGGTATAAGTCTTCAATGCCAAAAATTATCAATGTGGTTAGATCAGGGATTTGGGAGTCCAAAATGATAACGTCTCACAAGATGCGCACTTATAATATCTCAAGATCTCAGTAATCCTTATAGTACGAAACAAGCGACATTTAAATAAATAGATTATTTTCAATGTATTGAAAATGGCCTATTTAGTTTTTCGTCAGTAAATCCAATGCGGGACGGCTGTCAGAATGTATAATTCTCCAGGCACTTTTTTGAGACGAGGAAGATAGCGTGTATGACATGTCTCAATCGTCTTTTAACTTGACTATCATTTTTCTCATTATTCTGTAAAGTTATTTTATAAGTAGACGGTGATTTATTTAAACATTAACATTAATAAGTAACACATCAAAAAAACGCACAAGCGCATTGAATTTTGAATAGATCAGCAGATCAAGAACGACTTCTCAACAAGTCAGATATTTTGGGAAAATTGTGTTTTTTTAAACAGAAAAAGTCAGAAAAGTTCGTCCATAGTTCGACTAACACTAGAGCAACCCACAATGCGATGTAAAATCTAATTCTACAATTACACAAATTTGAAAAATGACTTTGAAAGGAAGAAATCCAAGGGTAAAAGATCTTTGCATCTAGGAGGCCAAGATATCGTTTAATGAAGCGACTATTACTTGTTTCCTAACCTCAAAAAATGACTTGGCGGTAAAAGATTGACGAATCTGTTTTTTTTTTGTCGCAGGTCGGTAACTTTTGCTGTCAAATTTTCTGCATGACCAATCCAATTGATTGACAATTCCGTTTCTATTTAAGACAAGGACGCAAATTTTTACAAAATATTTATTGTGTTCTATTTGAAAGAATGACATTTTTCGTTCTTGCTTCTCGTCCACCATAAACGTAACCCGCCATCCCCGTGAATCACCCTGTATACTACGAGGAAACAATATTATTAGTATTATTATTCTCGTTATTATTGCTTTTTTGTCTCGGAACTTTCTAATTCACAGAAGAACGCCTTGCCGATTAAATGACGGTAGAGATGCATAATTTTAATAGGTTTTCCTTCTAGGCCGTCCATGTCCCAAGGGACTGTTATGCTGCACAACAATCGCCTACAGGAAAAAGATTTCACGGTTGCCACCCCCGAAGAGTTCGTGAAAAGATTTAACGGCACCAAAGTCATCAATAAGGTAATCTGTCTATAGACGTGATGTCCGACGGGACATTCCTATGCTCAGAGAACAAAAAAATTAAATATGATTTTGCTTCATTAGTTCTTCTTAATAAGTCATTAAGGCGCTATATGATTCCTACAATGTCTTCTTGAAAGTGCATGAAAATTTTTATCACTTATTCCTGTCCTTTGAAAAGAAAGTCCTATTTTTTATTAGTTTCCCGTACATGCGATATTAATGTAACAGATTTTCTTATTTACAACGTAGTACTATCCGTTATACAATTATAAAGTTTTCATCGGAATTAAATTTGCTTAAATTTAGTGAAAAATTCTTGAATTGAATATGAAAATGATGATGTTCTACTCCCGTCTGTAAAATACCTAATTACGCACCGATCTAGCGTGCGGGAAGCGTCGCATTACCACGTCAGTTTCGTTTCCCACGAATCCGAGCCACTTCGGACATTTCCGGGATTTTACCGCAAGGGTTTGGGAGCAATCGGATGTTTTCGGAGATATTTCTCACGCTTTAAATTTTGACTTTTGTCAATTCTGACAGTCATGTTACTAAATGTATTCGTGTTTTGCGAAAATGTACCCAAAAAATAACGGTCACAAAAAAAGTATAGTAAGCAACATGTTCGGTAAACTTTTTAAATCGCTCGTTTATTAAACAATCGCTCCGCTCGTGTCAAGTAAACTCGTGAGTCAAATGCCGTTTACCGTACTTGTTGCATAATTTACTATTAACTAATAAGACACTTTTTTCAAAAATATGACTCGCATTTATTTATTTGACAACCTAGCAAAATAATTTAATAAAATTACGATTTACACACGAAAAAACGAACTAAAATAGTATATTATGCAACAAGTGCGATAAACGGCATTTGACCCACGAGTTTATTTGACACGAGCGGAGCGAGTTTTTAATAAACGAGTGAGTTAAAAAATTTACCGAACGTGTGGCATACTATACTTTTTTTACGACCGTTAGTTTTTGGTACATTTTCGCAAAACAACACTAACATGACCGTCAGAATTGACAAACGTCAAAATTCAAAGCCCCGAAAACATCCGATTGCTCCCATCGGATCCGTGGGAAACGAAACTGATGTGGTAAAGTGACGCTAAATCGGTGCGTAATTAGGTAGGTATTTTACAGATGGGAGTAGAAAAACCGAATTTAGTTGCGTTTTGGTAATAAAATGCAAGAAAATTATTGTGTAATGCTTTTCTACGGTCCATACACGATGATACGATGAAAGAAGAACAAAACTCCTTTTTGCAGATACCCAAGCAGTATGTCGGTGTTTTTAATGAGCAAGATAATAGATGATAGATATAGATATTCCACAAGGATCGGTTTTGGGTCCTGTCTTATTTACACTTTATGTCAATAATGTAGAAACCATTTCCACAAATTCATGTTTCACCCTTGAAAGTAAAGTAATATATATTGTCCTGGTCTTCCATGTGACACAAATTGTTTAATTACATTTTAAATTGTATTTATTGAAGGAACTCTTCTATTCTATATTCTCCTTTAACCGTTGCAACATTTTATCCTTTTGAATACTATAATTTTATTGTTTGACGTTTTTCTTCCTCAGTATAACCCATTTGAAATATCTGATGTTATTTAACTTACGCTGCAGATCTTTACTTTTTATTAGTTGTCAAAAGTAGAACATCGTTAAAACAATTGCAAACATAGATAATATGGTTGCTGTCAAAGCAGACTTGGCCATTTTTAAACGATATGGCTGTTGTCCAGAAATCGAATGATAATTATTTTTAAACTGAAATATCTCAAAAACGACTAAATGAAATGTCAATAAACTATATGTTTTTGAAATCAGGAAAAAAATCTCTACGATTGAAGCTAATAATGTATAGGGCATTCCATTTAAAAAAATAAAAAAATCATATTGTGATCGTCGTTTGTTTTTTCTGACATTTGCATAAGACAATAGGGCAAAATTTTCCAAACTTTTGTATTTAACTTTTTTTCTATCTTTCAAAATTAACCCAGTGGGTGGGTGTCAAAATATAATTGTTATAATGTTAGTGGACTGTAAACTTTTTTCTGTGGAGCACAAAAACCACTTGTTACATTTTAAGCTCGCTGTTTTATTTGGACTTCTGCAGGGCGATACATTCGCTTCTGTGTGTCAAACAGTACTAAGGGGTTGTGGCTCGGTAGCCATTTTAAGATATAGGCAGCGGTGCCAGCTTTTCAATATATATACGTTCTAAGTTCTAAGTTGTTTTCTTTGTCCTTAATAATAATAATGAATAACCCCTGCTTGATTAAAACTGCTTTTAACAATTAATAGGTGTTGATCGCGAACAACGGCATAGCTGCGGTGAAATGCATGCGATCGGTGCGTCGCTGGTCCTACGAGATGTTCAAGAACGAGAGGGCGGTCCGTTTCGTAGTCATGGTCACCCCGGAAGACCTCAAGGCGAACGCCGAGTACATCAAAATGGCCGACCACTACGTGCCGGTACCCGGGGGCACCAACAACAACAACTACGCCAACGTGGAGCTGATCGTCGACATTGCGGTCAGGCTGCAAGTGCAGGTACGTCGGAACCATGGAGAAAAGTAATAAAAAAGAGAGTCGTGAATTCCCTGATATACTTAGACCAAAAATATAGTGCTTTTACAATAGAAGCCGTGATTAATTTTGCCTGTTTATTACCAAAATAAAACGCAGCCCCTTGTAGAACACCCTGCCAAGCAGACCCTTACCCGTAACAATTCCAGGACCGTCCTATGTAGGTGTAGGTAGATACACTAAGTATGTTTTCAGTTCTTTTCGCGGAGCAATTCTTGAAACATGTACGTAAAAAAATTAATACAAAGTAACAATTTATTACGTCCTATTTCATTACATTTTACACGGTAAAATTATTAATATACAAAATATTAAATAAAGTATCAGTCACTTAAAAAATCATCATTATCGCTACTGTTGTCACCGATAAATATTTTCTTCTTTTATTACTCGTTTTTCACAGGTAAACCACCTATGTACTGATATTGCTGAATTACGTTTATGATACTATCACGAAATTTTGGTGCAGTGTTATTTCTTCTTATATGCGCTTTAAACTCAGACCAAATCATCTCAATCGGGTTAAATATACAATGATACGGGGGTAATCTCAAGATTTCATGTCCGTTTTGTTGTGCTATCGAATCAATTTTGTAGTCTTTATTAAAATGTTTTATTGTTAATAATTCCAGAATATATAAATCATTTTCGTACAGAAATTCTTTAATTTTTTCTTTATTTGAAGAAGTATTTACGAGAAGTACGAGCCATTATCCAACTCATGTTTTCCACACTTGAATCTTTGATGTTTTTGGCATACAAAAATAACGCATCTTCCACCCAACCATTTTTGGACAAAGCACGAAGAATTATTATGCATTTTTCCTCAGTATAACCCATTTGATATATCTGGAGTTATTTAACTTACGCTGCAGATCTTTAAATTTGATTAGTTGTCCAAAGTAAAAGTAAATATGGTTGCTGTCAAGGCAGACACACTTGTTACTGTTATCACACCATCCTTTTTTTTCATCTGTTGGCCTATTTTACTCTCGAAATTTTTCAATTGTATTTAGATAATCTACCTTCCATTGCGAAATTCTTTTAGATTCCATTAGCACTTGACGTTAATTAATTGTTTGCAACTGAAAATCCATTTTCTTTAATAAAGTACGCAACGACTCTTTGGCACAACTAATGTTTGGATTAGATTAGTAGATTATACGCCTAATCTGCGTGTTGCTCTTTAAAAATTCACGAAATGCCAGCATCTGCTCTCACTTTTCTCTTGACTGTTCTATGCAAAACAATTTGTTTAGCATCCAAAGATAAATGGATCTTTTTTTTATTTGCTGAGGTAGTTCGTCTTCAAATTCTGCGTTGTGTTCCACGTTTTCTTCTAACAGGAGAGCATCTACATTATAAGATGTGTTATTAGACTCTAATAAATATTTATCTGTATTCTTATGACGTACCTTTATCTACTCTTCGCGGTCTTAAAAAAGACTGTTGTAGTTGACTATGTAGAAAACACAAAAATACAGGCACACAAGACAAAAATGATTATTTTCAAACTTATCTGTAAAATAAATAGAGTAAAGGTACTTACCCTTACCCTTACCTATCCAGTGAAAACAGGGTCAAAGTTCGAGAATCAGGCACATAAATACGTACTTATTGGAACGATCCCAGTCAAATACCTCCGTAATATATACGAACATATAGCAATTTAGATTAAACTCTAAATCTTACCTGATGTTAAAATAAACGCTTCTACTTATTCGAATATACCCTGCAGAATTAATGCTTAATAAAACGGTCCATTTACGTTTCAAATAAAAATTTCAAGTGTCTACAAATATTCGTTACGGTCCATCTCAGGCAAGATCTACTTAATGCAGAATACGCATCCGTTAGGATGGTTTTTACCACGGTCCTGCGAAGGTCTGCTGTTAAGGTGACGTAAAATACTTAAAACGTCAACGCAATAAATGCACTATATTTTTGATCGTATTATACCTATTGTTTTTGGGTGATGCCATTAACAACAAATTCATTCTTGAGTGGCAAGACAAAGGCGGGCCAGTTACTTAATAACAAAATTATCTCTCCCAACTTGAACTTGGTAGCAATGGACACTGAGGTATCTAAGTAAAGGTTTCATTAGCTAGAAACGAAAATGAAATCCTGCTAGCCATGCATTTTGCCTACTCAAAAGGCAATTTCTAAATTATTCTTCGCGGTTAATAGCGTCAAAGAAACCTACTTAGCAGACATGTTGATTAAACCATATTTGCAATTTGGTATGCGGAGGACCATCTCAAATGCATTTTTCAAAATATGAGTACTATGTCCAACTCCATATACTAGTCACGTATTTTAAACTTTTTGATTAGGATACTTCTTTATATTCTCTAGGCAAGGAATGATTAATGATTAAACTGTGATAGTACTAGAGTATTTCAGATAAACTTTTTAGTATTCTGTGAGAGACAATGACAGTATTTGTAAAAGTTAAGAAGTTCAGGGTTGATCAAGGTATTAAAAACAGGGAAGTTTATAAAATAATTATTAACAATATCTGCATGGTTAAGAAAATTAGTTGCTTTGTCAGTTAAGTTAAGGTTAAAATAATTGGCATTGTCAAATGTCAATGTATATGTTCCTAGTTTCTTGAGAGACCTGGAAGCGGTGGGACCACAATACTAATACTTGTACAGTCAATTCATCATGTAACTTCTGGAAAACTGCGTTTCATGTAAAAACTACAATGCAATTTATATTCGGTTGTAAAGCAGACAATAAGATGCTAACATTTTTTTAAATTTAAAAACAAAATATGTTATAACAAGTGTCGTAACTTGCCTGATACGCAGTACCCTCAAAATCTTCAATAGTTGAAATATATTGAATGGTCGTAAGAAGTTCTGGTCTATTCAAAGCAGTAATATCCCGGTAGCTTCCTTATGCACAAAACCTTGATGTTGCTAGTACCTTAGAAAGTAAATGCAACGATAAATACGTAAACTTAATTGATATTCTCTATGAATATATTGTTTAGTTACTATGCTTTATTAGTTCAGAAAACCGTTAATACTGATAACCGTGTTGGGACTCCAAAGAACTTATGCACAATGTTGATAATGTTGAGCGGATCGCAGAACTTTGGTTCACCAACAATAAAGTTAAACTAAACACAGATAAGACACAACTTCTTGTTTTCTCAGCTAATAATAATCTATTGGAAGGCAAGAATGTAAGGCTCTTGCCTCTAATATTTTTATAATCCGTAATCTTAAAGGACTGGTTACCGCGGGCACATTGCGAGTTACCTATTTTGCTCCTTTTCATTCTCATCTAACGGCATGGTTCTCAGACCGGGCATTTAAACTCCAAAAGAAAGTTGTTCGTCTGATTGCCGGTGCAGGTTATCTGGAGCACTGTCGACCAATTTTTAAGAAGTTGGAAATTATGCCACTTCCTTGCCTGTATATTTGTTATCAATTATAAGAAATACACAAAAAAATAGACAGCTTCAGTCAGAACTCCTCTTGCCATGACTATTTAACTAGAAATAACAAGCTACTTCGTGCTTCAGGATTCAAATATACCAAAAGTCAAAAGAAATCACTAAACGTAAACTTATACAATGTACTACCAGCTAACGTGAAAGTTCTAAGTACTAGAAAGTTTAAAAAAACATCTTAACTTTTCTTAAAAGGCACTGCCGGGGAATGCATTATATTTTGTTGATTTTGCTTCCTTTTATTTATTTATATTCTTTGTTTATACACTGCCCTGTTCTTATATATTATACAACGTTTGATATAATTTATACACTCTATGTAATTTATTCATTGTCTTGTTTTTTATATACATATTTTTCTACATTTTGTATTTATGACTTGCCATAGTTGTATGAACAAAACGTGGTCAATTCTCTATTCTATTCTATTGATCGAGTCCACTATCTCAGTGGACAAATTTTTTCAGACACAAAAAAGGGTGACCATTTATGGTAGGAAGGAGCAATATTACAAAAATAGTCAGCATCCATATTTTGTTTAATCCAATTTTATACAACGCGAAACAAACAAAATATTAACTTTTGAGGTTAGAATATTAGTGACAGTTCGTTTTCTCTTCGGTGGTCACATTTTCACCGTTTTAAGGTAGATCGCGCTCATTTCCCTGGCAAGTTCTCGTCACCGACATTCCTGGTTGACTTCGTCACTCTCTTTTTATTTGGTTTTCTCTATGATCGAATCTAGTAAATATCTATGTAGCGCTTTTATTGGTCGGTTTAAAGGCGGTGTGGGCTGGATGGGGTCACGCGTCGGAAAACCCGAAACTGCCCGAGTTGCTCCACAAGAATCAGATAGCCTTCATTGGGCCGTCGGAGAAGGCGATGTGGGCTTTGGGGGACAAAATCGCCTCGTCGATCGTCGCCCAGACTGCGGACGTGCCTACGTTGCCTTGGTCCGGCTCAGGTTGGTTAAGTCGAGTTTTGCTACCCTGAAATTCAAATTTTGGAAAAAAAATATTTATAGGTAAATCGGCCAAGTTCATCAAATGGCCGCCAGGGGGTGCAACCTCTACTGTGAAATAGAAAAACGGTTTTTTTTTCAAAAATATTTCAAATTAAGCTATATTAAAATTAGTTTTGACATAAAGCGCTCGTAAAAGAGTTAAGTCGAAGAGCCTATAAATATTGTTTAAAACTAAGCTAAGTTCGTCGAAATTGGATTAGCCAGAAAAAAGTTATTCAACTTTTTCTAAACCAACATTTGACCCTTCCCCCACCCTTAATTTGACGAGATAAAAAATAGTTCAAACAAAATAGTTTCCTTATCTAGACGAGGTTACGTGAAAACTAATTTCTATATAGGTTAATTTGGGATATTTTGGAGAAAAAAAAAACTCAACCATTTTGCGTAACAATCATTGACAAAACTCAATGTAAATCCCCACAGAGAAGTGACCAAACGCGTTGAAGATGGTATTGATATAGCAAATTATCCAAAACATGCAATAAAATAGTTTTTATGTTTTATCTCGTAAACGAAGCAAGACATGAGAAAAAATCGAGCGACGAAAAAGTAATAGTTTTGGTTGGTTAGTAAGTTACAGACTAGATTTATTCCATATCATAATTTTTTTTTAGTTAAATACCTAAGCTTAAATCATCCATAGCATTACTTAACATAATTCGACAGGCATAATAATAATAGGCATAGTTATTAGTTGCAGCTAATCTTTATTCCAGCTTACTTCCCGTCCTTCTTGTCAGAAATGGTGCATGCGCCAGCAAAACACTAAAAAAAAAATAGAAAGCATGTTTATAAATCAGTTTTAGGAATATTTATCGGTTATTCAATTTTACAATCTTAAATTCAGTTATGTGTTCATCCTAATAAATATTAATTGGTTTTGCTCAATTTCCAATCAACAATTTAATCAACTTATGTCAGCTACATTGAAAACAAAAGTAATTAAGGTTAGGACTTTCAAAGCCAAAGCATACTATTTACAAAACTTCCAGATTCCTCCCGCGTCGGTTTTTATTGAGTCGATCTTGCAAATTTTTTGCTAATTATCCTGTTGGCTTCTTCAGAGCTTGACTGAAACTGAAACAGAATTAACAACAAAATTAAGAGTGTAGAACTTAAAGTCATGATCTCAAGTGCCGTAATAGTATAATCAAAATTAATTTCTATTATCCTGGTCTTTCATATGTTTAACTAACTCTTCTACCCGGATATATCTATCGATATTCTCTTTTAACCCTTGCAAGATTATGTCCGTTTGAATAATATAATTTTATTATTTGGCGTTTTTCTTTCTCAGTACCAATTTCAAATATCTTAAGTTATTTAACTTACGCTGCAGATTTTTAGCTTTGATTAGATGTCAAAATTAAAACATCATTAAAAAAATTGCAAACATAGGTAATATGGTTGCTGTCAAGGCAGACTTGACCATTTTTAAACAATATGGCTATTGTCCAGAAGTCGAATGATAATTATTTTTAAACTGACATATCTCAAAAACTCTATGTTCTACGATTTTAGCTGATAATATATAGGACATTCCATTTAAAAAAATCATGGTGCTGTCATTTCGACAGCTTGCGATCGCCGTTTGTTTTTTTCTGACACTTGCATAAATCAATAGAACAAAAATTATTTTCAAACTTTTATATTTACACTTTTTTTTTTATATTTCAAAATTAACCCTGCAGGTGGGTGTCAAAATATAATGAATAACTCAGTATAATTGTAGTCTGACCACTCTCAATTTAACGCTTCCCTAAGAGTGTACTCCCCCATTTAGCTGTATCAGCCCCTTCTCATTAGAAATGACCCTGCCAAATTTCAATTTCGAGTCCGTGTGAAGGACATTGCCAAAAATGTTAACAGTGCGTTCAGGACCTACTTTTTTGGTAAGTTTTTGTCATAAAATGATCCTTAACTGCCGTTCATATGACAAATGCTCGACCAAGAACCCAAGGACAAATCTCGGAAACGAAAAAAACATTTCGGTCTTTTAGGGTTGAAAGCTCAGTACTCCGGCAAAAAGATAAAAATCTCGTCGGACCTATTCGCGAGGGGGTGCGTGACGAACGCGGAAGATGGCCTGTCGGCGGCCCAAAAGATCGGCTTCCCCGTCATGATCAAAGCGTCGGAGGGCGGGGGCGGTAAGGGCATACGAAAGGTCGAAAGCGCGGAGGACTTCGCCGCCGCCTTCCGCCAAGTGCAAACCGAGATCCCCGGCTCGCCGATATTCGTAATGAAATTGGCACGGGGCGCCAGACACCTGGAGGTGCAACTTTTGGCGGACAACTACGGCAACGCGATATCGATATTCGGTCGCGACTGTTCGATCCAGAGGCGGCACCAGAAAATTATCGAGGAAGCGCCCGCCGCCATCGCCAGTCCGGAGATCTTCGACGAGATGGAACGCGCGGCGGTCAGACTAGCAAAAATGGTGGGTTACGTATCGGCCGGCACCGTCGAGTACCTCTACGACACCACAGGCGACTATTACTTCTTGGAGTTGAATCCGCGGCTGCAGGTGGAGCATCCCTGCACGGAGATGGTGTCCGACGTTAATTTGCCCGCCGCCCAGCTGCAGATCGCGATGGGGCTACCACTGCACTACATCAAGGATATCAGGTTATTTATTATTATTATTATTTGTTGTTTAAGAGCAATTACATGTCTACAACAAGAAGTCCGCATCTGTCATTAAGCCTGAAAAAAACAAAAAAAATTTTTTTCGTAAAGTTGGTTCTTTATGATTTTATAAGGAGGGTTCTGACATTGACGTTCAATAATTCAAAGTATCAGAGTTGTGAGTATCTCTTCTTATTGAAATCATAAATGCAACACCATCGAAGTTCTTAACTTCTTAAGCGATCAGCGAAAGATTCATTTTAAATGGTCCGCTATCTTGGTCTCCTAGATGCCCTGACCTATTGCCCTTCGATTTCCTCCTTTGGGGTAATCCAGAGAATCTCTCGCCAGTCGTTTCCTTCATGATTGGAGTGGGGTGACCTCATGTTGTGTTGTTAGCAATGTCGCTCCATTCATCTCTTATCTGATGTGCTTCTAGTACCGTCCTGGCAACGTTTCTCCCCTGACACCTGTCTACTTTTCCTTTTTGACCATTTTACTTATTTGGATATCAAATTCTTCAAGTATGGATTTGTAGGTTCTATGGACTGTCCAAGGGACTTGGGCAATGTCCTTGGCTTTTATGCATATGAATTTGATCTTCCCGAAATTAAAGAAACCACGAGACAAAGAGTTCTAGACACATTTAGAAACATTAACGGAAATGCATTTGCTAGAGCTATACTAAAAACATTCACCAATTGCGAAAATCGTCTCGATGCAAATCTGTAATTAACAGCGAGTATATTACATTACTTGTTTCTGTTTCGATTTTTTTTGCTACTTATTAATGTAATGCTAAATAATCATTTCCGACTTGTTAAATAATTAAGACGTAACTTTACGAAGCGTGATACAATCCTTTGTGAACTTGTGAGACATCACCGAACTGGAAATTTCACGATCTTAGGGTGACAAATGACGAAAAAATTAAATTTAAGGCGGGTTGCGAGACAACAAAAGATAATTGTCATACAAGTGTCGTACACGCTTGAATAGCGTCACATTTTGACATATGTCAGTTTATTTTTTTCGATATTTCCCAAACCAATTGAACGATCGTAAATCTGAAGTCTGTTATCAAATGCACTAAGTTTCCTAGAAAACTTTCCCCTTTTAACTTATGCAGAGATCCCTATATAGAGAAGCGAATTTGGAACACATTGTATCTATATTCGCACAGAACCCGATGAAGTCACGGTCCTTTCTAAAAATTTCGTCGCGTTGCCTTTGTTCCCTTTGTGAATAATCCATGTCGCGAAATATCTCTTCTTCTTTCCATAACCTATTACGAGTCTAACGCACAAAACCCACGTAATTAATACATAGTCAAAATCAACAAAGTCCGCACTACGTATCCATTAAAACGTTCCCGCCGATCTCAAACATCATTGAAGCCGCCAAATAGAAACAAGTTTGTTGAAAACGGGATCGTTCGTACGTCCTTAGATATTGCACCCCATACCATACAGGAACCACTTCAATAAGGGCTCCGCTCTTGATCACAGCATTCTGCAAATCGCTCTCCTGGTCTTCTAGTCTCTCTAGTCTTATCTGCGAAAGAACAGACCCCATTGGTTCAATGTTCAATTCAGATGATCCCGTGCAAAGCCTAGGCGTGCTTATCGATGAGCTGGAGTAAGTTTTGGGCCAATTCCCATTGCTTTTGGGGTCAGGTTATTTTCCTTCAGTCTTCTGCTCACTGTCCACTGACCAATGACAACTATTCAAACGTCATGGAGCTGTTGTTGTTGTTGTTGTTGTTGTTGTTGTTGTTGCACTGTCTCTTCCAGGGCGCTTAGCAAAGGATGCATTGCCCTCTTACCGTTCATACTCTTCGAACTGTTGCGCGTGTCATATCCAGTTGTAATTTAAGTCTATAGCTTGTTTGCTACTATCACTATAACTACTGCATGAACACGTTTGATTTGTTTAACAGTAAAAAACAAATTTAAACTCATACTAAAGCATTTTAAATTGTCTTTCAAATAGCATGTTTTTTTTGGGTCAGGTGAATGGTTTTTAGAGAAACATATGCTATTTACAGTGGGCCGGTTTCAATGCACGAAAGTTTAGTAAACTAGCTTTAAAGTAAGCTTTATTTTTACTCATTTCTTAAAAATAGTAAGATAAGCAAGACCTTTTTCACCCACATGAGTCGAAATTTTTTAAAGTGATAACAAAACGTTTCCAACATCATATTAAGGATGTTGGTCAGCTGGGAATGGTGCAAAAAGCAATTATCTTAAAACACGTGCGGAATAGTAACGATGTTACTGTCTATGGAATAAGATTAATTTCTTTTTCATGGATAAGCCCGACCCGTCAATTAATGACTTTGAAGAACAACAATAATACCAAAAAGTAAGGTTATTTACAAAAAAATGCGTGACAAATTAATTAGACTATTTAAAAAAATAACAGTAATTGCATATACATTTTAAGTATTGAACACAGAAAGCAGAAGTAAAAACTAGATATTGATATGACATTAACATAGGTCTTGATGGAAGTGGAGAGATATATAATGGAGTAAACAACTTTGGCAAACTTGGAAGTCTGCCAAAGTTGACATTTTGAGATATTATAAATGAAAATAAAAGAAAGGAAAAGGTAAAGAAGTTTGCAATTGTGGATAAGATTAAGATAATCTTCTATCATAATGCTTTGGCCTGCGGCGTCCAAATATGACTTGACTTTTAAAATAACTGAAGTTGCTCAGATTGTAGGTATAGTATAGGGATAGGGATGCTTTAAAAATTAAGAAACGCGTACGGCACAGTCTGGTGTTTTCTTTTGTAAAGTTAGGTCTTTGGCTAATGGGTTTACCCAAAAAAAAGTAGGTAGTTGATTAGGTAATTACTTTTTGGTCGAGGGTTCGTCGAAACTCAAGATGATATACTTGGAGGGGCCCTCAAAAGGGCCATACAAATTTTTGCCAGTAACAAGAAGTTATTTTGACACAAATTTATTCCGCCTTTTCAGATTATTATATGGCGAATCGCCGTGGGGTATGACGGAAATCGATTTCGACACGCCCCGTCAAAAGCCGCAGCCGTGGGGTCACGTGATAGCGGCGAGGATCACGTCAGAGAATCCGGACGAAGGTACAGCCCGCGGTGAACGCTGCAGGAACGAACGAGCGCCGTTTTTCTCGTTGCAGGATTCAAACCGAGTTCCGGGACCGTTCAGGAGTTGAACTTCCGGTCGTCGAAGAACGTATGGGGCTACTTTTCCGTCGCCGCTTCCGGCGGCCTTCACGAGTTCGCCGATTCCCAGTTCGGCCATTGTTTCTCGTGGGGCGAGAACAGGGAACAGGCCCGGGAGAATTTGGTGATCGCGTTGAAGGAGTTGTCGATCAGGGGCGATTTTCGGTAAGCTAAGCTCCCGTGGAGTTGCGTTATCATAAAATGAAAAAATCAACAGTCGGTCCCTAAATAATATCTTGCAAATTAATACAGCCAATGAGTGCAGCTGTGAAATATTACTATCCCCTTTTTGATAAAACTCGTCTCCCGTTTTTTTGCGACTCGAAATTATCCTTTGTTCGTCATGTTAATAAGGTACTGGGAGAAACCTCGAAAAGCTATGGGTTTATCGTACGTTGCACCAGAGACTTTAAAAATACAAAAGTGATAAAAAATATCATAAACTTACCGAAACTAACTCATACGTCAGGTGTAAATTGGAGCGCAATTGTCATATTAATGGCCTGGAACAAATTCCGCGTAATTTTTGAAGTATGTATGGTGTACTTTTTACAATACTTCTGGATTCCTCCTGCGTCGGTTTTTGCTGAGTCGAACTTGCTGACGTTTCGCCAATTATCCTGTTGGCTTTTTCAGAGCTTGACTGAAACTGGGTCGTATTTTACTCTGTACCTGCTTATTTATTGTTTGAGGGGGGCGGAGCTAAATGAGGGGCATAAACACCGTCTCGGATGACTGATTCCCATATTGGTGACAGGTAGAGACCTGAGTCGCGATTAAGATTATTAGGTTGTTTATAGATTTCTATAGACTCTCGGATTTTTCGTTGGTAGAAGAACTGATTGCATGCAAGAATTTTAGTTTTATCGAATAAAATCTTATGTCCGGTTTCGTGATTGAGTTGGACAACTGCTGATGAGTTTATTTATCTTAGTCTTAAGGTTCTTTGAGCCTAGCTGATATTTTTCCTCCGGTCTCTCCCAGTGTTAAATCTGGTTTTGATATTTCTTTAGAACTTTTAACCACATATCAAAACTATCTCAACCCGAGTCACTGAACTCAGAGTTAAAACGCCTTACCTCTGCTCTTCTATCTAATAATTTTCACGATAAAGATATTAAGCGTTCTAATAATAATCTTAACCGCGACAAAGGTCTCTACTTGCCACAAATATGGGAATCAGTCATCCGAGACGGTGTTTATGCCCCTCATTTAGCTCCGCTCCCCTCAAACAAGCTCTGAAGAAGCCAACAGGATGATTGGCGAAACATCAGCAAGTTCGACTCAGCAAAAACCGACGCAGGAGGAATCCAGAAGTTTTGTAAAAAGTAAAAGCCTGTGGAAGTTTCTTTGAAAAATTCGTGATACCATATCTATTTGCGGCTGTGCGATATTGTATTTATTACGGTGTATACTGTTTTATTTTAAGACCTGATATTCTTGTCGTTTCTTCTAGAACTACCGTCGAGTATCTCATAACGCTTCTGGAAACGAAGAGCTTTCAAGAAAATACGATCGACACGGCGTGGCTGGACGTCCTGATTTCGGAGAAGGTGCAGGCGGAAAAGCCCGACGTCATGTTGGCGGTGGTGTGCGGATCGCTGCACATCGCCGACAAGACGATCGAAACCGCCTTCCAGGAGTTCGTCAATTCGTTGGAAAAGGGTCAGATACAGGGCTCGAACACCCTGTCGAACGTTGTCGACGTCGAGTTGATCAACAACGGTAACCGGTACAAAGTGCAGGCGACGAAGAGCGGACCGAACACCTACTTCTTGCAGGTTAGAATTGGAATTAAAGTTACTTTTATTATTTCTTTCATAAATACCTAAATTGTTTACAGGTAATACCAAAATCATAATTACATATACGAATAGATGTTTCTGGCAATATAGAATTTTTGCGATTCTATAATAAATGAAAATGAATTATCTACTTCTGGAAATATTACAGGTATGGAAACTGCCGAGACAAACCAAATGAAGTAATAGACTCGACATACTTAATGAAATTTGAAACTATAAATCAAAAATTAAACATAAAAAACTTAATCTTTGAAATTTCATATTGACTTAAAAAAATATATTAAAGATAACCTATAAAATTTTAATTTTGAAACCTGACAAAACCAATATCAATTCTGACTATTACAATGCTGAAATAAATAAACTACTTAGTGACACAACTACATATAAAAAACTAAAAAATGATTCAATAAAAAAATTACTAAATAAAAATAATGTTTCAAAAATAAATAAACAAATAAATAATGCACACCAAAATTGCACAAGCCTATCTATGGACCTACTGTTTCAGCCTCCTTTTTTAAAATTGTCTAAATACCCCTGCAGCTGTCGTTCTAAAATAGTGGGAAAACATTTTAAACAAATTTATAACAATATTAAATTTTCAGAAAATTGTATACTTGCATCAGTTGTAGTACTACTAATACTCCAAATTAAATTTTATTATAACTACAAATCTAACAAGCAAATACAATAAATTAAAAGGTCTCACTTTTTTTTATTACAAAAATTTGTAGTAGCAGTAAACCTAAAATTAAATAATAATTATTTTCAATATCAAGGGAATTTTTACTAACAATTAAATTCATTTAGAAAATGTAAATTTTAATATATTTTTTTTTAACTTTTTGTTTACTATTCAACAACTATACCAAAAAATCATATTAATGAATCCTTAATGCTTTTCATAATTTTCATCCTAAATTTGGTGACTTAATTTAATTAGAAATCTTGATAAAAATAACAATGGTATATAAGGTTTGATCAGGTATGTATCTAATTTTTTATTGTACTCACCCAAAAATTAAAAAAAAAAACATGCTATTATTATTGATGTTACAGATCGTGCTATAAAACCAACATTACCAAAATATTGACCAGACCAGATCAAGTAAATTTTAATTGAAAATCATTTCCCTGGAAATAATATAAATATAAATATAAAATATTCAGTTGCAGTAAGATATACTGGGTTCATAAAAAGTACCGGAACACTTAAATATTTTAAAACCTGTCAAAGCTGGAACGATAAAATTCAGTACCTCGGGGTTTTTGAAAACGTAGTAGTCAGCAATGTTGTCAAATTTTCAACGGTTAATAAACAAAATTCTTAACATCTTAGAGTTTTGGATGTGTTTGAACATAGGAAACCTTAGAAGTGTATCAGTGTATTAGAATTAAAATTACCAGAATTATAACTATCATCGCGAAATCTGACAAAAGTAAATCTCCAATTTAAAATAAATCAAATATGGGATACTCCATACCTTGCTTATATTGCACAAAAATATGTTGGAATGTCCAACTAACTTTTTTAAAATAAATGTAATAAAAACTAGATAATTAAAAAGCTGTAGTAGCAACTTAAAATACAATAAGTTACATTGCTGAATATTTGTCCTAAAAGCAAAAATATGTTTACTCGATAATTAATCCTAGAAAGGTCATCCACGCCGTTTAATTTTGACGTCATAGAAAAAGTCTGCTCCATTAGTTGTGACGTCACGAGGTAAGCGGAGACAAGCAGGGCATTGGTGGTGGACGAGTCCCATTTCTGTCTTCTTACCAAGCAAAAATGTGGAAGTATAATTTTTTCATTGTTTTTTGAACTCCCATCATTTGCCTTTCCATATAGTTTTCCATTTTCTACTCCAACTAAAAAAAAACAATAAAACACATTGAGGAACAAAAATGAGGTTAGGCTACTATTTATTTTTCATTTAATAAATTCTTCGTCTCGTTAATTCTTCTAACGGAGGTTGGATATTATCATGGCTATGCTAATCTTGTTAACAGCTGCTCTGAACAGTTGGTTTGATGTCATTCCAAACCATTCCCTTAAGTCTTTTCCCTTAACTTCTTCTGCCCTTGATCTGCCCGTGGCCAATGTATTCGAATTCTCTTCTTTTAAGAGAGTTAATTATGTCCTCCTGTTTCTGTAGCAGTACCAGATTGGAAACCCTGCCAGTCCATGAGATTTTCAACATTCGCCGATCTTATCCATATCTACCTTTTTCAGTGTCCATGCTTCTGATCCATAAACTATTGGTGAAAAAACGTAGCATCGAAGCATTCTTATTCGTAATCCGAAATTTATATCTCTGCTGCAGAAGAAACTTTTTGATTTTTACAAATACACTTCTGGCTACCTCTATGATACTTTTGATTTTATGAGACTGCTCCATTGTTTTGTGTTTTGCATTTTCTTACTCTTTGTATCGTTGTGTTGTCTATAGTAAGAATTCTGTTAACATTTACTTTCTTTGGGTAGTAGTTTTTAAAGTACCTGTAATTTTAAAATAACTGAAAACTCACGAAAAAATGCCCACTGTCAACACGAAAATGTACGTCGTGACGTCACCAACAGTTTAAATGTCCACAGTTCGTTTTTAGCTGGAAATTTTAATTTTTTAAATATTTAGGGCGGATACTTTTTAAGTCCTATTAGGTATATTAATTCAAAAAAAAATCTACAAAAATTAATTATACATATGATTGGTTATTTACTGATTATAATTAGTACTTATACAAGTAAAATATTCTTCGAAGTCAACAATTGACGGGCTCTTGTAGCCGGGTCTACATGGCTCATTTCGTGTGAGGCCCGGGAGGTGACGTCATAGTTTTCTTGTCGCAGATGAACGGGAGCTTCAAGGAAATCGAACTTCACCGGTTGAACGACGGCGGCATTTTGTTGTCGGTGGACGGGTCGTCGTTCACCACTTACATGAAGGAAGAGGTCGACAGCTACCGGATCGTGATCGGTAATCAGACGTGCGTGTTCGAGAAGGAAAACGATCCGTCCATTTTGAGGTCGCCGTCCGCCGGCAAACTGATCGGGTTCCTCGTCGAGGACGGAGGTCACGTCGCTAAGGTAGGTTATTTTGACTCATTTCGATCGATATTTCCAAAAACGTATTTACGTAGAAGCCGAAATATGGCCCTGCTTCTGTCACTTCTATCTAGCTCTTGAATGCACCTGATCACACAAGCGAAAATGCTCGAAATTATTTCTGACGTTCTGAAATCGCCACCAGAGGGCGCAATCGTTATCGTAAATTTTAAGACCAATTTTTTGCAAAATTTTCTTATCTTAATGATACATAGAGTGTTTTGAACCACCGACCAAAATAGCGAGTCGAAAGTTCAGTATCACTTTTAAAGGGAACTACGACGTTCACCTGAAGGCAACTGTAAATGCTTGACCGATTGAAATCTCGTGGAAGTAAATAATGTTATGAAAAAAATTGCCAATTCACAGATTCAAACAGATTGATGTGTCACAGTGTGGCACAGTGTGTATAGATCTGCAACGTCCCTTTTGACAAAATATTTCAGAAACCGTAAGACTTATGGACATTTTATATGAAGTGGGGGGGTGTTGGGAAGCCGTTTAAACAATTTAACATAAATAAATTCACACAAATTAATTTTGAAATTAACGCCGAAAAATGTATTCCACGTTTATTCGGAAAACCGACCCCGGCTACAAGGGGAAATAACCAGATTGACTTCTAATTTGACTTTCTAATTTCGCAGGGTCCAAATTTCTTAAATTCTTAATTTTTCAAGGAAACTTCCACTGCGTCAGTCTGTGGGGGGCGGAGCTGAAACATGAACATTGTGTAGGATGGCTGATTCTTTGGTAGACCAATTGATTACATGTCTGTCACCCCTCATAACTCTAAAATTTCTGGTCACTACGAAATCACAAACCAGGATTCTCCCTTCCACCTATTATCTCCAACATATTCTCCAGCAACATATCTAGCCTCTCTATTGCAGGGAAAGCTGATAGTTTCGTAATTAATCCTTTTCATTTTATTGAACAATTAAAAACCATTACATTACATCCAAACTATTTTCTGGTTAGTTTTGACGTACAATCATCCTTCTTTAATAAAATAATTACACCCTTGTCTGTAATATATTTTTCTTGTAATGGTGAATTTATGAACAAACGTCGAGAATAGCTCCATAATCATCGGTCATCGAGAATCTATTTATGGAAGCCTTTGAGAAGAAGATGCTCGACACCTTACATCTAAAACCAAAATTATGGGACCGCTACGTTGATGTTACTTTTGTTATTTGGCCTCATGGTCAAAAATTTCTCCGAGATTTTCTTCTTACCATTGAATTAAAAACTATCTTCGATACACCTATCAATAGAAAATCAGACCTAACATTGGATCATCCTGTTTACAGAAAACCTAGGCACATACACTGATATATTAATGCCTTGTCACATCACCATCAATCATCATCATCATCAATTTTCCTGTTTAGGGAACAATAAAACTATCTTAACCCGAGTCATTGAACACAGAATTAAAACACCTTGCATCTGTTCTCTCTAATAATTTCCACATTAGAAATATTAAGCGTTACATCACAAAAATACCCATCTCCACAATCTTCCATAGATGATGAATTCGGAAGTAAGCCCACACTTGTTTTCCTTCCTTACCTTCAAAACATTGCTGACGACATATTGAAAGTTTTTAGGAAATACAACCTTAAAACCAGTTTTACCACTTGTCCAAAAATCACTAAACATCATTTATTCGGACAAAATTCCGTTTGTGATATCAGAAGTTAACAGCATTCCATGCATATGCAGCATAGAATATATTGGAGAGACAGGACGAAAAATATCACCTAGGTTCGAAGAATATGAAAGAGTCTTAAGACTACGACAAATAAACTTATTAGGAAGTTGTCCTACACAATCACATCAATTCTTGTATCAAAGAAGAATCTGAGAAACCATAGAAATCTATCACGAACCAACCGCAACTCAGATCTTTACATTAGCTTTACTCTTAGCTCCTCCCTCCTCAAACACTATATGAACAGGTATAGAGTAGTATGCGAGCCAGTTTCAAATTCAATTTACTCTAGTTTTTTAGAAAGTATAGTGAACTTTAATTAACTTCCACCATTCATTATTCATTATTAAATAAGTTTGCCCTATCGTACTCTATTGTAACCTTCGATTGTACGGTGATACAGATGAGAAGTAATACAAATAGTCTTATAGGCTCGGTTGTTTTCTTTTCAAAATTTCTTTCTGCTGAGTGATAATTTGGAGAGTGTATTTCGATTTTTCCACTGTTCTAAACTCCTGAATCCTTCCACACAAGGTGTTATATTTAAAACATGCAAATAGAAACATCCCTCGTATTTAACAGTATAATGTTGTAAAAGTGCAAGTACCGTTAAAGGGCGTGTCTTAATTCTAGGGTCGGGTCAGGTATAGAGTAGAACGCGAGCCAGTTTGAAATTCAATTTATCCTAGTTTTTCAGAAAGTGCCTTCAATTGTATGATGATACGTATGAGAATTTGAGGAGTGTATTTCGATTTTTCCACCTTCTAAACTCCTGAATTCTTCCACACAAGGCGTTATAATATAATGTTGTAAAAGTGCAAGTAGCATTAAAAGGCGTGTCTTAATTCTAGGGTCAGACTTATGCCGAAATCGAGGTCATGAAAATGGTCATGACGCTGACGTCGAACGAGGCGGGCGTCATAACGTTCACGAAGCGTCCGGGGGCGGTCCTCGACGCCGGTTCGATTTTGGCCACCCTCGAATTGGAAGACCCCAGTTTGGTAACTAAGGCCGTCCTCTACAAAGGTCCGTTCCCGGAAATGGACGTGTCGTCGCAAGGCGTGCCGGAAAAACTGAACCACATCCACAACGCGTACAAGGCGATGCTCGAGAACACTTTGGCCGGTTACTGCCTCCCGGATCCGTACAACGCGCCCCGTTTGAGGGAGGTGATCGAGAAGTTTATGGCGTCGCTGCGCGATCCGAGTTTGCCCTTGCTCGAGCTCCAGGAGGTGATGGCCACCATTTCCGGCCGGATCCCGATAGTGGTCGAGAAGAAAATCCGGAGGCTGATGGCGTTGCACGAGCGGAACATCACGTCGGTACTCGCCCAGTTCCCGAGTCAGCAGATAGCCAGCGTGATCGATAGCCACGCGGCGACGCTGCACAAGAGGTCCGACAGGGACAACTTTTTCCTGGCCACGCAGGGGATCGTCCAATTGGTTCAAAGGTAAGGGTCGCAGCCATCTTTAATTAAAAAATTCTACAAATAAGAGCCCCACCACTTTCCAATCAATGAGCAAGAAATGACAGCACTATGAACCGAAAGGTCCCCTTATTTGTGTGTTCAAAACTAATTTTTATCAAAATGTATTTATTATTTTATCAAAATTATAGAAGTAATCCCCCCACAGATATAATACACTTATACCAACTTTTTTTTCTAATCCTCGAAGCACTTTCTGGTATAGCCTTGAGTTCTTCCTTCGACTTTTTCTTTATCTCCTCAATCGTTCCAAACCTCTTTCCTTTCATGCGTTTCTGGAGTTTTGGGAACAGGAAAAAGTCGCAGGGGATCATATCCGGTTAATATGGTGGCTGAGGCATGATTGTGGTTTTGTTTTTGGCCAAAAAGTTGGACACAAGCAACAAGCAGGTGCATTATCCTAATACGGACGTGTTCTTCGTGTTGCATCTCCCAAACGGCTCGTAACTTTTAGGTAAAACTCTTTATTAATAGTAGGGCCTTGGGGGTAAGAACTCTTGATGTACTACGTCAAGATAATCAAAGAAAACAGTAAGCAACATTTTGACATTTGATCCAACTTGAAGTGCTTGTTTCAGTCTTAGCGATTCTAACTTCTTCCATTGGGACGAGTGGGCCTTGGAATATATCACGATCATCATTGACGTCGTTTAACAGCTATTGTTTGTTCAAAGTTAAGCAGTTTCTCAACAAATTTTGCTGCTACACGTCTCATGGCCAAACCTTCGGAAAAAATTGGATAGCATTAGCCAATAGGGATGCCGACGTCTTCAGCCACTTCTCTAATAGTGATTTGACCATTTTTCAACACCATTTGTTTCACTTCTTCTTCTTCACTTCGACTGTACGTACCCCATCCAATTACAAAAGTCAGTTTACTTTTTGAACACACCTCGTATTTTACCCGCTATTCGTAAAAAGTGATTGCATTATTACAGTCATTCGCTAATATCTGTAGACAGTTTCTTGTATAATCAAAGTGTGTGTGTGTTGTGAAGGTGATTTTCGCAAGTATGTTTATTAGTTAACTAAAAAAATGTATTTTTTTTAAATGTTAGACAAATTTCATGAATATTTTAATATTGGAATATTAGAATGCGCGACAATTGTACTTAATTTATACACTTCAACCTTTTACTTCCCAAGTAGATTCAGATTCTCTTCGCCGGGGGTCTCTTAGAACTGTAGATCGCTCCGATAGCCAAAACTAATTTAGACACTTCATCCTTTTACTTCCCAAGTAGATTGAAATTCTCTTCGCCGGAGGTCTCTTAGAACTGTAGATCGCTCCGATAGCCAAAATTAATTTAGACACCGCAACCTTTTACTTCCCAAGTAGATTAACATTCTCTCCGCCAGGAGTCTCTTAGATCTGTACATGGCTCCGATAGCCAAAATTAATTTATAGACTTTCAGAAGGTCAGTGTTTTCTTCTTCAATTATAATCACTTCCGCAGGTACAGGAACGGAATCAGGGGCCGAATGAAGGCGGCCGTGCAAGACCTCCTCAAACAATACTACGATGTGGAGAGTCAGTTTCAGCACGGCTCCTACGACAAGTGCGTCAGCCTGCTCAGGGACAAACATAAGGACGACATCAAACTCGTGTCGGCCGTTATATTTTCGCACTCGCAGGTCGCCAAAAAGAACCTGCTCATAACGATGCTGATAGATCACCTATGGTCGAACGAACCCGGTCTAACCGACGAACTCGCTCCGGCTCTAACCGAACTCACCACGTTGAACAGAAGCGAACATTCTAGAGTGGCGCTTCGCGCCCGTCAAGTATTGATCGCCGCCCACCAGCCCGCCTACGAGCTACGTCACAACCAGATGGAGAGTATATTTTTATCCGCCGTCGACATGTACGGACATGAATTCCACCCGGAGAACCTGCAGAAACTGATCGTTTCGGAGACGTCGATATTCGACATCCTGCACGATTTCTTCTACCACATGAACCGGGCGGTGTCGAGTGCCGCCCTCGAGGTCTATGTCAGGCGGGCCTACACCAGCTACGACATCATCACCCTGCAGCACTTGGAACTGAGCGGCGAGATCCCGGTGGTTCACTTCCAGTTCATTCTGCCGCCGACGCATCCCAATCGATTGACCAAAGTCGTTCAGATAGTGGTAAACTATGCGAATTAACCGATTGATAGGGAGAATGAGAGAGTTGTTAGGAAAACCACAAATGGTCGAATGTTCAAATTGTTCGTTTCGGAAAGTCTCGTTTCGCTAGGGATCTGGATGTAGCAGACGATCGAATGTCAAATAGGAAGACTTTGTAATTTGACAGTCGATAATAGATAGGTATAATCCGAATACGAAATAGCAAAAGGGTGCTTGTTTTAAAGATATATGACGTACATCGGGTGCTACAGCCGTACAGGACACATAATTGTTTCGTACAGCAATCCGCCTTGAAAAGAATATTTTTTATTAACCCGTGAGTATCTTTTTCAATATTTTATCGTCATTATCGCCCTCTATTTGTTACAGCCACCGGCTAAATTAAAAGTTGACGTCCATGAAATCAAATTTACCGAAATTTTATGAATGACAACTTCATCTTTTAAACAAGCACCTTATTAAAGTATTTTTGACCGAATGACTCATTCTGCCGTTGACACACCCCAATCGATTCACCAAAGTCGTTCAGATAGTGGTAAACTAAGCGAATTAGTCGTTAGTATTGAGAGAGAGAGGGCGAAAGATGTGATTCAAAAAGAACGCTGAACTTAAATGAGACACAATTTTGTTTTTTTTTATTGTTGACAGCATTTTTTTTTGCGATTTTTTAAATACATTGGTCTGGAAGTTTTGGTTAGTTTTGTTGGGAACACATGATCGAATGTTCAAATTGTTCGTGTCGGAAAGTGTCGGATGTAGCAGACGGTAAAATGTCCAATTTCGAAAAGAACGCCGAATTTAAATGAGCCACCATTTTGTGTTTTTTTTTTAATTGTTGGCAGCATTTTTTTTGCGATTTTTGAAATATGTTGGTGTAGAGGTTTTGGTTAGTTTTGTTGGCAACACCACAAATGGTAGAATGTTCAAATTGTTCGTTTCGGAGAGTCTCGGTGAGAGACGGTCGAAGGTAAAATAGAAAAGGACATGATTTTGATATCAAAATAGGTATATGTACTTTGTTATTTGACAGTCTATACTAGATAGGCATAATCCCAATACGAATTTGCAAAAGATTGCTTGTTTTAAAGATACGGGACTTACATAGGGTGCTAAATCCGCACAGGACACATGAATCTCTATGCATACGATCAATTATTGTTTCCACAAAAATATAGGTTAATTTTATCACATCCGCGTTGAAAAAATATTTTTTATTAACCCGTGATTACCTTTTTGAATATTTTATCGTCATTATCGTCCTCTATTTATTACAGCCACCGGTTAAGGTAAAAACTCAAATTTATCGAAATTTTATGAATGACATCTTCGTCTTTTAAACAAGCACCTCATGAAAGTATTTTGGACTTTCTTTCCATCTGGAATCTAAAACCTACTCACTCACCCCATGGACCACACTGTATAGAATTTTTCAAAGAAAATTCCACGGGCTACTGTAATACCATATACAAATCTTCTGGTTTTATTCTGCGTCGCTTGTTTATAAATTAAACTGGCTGACATTTGGCTCCTTCAGAGCTTAGCTGAAACTGAATGATTCGATCTGCCGCCGACGCATCTCAATGACCGTTAGGATAAGGTGAGGGAATGAGAGGGATATGATTCGAAAAGAACACCGAATTTGAATAGGCCACCATATTGTTTTTTTTTTAATTTGTTTTTTCGATTTTTGAAATATGTTGCCGCGGAGGTTTTGGTTAATTTAGTTAGTGGGGGGGTTTTAGTTGATTTTGTTTTGTTTTTGTGAACCAGAGAACCCCGAATTTTTACAAAGCTTCTGGATTCCTCCTGCCTCGGTTTTTGCTGAGTCGAAAATGATATTTATTTCGCAACAAAATAATACAGAAAGTACCACCCCTTTATTTTAGATATATAAAAATCCCGGAAACTGAAACCATTTTAATTTTAAAAAAGGCTTGCCTGGAACAGCTATGCGCCGTTTATCTTGTGACACCATTTCTCAGAAACTGTAAGGGATAGAGCTAAAAATTAAAAACAAAAATTAATTAGGGTATTACAAACCTTCCACTATTTTATATATATATATATATATATATATATATATATATATATATATATATATATATATATATATATATATATATATATATATATATATATATATATATATATATATATATATATATATATATATATATATATATATATATATATATATATATATATATATATATATATATATATATATATATATATATATATATATATATATATATATATATATATATATATATATATATATATATTTTTTTTTTTTTTTTTTTTTTTCACGTATTGATTCACGGATGGAAAAATGTGATGACACTATATTCCGGGATATCATCCGTTCGCTTGTTGAACTCCGACTGGAATCCTGCAGACGTTTCGCCAAAATCTCACTTGGCATCTTCAATGCTCGCGCTCCGAAAACACTTCGAACACTGGGAGGTTATCGGCGGTGCGTACGGTATTTATACTCTGCGCCGGAGATGGTAACGGTGCTGCTTGTGCGTGGGGGGAGGTGGCTCCGCCCCCCGAATTGTCGCGTTGTTAATTTCGCCCGATCGTAGTTGCGATGTCCCGGTTGGCTGCTGCGCATCGCTCTGCTGTTTGATTATCGTTCTCCACGTATTGGATAAATGCAGAGCGTCGTCTCTCGTATTGAGGTGTCCGGACTTTTCTATTTCGATGGCCTCTCGTATAATCCTAGTCCTAAAATCAGGAATATTAGCTATTTGTTTGCAAGTGCCGAAATCAATTTTATGGCCTGTCTGATGTTGGTGCTGAAACAAAGCAGATGTTGTTTGTTTGTTTCTTATGGCTAAACGATGTTCCTCGAGCCTGGCTGAAATCCTTCTGTTGGTCTGCCCCACATACGTCAGGCTGCACGATCCGCATGCTACACTGTATACTTCTTGGTTTTCCTGAGTAATTTTTTGTTTTGGGTTTCTTAGTATTGCTCCGATGGTATGATCAGGTTTGTATGCCGTTGATATGTCGTGTTTCCGTAATATTCGGCCGATTTTGTCAGTAACCCCCTTGATGTATGGCAGGACAGCGATCGATCTTCGTTGGGTCTCGTCCTGCACTCTCTGCTGCGGCTGTTGTTGTTTACTGATTGCCTTGCTGATGGTGCGCCTTTGGTATCCGTTTTGTCGAAGACAGGTACTAATTTTCTTCAGTTCTTTATCTCTGTTCCTCTTGTTTGTGAGCCTGAAGGACCGAGCAATTAATGTATTTGCCACTGCCTGTATCTGTGATGGGTGGTGATGAGATTTAGCGTTCAGAGATCTTTTAGTGTGTGTTGGTTTTCTATAGACAGTGTGTTCCAAGTGTCCAACTTCGGTCCTTGTGATGTGCACATCTAAAAAAGGCAGACTGTTATCCTCTTCAAGTTCTATTGTCAATTGAATCCTTGGGTGAATGGAATTCAGATGATCTAGGAATTTCAAAAGCTCCTCCTTGCCAAAAGGCCATACAACAAATACGTCATCAACGTATCTTGTCCATAGTTTTGACTTCAGATTTGCCTTCTCTATTGCTTTCTTTTCGAAGTAAATCATGAAGAGGTTGGCAATCACACCACATCATTGATTTATTTATTTATCGTTTATAAAATTAATTTATTCGCTTGCTTGCGTATCATGTTTACCACAGAGGAAAAGATTGATATATTAGAAAGTTTAGTTAGTTAGTTAGAAATTTCCATTAAGATGGCTTGCTTGCGTATCATGTTTACCACAGAGGAAAAGATTGATATGTTAGAAAGTTTAGTTAGTTAGTTAGAAATTTCCATTAAGATGGCGCCCAAAAAAAAAAAGATCGTCGACAGGATTTACCAACACTTTAGAGTATATTGATGAAAGAAAAAAATAGACGTCGCTATATTTTGAATGATGAAGAGCAACTTAATATTTTGTCGGATTTTGTAGACACCCCTAAAGATTCAACCCGAAATGAGTATTTAGATGTAGATGTCAAAAGAACAACGCCTCCAATGTGCCTTCAAATAAACAACAAAGTCCTATAAATTCAATACAAATAAAGTTAGATTTTTGCAACAATCTTATGGAGAGACACTTTTCAGAAAATATATTTTCTAATATGATTTAGATAGATGATATGATATTTTGCAGCCTCAGCGAAAATTTTTAATGGGAAAAATACCCATTGCTGGACCCACAAGAATAATAAAAAAACATATTGAAGTTACAACATTAGGTAGAGCTTCTGTCAAACTATGAATGAATGGTAGAATTGTAGTTACGCCCGGCCTCCAAGAAGGTCCGACTTATCTCCCCTAGATTTATTTCTATAGGATACACTTGAAGATTTAGTTTACAAACACAAACCATCAACTGCCGAGGAACTTAAACGTCTGATAAGAGAAGGTGTCTGATATTTAAATGGGACTGAAACCCTTTATATTACTTGTATTGCTCAAAATGATACAATTATTATTATCTTTTGGAAGCTATTAATTTTTTAATCTTGTTGGTTAGTTTTGGTTAGTTTTGTTGTTTTATTGTTGGTGATACCCTGTATTAATATGTACCGAAATTTCTTATGAAATCCGTTATTCCTTTGTCTATAGCAAAACAATGAAACGAATGAAGCAATTTTTTCAGATATTTTACGTCTTGCAAACGTCATAAAAAATCGAAAATATCAAAAACGGTTAGAATTAGGTACAGGCTACATTATACACATAATATGTCTAGAATTTTGTATAGGATTCAAAAATAAAGTAATGTGCTACATGTTCCATTTAAAATACGAAAGTTGATCCACGAAGAATTAAACACCTCGTATACACAACATTAAAATAAAGTAAAGATTTGTAATGCCCCAATTAACTGTGGTATTTGACTTTTGGCTGCATAGTCTATAGTTTCTGAGATAATGTAATGCTCAAAGATAAACGGACCTGTTTATATATTGTTTGACGGTGGCGGGGTTAAAGGAGAGGCGTGACCTGCAAAGACTTGGATCACGGTTAAGATTGTTTGGTTACTTATAGATTTCTATAGATTCTCGGATTTTTCATTAGCAGAAGAATTCATTACGTGCAAGAATTTTAACTTTGTCGAATACGATTTGCTCTCCGGTTTTATGATTGTGTTTGGCAACTGCTGATGAGTTGGTTTGCCGTAGTCTTAAGGCCATGTCCAGAGTCCAGAAGATTTCTAAATAGTAATACAATTAGCCTGAGAAGGTTTTGAAATTTAACGTTACTTTAATATCGAGTAAAATGAGCATACTTTTTGAGAATCCTCATATATATTACTGAAAGATTTTGAAAAGTGCGTTACTTATTTGAAGTTTTTACCTAAACTTTCAACATTTTTTATGGAGAATATAAAAGGAGTCGTGAGACATTGGTTTTTTGAGTGATAGGGAACGAAGTTCGTTATCAAAAATTTAAAACTTAACAATTTTTTTCTTCTGAAGTCTTTGATTTTCTTATACTAGGACTCGGGTTTGGGAGGAAACCAACCCAAAGTTGTCGACACGTTTCAACGAACCGGCTGTATCGCCGCGTTCGACAACTTCCACCAGTTCGAGGAGTACTCGGACGAAATCCTCGACTTAATAGAAGACTTGGCGAATCCGGCCACCATTTCGGCCAAGGACTTGGCCGCCGTCGAGTCCGGATCCGAGTCCAGGAAAAATTCCACGTCCATTAACGTCAGTCTCACCTTGGACGCCGCTAGGCCCGTTCAGAACGACGACAACGTCATCCTCGAACCGATCCACATCCTCCACGTCGGCGTGAAGGACGAAGGTGACAAGGACGATGCCACGATGAGCAAAATATTCGCCAAGTTTTGCGCGAAACACAAGGAGGAACTCGCGTCTAGGGGTATCAGAAGGATCACGTTCAGCCCCCTGAAGCACAAACAGTTTCCCAAATATTTCACATACAGGGCGCGAGACGCCTTCCTCGAGGACAAGATCTACAGGCACTTGGAGCCCGCGTCGGCCGCCCAATTGGAGATCAACCGGCTCAGGTCGTACAACTTGGAGGCTTTACCGACGTCGAACCAGAAGATGCACCTCTATCTCGGCAAGGCGAAGGTGGCGCCCGGCAAAGAGGTGACGGACTATCGATTCTTTATCCGGAGCATCATCAGGCATTCGGATTTAATAACTAAAGAGGCGTCGTTCGAGTATCTGCAGAACGAAGGTGAGCGGGTGCTGCTGGAGGCGATGGACGAGCTGGAGGTGGCGTTCTCTCACCCGTTGTCGAAGAGGACCGACTGCAATCACATCTTTTTGAGTTTTATGCCTACCGTGATCATGGACCCGGCTAAGATCGAGGAGGGCGTTACCAATATGATCCTGAGGTACGGCGCCCGCCTCTGGAAACTAAGGGTGAGTGTTTCTGTTTTGCTTAAAACTAGAGTTAAGCAAACGCCCTCGGTAATCGGCATTCATCATATATTATATTCTTTTTCCTACAACTGCTTGGGTTTTTCTTTGGTACTAGCTGATCGACGACAAATTTTTCTTTCTTCTTTTCTTAGAAACGCTTTTTTGGTACAAGCTAATCGCCGACAAATTATTCTATCTTCTTTATCCTAGAACCGCTTGTACCCTCCTCCGTCGACTCTTCCTTAGTACCAGCTGACAAATTCTTTTGTTTCCTACAACCAAATTTTTCTTTCTTCTTTATTATTTCCTAATGGTAACCAATTTCTTTTTCCCTAGAACTGCTTCGCCTCTTCTTTAGTGTAATCGTCGATAAATTCTTCTTTTTTCCTTGAACTGCTTCAACTGTTTTTTTTTTTGTATTAGCTGATTGCGGACAAATTCATTGTTTTTTTTTCCTAGAACGGCTTATGCTGTTCTCCCTCGATCACCAACAACGTCTTTCCATCAGATCTTCTTTACTTCTTCTGTACTTCTGTGGTCACAACTACCATGATCATTTGCCCCGGTGCTTCTTTAGTATCAGCTATTGATCATCAAATTCTTCTTCTTTTTCCTAGAACTATTTCGCCACTTTTTTAGTATTAGCTGATCGCTGACAAATGTTTCTTTCTTCTTTTCATAGAAATGCCACTTTGCTACAAGCTAATTGCCGACAAATTATTCTTCTTTATCCTAGAACCGCCTGTACTCTTCTCCGTCGGCTCTTCTTAGTACTAGCTGATCATCGTCAGAGTCTTTTGTTTCCTACAACAACAATTCTTTCTTCTTTTTCTAGATATGGTTGTTCCCTTTAACGTCAGCACTCCTTTAATTAGCTGATGGTAGACAATTTCTTTTTTCTTCCTAGAACTACTTCTTTTGTTCAGTATGATCGTCTATAAATTCTTCTTTTTTTTCTTGAAATGCTTCAACGGCTTTTTTTTTTGTATTAGCTGATTGCGGACAAATTCTTTTTTTTCCTAAAACGGCTTGTACTGTTCTCCCTCGACTCTTTTTAATATTAGCTGATCGCCAACAAATTCTTTCCGTCAGGTCTTCTTTACTTCTTCTGTACCTCTGTGGCCACGATTACCTTGATCATTTGCGACGGTCTTTTTTAGATCGCCGACAAATTTTTCTTTCTGCTTTTCCTAGAAATGCCACTTTGGTACAAACAAATCGCTGACAAATTATTCTTCTTTATCCTAGAACCGCCTGTACTCTTCTCCGTCGGCTCTTCTTTAGTACTAGATGATCATCGACAAATTCTTTGGTTTTCTACAACAAGTTAAGCGACTTCTTTTCCTAGAAATGCTTGTACTTTGTTCCGTTGGCCCCTGTTTAATATTAGCTGATCATAGACAATTTCTTTTTTTTTTCCTAGAAAACTGGTTCGCCTCTCGTTTAGTGTGATTGTCAATAAATTCTTGGTTTTTCCGTGAACTGCTTTAACTGTTTTTTTTTTGTTTTAGCTGATTGCAGACAAATTCTTTCTTTTTTTTCCTAGAATTGCTTGTACTGTTCTCCCCCGACTCTTCTTTAATATTACCTGATCGCAAACAATTTTTTTCCGTTAGGTCTTCTTTACTTCTATGGCGACTACTACCAAGGTCATTTGCCCCGGGTCTTCATTAGTATCAACATGCATGCATGGTCATCAATTTCTTCTTCTTCTTCCTAGAACTGTTTTGCCATTTCTTTAGTATTAGCTGTTCGCCGACAAATTTGTCTTCTTTCTTTTCCTCTTCTCCGTCGGTTCTTTTTTCTTCTTTCTTTTGTTTCCTACAACAAATTCTTTTCCTAGAAATACTTGTACTCTTTTCCATTGTAGACAATTTCTTCTTTTTTTTCCTTCTGCTTCGCCTCTTCTTTAGTGTCAGCTGATCGTCGATAAATTCTTTTTTTTTTCTTTGAAGTGCTTCGACTGTTTTTTTTATTCGCTGATTGCGGAAAAATGTTTTCTTTTTTTTTCCTAGAACCACTTGGACTCTTCTTCGTCGGATCTTTTAGCAAATCAATTCTTCCCGTCAGGTCTTCTTTAGTATCAGCTGATGGTCCTCAAATTCTCATTTTTCTCCTAGACCTGATTGTTAAAGAAAAAAGATTGTCTCGTTCAATAGCCAAGTTCTTCGGAGAATACAGGTTGAAACCTTCCCAGTTTTTTAGATGAATCACCTTTTTTGATATGTCGATATTAGAATTCGGATTGTTTACAGGTATTGCAGGCGGAATTACGAATGCTAATAAGACCGGCGCCCAACGCCGAAACCACGACGATCAGGTTGTGCATAGCGAACGACAGCGGGTACTACTTGGACATCAACATGTACACGGAAGTGATCGACAAGGAGACCGAAGAGATCAGGTTCCAGGCGTACGGTACCAAACAGGGTCCGATGCACGGCTTGCCGATATCGACTCCGTACCTCGCCAAGGATTATCTCCAACAGAAACGGTTCCAAGCGCAGAGCAACGGTACCACGTACGTGTACGACTTCCCGGAGATGTTTCGGCAAATGGTAGACCTCCACTGGAACCAGTACAGTCAGGAGCATATCTCGGAAACGGTCTTGAAGCCGGAAAAACTGATGGATCTGATGGAACTGGTGCTCGATCCGGAAACGGAGAGTCGATTGGTCGAGCAGAAACGAGTACCGGGCGAGAACAACGTCGGCATGGTAGCGTGGAGATTAACGCTGTACACTCCGGAGTATCCGGACGGGAGGGACGTCATAGTCATCGCCAACGACATCACTTACTTGATCGGTTCGTTCGGGCCGAGAGAAGACAAGGTTTACGGTTTGGCGAGCGAGATGGCGCGCGATTTGAAGTTGCCGAGGATCTACATCTCGGCTAATTCAGGCGCCAGGATCGGCCTCGCGGAGGAGGTCAAGGCGCTGTTCAAGGTCGCGTGGGAGGACGACGACGACCCCGAGAAAGGGTTCAAGTATCTGTACCTGACGCCGGAGGACTACGCCAAAGTTAGCCCTTACAATTCGGTAAGACGCGCGCACGCGGTAAGTGGAGGAAGGCGCGAGAAATTGCGAACAGTCAATTTGGCAATTTGATCAAAACTCCAATAGTTTCAATTAAAAAAAAAAGGGTAAAATTTATAATGCCTTTTAAAGTTTTTTTTTCACTTTTATTTGACCAGATAGCATCGTCGGTGTACAAGAGAAAGTGACCAGTTTTAAGCTATTAATATTTGAAGATTTATGAACAAATATAAAATTCAATTATTTCTTGTAAGTTTATTTTAGTGAAAATACATATTGAATAGGTTTTGGTTAATCTACTGCAATAGTCAAAATAACTTAAGTATTGTTTTATTATAGTCATATACCTATTATTATTTTTCTATTCGAAGGAAAATTGGACTTGGTCACTTTCTCATAAATATAAAATCAATTATTTCTTGTAAGTTTATTTTAATGGAAGTACATAGTGAAAGTTTTTGTTAATCTACTACCATAATAAAAAAAAATGTATATACCTAGCGTTCGAATCGTGGTTGGTATTTTTTTTTAAAGAACTTTGGGGCTACTGAAAAAAGGAAAGTGGAAACTAGCACAATAAGCTTGTCGTTTTACACTCCCTGCTAAGCTATCACACGCTCCTTTGCGACGAGATGTAGCGAAAAAATTCCAATCAGCATCAACACCAAAATCATTTTTATGATTTACTAAATTGGCAAAATTATATTTAAATGATAATTAAAACTAATTTTTTAACCACATAATTTCATAATTCAGTCGGCCCATTTTAAATCACAAAAAATATTATAATTAAAAATTATAATACTAAAATATTAACTAAAAAAACACAAGTCAACAACACTTCAGCTTTTATTTTTAATAATTATTTCATGCTTTGCGTATACACTTCTGTCACGAATAGACAGGAATGACTTCTAAAATGATTTTGTTATTTACTGGGATACGCGAAAAACAAATGAAAATCGTAACGGAGCGGTTTTTCTTTTGTTAACTAAAGATGGAGTGTTGACTAGTAAATTTAAAAATAATAATTTACTAAATTACCTAGAAAAAATAAATATACACCATAACAGTTTTAAAAATTTAAAGTTGAATTTTTTTTTCTAAATTTACGCTGTTTGGTAAAAATAATAAAAAAAATTGATAGTATGCTTTATACCATTGTTAAAAGAAAATAAAATTTCAATAATAAAAATTGTAATAAAATAACGTAAATAATAATAACATTTGTCTTATAAAAATATTTTGTATTATTATTTTAAATTATCACTGATAAAACCTACAATGCAGTTCGAGACGCTCGGCAGCGCGGAGCTTCCACAGCGCTCGACGCCCGGCGCGCTGCCATAAATAAATTCATTTTGTTTAAACTAATGACGAGCAGTGAATTTCATCTTTTACGGTTGATTTTTAATCTATGTTTTAATTAAAAGTGCTTAAAATTTTCATTAAAAAAAAAGTGTTGTTATAATCAAAATTTTAAAAAATCGTTTGGGGGGGTCAATTTTCCATCATAAAAAATATATATAGATTAAATTTTTATGATGAAGTGGTAAATGGGGGGTCCACTGTTCCTGTTTCATATCGGAGTTGTTTGATCTTCAGCCATTCTACTCTTTGACCAAACAAGTTGTTGCTATTCAATATTTGTCTTTTAACAGATATTTCTAAATTTGTAAAGTATTCTCGCGGTTTGGAAGACAGGTGTGAATGGTGCAAATTATCAAAATGTTTCCTCAATTGACTTTTTTTGGAAGATTCTCAAGTCGGTACCTTCAGACATACAACACACTGTGGTTTCATTGTAGCATTCTAGGAATTCGTCTTGGTGTGTTCTTTTTCTTTTTGCTACCATCTGAAGGGATACAGAAAATAATAGTTGTAAAATACTTGAATTAAATGTTCAAATGGCAGCTTACCTTGTTCGATATATCGATGATTAATGATAAAATGGTCGTCTTGTCAATGTATTTGTATCTTAACGGCGTGGCACGGACTGGGCAGGTTGCCGGGGCTGTGCTTTACTGCGCAAAGATATAACTCGAGAACGTTCTAGTGGTGGGGAGTGAGATAGCGTGGCCTGCATATGTCGCCAAATTGTTTAGGTTGAAAAAAAAAACTAACATACTATACTTTTTACTCATTTGGGGTAATTTACCCCGGTTCCCCGACCGTAGCCTTATATTGTCATGCGCTATTCTGTAATTGGACAGATTCGTCTGCTGATAGCGTTCGGGTTTGCAAATAAATAAATAAATGAGTGCATGTCCCCGTCCCCAGTCGATGTCGCTAAATATCACTCATTTTACTAGGTGCGGGCCGAATTAATAGACGACGAAGGTCAGTCGCGGTACAAACTGACCGACGTGATCGGCAAAGACGACGGCCTGGGCGTCGAGAACCTGAAGTACGCCGGCTTAATTGCCGGCGAAACGTCGACCGCGTACGACGAAGTGGTCACCATATCGATGGTGACGTGTCGCGCCATCGGCATCGGCTCCTACTTGGTCAGGCTGGGCCAGAGGGTGATACAGATCGAGAACTCACCCATCATCCTCACGGGTTACGCCGCTCTGAACAAGCTCCTTGGACGCGAGGTACGTAGTTGAAATATTGTTTTAGTGCTTTCATGATATTGGCAAGTTAAAATAGTTACTCTGGTTCGATAAGGAATGGAGTGCTGTATATATTCCTTGGTAAATATCGGAGCTACAGGACAGACTGATGATGGCTTAAAATTATAGAGATAACTAAAAAAAATATTTGTCCGATTACAAGTTGATGTTTCCAGATTTGCATAAAACTAAATATATTTAGATATAGATAATGACAAGCAAAAGTAGATAAGTATACGAGGCATTATTATTTCCGCGGTCATGTTTTCATGGTAATCCACACTTCAATCTTTGCGTCATGTCACTTGTTTTTATTGCTGCTCCTGCTTCCCCTTCTGAAATTATTATAAAATTGTAAACATTGAAAACAATGTGTTTAGCATCCGAAGACAAGTGGTTCCGTTTTTTATTTGCTGAAGTAGTTCGTCTGCTAAATTATCATTAGGTTCGACTACCATCTCCGCTTCGTCTTCAAATTCTGCGTTGTTTTCCATCTCTTCTTCTAACAGGGGAACATCTGCTTCATTACACGGTCTCCACATTTTAAAGTGTTAAAAAACAGGAACCTTCAGAAAATGTTTAATTGTAAGATTTTAAAAAAGACTGTTGTTGTTTACAAATCGAAGAACTATGTAGAAGACTCAAAAATACAAGAAAAAAAATGTTGTTAATCGACAAGCACACAACACAAAAATTATAATTTTCAAACAAAACAGGTGAAAAATGGCTCGAGCTCGAGAATCAGGTACATAAATACGTACTTACGGGAAGGATGAAATACCTCCGTATACAAACATATTGCATTTTAGATTAAACTCTTAAGAACGATACACATCACCTGATGTTAAAATAATCGCTTTTACTTATTCGAAAATATCCCGAAGCATCAATGTTTAATCAAATTTAAAATGGTCTATTTACGTTTCAAATAAAAATTTCATGGGTTTGACCATGGTCTGCAAAAGTCTACGATTAAGGTACTGTGAAATTCTTGGAATCCCAAAGCAATAAAAGCACTATATTTTTGGTCACATTATATTCTTTAACAGTCTTTTTAAATAAGCCCAGACTGGTGTTGAATAGATCTACGTCAGTCTTACTGTCAAGCTTGTTCCAGTATTGGTAGAGGTAGTTGGTTAGGGCATTAAAAAAAGGTACACGAAAATTAAGTTGCTCTGGACAATCCATAAGACCATTACATAGTTTATATACAAATACTACCCAGGCGACCACCCTGTCACACTCCAAGGATGAAAAGTTAAACTTTAATTTTAAAGACCTGAGGGTTTGACACAAAACTCTCCTTCAGAAATCACATCGATGAAGCCTGTAGAGGTGCACTAAAAATGCTGGGATTTATAGTGAGAAATTCTAGAGATTTTGCAATAAAACATACTTTAAAACTGTTACACTATAGTTATGTGACCACGTTCCACGGTGTAGCAACCAGTATTTCGCAAGTATATCACTCAAATTGAAATTTCTTCACTTCCATGACTGAAACAGAGTGATTTATTACTAATGTTTAAGATTCTTTCACTGTTAGTGTCAGTTTTTATATAAACTTTTTACATCTCTAAGGAAGGTTTGATTATGGAAAACGAACTTAGTCCTTTGTTAGCCGAGATTTTTATGGATAATTTGGAAAATATCATACTAGAATATCCTTTAAGTAATAGTTTTCTATGGCGGTATAGGTACGTGGATGATGTCTTTGCTTGCTTTGTGGAAACGGACAGACAATTGGATTCTTTTTTAAATTACATTAACTCATTACATAATCGTATAAAATTCACTATCGAGATTGAACAGGATAACTCTATTAATTTTTTAGACTTAACTATTACGAAAACGCAAAACAAATTAGATTTTTCCATTTATCATAAACCTTCAAACACGGACACACTCATACATAACAGCTCAAATCACCCTTGTACACACAAAATGGCTGCATTTCACTCTTTTATACACAGACTTCTTTATACTTACAACAAAGAACTTAATATCATTAAACAAATTGCACTCAACAACGGCTACAAACAACTCTATTTATCTGAAACCTAATACAGAACAGGAACAATTTAAAACATAGGAGAACCCAGAGAAAAAGTTTCAAAACATTTATCAAAATGTGGTTTAAAAATAGCAGAATTAACAACACAATAGGAAAATTGTTAAAAAACAATAAAACGAAATGTCCAAAATATCAAAAATCAAGGGTATACAGGTTGAAATGCGGATGTTGTCCTAAAATTTATATTGGACAAACGGGTAGATCCTTCATTAGCGAACATAAAAGAGAGTTTAAAAACAATAGTCCAGAATTTAATTATGCTACACACTTAAATACAGAAAAACATATTTTTTACGACAATTTTGGTATTTTACATACAGCCACAAAAAGTAGAAAATTAAATTTATTGGAAGTCATGGAGATTAACAGAATGAGACATTCAAATGTATTGCTTAACGATCAGTTAGATTTAAATACCTCTCCTTTATTGAACTTAACTTATCACAACAACATCAATTATGGTTTTATTGTCATTTTTTGGTATATATAGTAGCACGGTAGTTTGTAAATATTACATTTGATAAAGACACGGTGTTTTCGAAACAATTGTCCTGTAAAAATATATAATTTCTTGAAAATCTGAACTTTTAGTTCTTATTTATTTTGATAAACTTTGCCATTCATTAGTTAATTGTCCTGCGTTGTTGAGCCAGTTGAACTTCAATGTTCCCTCAAGGATTGTAAGTGCATCACCTATATTTCACCTAGTACCTCCAAGAACTAATTTTTTGATCAACGGTCCTCTCTATCAGTTGACGAAATTCTTGAATCGATAGGCACACAAGACAAAAATAATTATTATTGCTGAAGGGAATAATTTTTATAGTTGTAGTTTATAGTTCTTACAATGAAATTGTCTTCTAAATGAATGTTATTCTGTTAGACAATAAAGATTATTATTATTATTATTATTACAAAACAACACCTAGTATATTATTTAATACTACAGGTGTACGCTTCCAACAACCAATTGGGCGGAGTCCAGATTATGTACAACAACGGCATTTCCCACAAAACGGAGCAGAGCGACCTCGACGGCATATACACCATCTTGAAATGGTTGTCGTACATGCCCAAAGATAAATTGTCGCCGGTGCCGATCATAAAACCGGCCGATCCGATAGACAGGGAAATCGGGTTCGTTCCGACCAAGACTCCGTACGATCCGAGATGGATGCTGGCAGGCAGGGAAACCACCAGCGCAACCGGTCTGACGGCGTGGGAGAGCGGGTTCTTCGACAGAGGTTCTTGGTCGGAGATCATGAACCCGTGGGCGCAAACCGTGGTTACTGGGCGTGCCCGTCTCGGCGGCATACCGTTGGGCGTCATCGCGGTCGAAACAAGATCGGTAGAGCTCAATCTACCCGCCGACCCGGCCAATTTGGACTCGGAAGCGAAGACCGTGTCCCAAGCGGGCCAAGGTAAGCGACAGAAATGGTACGCTCCGGTTTCTCTTTTCGCCTGACTGACTAGCGAGCGTGGCACTCCGCTTTTATACAAGGCAACGTCTTGCGATATGGTCATAATTTAGTATTAGCTTCTCGAAAGTATTCTGGGGCTTCTTTAGGCCCTCAATAGTTCTCAGAATAAATTCTACATTATCCCGATGATGGGACTCGAACCACATTTTAGAGCCCAAAATAACCCTTAAACAACGTTAACGCGTTTTAATATTATATGGTTTAATTTTAAATTCACATTTGGATTTCTTGAGAGGTTCAGCCTGGCATATAGCGTAGTCCACTGACATTTGTCAACATATAAGTGCAGACGGTTCAAAGTGCGGTACAGAGCAAAAATTTACCACGCCTAAAGGCGAATTAACCACAGTAGAAGTATTCATGTACTGTAAGAGTCCGGAAATAAAGTTCATAGATCATATACAAATACAACAAAGTCATATCCACGCAAGCCGATATTATGCCATTAACAGCAACATTAAGGTGGGTCAAAAGTAACGATTTTTTTTTTATCTGGCACACAAGTTACCTCTAGATGACGTATAAGCTCTTAATATTAATGGGAAGATTATCCTCATATCATATCGTCGTCATATCTTATCATAGATCATTAAGCCAGTTTCATTGATAATTCTTATAAGAAATTTAGCGCTCTACAAACATGGTCTTTTATGCTTTTTCAATAAATCGAACTATTTCAAAGGTATTCAAGGTCAGAGATTGAAGAATTTAAAGAAAAACAACTTTTTGTTGTGAATTTTTTTATTCACCGAAATATAATTATCGTGAAATATTTTTTAATTATTCTTATAAGACTGCTCTATTTTAAATGGACCCGTTGAGAAATATTTAAGTAAAATTTTATCAAACAAATGATTAAAAATAATTTAAAAACTGTCATTTTATCAAAACTCCATTTTTTATGAATGTTGTGAAAACTGGTCAGTTTAATGAATAAATTGAAAATATTTATTAAAAACTATGAATATAAGTACCCATTAGGATTCCAATGCAAATGTCGTCAAAATTGTTCGAGTAAACGATAAACCAACCGAAATTTCCAAGTTGAACGTGCGGCGGTGAACCTTGTCAAAGGCTTTTTAAAAGTCGGTTACAAGAAACGCAGACATCTCGAACGTTATCCCTTCTTCCGTAGGTTCTCTAAACGGAACAAGATGAATCCGAATAGACAGGCCCTTGACAAACCACGTTGGTTGCTTTCCATGTTATTTTTAATTTGAAAGAACAATAGCTCCAACCTAACAGACTCAAAAACTTTTCCAAAATGACGTAAATTTACTTGTCTTCTATACAACCTTCCATTTCTTCGGAAAAATTACTGGAGACAGACTCTTAAAGTAAAATACAAAAGTTGCTTGGGTTGATTTTGCCTAAACTACCAAGTTTTTTATTCCAAGAGGAGCTAATGACATCTCGCGCACGCGCGTGTTGAATGGACCTTCTCAGCATAGGCCGGGTCTCTATGTGTCTAGTAGCTATATTAGTTTCTCATATACACTACCAACATAAAATATTATTCATTGATATAAAAATTCAGAACTAGAGTTTATAAAGATTACTTCCTCAAAGCTTCACCTCGGTCAAGTAGCTCCAGTTGCCTTCAGGTGATTATTAAATAAACTTTATGCTTTCGAGCTGTAATATCCTATGCCTAAGGTAATGACAAATAAATTTTGGTGAATAAGCTGCTGTTTCTTGTACTTTCTTATCCTTCATTGATGAATATTATATAATATATAATTTCTATAAGTTTATACTCGCATCGGTTTTGAATATATGAACATAAGTTTTCTAATTGCTTTCAGTGTGGTTCCCCGATTCGGCCTACAAGACGGCCCAGGCAATTCAGGACTTTTCCAGGGAGGACCTGCCCTTGATAATATTTGCGAATTGGAGAGGTTTCAGCGGAGGAATGAAAGGTAACTAACCTTTTTTTTTTTGACAGCGAACATATTTTTCTTAAAAACGGAGGAAGTATTTAAAAGTTTTAAAAAGACACCAACCAATACAACGAACCCTGTTCGGAAAACTAATAAAAAAAAACTTGTCGATGTTCCATGAAAATCTGTTGAATTTAAACCAAGAGACAACAATTTGAAGGTGTGCAAATATTAATTTTAAAGCAAAGTATCCGTTTAAGGTACATCATTTTTAAATTGTTTGCTTCTGAAAAACTAGACAAAAACATATTTTGTTCATTTAAAATAAAATATTCGAACCTGTACACTTGGCAACATCGCGTCCATATTAAATTTTAAGTTTTTACGCAATAATTTTTGAGATACGGCCGCAACGGTACCGTATATTTAATGTAAAATATGAAATCTTTGGAAACCATGTTATAACATGAATAATAGACACTATAAGGTGGAAAGAAAAACATCAATATAATTCATAGTTTTATCTGAGTGAAAAAAATGTATTTTAGTCAACTAAGATTATATAATTATAAAGCTTTGCCGGTTCCTTCGGAAGTTTTAGTAAATTTTGAACTTCCATATAAAGTTTCTCAATTTCTTCTTATAATAAATTGTTATTCGTTTCCTTAAAAGCAAACAGCCTCACATGTAGAATGAAAGAGGAAAAATATGAATTATTTGTAAAATTTTAAGACGCCGAATGAATTTTTCTTTATTTTTTACTATCCTAAAATAACTTGATATTTACTGGATATTAAGTACATAAGCACTCGTCCTAAATCAGGAAAATAGTTAACTAAACGTCTCTGTAAAAGGCGTATTTTGTTCCTGCTTGTCTTACTTATCTATAAACAATCTATAAAACACATACTGCAGATTCCTCCTCCAGCCACAGCTTGTATGTAAAAAGGACACAGTATCCAACACAAATAATATATTTACACATAAAAAATCAAATTTGCACTAAGGCGTATCTTTAACGTAACATAACCAAATAATTAATAATAAATAATAATTGTTTTTTAGCTGTATTTTTAAAATACAGAGAACACTCAATTTCTTTATTTTCATGTGTAATTTTTTTTTTAAATACCCCAGTGGCGGCGGTATAGAATTTCGTAAGTCTATTTTGGCAGACATTGATGGAAGGCCACTAATTTCTTTGAAAATAAACTTATTGTGCGTTTGTGATGTCCAATTTACCTATAACCCTCTTCAAAGAAGATCCGAATACGATACTTAACGATTTGGGTAAAATTATAAATAAATAAATATCAATTTCACGGTGTTTTTAAAATTATTTAGGTTAGTTGACACAAAAAAAAATGACCGGTCAATTCCACAACCCTAATGCCGTGCCGCTGACTGTCTATAATAATCTTTTGCACTGGCTAAATCGAGAATTTTTTTGTGAAAAAAATAATGTCTATCTAAAACAAAATATCTAGTTTTGAGTTACCATCAGCAAAAAAATATTAGAATTCTGTTCTTTTTACGATTCCTATTTTTTAAAGAGAACACTACCATTAATAATTTTTAACAAAATCGCCTGTTAATAAATTAATAACAACCTTTTTGAAAACAAGTAGGACATAGGAACTAGATAAGATGTTGAAAGTGTCCTCCACCTTGAAGGATACAATATTGAAAATGACAATAGATAGACAATTACTTAGGTAATAAATAATGATGATAATAATTCTCCGGATGCTGTGAGATATTTCATTTTTCGTTTCATTTCATTCAGAGAAAGATTTTTATTTTTTTAAACGAAAACCGTACAACTTATTGAAAAAAATTGAAAATTTACACAACCGTACAACTTTGAAATTGAAAAATTAAATTTCTTTATAAATGATTGGATTGTAAGAATTATTTTTATTTTAAGGGAAATCAGCAGGGTCTGCCAATATAGACAGGTGAAATGGTATTATAAAAAAATTCTGGTACTCCAAATAATTCCTTTTGATACATGGTACACCGTGTGCCAAATAAAAAGACCCACTATACAATATGGAAACCCATAGGAGATACGAAAAAAAGTTTCTTGCAAAAGTATCTTGAATTCTCCCGAAGATTTAAAATATTATAATTTTGTTGATACAGGGTGCCGACATCAACTTTGTTAATTTAAATGGAATACCCTGTATAAATCGCCATTTTTGGAATCCTTGGTTAAAATAAACATCACTTTCATAAGGCATAAATTTAGGTTATGTGTTTTTTTTCATATTTTGATTGCCCCATGTAAAATTGTGTTGTGGCGCTACTGATGTAGGTATCGCAACGAAAATTTAACCACAGACTAAGGAGATGATGCGCTACTCAGTTTAACAGATGCGCCTCAGATTATACAGGGTGTCCCAAATAGCTGGTGCCGTTTTGGCGAATTCAATTAACAAAATCTCAAGATTTTCAAACGAAAGACCCTATATTTTTATTGAGATATCAATTCTAGGACAAAAACAAGGTAAGTTTGTAATTTATCTTATATTTAAATTTTACTTAATTTTTGAGATATTCGAGGTTTAAGATAACACCCGTATAAATTCTTGTTGAATTTAAAGCTGGCCACATTGGGTCACTTGTTGGCAATGTTAGCTATTTTTTAAATAGCAAAGACATGATACTACTTCTTTTAAAGATATAATTCTCCAGGTATACGAATAAAACCTATTGCTAACACTACAGGGTGTCCATTAATACGTAGAGATTTTGAGAAAAATCGACTCTATTCTACACACTCTCACACATTTAATAAAACTTCAGAATTCATATTTAAAGAAACATTTGGTAGTTAATTATCTATAAGATTTAATACTAGAAAGTGTTCGTTAATTCGGTTCATAAAGTTTAGTTAAAAATGTCCCTCTTAAAATGCTTGTTTCACCTGGCATCAAAACAATAAAGAAATATCAAAATATTAGAAATATAGTTAGCTATGACATCGCAATCTTTTTTTTGTCGCATTAAGGTATAAACAAACTTTGACGTTTCTATTTGTTTTTGTTGTCTTTTATATTTCTATTTAAAAAGTTCATAGTTTTCAAGTTTTTTGTTAGTATATATTTTATTTTTCCTTTAAATAAGTTATAGTTTTTTGGTGAACCTATAAATTTTAATTGTTTATTTTTGTTATTAGGTATTTTCAAGCAAGCTAGATAATTAACTATTAAATGTTTCTTTAAACATGAATTCTGAAGTTTTATTAAATTTGTTAAAGTGGGTAGTATAGAGAGAATTTTTCTCAAAATATTCACGAATTAATAGACACCCTGTATTTTAGCGATAGGTTTTATTCGTATATCTACAGTATTATATCTGTAAAAGAAGTAGTATCGTGTTTTTCCTATTTAAAAAATACCCAATATTGGCAACAAGGGACCTAATGTGGGCAGCTTTAAATTTAAGTATAAGATAAATTACAAACTTACCTTGTTTTTTGTCCAAGAATCTGAAAATATTGATATTTTGTTAATTAAATTCGCCACAACGGCACCACCTATTTGGGACATTGACATTGAATGGTTAAATTTTCGTTGCGATACCTGGATCAGTAGCATCACAACACAATTTTATGTGGAGCAAGCAAAATATGAAAAAAAAAACACATAACCTCAATTTCCGCCCAAACTATTCAAAATTCGAATAGGAATTTCTTAAGAAAGTGACCTTTATTTTAAACAAGGATTCCAAAAATTATGAGATCTATAGGGTGTTTCATTTAAAATAACAAATTCGATGTCGGAGGGGACACTTTTGGGACACCCTGTATCAACAAAATTATAATATTTTAAATCTTCAGGAGAGTCCAATAAACTTTTATACTTTTTCCAGATCGTATAGTTGGTCGTTTTATTTGGCACATGGTGTACATGTGTGCCAAATTTTATTAAAATATCTATTATCTATTAAAAAAATATACTTTATTTTAAATGTTAAGACGTTTAGGACATATGTTCATATGGACCCAAAAATCGCCTCCTTAATTGTTGACATTCAAGTAGAAAACACCCTGTATATATAAAGATCTATAAAAAAAATCTATAAAACGCATATCTGCAGGCTGCTCTTCCATATTAAATCATCAGTTTGTATGTAAAATGGACACTGTATCCAACACAAAACCAAATAATTCAGAAAAACAAACACGTAATGCATATTTTTTCGACTTATTTGTCTGTATTTTGAAAATCAATTTTTCGATTTTCGATCGGTCGTATATTAATGTTAATACCACCTCGATGTGTGTGTCTGGTGCCGCAGACATGTACGAACAAGTGATGAAATTTGGTGCCTACATCGTCGACGGTCTCCGTCAGTACAAACAGCCGATCATCGTTTACATCCCGCCCAACGGGGAGCTCAGGGGCGGCGCGTGGGCGGTCGTCGATCCCACCATCAATTCCAGGTACATGGAGATGTATGCGGACACCACAGCTCGAGGCGGAGTCCTCGAACCGGAAGGATTGGTGGAGGTGAAATTCAGGAAGAAGGACCTCCTGAAGGCGATGCACAGATTAGACGCCGTACTCCGGGAGTTCGACGAGAAAATCAAACAGTTCAATCAGCAGCAACCGGTCAGGGAACGGTCCGCCAGCATCACCACCCACTTGCAGACCGAACGTCAGAAGCCGAAAGAGATTGAAGACATCGAGGCGAAAATCAGGAACAGGGAGAATCTGCTCCTGCCCATGTACCATCAGGTGTCCGTGCAATTCGCCGACCTCCACGACACCCCGGAACGCATGTTGGAGAAGGGTTGCATAAACGTGAGTGCTAAACGCGATAGGTCGTAACGTCATTCGGCGTACTGGTTTCTCTTGTCGACTGGCTTCGAAATGTATTTTTCTCGTTCGCATTAGTTTCAAACTTGTTTGCCGTTTACACACGAGTTTCTGTTGTTCCCACCACTTTTCCTGACAGTTATGCAGCAGCAAATTGTTGGCACATGTCCGTAATACAACTATTTCAATTAACAGACCAAAATTTATTTACAAAATAATAGTAGAAGCGCATAATATACTAAATTCGTTGTAACACACATTTATGTTTAATTAATGTGGTAAACTGTGAGCGAATAAGACCGAAAACGTCAATATCATTACGGATGCCATTAAATAAGTTTATCAACTGATAGACAGAGGATATTTGATCAAAAAAAATTTTTTGTAATTTCTAGGTGAAACACGGAACCGTTGAAGGTACATTGAGGTTCAGTTAACTCAGCTAGGGGTACCACTTGCACAATGATGGAAACTTAAATATTTCATTTCAAATAATTCACTCGGTGGTACCCCCTAGCAATTTTAATGATATGTACGTTTTTAAATTTTTGGACGTATTCACAAGGCTTCAAAAAAAATATACCTATTTATTGTTCTTTGTTTTCGTATACGTTTTCGTTTGGACTAAAATAAAAAAAATAAAATCGTAGCTGTTCACCGACACGAAAAATAAAAATCTCTAAAAATAAAACTAAAACCAAACTAAACCAAAACTAACATTTTGGCCAGTGTTTCAGCAGTAACATTGCTAATAGCATTTATAATTTTAGTACGAATTCCTCTAAATAATTTGCATGATTGTGTGTCTGCCATCATTTGATGCTAGATCTGGAAATCTAGGTGGCCATTTAATTGTTCCCTGTCCACTTATTGTGCGATTAGGAAACGTGGCATTCTGAAAATCCTGAACCCTCTTAGCATTATGTGCGAGGCCACCACCTTGTTGGTACCAAATTTTATGAACGGGGATATTAAGACCCTGAACAGCTGGAACTATTTGAACACGCTAAAGATCTAGATATTTGTTTGTATTTAAATTCCCATCAATAAAAAAATGTTCAATGGTATGGTTTCTTAAAATGCCAACCCATACGTTGACCTTTTCCGGATACTACTAAGTTAGCGCCAAAATTTCCCGGCACGACATAGATGCAGCTCCAGTATCACGATAAAACTTTGTCTTCTTTTAAAACGTCGAGGAAAACTGACCAGAGGCGTACGTCTTTTGCACGATAATGCACCTGTCCATACTGCTGGTGTTGCACAAGCTGCCATTTTTGAGTGTGGGTTCCAACAGATAGATCATCCTCCCTATAGTGGAGATATGGCCCCCAGCGACTATTATTTGTTTGGATATTTGAAAAAGAACTTACGTCGACGGCGGTTTAACAACGAAGTTGAATTAAAACAGGCTGTTTTATCTCATTTTAGACAAACCAAAGAAATATTTTTTTAAAGGAATTGAGTTGTTAATTAAGAGATGTAATAAGTGTATTGAAGTTAAGGGGAATTAGATTGAAAAATAATAAAAAAATGTTACTCTACTTTGTTTCTTTCATATTCAGGCCAGGAAATTTTGGCGCTGCCCGCGTAAATCTTTAAAATAATAGACACTTGTCGCGTAAGTCTTTAAAAGAATGGACACTTGTACCCATTTCTCTTTAAAATGTTCTGCACTGATCTTGGTTTAATCTCAGGTTCCCGGGAAATTTGAATACTATTGCGAGAAGCCCCCCGTTTTTCCTTTCCCCGCCCCACGGTGGAAGAAGGGGAGACCCAAACAGGTTTTTATTTAATCTCGCGACAGCGGCGTACAGGGTGGGCACTTAATAAGGAGCCTGTACCTTTTCGCAGGAACTACTGATTTTAGAAATAAAAGTTTATACAAAATTTTAAATTAAATTTTGAAATTATTTATTTCTTATATATACGGGGTGTCCGCTAAGTGCTGCACCGACGTTAGTGATAAAATTTTAAACGGAACACCCCATATATTTCGATATTTTTTAGAATATTTGCCAAAAATAAACGTAAACTTTATAGAAAGTATTTATTCGAATTTTGTGTAGTTAATATGTTCTTAGTAAATATGGTCTTCCACCTTTTCTCAGGAACTACTAATTTTAGAAAAAAAAAGTTTATACAAAACTGTTATGGTTTAAATTAAATTTTGAAATTATTTATTTTTTATATATACGAGGTGTCCGATAAGTGCTGGACCGATGTTAGTGTTAAAATTTTAAACGAAACGTCCTATATATTTTATATTTTTAGAATCCTTGCCTAAAATAAACGTAATTATTTATTCGATTTTGTGTAGTTAATTTTTTCTTAGTAAATATGGTCTTCCACCTTTTTTCAGGAACTACTGAAAGTTTAGACAATATTTTTTGTGACATATTTTTTGATGTAGGATATAATACCGTGGAAACGGGCCCGTCACTCTCTGTATTGGAGATTGTGTCGGTTGCTGCTTCAAGATAGAATACTGAAAGCGCTCCTCGAGGCTCAACCGGAGGTCGGATTAGGTCAGGGCGAGTCCATGCTGAGGCGGTGGTTTGTCGAAGACAAGGGCGCTGCAGAGGTAAATCGGTACGTTTCTGGGGTTCGTTAAGCCGCTAAACGCAACCATTTCAGGGGTACAAGTGGGATAAAAACGAGGTGGTGGTGCAGTGGTTGGAGGATCAACTGAACAAGCCGCCACACGAGTCCATCATTAGCAGAAATATTCACGCGGTGAAGAAAGATGCAGGTCTTAACCAAATCCGCAGCCTGTTGGAGGTACGTACTAGATTTATGAATCTAAATCGCTAGCGAAACGCTTTTATTTATTTTTATGCATTTATTTATTTATTCAGTTATTCACAATAGGGAGTTAAGCCTGAAAAAAAATTGGCAAGGTCTAAATCGGAGACACCAAAATATTAATTGAGAAACTTTTCATTGAGTAATCATCAAAACTTGCGGTTTTAGGTTTTTTGACGAAGGATGTGCAATTATTCATAGAAAATGTATTCTCGTTCGGATCGACTGACTGGTTTTGACGAGTTTGCATTTAAAAAGTTCAAGATATTTTTTATAAATACTTAAAACACGAAAAGGTATCGAGAGCAATTAAAAACCAAACTGCTGTCCAAACTATTCCATCTTCTACGAATTCATAAAAATACATTGAACTTTGACATTTGACATTGACACATAAAATGACGATCTGATTTATTTAAGTAATATGGTGAAACTAGCACTCCAATAAGTCTCAATCAGTTACAAATCCGTAATTGTCAATTTCAAAAAACCGAAAACTGTCAATTATTATTATGCTATAAATCCCCCAAAAAAAAACTTTGAATTCCCTGTATCGCCATCTTCCGTTCAATTGACCATGAAACTATTGCTGATACTTTTAATCCCCTTTAAGTGGCTGTTAGCCGAACAGATCAGAATCAATTTTCATGTCATTACCCCAGCTGACAACACCAACGATTATACGCTAAGTAATGGAAAAGAATAATGTTTCTGTTAATAAATTGTCCGGATCTCCATTTTTTTTAAAAGAGCCAAGCAGTTAGGAATCCTAATGGGTAATTTTGAAGAGGTACATGTTTGGAAACTGAAGGAAAGTCAGAGATGTATGCTGAAAAGAAAAGAGGTGACAAGATTAGCCTTGCAGTATGGATTCACTATTGTTAGAGTAGTAAGGGATTGATAGGTCTGACAAAACAAGGCATCAGTTATTTTAGTAATCGTAATAACAGTTGCAGAAGATTTTCGGGAAAGTCGTGTTCCTGCTTTTCTAGAACCTTAAAGTAGTCTTCTCCTCGTTTATTGCATCTAACATTTGTATCCCCCTTCTGAGGATATCTCATTTTTTGTATGATCTTCCTTCCGTTTACCGCACTTGTAACATAATATACTATTTTCATCAATTTCTAATTTGCATCTCTCCGGTTCCTAGATATAACCACATCATGTTCTATTCTTGTATTTCATTTGAAAAGCTTATGTACAATTTAACCTTAACAAAGAAACAACAGTTGCCATTTGAACCTCAACATGACAAGGCATTGTTTCAAAGATTACTAGTACATTTTATCTTTACTTAGCTAGATACACAATTTTTCTTCATCACTTAAATTGGTGTCCATGGTTGCTATTTTATTTGCCAAAGTATTGTGTGTGCTATGCAACGCTCTATTTCATAATAAACAACACAATTTGGGGGCAAGTTTGAGAATGCATGAAGCGATGTTTTCGTTTCAGGAGTGCCCCGACATGACTCTAGACGCCATAGACGTAATAATAGAGAAGCTCAACGATAACCAAAAAGTAGAGGTGTTGCGGAAGTTGTCCCATTTGGGGTCGCTGGAGAATGTAGATTAAACGTATGAAATATAGCGGCCTAAACTAGACAAGTCTTTAACCTTGTACAAAGACGGTTGAAGTTTCTTATGGGTCCCACTTCAACTAGCCAAAGATTTGGGGAAAACGACGAAAATACGCGGTATTTGTTTTAATAAAAATTAGAATTTTACTTTTTAAAACTAAGCAACTTTTGGTGCTGCTGATGACGGTCCGTTTCCCCGATCTCCCATAAGAAACTTCACGATTACTACTACTACTCATAGGTGCCTGCGTGCCGAAAGAAGGCTTCGGCAATGTGATTACCTCTTAACTTAGGAGTTATTTTTATATCGAAACCCTGCGCGGTAGTTCACCTTTACGCAACCGAGTACATTCTATTATCTTAATTTATTTCGAATTGTACAGTTAATATGGTCTGTCAGCCGGACCGATTGTTATATTCCTTTGTATGAATAAAAGTTTTATTAAAAGAATTATTATTTGTACGTGTTTTTTTTTTTTCGCTTTTACTTTGCGGACATAGTACTAAACTACAAGTGAAAAGGCAACATTCAGGCTGCTTTAATTAGGCGTGATTGTGTGTGATAAATCAACTTCCACACCAGGTACAAAAATACAATACTGTAATGGCACAGACAAGAATAGCGAAGTCTCTCAGTCAAGTCGCAATCTTGCTAATCTCTGTATTTGGAGAATACTCGAAAAATGCAAACGTTTGTACTTTTGAAGCAATCCCATTTTCAGATATTTATTTATGTACTAGTCTTATTTTGTCTTCTCAAGTGAAACAACTTATGACTCGCAAAACCACTATTACTTTTTGACACAAAGGGACACATGTCGCAGGGAAAGGACTTAAGACCTCGCTTCTTAATGCCTTTCTGCTCTCGATTGCCGCGTTTATGACCCTGCGCGTCTCTTATTAATCCGGAGTTACTTAACGAATCGGACTTTTCGTCGGCACTGGGCAGTCTTGGATGCAAAATAATCTTGTGAATCGTTAAAGAATTCGCGTAACTCGTTTTAAAATTGCAAATTTCGCACTCGTAATCACCCCATGGTTCTTCCTGAGATTTTGGGGGGTCTTTAAGGATTATCTCGGTCGTTCTATCGTTCTGCGGGTTGCATCTATTGAAATGTCTGCTCCAAATGTTCTTATGCGGCGACCTAAAGTAGCAATGAGGACAAGTTAAAACATTTGTAGCATCTTTATCATGATACTTTTCTTGGGTCTTTTGGGGTTTACGCTTGTTCTTTGCGCATATCTTCGACACCTTGTTGTTACCGAGAACAACGGCGTCCTTTTTATTTTTCTTAACTTTATTAGTCACAACTTCCCTTCCATCGCTTTTGACTATATCCACCACAAGATTTTTACTACCGACCGAATCCTGATTTTTGATAGGCTTACTCTTTTTATTAAACCTACAAGTAATACAAGAAGTCATCGAAATTAATACTTGTGTGGGAGGTTTGTTCATAACCTGTCGACTAGTTTTGTGACATTGAGATATATGCATTCGCAAGGTTCCTTTAGGCGACTCGTAGGAGCAATACGAACACCTAAACAACTGATGTTTATGTTTAGTGTGTAGCAGCAAGTGTGTTGTTAAAGTGTTTCGATACTTGGTCGTGAAAGAACAGTATGGGCAATGTTGCGAGGATACGTAATGCTTCTCCAAGACGTGAATTTGTACTATTTTAAGAGTCGACTTGAATGAACAGAATTGGCATTGGACTATTGGCCGCTTAAATTTGGTATGAACCAATGTGTGTCGTTTCAGATACTGCATAGACGAGGTCGATATGGAACAAAAATCGCAGTCAAATGTTGTTTCCCCCTCGGTGTTAGCATTTATCTTTAATGCGGGGATCGTGTTTGAATTATAGAAGCCAAAACACTCTTCTTGTTCGTTACGTACTAATCTGAAAATATGCGTTTATTATTCTTGGATTCAAAATAGATTTAAATTCACGAAGTCTTATCAAAAACTTGAATTCAACTTACTCGTTTGTTTCCTTTATCATAACTTCCCCTTGGCTATTAAACACCACCTCGTCAATTCTGTAGACTTTCAGCAAAGATTCCGAGGAATATCCACCATTCCCATCAATATTAATATCCGTTACTTCACTCACTTCACTTAACTTTACATTATCACTATAGTGCTCGTCCTTATACATACTTTCACAATGTCCCAGGTCAGACTCACTCCCGTCTGACTGAATATCACTAACACCTATTTTCGATTGCCCTGAAGAGGGTTCAACGTGACAGAATTCTTCCTCCTCCTTCACAATCACCTGCTCCTCCTTCACAATCACCTCCTGTTTAATGGATGACATATTACAATAATAAAAGTAGTCTGTCTTCAGAGTATCACAAAAGTATTTGGCAAATTACAACCACAGCCGTTCATCGATGTTGGGGATTCGGATCCTACAAATAAAACACAACCTAGAATTTACTGTGCACTTTTCTAACATTAAAGCATATCATAATTGCATTTACTATAAAAAACAACCAGCTGTAACTATTTTTGTAAGTTCTAGCTGCACTTCTGTGTTAAAACATTTTGCCAGAAACTTTGTTGGACATTGGACAATATTTCTGATGTGACCTTTTGAAACTACTACTAAAAAATGCATCTCAGGTTAACGCAAAATAAGGCAGTGTCCAGAAAATATTAGGGTTGTGGAGATTTACAGAAACAGTATTCCATTTATTAAATATCATAAGAAAAAGCATACGAAAGCGAAATATCAAGGTTTATCAGCTTTCTATCGCAACCCTACCAACCAAAATATTAAAAAGCTATTTATTGTAAGGAAACATGTAATACATGTCTTAAACATTTAATATTTCATATAAAAAAACGAAAATATTAACTCAATATTGCTCTTTGATAATTAAATAATGTCTATAAAATATTGTTTTAATTTTTAACATGTATTATAATCTGAAGTCATCAGACAATTCCAACAAATCTAAGACTTCAAAAGACAGTCCGAAGATATTTCTGCGAAACTTTTTAAGTTAAAAATGAGATGAGCCCACTAACAAAGAACGCCTTAGATTCAAAAACAAAAACCACTATAACTGGAACAATAAAAAAAACAAATTTTGGTAATATTTTGATGAACTTTCCTTCTTGAAAACAGTTAATTTTAAACCTCTGTAAGAACGACAAAATACATTTTTCTTTTCTAAAAATCGATATTTAAGTAAGGCCTGGCAATAGTTTTTGAAAGTACCACATTGTGCTTAGTTTCCTTTTTCTCTTTTTTTTTATGCCTCTATCTAAATCGGGCATCTATTGAAAAATTAAAACGAAGATTTTTTTCGGCAAATATTGAACTGAGGTGGCTTTTACTTGATGAAAATCCATTTATCCAAATAAATAAGAACTAAAACACTGTGCCTTTATCAAATTTAATATTTACTACAAAACTACCTGCGACTATATATACCGAAAAATGTCTCATTTTGTTAATGTCCATGGCTTCCAATAAATTTAATTTCCTACTTTTTGTGGCTGTATGTAAAATATCAAAATTGTCGTCAAAAATGTGTTTTTCTACTCCCGTCTGTAAAATACCTAATTACTCACCGATCTAGCGTGCGGGAAGCGTCACTTTAACACGTCAGTTTCTTTTGAAATGAATGCGTGCCACTTCGGACATTTCCGGGATTTTACCGCACGGATTTGGGAGCAATCGGATGTTTTCGGAGATATTTCCCACGCTTTGAATTTTGACGTTTGTCAATTCTGACGGTCATGTCAGTAAATGTGTTCGTGTTGTTTTGCGAAAATGGACCCAAAAATCAACGGTCGTAGAAAAAGTATAGTATGCAACACGTTTGGTTAACTTTTTAACTCACTCGTTTATTAAAAACTCGCTCCGCTCGTGTCAAATAAACTGCACTTGTTGCATAAAATACTATTTTGTGTGTTTAAGTGTGTAGCATAATTAGAATCTAGACTATTGGTTTTAAACGCTTTTAGGCCAAGATCCGCATTTCAACCTGTAGACACCTGATTTTTGAGATTTTGGACATTTCGTTTTATTGTTTTTTAAAAATTTTGACATTTTGACATTTTGACAAATGTTTTGAAACATTTTCACTAGGTTCTCCTATGTATGTAATTCTTTTAAATTGTTTTAAATTGTTCGTGTTCTGTATTAGGTTTCGGATAAATAGAGTTTACTGTTGTCTGGATTTGTTTTTATTTATAATTTTATCTATAATGGACGGATTGTAGCCGTTGTTGAGTGGAATTTCTTTAATGATATTAAGTTCTTTGTTGTAATTTTCTCTTGAGAGTGGCGTATTGAGAAGTCTGTATATAAAAGAGTGAAATGCAACCATTTTGTGTGTATAAGGGTGATCTGAGCTGTTATGTATGACTATGTCCGTGTGTGAAGGTTTATCATAATTTGAAAACTGAATTTGTTTTGCGCTTTCATAATAGTTAAGTCTAAAATATTAATAGAGTTATCCTGTTCAATCTCGATTGAACTTGAATTTTCACCCTAACTCGGAAACAAGTTAACCCATCAATGAAACAGGAAATTTGATTGCTTAACAGTATCCTTGTACCAAAATTATTTTGAATTTAATGGACAGATTTACATCTCCAAGGAAGGTTTGATTATGGGAAACCCACTTAGTCCTTTGCTAGCCGAGATTTTAATGGATAATTTGGAAAATATCATACTACAACATCCTATAAGTAAAAGTTTTCTATGTTGGTATAGATACGTAGATGATGTCTTTGTTTGCTTTGTTGGAACGGACAGACAATTGAATTCTTTTTTGAATTACATTAACTCATAGTCGTTGTTCAATCTCGATAGTGAATTTTATCACTTTCGAGATTGAACAGGATAACTCTATTAATTTTTTAGACTTAACTATTACGAAAACGCAAAACAAATTAGATTTTTCCATTTATCATAAACCTTCACACACAGACACAACTCAAATCACCCTTATACACACAAAATGGCTGCATTTCACTCTTTTATACACAGACTTCTTAATACCCCACTCTCAACAAAAAATTACAACAAAAAACTTAAAATCATTAAACAAATTGCACTGAACAACGGCTACAATCCGTCCATTATAGAAAAAATTATAAATAAAAAACAAATCCAGACAACAGTAAACTCGACTACGAACCTAATACAGAACACGAACAATTTAAAACAATTACATACATAGGAGAACCTGGTGAAATAGTTTCAAAACATTTGTCGAAATGTGGTTTAAAAATAGCTTTCAGAACTAATAACACATTAGGAAAAATAAAAAAAAACAATAAAAAGAAATGTCCAAAATCTCAAAAATCAGGTGTCTACAGGTTGAAACGCGGATCTTGACCTAAAAGCGTTTAAAAACAATAGTCTAGGTTCTAATTATGCTAATATTGATATTTTACATTCGGCCACAAAAGTAGAAAATTTAATTTATTGGAAGCCATGGAGATTAACAAAATGAGACATTGAAATGTATAACTTAACTTAAATTCTCACAACAACTTTAATTAAGGTTTTATGGTTATTTTTCAGTATATATAGTAGCAGGTAGTTTGGAAATACTACATTTGATAAAGACACGGTGTTGTCGAAACAATTGTCATGTAAAAATACAGCAACGCATGCAGCATACAACAGCAACGTCCACGACAAGTGACATTGTACCAAACAAGTTAGCACAAGAGTAGTGTCAAAATCTCGATACTCACATAAAAAATGGTCTTTACCGTCACTTAAAGTACTTTTCTCAGTGACCACCTTTTGCCACTCCTTGACCTCTTTTCATGTCAAGAGGTTTTATAACCATACATTCGCACTCGCCAACACGGCACATCATCGACGTAGCATAATCGTATGGTTATGGACGGCATAGATTTCAGTGACTGCAAACTGAATCCAATCTGTATTCTGCGTACTCTGCGATCTAGCGAGGTCTATAATCACGACAATCTTTGACGAAGGTGATGCGATCGTGCTTTGATTTTACCATTCACGTAAAATAGTATCGATTTTACCGACCGAAAGAATTAGTATGTGCTAATGTCCATTGAAAAAAGAAGAATTGTTTGTTTTTCTAGGTTTCTTCAAAATGGTGGCAGCATCCAATTGTATTTAATTGTGTTTTTTGTTAGTGATTTTTATGAATTGCGTACTGCTCATCGATTAATCTTCGCTTATAAAAAGGTTAATAAGAAAAACTCTGCGCGGGCGTTATTTCTTACGTGAAAGTAAAGTCAAGTTTTAGGAAGGTTTTAATCCGCCAAAGCCAATACTAAACAAAAATGGAGCTTGCTTTTACTTCCAAAACCATGATGGTTCGACAAGAACATTAAAATTTTGTTGAAAAACTGGATTCCATACAAAGGGTGAAGAAACGCCAGATGCCTTACTTAATAGCATAACGCATGGTAATGAGATTCTCGACCCCTGAAAATGTAATAGATGAACATAAGAGTATTTACTCACGCGAGTTAAGCTTGCTCACCTTACTTTGAGTGTGATATAATGGTAAAATTAGTAAATCATAGTTCGACTCAGGAACCTGGTCTATTCTGGAAATGCATTAATAATTTCAATAGAAATCAATGTTAAGACTGGCAAAAGGAAACTGCCTAGTGGTCCGGATGATGTTCCATCATGTTTCTTTAAGCCTTGTATATTTATGATAAAAAAAAAACCTGCACTTTTTATTTCATCCTTTCCTTGGCAAGATCCGCATAAGAAAACCAAATGCCTCTTTAGTTTATTTATGTAGCAAAAACAAAAAGTGAGGGAAATTGAAGTTATGGGGGTGTACCTCATAGTTCACATTGTAATCCAGTTCTCTTTTATTTATTTGCGACATTAATAAGTTTGTTAGGTTTACCTTTAAGGTCATTGAATCTGATATAGATTGAAAAACTCTTCAGTCTGATTAAATTCAATATACCTCTGGTTTTCAAATGCTTTTAAATCTAAATTATAAAAATGCCAGTGTAATAAGATTGTCTAGGAAACATTCAATTCTTAATTTTAATTATCTTTTAAAAAACGTACATAACGATTTAGTGTTCTTGTTTGATTGTAGGTTAACTTAATTAAATCACATTCTTACTCTTGAATTATGTGGGTTTAATAACACACCCTGAGGCGTTTTATTTTAAGAAGGATATATTAAATATTGGAATTTATAAGAAAACTAACAAAATTCGTCCAATACTTGATCCGCCATTCCACCGCGTGCTTGTTCTCTAGTCACGTAGGCCAAAAAAGGAAGTTATTTCAAAAACAATACATGTACTGCCATCTATGTGACAATAACTGCGTTCTGCACTAATACATTCAACACTTACATCTTATATTTACGACACCTCTACTCACTTTACAGGCTGTATAGCTAATTAGGCAATATAGCGACCGTAACGACGATAAAAATTGATAACCCTCCGGCAGCCCTTTGACCTGCAGAAGGATATTTCCTTCCGCGCATGCCCTTAAATTTAACACACTACAAGTACATTTTCTTTCTAAATAGCGAGTATTAGAGCCGGGCAGGAGCATCGTCCGCCAAGTGCAATGCTTCCCCTACTTGTGGCTTCTGTGGTTCAAAAACTCTAGTAATAATGGCCCAGGTTTGGGTAGTATTAGTCTGTGCTGGTAGTTTCAATTCAATTCAATGATGCGATTCGTAAAAAATGTTGGGCTAAACTGCTACAATCATTCGCCCATTGCCGACTTCCGTCGAGGATCTTTGCTTTTGGTCATGAATTAATACGTATAAAGAAGAAATATAATCAATATTTGCTCAACTAGCAAAAAACAATTTTTACCGATACCAAAAAAAAAACCGACATCCCCTCGCTTCCACCACGGACCATCCGGGCCCATCCGGCCCCCATACCGACGTGAACGTAAAACGTTCACTAAATCCACCCAGTGGAGACCGACTTCAAAATTTTTTGGACGATTACAAAGGATTCTGTAGGGAGCGAACGGAGATTAAACAGCCTCGTGCAATGCTCCACCACAGAATCTGTGCTGGTATTGAAACGTTAATCGCTTCCAGAACGGCTACGCTGTCAATATTTTAGATGTTTCAAATTGCCGCTATTGCGAACCGTATCATAAATGATTTATCTATGACATATTATCATGCGTTAACAGTATGGTGTAATATTCAAAATTTAATATAGGTATTATACCCGTAAACCCTTGCTGTTTTGAGAATGGACGACGAAAGAACGCAAGAAAGTAGAGAACATATAATTTCTTGTGATGGTGAATATACTCCTGTGGAGCAACGTGTTGAAGATATACAAATAAAAGTGGAAGTAAATGATGGTTAGGACGCTTTTTCCGTTTTCTTTAGAAATTTCATTATAATACTGAAAAATAACATTTCAGTTGATGATGAACGGTGCGAGGTGGATTCAGTGTTCAAATCTGATGTTGAAGTTAAATCTGAACACCTAGATTTTGCCAGTAATGATGTTGGGGATGTAAGCGGCACTGGCGATATTGCCAAGGCAAATAGAATTGCTAGGACGACTGAATCGAATGTTCATGATAATGAGGATATGTTTATTGATCAAGAGAATGATGAAACAGATGAAGAGAAACCATCTATTTTTCCAGAGATTTCATTAATTATAGAGTAAGTCTGATAATCTTCGATTTATTTATATTCATATTATTATTGTTAATCTCCAAATTTGACAATATTTGGATTTAAATTATCGGAAATTAAACAGGTGTCTATAATGCAAACTCTAGTTGACAGATGGGATCCCACCATGGTTTTTAACTACTTCACGATTATTATTTATAATATCCCATAAAGTTTTATTTTTGTTTGTTGTTAAAGGATTAGGTTTTTGTGGTAGTTCTTTTTTTCTCATAAAAGTCGCAAAGCTGTACAGTACAAATATATAAAAATGTATCGAAAAAAGTTTGAAATATTAAATTACGATATACAGTGTTTCGAAAAGTTGTGATAGAGTTTATATAATGAATTTTTTTAATTTTATTTGTTGAATTTTTTAAAATTGGTATATTTGTCTCACAGACAATATCTATATAATATAACTTTAGTGGAGTATTCATCAAAATCTGTAGATACAAGATTCACCACTATTCTTGGTTATTCATGTTGGCTGAAAAATTATAAGTAATAAAATAATTAACAACATCCTCGAAGCTATTAAAGTCCGAGTTAGTGGATCGATAAGTTGCACATTTTTTGTTTACTATGCAACAAATGTCTATATTTTCTTCTTATCCACAATTTGTCCTTGCACATTATATTGTTATATTATATCGTTGTAGTTTAAATGACGAAGTATAACTGAAATATAAAGTCACCATATTATTATAAATTAGAATGTGATGCTATTGTTAACTTTTTTTTAGACCTGATCAACTTCAATTTGAGAATGAGCCACCAACATGCTCAGAAACGAGTGCCACCCATAATTTAAGGCAATTAACTGTAGCGTTAGATGATGTATTAACAACCTCTCCTGATCATTCCAAAGACACAAGTGTACCACCAAAAGCTCTTAAAATAGATAGTGGTTGGAAGTGTCCGAGATGTGATTTCTCCTCTGAATCATTGAGCGCTGTAAAACGCCATATGAAGCAAAATAAAATGAGGCAGACGTGTAGAAAGGGCGGGAACTCCCTGAAAACGTTAATTGCCCACAAAGACAACAAAATAAAAAAAGTTTGCACTAAGGCAAGAAGCGTTTCTCAGAGTATTAACTCGAGGAAGCCTGCAAAATTGAAAAAGAAAGTATGGAACATTAAAAATTTGTTTGGACTGTACAGGTGCCCAGAGTGTTCATATACTTCTGCCATAAAAGCCTGCGTGGTAAGACATTTCGTTTGCCACGATAATGGAACCAAAATGTATGATTGTGAAATTTGTAAATTTAAATCGAAGAACAGCACTCTGGCAAAACATCAAAGAGAGGCCCACCCGAATATTTACGATAGTTTGAGGTGCATGGAGTGTTCTTTCACCTGTCAGGGTGTCAGTACGTTAGAAAAGCACATTAGGGTGCGTCATCCGCTGGCAGCACAAGAACAAACTTTGAAGGCTTTCGATTCAAAACCAAACAATTGCGAATCGACCGAAACCCAAAGTGGTACCTCGACGCAGAAAGCGAGAGTAAGCAAATGCTCGAAATGCAATTTCACGGGTTCAAAATCGGCCGTCAACAACCATCGGAATAAATGTCGCAAGAAAAAAACTATTTCGATACAATCAAACAAGGTGAGTAAATTTAACCACACTTGTGCCTTTTGTTTAATGCAAAATATAATTATTCTTTAAACTAAACATAAACTTCAGAATGAGATGAATTGTTCTTTAAAATTTTTCGGTCTAGTTTAGATATTGCTTTCTATCTATTGCTGGCTATCTGTAAATTAAAAATTGGAATTTTTGGGTATCATCGAAACAGGCCCACGATCCACAAAAATTCGCTTTTGATTTTGTGGAGTGCAGTTTTTCTAAATTGTGCTGAATAAGAAAGATATTGTACTTTGTCACCTTAAAACATACAATAAACATTTTAATTCCAGAGTACGCTTGGGTTTAGCGCTCGTACTTAACTTAAACCTCATTACTTTGGGAGCATTTATCTAAGAATAAGCTCAGTGCTTAACTCAAAGTTCGTAGGATAAGGATTTAACGCTTTAAAAGTGTGTTTACATTGTCTGATTTTCCCCCAATCCTACCATCGTCAAAGTCGCACAGAAAATTTCATAGTATAGTGCTTTCCCAGATAAATGATAATAGTAAATGTAAAATGAAAATCAGAAACCAAAATTTAGCAACTCTTGAACGGTACAAAAAGAATCCTCAAGAAAATTAGAAAGTGAGAAGCCCGTGTTTAGAAAAAACCGGTTTGCAAAGGCTTTTATTTACAAAATTTCTAGATTATGAATGTAAAAGAATTTATGTATTATTGGAAAATAATTGCCAATTAAGCCAAAATGGTACTGTGTCATATAATTGAAATTGCTATTGAAGTGGCCATTCGAAAATTCAATAATATACGGGGTGTCTCCTTTAAGAAAATTGAGAAAAGCATAATTTTGCGAAAATTTGATCCTCGCCTAAAGAAAAGCATTATTTTCGAAAAAATAATAGATAGAAAACGGTTTAAAAACAATGATGGTTTAAACATAACCCGAATTCTGAAGATGATCGCTAATAAGTTTCAAACAGCGCTTCACAGACCCATAATCATGTACATCGTTGTATTTGTCTTTGAAAAGACTATCCAAAAATGTAATAAAAATGTAACTTTGTTTTATCACCCTGTATATAAAAACGTGATCATTAGGAAAATAAAAAAAAGTACAGGTCAATTTAATAGAAACAACTTTTGTATTTAAGTAAGTTTCGAGATAACGTATTAAATTATATAGTAAAGTAAAATATAGTAAGTTTGTAATTTATGTTATATTTAAATTTTATTTACTTTTTGAGTTATTCCTGGTTTAAGATAACACTCGTATAAATTCTTGTTGAATTTAAAGCTGCCCACATTAGGTGACTTGTTCGCAATATTAGATATTTTTTAAATACCAAGGACACCATACTACTTCTTTTATAGCTATAATACAGTAGATATACGAATAAAACCTATCGCTAAAATGCATTCTAATATGTGGAGATTTTGAGAAAAATCGACTATACTGCACATTATTATATTATTATTATTATTATTATTATATTAAATAGCAAAGACTTCTTTTAAAGGTTAAGATAAGACCCGTATAGATAGATAGGTAGATAGATAGATAGATATATACAAGATGTCCACTAATACGTGGAGATTTTGGGAGAAATCGAATCTATACTACACTGCTTTAAGAAATTTAATAAAACTTTAGATTTCATATTTAAAGAAATATTTTATAGTTAATTATTTAGCTCGATTGAAAATACCAAATAACAAAAGTAACTAATTAAAGTTTATAGGCTACCTAACCAAGGTAACAAATTTGAATAAATAACGAACACTGTTTTCGGAGCGCGAGCATTGAAGATGCCAAGTGAGATTTTGGCGAAACGTCTGCAGGATTCCAGTCGGAGTTCAACAAGCGAACGGAATATAGTGTCATCACATTTTTCCATCCGTGAATCAATACGTGAAAAAAAAAATTATATATATATATATATATATATATATATATATATATATATATATATATATATATATATATATATATATATATATATATATATATATATATATATATATATATATATATATATATATATATAAAATTTAAATAAATAAATCTGTAATAAAAAGTTAACTAAAAAGTTTCGTTAAAAATGTTCCTCTTAAAATGCTCGTTTCATCTGGCATCAAAACGACAAATAATTATCGAAATAGTTAAAAATGTTTGTTTTTTTTTTGACGCGTTAAGGTATAAACAAACTTTGACATTTCTGTTTGTTTTTGTTGTTCTTCATATTTCTATTTCAAAAGTTCATAGTTGCCAAGTTTTTTTTATTATATATTTTATTTGTATTTTCAATAAGTTATAGTTTTTTTATTAAAACCTATAAACTTTATTTATTTATTTTTGTTATTAGGTATTTTCAATTAAGCTAGTTTTAAATTTATTAAATCTGTTAAAGTGTGTAGTATAGAGTCGCTTTTTCTCAAAATCTCCACATATTAATGGACACCCTTTATTGTTAGCAATAGGTTATATTCGTATATCTGGAGTATTATAACTTTAAAAGAAGTACCTGATGTGGGCAGCTTTAAATACAACAAGAATTTATACGGGTATTATTTTAAACCTCGAATATCTCAAAAAGTAAGTAAAATTTATATATATATATATATATATATATATATATATATATATATATATATATATATATATATATATATATATATATATATATATATATATATATATATATATATATATATATATATATATATATATATATATATATATATATATATATATATATATATATATATATATATATATATATATATATACGAAATATATAGGGTATATATTTGGAAACAGGGTTAAGCGAGGTTTTACTGCATCTTTATATACGCTTTAAATAATAAATTCGACATTAAAAGTGAACAGTAACTCAGAGAATCGGTCTTAGTAAACGCAACTCGAATTTTTCGGCGAACCACAAATTTTTAGGCGATTGAAGACCAAAGTCGGATGGAGTTGAAGCGTCACGGCTCGGCACGGCAGGGCCTCAGATGCGACTCGTGCAACTACCAAACCGATTCGGCCAAACTCTTCGCCACCCACAAACAGTTTCACCAGCAGCAGAGCATCCGTGACGCTCCCCCAGCCGATGGCGCGAAGAAACAACCAGTCAACAAATGCCCACTTTTCAAGTGTCAGGAGTGCGATTTCCAGACGGAGAAGCGGTCGCTGATGCAAAACCACCGCAGCATCCACATCAACACGCAGAAAGTGAAGATTTACAAGTACAACATCCGAGTGAACGGTAAAAACGTCACGATCAACATGTACACGTGCAGCAGCTGCTCGTACCAGACCAAGTCGTTCAACGCGTTGGTCAGGCACCAGATGACGCATCACCAGAAGGAGAAGAACTTCAGTTGCGACCGTTGCGACTTCAAAACGGGTTACAAGCAATTTCTGACGCGGCACACGAAGAAATTTCATCCGCAGAAAGTTTCGCATTCGAAACGCGCCCAAAACGTCAAAGAGGGGACCTCGGAAATATCTCCCGGCCAAAGCATCATTTTCGTCAGCTCCGACAGCGACAGCGACCGGTCGAAGAAACGATCGATCTCGAAGGTCCCCGATTCGCCCCTTCCGTCGAAGAAGAAGAGACGCGACGTTAACCTCAAAATGCTGTACGCCGACGACCCTTTCGATTCCGATAGTCACGCGGAGTCGGACTTGGAAAACCTGCTCGACTCGGCGCTGACTCCGAAGCGGCAGTCGGACGAAAGTTCCGTTTCCGAGCTCGAAAGGCTATACGACCCCAGGGGGCGGGGCTTAAGGTGCCAGAGCTGCACCTACGTGACCGGCACGAGGCAAAAGTTCCTGAAACACGTGTCGAGTCACGGCGAGACGAAGCTCTACGCATGCGACAGGTATTCTAATAATAATTATTATCACTTTAGTTAGGACTCAGCTAAAAGAAACCAATAACAAAACATAACTGATATATAAATTATTGAAGTACCGTGGGTGCTTGTAAAAGGCTATGACAAAATAACAAAAAATGGACCCAAAATAACATGGGGAGGCCAGATCTCAAGATACTTTAAAATAATAGTCCGCACAAACGACTCGCAGTGCACGAAAAAATTACTTTTTTTAAAACTTCTGGATTCCTCCTGCTTCGTTTTTTGTTGACTCGAAGTAGCTAACGTTTCGCCAATCATCCTGTTGGCTTCTTCAGAGCGCAACTGAAACTGGCTCGCATTTTATTCTGGACCTGCTTTTATATTGTTTGAGGGGGGCGGAGCTAACGTCGGAAACAGCAATGGGTTCTCCACTATCACTAGTCATCGTGAATATATTTATGGAAGCGTAATCATCTAAAACCAAAATTATGGCAAAGCTACTTCGATGATACTTTTGTTATTTGGCCTCATGGCCAGAATCCCTAGTAGATTTTCTTAGACATTTAAACTCTATACACACTATTACACGTTTTACCATCGAAATAAAAACTAATAACAACCTCCCATTCTTAGATATTCTTATCAATATTTTTCTTATGGAAATATCAGGATTTTCTTCAACTTTTAAAAATTAAAAATAATACATCACCTTTTGTATATTCACACAATATATTTTCAATATATCTTCAATACATTTTCATTTTCAATACGTTTTCAATACGTTTTCAATATATATATATATATATATATATATATATATATATATATATATATATATATATATATATATATATATATATATATATATATATATAAACAGGTGCGAGTACGTGTCATTCGAGAGAAGGGCTATAGCCGGCCACCTGCTTGCGCACGCGCAGGCCTACGAGATCTACCTGTGCGATTGCGGCGTCACGATGAAAACGAGCGAGAAACTGAAGTCCCACCAAGAGACGGAATGCGCGTCTCGTTTGAAGGTGTGTGTGTGCGGGTTCGAGACGAGGAGCGATTCAAAAATGGAGAAGCACAAAGCGAAGGAGTGTCCTGCGAGAGCGAAACCGGATCCGGACCCGCCCAAGGCTCCGAGGGACGTCGAGGTGGACGTTGTTGGAGACAAGTTCAAGTGTCCTGCCTGTTTCTACACGGCTAAGTACCACACGGCCGTCAAAACTCATTACTTGAGGTGTCACGTTGGCGACTTCTAGCGCCACAGAGCGTAAACGACTCTCGGCGATACGGTAAGATATACGGGGAGGCTCTAAAGAACTAAAACCTGGGGTTTTTGATTTCTTTTTCACCCATTTATCTTGGAAGTAAGAAAAAAATGTTTGGTGCGCGTTGAAAACCTCCGGTTTTCCTAAAGCCATTTCCGATTGCAGTTTTCCATGGGCCGTATCGGATTTTGACAATTTTGTAGTCCAAAATGGCCGAAATATTTAGCTAAAAAGGAATGTGGGGACTGGCAATTTAAGAGCTCCATCGAATATCCATGACGACTTTTCGTTTTCCTAAAACCGTCATAGTTTTGTAGTCCTAAATATCGAATATTTTATTCATTTATCTTAAAATTCTATAACTGCAGTTGCCTGTTGATAGGAGGGACACAAGACATAAAAATAATAAATTTTGTGTTATTCCTCAATTTGTTAAGTTTTTTATCACCAGGTAACAAGATAAAGGTTTGAAATCTGGTGCGACTCCTTTAAACCATCATGTTTCAGAAATATTATAATATATATAATATGTAAAAATTATATAACATTAGGTGGGAATAAATATGTAGATCGTCAGGATCAGTATAAGATTAGTTGTTTTAGTTTGCTATTTTTAAGACACATGTTATTTTTAAGGGTGTTTAAGCCTGTTATCTAAGTTTAAATGTAAAAGTCAAATAAAGGTTTTTGATGTAAAGCGTGTAGTTAGTAAAAATAGAACCTTGCAGCTTTCGCTGAGGTGCTTTTAGTTGTAGGGTGATTGAAAATAGAACTTTTGCAAGTATAGTGTGTCTGAAAGTATATAGTAACTACAATAACCAATATTTTATTCATAGGTAGATAGGTCGTATATTTCGAAAATGAATAAAATGAATGTTTAACAAATAAAGCATTCATTAAACAAGCAACGTACCTCGAAACGGCAATATCATCGATGTTGTTAAGGGTGAATTATTGAATGAAAGTAATAAGCCTAGTGAATAACGCAAACTCATAGCGGCCCACTACAAGAAGCACCAAAGTCAGTAAGTATGGAAACTGAAATTCAAAAATATTAGTTACAAAACTATACTTATTTTGTATCCAGATAAAACTTTGGAAAGTATTAAATCCCTATGCTATTAAATAAAAAAAACACTTTATACTTTAGCTGTGATTAATAATATAGTGGACATGCTTTCAAAATTGAATACAGAGTTAACATTGCGGGATTGAGGATTCTCTTTCATATACCTGGAAGGAAAAAAACTTCTAATTTTAATTAAATTTTTTTGTATACAATTTCAATTTTAAAATGTGTTTGCCCATATTCTCTTTGTTAAATATCTGAGGTTCCTCCTTTTAAACTTTATGCACAAGTGTTGCCAGGGATGATTTTTCACAACTTCGTGTCTCGATAAAAAAAATTTCACAACTTCGTGTCTCAATTAAAAATGGTTTCGTAATATATATCCTGTTACAAGTTGGTGAAGAAGACAGAGTTTTATTTTGATTTTTCCTTATGGTTATGGATTGGTACATCTGCATACAAAATAACAAACAGAATTAGAATTTGACTAAAAATCTACTTATTTAAGCAATTATTGATGATTAGTGTATATTTTTGAAACGCCTTAAACTAACCAAAACTTCATACTTTGGGACATATATACGTCAGTTGTCTGACACTTTGGTCTTTTCTAAATATTGCTCAAAAAGTTTCACCTAATCACAAAAACTAGAAGATAGGTAACAAACTTTTTAATTTATTTGCCAAAACAGGTTAATCGAAATAATCCTCTATATCAATATTGGGATTGAGAATATCATCTCCATAAGGTTCCAAATCGATTTGATTCAATATCAGATTTTCACATGTTTCTTCCAAATCTGTATCGCCTATCAGTACGGCACCTTGCAACTTGTGATTTTCTAATACAAATTTTACATATTCCGTAGCTTTCGTCGTTCGCAACAAAATTTCATAATCGGTCCCCAACTTTTGACCATTGAAAAGACCTAGTAGGATGACTTTATAGCCGAAAAGTTTCGTCGAATGGGTGAATATTTCAAAACAAAAATCTTGTAACACTTCTTCATCCATGTGTTTACCGTACATGCATTTGGCGGCATAGCAACCCATCTGTCTGGCCTGCGTCCATAATTTCATTTGAAACCAATGCTTCGCAGGACTCCAATTGGCATGACAGATGTCGCCAGCTGCGTAAATGTTGCTCAAATTTGTTTCCATGTTTTCGTTTACTAATATTCCATAGTCTTCATCCCTCTTTAATTCGGATTTTGAAATGAAATTTGTTCTCGCTCTCACACCGGTTGCCGAAACTATTAGATCACATGTAACTTTATTTCCATTATTAAGAGTAACTTCTAATGAACGCTCAGAATGTGGGCTTGTGTTAACTGAACTTATTTCACTCCCATAATGGATGGTAAGTTGGGGCTTTGCATCTTTGTCTGCCCCTTGAATTATCAATCCTTTATACCAATCAGGACCCAAAGCTGCACCAGATTTTTGACAATGATCTTCTTCATATCTCATTCTTTTTGTGACCGTCACTGTGGTGTCTCCTTTTTCATTTTCCTTCAGAGAATCCTGGAAAAACTCTGAAGCACCCGGGTCCACAAATGTGGCAGATATATGCTTTTCCTTAATTACCCAATGAATCTCGGTGTTTCTAATTTTATAAACCAATTCAGACGCAATGCCTCCATTTCCAACAATCATAATTTTTTTACTCTCCTTTAACTTATGAATTAAATATTCTACGGAATCAGTATCTCTTATGCCTATTATTTGTTTTGGAAATTTATCCCATTGATGTATTAGTTTAGGTTCAGCACCCATACACAAGCATAAATACTGATAATGAATTATCTTTCCGCTTTTTGTTTTTACAAAACATTCCTCGTCATTAATTTCGTACAAACTATCGTACACTATGGAAACGTTCTGAAATCTTTCACTGAGAAAACTACCAGGCTTTTCTTCTACATCGAAGTTCAATATATTTTTAGTAATAGCCTGCAAATTAGTTACAGTTTTGATCAAACCTGATTCACTGATTAAAATTATTCTGCCTTGGCTATCGAAAAACACCAACGTTTCAACGCACGAAATTCCTGCAATGCCTCCACCTACTACTACATAAACAGCATCCATTATATAAATTCTATGCGTATTCTACGTACACAATGTTATTTTGCTAAATGTTACACAAGTTTGGCTAGATTTTCTGTTCATTTTTATTGTTAAGACAAGCGGCAGAACTTGAACTGAGGTTACGCTCATGGATTATTCTTCCTTTCTTTTTCACGTCACTTCAATTCAATTCAATGATGCGTTTCACAGATAACTGTTGGGCACGACTACCAGGATCATTCGCCCATTGCCGATTTCCGTCGAGGATTCTCGGATCTTCTCCAGGAAGGAGACAGAATTTTGAAGTTCTAAATGTCAAGGATTTTCGTATCTTCTCTGGCGAAGAAGACTGATTTTTGAAGTTCCAAATGTCGAGGATTGTCAGATCTTCTCCAGCGAAGGAGACTAAACTTTAAAGTTCCAAATGTCGAGGATTTTCGGATCTTCTCCAGCGAAGGAGACTAATCTCAGAAGTTCTAAATGTCGATTTTTCGGATTTTCCCCCCAAGTCTGCGCTTTAAAATATCAATCTTTGCTTTAATATCTAGTAGAATGTAGCTGTTGGAAGCTTCAACCGCACTGCATCCGAAGCTCTGCAGGGCACTTTTGGAATCGGAGACAACTACTGCCTGTTTAATATTATAATCTAATATAAGATCTAGGGCGTAACTAATAGCTACCATTTCTGCAGAGCAAATACAAAACGCGCTATTCAACCCATGCCCGACCCTAACATTGAGAAACGGAATAAATACTCCAAAGCCAACTCTATCATCTGGTCCCTTAGAGGCATCGGTAAATATAAATGTCTCTTCCCATGGGAGAAAAAAAGATCCATTAATCATGACTATATCCGGACCAAAGTCACGAATAAGACTAATAATACTATCACAATTACTTCTAATACCGCAAGTGTTCCAATGAATAATTGAGAAATTACTAATTTTAACAAAAAGATTTGACTGTCGATCTGGGAACATTAATAAATTAAAACCTGCATCCTCCGGGAGGAGGCAGGGAGTCAAAAAGACTCTCAATTTCATGGTAAGCACTTTTACTGGGTATATTGGACAAGACTTTTTTCTTTAAATTTTCAAACCGATACCAAAATTCACCAGAGGAGGAAACCCCTGGAGAAGCAGTGTCCATCTCGGACTCTGACGATAAATCATTTAAATATGAGGGAGAAGATTGACTTTTGCTAGTGTGATTCAACTTCTGCCTAGTCAACGGCGGCACGAGACAATCCCTGTGGGCGTCCCTATCATACCCTGATTCTATTTGGGGGGACTTACGCTTTTTTGCTATGACAGAATAAGTTTTAGAAGCAGATCTAGGGGAAGGCTGAGAGACGGGGGCAACCGTGTTACGAATAGGAGGGAAATTTTCATTAGAGCGATTAAACTCACTTGATTTGGGGCCTCTTGGAAAGAGTTTGGCCGCTTCAAAAAAGGACAAGTTGTACCATGCCATAGCCTCATTGATTTTCTTCTGTCTGTCCATTTCCGGACATGATCTATCAGTGGCCTGATGAGAGCCTTTACAATGGATGCAAGTTGGCTTTGGAGATATTTCGCAATTATCCAGGCTGCATTTACCTTCATGATTTAAGTGGTCTGTCGGGCATGGTTTCTTCTTATAAAACTGTTCTTTCAGTTCACAATGAAATACTGGATGATCTCCAGCGCAGAAACTACATCTACCCTTGCTTTTACATTGGTTTTTCCAATGACCAAACCTGCAACAATTCATACATAAGACAACAGGACTAACATATTTTTCGATTGAACACTCATTTTTATAGATACTGATTGATTCTGGAAGAGTTTTTCCGTCAAATGTTATTATATAATCATTAGATGGAACTGTCTTGAAACCAAAAGTGCCAGGCAGAACACCTGGGCATTTGACCCTTTTAGTTAGTCTGCGAACATTAACAATCTTAACGCGCTTTAGCGATCTTCCGATGTTAACCTTGGCTTCTGCCTCAGAGTAAAAATCATCCTCATCAATTAAGTCACCAATGTCCCTCACCAACCCTCGGCAAGTGACTAGTCTTTGAGGTATATACTTATTATACCCACCAGCTGTCGAATATGTTTCATTAGATAAAAATTTATTTGCAGACTCAGAGGTGTTAAACTCCAAACCGATTTTATTGGCTCCTTTTCTAGAAATTTTCAATATACCTTGAACTTTCTGCGCTTGAAGTAACTTCCCAAAGTTCATAGGATGAAGAGTCCCCACCTTACTTGTAATCCCCTCCAGAATCACCATAAAAGGCCCCTGGTCGGTGATTTCATATTTTGTTTTCCGATTTACTGTCCTTCTTATGTTTGCGGAGATTTTGGCAACTTCCCGCAGGATTTCATCGTCTTGCTCGAACTGATTCTTGATAATCTGGATCTCTGCCGATAACTTTGACAACTCTTCACCTGAGGGCACATCAAAATACTGGAGCCTGGAAATATCTTCAGCAGTTTTTTTGCAATCCGGTGGCAAAATGTTACAAATAATGGCGTTCAACGGACGATTTTGAGAATCATTGGATAAACTGTCATTTTCTTGTGCTGCACTAACCGTCGGGGGGCCCTCGCCCCCCGAAGAGTCCCCCATGGTTGAGGTTAGAGGGCCAAGAGGAGGAAACTACCAGCCACAAAAACTGATATATAACTGGATGCGTTAAATGGACTCACCAAATAACAGAAAACAATAAAAATTAGGGCCGATGCCTAAAGATTTGCACAACAATACTCAGGTAGTGTTCACTCCTTCGCTGTTGTACCGAAAAAAACTTCACGTCACTTCATACAGTTGCTCAATTGTTAAACCCGCCAAGTATCAGATACTAAGGAGCAAGAGCAAATACTTTAAATCGTATAAGATTGAAATATACATAAAAACAGTCGGAAAAATGCAAAACATTTAAATTTTGGTGGAGCTCGCATGATCCTTGAACAAGTTGTTTTTTTTGTAACCGATTCAACGTTGTCGGTAATGGGCACATGCCCCAAGTAGCTGGGCCTTTTGTTTTCGCGGACATTTACTTAATCTGTTTATTTTTTTTATCTGTGGTTTTGCCATCCAATCCATTGTCTGTGTTATAGACTTGGCTTTTTTAGGTACCTTTTAGATATTGATTGAATTCATAAATTGTTATCAAAATTGTTGCAACAAGGAAATTCGCAATTTTGGTTTTAAAATATAAATAAAAAAATAATTTTCCGTGTTTTATTGATCGCATCCGTCGTTTTTTGGTGTTACTGCTGCGTGTTACTGTTCTGGGTCTAGTGTTTTTTCTGGGGTATGTATTTTGTTTATAAATTTGTAAATTTGTAAAAAAATTTGTAAATGTTGTTATACCGACTGAACAATAGAGGAAATTAAAAAAAAAAATGATCCCTTGCATAAGTGGAATGAAAATTTTTGAAACATAAAGAATGCTTTTTAATACGATCAAGGGAAAACGGTCTTCTTCCTCAAAGATTAAAAGTCTTTTAAATTCAAATTTAAAAACCCTTTTATGAATAATATAAATTTCAGGCGAATATGTCTAAGAAGGCAATTGCCGATCAAGAAAACACAATAAAAGATTCCCTTTTTGAATTGGTGAAAAAACACATACCTGACGCCGATTTGACCTTAATTGACGAAATAGTCTTGTCCTATGTCGTTGCTTTCCTTGAAGATGTGGGATCTGATTCAACATTTGACGATGAAGGTACATTACAGATTTTAGTGATATGTGTTTATTTGTCAATTGTTTTCTAGGTTTTTGCGAGATGATGGAAGCATATTTTCCAGAATTTGGAAGCATTAATCACAGTTTAGTGTGTGAATGGATGTTTGCTTTGGAAGCAAAACTTAGAAAAATTGAAGACTCTGAACAAAAAAGTCCCACTCTAGAGATTAGCTTGCCAGAAATTTTGCCAAAAATTAAGCCCAGGTAACCTAGATCTGCTTCTGTTCTTCATGAGGAGTTAAATGTTTGACTCTTGTCCATTGTTGTTGGCTTTGTGGCTTTAATTGTTAAGAAATAAGCAAGTACTTGGTTAGTTTTGGTAGATTTCTGTTATTCTGTTGTTGAGTTGAGAGAGAACAGCCTATTATCTAAAAATACCTGCATGGGAAAATACAACTTGGCAACAATGGACGAGTCAAAAATTTAAGACTTTTTTGCAACACATTTTGTTTGATTTAACTTTTTGAATTTCCTTTCCCATTTTTTGCAATAATCTAGTGTTTATCTATTCACTGGGACAAATACAGCACCAAGAAGGTATCAATTTCATTAATTTTCCCATGGTCACTCTGGGAAGACAGCCTTAGATCGAGCTAGGGTCAGTTAAGTTTTGTCATATTTTGATCCTTTCGCTTTCGCGACTTCTTCCTGTGTCAACTGCGTCAGTTTCCGCTCGGACAAAACATTTTTTCATCACTTATTACTTTCGATAAATATTTTCATTGGAAAGAGGGCGGTTAAGTGCTTTGCCTATTAAAAAATCTGTTTTTCGTTTACATTTTTTTATGAAGAGTCTGTTTACAGAGTCGAGAGGAAAAAAAATTAGTCCATATGCGTTTTATTTTGACCGAATTGAATTTCGTTAGAGAAACGGCAGAGTTTCAGGCGTATTTACAGTTTTGTTTGTGTATTGAACTTTATGTTTAATTTAAACTTCGAATAGTTTGTTTTTTTTTTGTTGTTTCTTTGGTTTTGCACAGTTTTCGATATACTTTCGTAATGTAGCTCTGTAACTCAGCGCAAAGCAACTCGAGGTGTATGTAATATGAATAGTGAGATTTGCAATTGCTCCCAGACTTGTCTAATTGGTCCTAGAAAACTAAGTCAATTCAAAGCTGGTTGTGTTAGACATAATTTCGCAATTCATAAAATTATTTTGTCACAACTAGCACGAGAGGGCGCTTGAATAGTTGTACAGTGTGACCTATTCATAATGATGTCATAAAACTCACCATTCTTGCAAGAAAATGTTAATTTTATCTGCCATTGCTCGTAGATTTGATGCATTCGGATTAATATTACATCGCATATTTCTTGCTCACACAAATTTCTAGGTATAGTCGAAACTCTATATAGCGAAATTGAAGGGACTGCTCTTTTTTTTTTTTTTTTCGTTATAATGTGTTTTCGTTATAACGAGTTATAGGTACTTGAAAAATAACAATACGCATGTGTGTTCTGTAATATTTAATTATTTTATATTCATATTTTACCATCTACTTAGGAACATTTAATATAAATATTTAAGAACTACATTTAATGTTTCAAATAATCTGTCATTTTCTTTTGAATTTTTTTAGTATGCCAATACGCATCTCGTACTTTGACCTGTATTTTCACCATTTCATCGAGATACATATATACATAGATACATACATTGTTGAATAATTGATGATCAACTTCTTCATCTTCTTCCTCTTGGTACTCTTCCTCACCCTTTCTTGCTTGTTGTAATATCTGTCAAGTCTGCTGTTGTTGGCAAATCCTGATCTATCACCATAAAATCTTGCAACTCTCACTTGTAAACGTAATTGTTGTTCGAAACTGCTTTATCCACTCGCTTAGTAGCTGATCATCTTCCAAGTCCTGTTCGCATTCTGTTTCGGTAATAAGTCCTGCATATTGATAGGAGTGTTGAATTGTTTCTGTTGCACCTCTTTCCAAGATTTACTAATAAAGTCGACTGCATCTAGCATATTAATGGAAAATTTGTCTTCGGATGATCATTTCCATTAAAATGTTTTTCCTGTATCGACTCTTAAGACTTTTTATTACGCTCTGACTGGAAGAAATGCCAATTCAATATTCCGTAGATTTGGAATATGGGGATGTGCAGGGCAGTTATCTAAGATAAGTAAATATTTTCTTCCCCTTTAATTCTGCATCTCATTTCCGTATCTCCTCTTCAAAAATTTGCGATGTTATCCATGCAGACTTGTTTACCTTGTAAGTCACCGGTAAATGCTTGATGTTATTAAAACATCGTGGGTTAGTTGATTTTCCAATCAGGACTAGCTTTCTGTTTTCTTTCCCACCCATATTGGCAGCTACTAACACTGTTATATGTTCTTTAGAATGTATTCGACCCGCACACTTTTCGCTTCGAAATTTAAGAGTTTTATCTGTCGTCATTTTGTAAAAAAATACCAGTTTCGTCAGCAGGGTACTTTTCTGCTAGTTTTGGCCATGTCTTCTCCAACCAATCGTTAGTGATGTTTCTGTCGACATCACGGGCTTCGCCACTTATCTGTCCAAAATTTATACCATATCTCTGTTTGAACTTCCCCAACCGTCCTTCCGAATCCTTGAAATCAATAATGCCAAGCTGTTCAGCAAACTTTTTTGCTTTTAGTTTTACGATAGGTCCGGAGAGTTGTACATTTTTTAACTTGGAACTACTGCAACATTGCCCGATCCAAATCTTCAAATTTTGGCTTTGTTAGTTTTTTACTAGAACTGTCTGCCGCTTCAGCCTGAATGATTTTTTCTTTGCACTGCCAAATCGTGGATACAGTCGACGGTGTAAGTCCGTATCGACGTCCCACATCACTTTTCTTTCCCCGTTCTATCTCCCGAATTAAAGCAACTTTATCATCTAGAGATAAAATTTTATTTTTTTTATTTATTCACTAAGTCAAATTAAAACTGATTGAAACAATGGTGTGCTTTTATACATACCGATAAAGGCATTAACATAATCGCTTATTTGGAGAAAAACACTTTGGACGACAAGGTAACTAAATTATTAGGGCAAGGAATTCTGAGGTTGATTGATTACAAGTCGGCCTACTTTCCTTACTTTGTTACTTAATGTGCCCTTTTTTCTTTCAGTATAGAGAGTGAGAAATTCGTTGTCCAGAGTGGATTAATACATAGCTTTGTATGGAGACCTAACAGTACAACAAATTTTGTGCATAATACGAGTTTTACGTTATTCAGAATTTCGCTATAGGGAGTTTTTGCTGTATATTTTGACACCAGACCTGTAATTTCAACAACTTGATGTATTCAGCTATCTTCTCATGGTGTGATACCTTGCTAGTTTTCTGTTGGATGAGAATGCCTCCATATAAGGTAGCAACATACGTTGCAAACTGTGTCTCACACATACAGAACATTCTTCTACCATCTTGGAGATTTTGTTCAGTGGCCCAACAATCCGGACATTCTGAGAGAGGAATGAAAAAAGCATTCTTCACAAAAATTCATTCATTTCTTGGATTTATTAGACAGATATTTATATCAAAACAATGACACAGTCTGTTGATATATCATTTAGAACTGAGATTGAATTATATAACTCATTGCTCGTCTTTGTTCGCATCGTTGAACACCAATGTTTTCGGCAGGAATTCGATCTTGTTCTCAAAACTAATCCATACATCCATGGTTCCATATAATCAAAAACACTCAACTCTTATTTGATGGTCTGTTATTATCACCATAAACACTCAAGCTCAACTGAAGCCGTTTTAATGTATTGATGTTCATATGCAAGGTACCTTCCAGTCTCTGAAGGGAAATTTGTGCCATTCTCTGCTGTTCAGTTCGTGCCATCCATCTTGATTTGGTCTATGTGTCGAGACTAGATTGTTGGAAGCTAATCTTGCAAATAAAACAGCACTTTTGGTGAGAATGGCACAACTACTAAATACTGATATTAGTAACAATGGTAATTTAACTTTTTCATCCTGTAATCTCTTGTCGATCTTTGCAATTTTGTTATAACATTTCATTCCGACGTATGTAGAAGAACGTATGCAGAAAGTCTTCAAAATTTCTGGGTAAGATCATTTTTTTGCCCGTGTGTTGTGGTTATGTACGTCATTTCTTTTCTGTTTTATATTATGTGTTTTACGTATACAAGTAAATATATGTAATATTCCCAACTCTTTGAAATATTTTGTGCAATACGCCAGTTTAAGAATTTCTATAGAAACAGTATTTTTGATATTTTTAATTAAGAAACAGCATAAGCTTGAACTGAGGTGACTTGCTTGATGAAAATCCATTTATCAAAATAAATAAGAACTGAAAGTTCAGATTTTCACGAAATTATATATTTTCATATGACAATTGTTTCGACAACACCGCGTCTTTATCAAATGTAATATTTACAAACCACCTGCTACTATATACACCGAAAAATGGCAATAAAATCTTAATTATTGTTGTTGTGAAAATTTAAGTTCAATAAAAGAGAGGTATTTAAGTCTAATTGATCGTTAAGCAATACATTTCAATGTCTCATTTTGTTAATCTCCATGGCTTACAATAAATTTGATTTTCTACTTTTTGTGGCTGTATGTAAAATATCAAAATTGTCGTCAAAAATGTGTTTTTCTGTATTTAAGTGTGTAGCATAATTAGAATCTAGACTATTGTTTTTAAACGCTCTTTTATGTTCGCTAATGAAGGATATACCCGTTTGTCCAATATAAATTTTAGGACAACAACCGCATTTCAACCAGTAGATCCTTGATTTTTGAGTTTTCTATGGTGGTATAGATACATGGATGATGTCTTTGCTTGTTTTGTTGGAACGGGCAGACAATTGAATTCTTTTTTAAATTGCATTAACTCATTACATAATCGTATAAAATTCACTATATATTCTAAGGAGCAAGCCATGATAAACGTTATGAAAGGCTCTACTAAGATCAAAAAATATCCCGAAGATGTACTCCCTGTTATTCAATGAATTATAGAGCACTACTAATTGATTTATTCATACGAAAGCCATTTTGGTTTTTTGAGATTAACTGAAATTTTTCCAAATAATTATTTAAACGTGAGTTGTAACACAATTCAAAAACTTTACCAAACTGACGTTGTCTATAGTTTTTAGGATTGGTTGTCTCACCCTTATGCTTATAATTTGGGACAATCTTAGACAATTTTAATTTCTTCGACGAAACTCTGATTCATTATTTTATTTTTTGTTTTATTATTAGTATCATAGTGCTAACAAGATTGCCGTCGAAAAATCGTCACTGGGCTGGGCGAATTTGTAGCGCGTAGCTTTGTATTTCAAAGGAAACCGAACTGTATAAAATGTCCTTCACATACGCTAAACTTTGTTAAATATTAAAATTTGTAGAAATAATAGCGTTGTCAAATGATATTCTTTCAAATATCTCGCGCTACCTATATAATTGACGAAACCTGAAACTCTCTCTCTCTCTCTCTCTCGACACAGTTTACGATATTGTTCAAATAAAATTATCCCATCTTTAACGGATTTTCATTTATGATCAATAATTTACCCACAAGAACGGAAATTTTTAGGATGTTTTTGATATTTTTGCGCATAAACGATACACCCTGTATATAATTCAAACAATGTTCGAATAGGGATTATAGCCCTGGATATCCCACGTTTCCTGGTAAAGTCTGTTCATAGATATAAGAAAGTGACTAACTGATACGAATTAAGGAAAGACCCGGGCAAGCTGTAAAAATGAAATATGGCCGAACAGGTCTGTACTTTGCTTAGAATTTAATTATTTGTGGTTTTGTTAGGAAAGATACTAAACAATATTTATTTATTTATGTTGTATTTATGTTTAAATTTAAAATAAAATTACAAATTATTATTATTACCTACTTAGATAACTTACTTAAAATTATTCACATATATCAGTATCACTATCGCTATCATCGCCTGTTGTAATTATTATTTGTTCTATATTATTTGCAATATGGATATACGATTGTTCTGCTTTTTCTATATGTTTAACAGAATTTGCCCAACTTTGTGGAGGGATGTTAAAAGTTCTGGTTTCTATAAGTTTGAGGACATTGGAGTTAACACGGGATTAAATATACAGTGGTAAGGTGGAAGCCTTAAAACTTTATGCCCTAGGTTTTTCGCATAATTATCACAGACGTATTGCTTTTGTAGGTTCAAGCTTTGTAGAACCTCAGTTAATTGCTTTTTGGTATAACATTATTTATAACTTCCTTAATCTCAATAGAATAGTGTTTTCTACATTTCGGCGGGAGCATCTCCTGAGATACACTAGACTCGCACATATTTTGCATAACGATTGGTTTTCAAGAAAATACTTCTTTTTTGAAACATTATATACAGGGTTTTCCAATTATTGACAAAAATCTAAAAGAAAAATCTAAAAGACCCTGAGAATCCACAGTAATAAAGGCCGCATCGAAGCCTACAATTTTTGTACTTACGGTTTTCGTCTATCACACTCGCTTCTCGAGAGTCCATGATACTCAATCAAGACGCGATGACGTCATTTATTATTGCTGCGTATTGCATGGTTTCAGAAAACAGGTCTTTTCTTGAAAACTATTGACTCTATTCGAAATATTCATATACCAGGAAACGTGGGAGATCCAAGGCTATAACCTCTATCTCGAACATTGTTTGAGTCAGATACAGGGTGTGTCGTTAATGGCCAAAAAATCTAAAAGGTCCAAAAAATTTCCGTTTTGTTGATAAATTATTGGCGATAAATGCAAAACTATTAAAGATGTGATAATTTGGTTTGAGCGGTGTGTTGAGAGACTTTCAGTTTCCGTCTGTCATACAGGGTGCGCGAAAAAATATAATTTTAAATCGCAATTACCAGTACAAATTTAAATATTCACCAAAGTTTGCCGTAACTTTGAAGTTGAATGAGATGTGAAAGATACTATATATAGGGTGCGTGAACCACAGTGGTCCGCAGGAGCACGATAGAAAAACAATGCGTCCCTCTAGCTGCTTTGCGCTACGCACTTGCACCGCCCAGCGACGATTTTTTGGAAGCCATCTTGCTAAATTTTTCGGCTATAACAGATGGTTCACTCTTAATCTTGCCTTTAAGGTTGATTTCTTTTTTCTTAGTTTCTGCTTTTCCTTCCACTAGTTTCTTAATGGTTTTCCACATACCTTTGAGCATTATATTCATTAAAGTCATCATTACTTTTGGTTATTATGGCTGATCCCTGAATATTTAAATCAATTTCTGGTGTCCACCATTTCTTATCCGGCCATTGTTTTTTCACAACCTTTTCTTGTAGAGGTGCATATCTGTCATTAGGAAACTTAGTATATGGCTCAGTTGTTCTGACCCTCTTATCAGTATGTTATCAATACCTGGTGATTGTTTTTTATATACTTTGTTAATGACCAAAAAGACCGAATTGAACTTGCAAAAGTTTCACAGAGTGTTTTTACCTTACTAACTTTTTAATCTAATGTAATCTATAGTTTAACTATTCGTTATGTGTTAGATCTCCGAACAATTCCGAAAGTTTCGAATCGGTCCCAAAACGGATGCACAAACTCTCCGAAATGAGCGACGGAGGGTCAACCGATAGTTCGTGTTGCGATTTTCCCGACGAGATGGACATCCTCCAGGAGATGTTCCCCACCGTTTGTTCTATAGAGGTTAGTGATTATTAGGGTTCGGATTTTTATGCACAGAAAATGCTGAAAATATGCGCATAAATATGTCTGGTTTTTCCAAAAAATATGTCAAATATATGCTTTTTTCTACCATCTATGTACTTTTATGCCGTCTATTTTTTACTGAAAATCAACATCGAAAAAAATTACAATATTATATTTACAGTTTTTAGACATAAAAATAGTAATACTTAACCCATATTATCCCAAGCATAAAACTACATACATACATTACATGTGTCAAAAAAAAAAACTCTAAACATACAAAGAAATACTGGTGCGTAAACGAACCACTGGGAAGAAACATTAAATAATGTTTTGGGGCACATAAGATCTAACATATAATTTATACTTAAATATTCAAAAGAAAGTTCACATTCGACAACAACTAAAAGTAGATTGTTTTCCAAATAGAATCTGATTTGGTACAAAAAACGCATAACATTTTATGGTGCGTGAGCGCACCCATTTTACGAAGCATGAAGTATGTAAAGGCACATTAAACTTATCACAAACGTAAATTGTGTGGCTGTGGCAGATTCTACATCTACTTCGCGCTTTATCAGCATGAACAATCATGAGCGTAAGTTCCTTAGAGGGATAGGTTTTATATTGGGAATCTCATTTGAGGAAATAAACTACGAGGAGATTATGAAGCTTTTGAATCTGACATCTTTGGAGAGTGGGCTCATATTTTTTGACATCGTTACATTGTACAAAATCCTTAATAACTTGATGTTGGTTTTCATATTTCTCCTATTAATGAAAGAAATAAGGCTCTTTTTAACATTGATTTTCATAAGATCAACTATGGCATTCACTTGCCTATGAATGGAATGTGCAAGCTGACAAATATTTTACTCACAAATAACGAGCATATTGATTTATTTTCTGACTCCCTCGGTAGTTTTAATTGCAAAGTAAAGAAGACTGTTTTTAAGCAAAACTTTGTAGTTTATCAACTGTAAGTATTGTTTGTAAGTGTTGGTGTTACTATTTTTCTTAGGTTAAACTATATTGTAATGATAATGTAAATGCCAAATGCGTAAATAAAATTTTTATCATACATCTATGGCAGGTGCAAGATTTCTTTGAGTAATTGTTTTATCAGTTTTTAAAAGTCGCAAAGCAATGTAAGATTTAAAATCAAATCAATCACTTATTCATCAAAAAACATAAAAAATATTTCATGCGGAGTTTTTCCAGAAAGCCTATTTTTTAGTCCCTCACATGATCTAAATTTATCGGATATAGGTGTGTGAGTGTACTCAATCTGACCTTTCTTCCGTTTGACCGTAGTGTCAAGCCTGTCGTTTGTAGAAAGTATACGTCTTCTTTTGAATTCCAGCGTTTCATCATCTGATGAGTCCCATTCAGGTTCAGTAGTTGATGAATTACAGGAATGTTGAAGGATAGCTGTATCATTCGGTGTATGTAACTCTCGGATGACTGATTGGTGACAGGTAGGGACCTGAGTCGCGGTTAAGACTGTTAGGTTGTTTATAGATTTCTATACACTCTCGGATTTTTCGTTGGTAGAAGAATTGATTACATGCAAGAATTATAGTTTTATCGAATAAAATTTTATGTCCGGTTTCGTGATTGTGTTCGGCAACAGCTGATGGGTTTATTTGCCTTAGTCGAAAGCCTCTTTCGTGTTCTTTGAACCTAGTTGATATTTTTCTGCCGGTCTCTCCAATGTATTCTTTGCCGCATTGGCATGGAATTCTGTAAACTCCTGGAATCTCAAATGGAATTTTGTCTTTGACGGACCGAAGATGTTGAGAAATTTTTGGACAAGGGTTAAATCTGGTTTTGACGTTATACTTCTTTAGAACTTTTGATATGTGGTCAGCGATATTTTGAATGTAAGGAAGTGGCAAGTGTAGGATTGCTTTCGGCCTCATTGCTATTGGAAGTTTGTTTTAAGTGTATTTTTTGATCGAACGCTTAATATCTTTAATGTGGGAATTATTAGAGAGAAGAGCAGAGGTAAGGTGATTTAATTCTGGATTCAGTAAACAAGAGAGTTGATAACCGATGATTTTTGGGCCAAATGGTGATGTAACCATGCATTAAGGTATCGGTCTGTGCGTAGGTTTTCTGTAAACATAATGACCCGATGTTAGATCTGATTTTCTATTGATAAGAATATCTAAGAATGGGAGGCTGTTATTAGTTTCTATTTCAATGTTAAAACGTATGTTAGGGTCTATAGAGTTTAAATGTCTAAGAAAATCTACTAGGGTTTCTTGACCATGAGGCCAAATAACAAAAGTATCGACTCAGCAAAAACCGACGCAGGAGGTATCCAGAAGTTTTGTAAAAAGTATTATAGTAGCTTGTGGAAGGTTCCTTCAAAAATTTCATTATATCGTTAATATAATTATTTCATTCTAAAACGGCTATATCCATGATAATAAAAAAAATTAAATTAAATTTAAATTAAAAATTAAATCCTAACTCTAGTGGTAAAACAGTGCCGGCGTACCGGCAAGTTGAAGTAACAATTTCGTAGGTCAAACATTGTCTAGCCATAGCGGCCGGTGATATCGAACGTGCCACGCAAATTTTAATCGATCGCCAAGAAAATGGTCAGTGTCTTAGTCAAAACGCAACCCTCACCATACAAGTGGCCAAACAGAAAATAGATGACGCGGAACTGAAGAATCGCATCATCGAGAGATATTCATATATCGACAAAGACGCCCTGAATAAGGTCGGTTAAGTTTTTTAGATTTCGATTTAAGTTATGTCAATACGAGTTTTACGCAGGAATATCGTCCGGTAGCTCCGAAGGTGGAACCGAAAAAATTGGTTCGCTATCGCGACAACAAAATCGTAAGTCTGAAGGGGGAGCGTTATACAGAGGTAAAAAAGGGAGACGATGTGGAAGACATTTCGCTGAAGAAAAACAAAAAGGGCCAAAGTCATACTCCGTAACCATATGTGTATACGTTATTAACACTGATTTCGTTCGAGTTATTTTGGTTAGTTTTGGTAAGACCGTTCAATGAACCTTTGTTTTCTCGCCCTACCTGTATGTCGATTCAGTTCGTCACCGCGTACTTTTTTATTGGTCCGAAGATGCAGTCGCTCCAATATGACGGCCATATATTCTTATTCGTGTTTCTTCGGATATTAAAGATAGCCGCTAGGGATAAATTAATGTCGCTTAGTAGACTCGCCTTAGGGTTGTTTAGATTGCACGACGATTATAACTAGCTATAGGGAGCAAGTGTTAGGCTGTGTCGGGTGTCGGAGGCCAACCAAAAAAATGCCACTCTTGAAATACGTTGTTTCTTTAGTTTGGGATGTGTCAGGACCGGAAAACTGATTCAAGAACGCATTTCCCATTGATAATTTCCCAGTGGCGTGCAGGGTAGGCAAGAGGGAAAAAAATAGCGCCGCAGGCGAAAAACAAACACAAATCGTACACAATATTGCCAGATTTCCAATTAGCACTGCCTAATATATTTTATGGCAGAATGATTTTGCAGTCAAATAAAATAGTATTTGGAAATAATATACAGATGACTTACAACCAAATTTCTAATTTGCTACATAATACACATCTTGATAAAACATCATAAAATTGATCGTTTACCTAAAATAACGTGCATTGGCAACACCGCATGCGGCGGGCCGCGATATCGCAGTGCATCCGACGGATCGGACGGTCCCGACTGCTTTCGTGTGTTCATTGCTTGCAGTAACGCACTGCCGTGCGATAGACTTTGAATAATGGGTTGCGTTTTTTAGGTGATAATAAGACGTTGAACAGGTGGCGTTTGTTTTGTATGTTTCCCGCTTTGCAACCGTAATAAATTTACTATTTACTAATTTACTATTTAGAAAAATAAAAATATGTATGTCATTTTAACTAGGTATGTCGTAATGAATGAGCGTTGTTAGATAAATAGATTTTCAATTTATGTTTGTCTTGAATGAACGAAAGGGTAGGCAATGCTTTTTTGCCTATATGTAATGCACGCCACTGTAATTTCCCACTAAAAATTTTAATAAAAAAAATTATAATTTGGTATTATGTTAATGAGGATGGTGATCTTACAAACCGGAATATCGAATGCTATAATAAACCCTTATAGCTGTTAATCGTTATGGGGACCACAAATACAGTAAAATCATGACACCTCAAGAATTTACCTGGCATATTACCCCTACATTGACATATTATGGTCCTGGGGCAATTTGATATTTGTTTTCTAATTTATTTACAGTATGGGACAACTTCTATGATAGAGACGAATGTTAGGCTGCCTTTAAAGGTAAATTCTTCGATCTTGATAATTTGTATTAGTTTATTTCAACACAATTTATTTGCACAAATGTTAAAAATGGAAAAAACTAGAAAAACGTTTGAAGAATTATAATCACATAACTAATTAGTATATAAAGTTTTACATTGTTGTACCGGGTAGCCCATTAATAAAGGACGCCGGCCATATCTCAGGAACCGTTCGTCCTACAACTTAGAAAAAATTATTTTAAAGAAAGCTGGAAATCATTTTCAGGTTCTTAAAATGTCCGCTAGGGGTCGTCCTCTGCTGTAAAATTGAACAAAAAAGGTTTTCTCAAAAATATTCCAAATTACCCTATATCAAAATTAGTTTTAACGTAATCTGCTTTAGAAAAGGAGAGCTATAAAAACATATAATGTAATAAATATTTTTAGCTAAACACAACAAGTGGTGGAAACGGTATAGAAAAATCGTTTTTCCCCTCTGAAATATAAATAAAAATTAATTTAAAAATACTTTCTTACGTAGGTATAATAGAAGCAGTGTTAGCCGTTACCATGTTAACCGCTAAGCGTACTTAATTATTTGATTCTTTTCTCCAATATTGACACTAACATGTAATATATTAATAAATTATATTGACGATAAATTTTTTTTTACCATCATTGATTATTGGCGATTATTATGGACAAATTAGGACAATATCAAATTTAACTCTAACTCTAATATAAAATATATGTTTATATGCCATGTCACTACTTTCTTTGCTCTTTCATCTTAGCTGAAAATATTTATACCATTATATTCGGAATTTTCCAGAAAATCATAAAAATAGCTGTTTTTGAAATGAAGCACCCCCTACCGACTCGTAAAAGAATTAATATCCTGATATTGATATGCCAGTCGAAGTTGCTATAAATACTCTTTAACAATAAACTAAGTTCTTGGAATAGCCAAAAAAAAAAGATATTCGACTTTTTCTAACCAATATTTGACTGACCCTTAATTTGACGAGATAGAAAAAAAATAGTTCAAACAAAAAAGTTTCCTTATCTAGAGTAGATTACGTTAAAACTAATTTTGATATCGGTTAATTTGCAATATTTTTTAGAAAACCCGTTTTTTCTATTTTACAGTAAAAGTTACGCCCCCTAGCGGCCGTTTTATAAACCGGACCAGCTTTTTCTCTTCACCGGTTTATCTATAAATATATATTTTTTTAATATTCTCAGGTGATCTCCCTCAATTGCTGAAAAGTTGTTATCAATAATGAATATTCTATTAATTAACAAAAACCCTAGGACCATATTTGTTGTTTTTGTTCTGCTAACTGTTTTCATTTCAAATTCTAATACTTACAAAATAGTAGTCCACAATTGGTAATTAGGTAATTGGTAATCCAATACTCTCCAATAGTTAAAATACGCGCAAAAAGTCATACCGCAAATCGGTTTGGTTCCCAAACGTTGTACACGTGCCAATCAAAGTAGACATCACTAATATCGTGTATTGCCTTTTCTCAACGCAGTTTGTACCAATTCAAAATATTTAACGTCACGCGCAGCAGTAATTTAAAACATGATTTTCTACCAACGACACTTCTGAAACTGTGGTATTTTTTCGACAGTATTTTCTCAAAATGTACAGACGACTCGTTAAAAATCGTTGAGATGTAATCAAGATCATTTTCCTGTTGTATTTTTCCTTTTTTTACGAACCTCTATATTACTAATTTTACCAAATTTTAAAGTTTTCGCAGTACGATAAATATTTTTTATATATTATATATTAATATATTTGTTGTAAGAAGCAAGTCACTAAAGTCAAGGCAAATGGCGCCCGGTCAACGATTAAACAATTTGAAAAATTCTAATGATGATAATCTTAATTTCTCGAAATCGTCTGTTTATTGATTGTTGATAAAATTAACGTTATAACCGTTTGTTACCCGTCATTAGAGAAAATAAAATACTGCAGATAAATCTTCGTTCCAAAAGGTCTTTCAAAAATTTCTTTTCTGATATTGACAACAGAATCTTATTTTTTATTTTTCATTTATTGTAAAAGTATAACAGGTAAATGTTTTCTGGTCTTTAAAATGCAACTTAATGGGTAGTTTTTTTTACAAAGGCGGGCTGAATTTTTATTTGAAGGACTTGACACAAAAATGTTTTCCAATCTTTTATTTTTTGGTTTTTTATATCAACTTTGGATATCTTTAATGTTAATGAGTGTTACACATGGTACTCACGCACGCTCAAAGGAAAAACTGCGCAGGTCCAGCCTTGGAAATTTCCGTAAATTGTGGTCAGACCTGTACAGTTTTGTCGCTGCTAACTCCGTTTATAAAAAAGGCACCGTTAACAAATTGGTAAGCCACTATATCTATGGTCCGAAGCGAAGCGAAATTGCCAGTATAAGAAGTGGGACTTTTTGGTTGAAATTTCATTTTAAGCGTTCTTCGTGTGGGGCCATATTTCGAACCACCTTCAATGTGATACTTCTCCTTCCTGTTAAAAAAAATGTGATAAAAGGCCTGCGCTCCACGAACCCAAGTCTGACAACTTGCTCCTCTTTTAAATGTACACCCTTAGTATTATTATTATAGATACTTAAGAATTTCAAGGAAACTAGTCATTTATCTATAAATGTACAATTACTATAAAATAGTTTAACGAATTGACCGCCCGTGTGGTCGTTTTGAATACAGGGTCGACATAATTTTCGAAAAGATGGTTCGAGTTGTGGTTTGCTGCGAAATTTCGAAAAATAATTAAAGGTACCCAAAAAATGTATCTTTCCGAACTGCAACGCGAGCAAGTTTCGTAGCAATCCGACAATCGATATTACCCTGAAATTGATTTGTAATGTTCATTTTAAGGAATATCTGTGATTTTTTTTGACGATCGTGTTAGGTTAGAACGCCCGGAAGATACCGAGGAGGTATTCTTCAAGATGCGTGGTACGTGTTTTGTCCGTTCGAATGCAGAGTTTCTAACCTAGAGGGTCTGTTTGTAACTTATATTTTTCATATTGAAAACGGGACTGTTTTTTAATACTCTTTTGTGTGTGCGTAGCGGCGTCTGTCATAATCTCGATCGACTCGATTTGTCGCCAGCAACGTACACTTTTTCTGGTATTTGCGTCGGTATACTCTTGCTAACTATTTTATCTTTGATCTGCCTTGCCGCCATTGTCGTTTGTCAACGGTGTCCCTAACCTATTTCTTTTCTGTGTCAAGACATATTCAAAATTTGTTTTGTAGGTTATTCGAGAACTATCCTTTTTTCTCTTGAGATTCATCTGTTTAATCTTTTTAAATCACTTATTTATATTTGTAGGGATAATAAGTATTTACCAATATATGGAAACTATGTAAGTGTAAAGTTTATTGTTTAGCAATTTCAATTCCGTAGACCTACCTGGAAAAGTTAGAGGATCTGAAATAGCCTTAAATTGTAAAAAGTCTATTTTAAGTGCCATGAGGTTACAGACATTTATATGCAAAAATAGTTAGAATAACTGTTATATACTTAAAGGCGACAAAATTGTGATAAAAGTTTTTTTACTCCCGATATTATCATGAACTTTGTGCCCTAAAGCCATAAACTTTTTCTTTTGTTCAGTTTTAGATTAGCATAAGAATATTTTTTTATATAAGTAAACTGTAATAGTTACGTTACGTTTTTAAGTGAGCCAGAAAACTTTTTTCTGGGTGCCCCAAGAATTTACACTTACTTTTTTAATTTTATTATGTAATTATTTTTTTGGAGCTTTGGAAAGTCAATCGAAAGATAAATTCATAATTACTTGTCCAGTACGCTATTTTGGTTAGTTTTGGGTTAGTTGGCGCCTCAAGTTAAGTTTAATGTTTCATTCGGTTTTTGTTCTGCGAGTGAAAACTTTTCATAGAGCAAGGCAGGTTGAATGAAAAAGACTTATTTAAATTGTTTGCAATGACTGTTTTGTGTAACGTTTTATATGTATCTATCTGTTATTCGCCAATAAATTTATGTATATAAATTTATGTTGCGGATTTTCGTAATGAAGACGTTTCCCTGTTTCCCTAGAAAAAGTTCCTCATCACTAAGAAATTTCAGATACCAAGATCCTTGCCGTGGCAATCTGCTTCTGGTTTTCTAAACCAGAATAAAGTTTATCGGGCTTGCGCCGTCTTTGAACGCCGTTTTTCTTTGTTGCGACGCCAAATTTATTTTTACTTATGTGATATTAAGGTGGCGTTTCGCCCATCTCAGAGAATAAGTTTTTGTAGTATCAAATCGACCATTCTGTGGGTGGCATTGCATATGGCGGTTTAACCTTCGTTCGCTCCCGACAGAATCCCATGTATCCGTCTCCAAAAATGGAAGGTCCGCTGGGGAAGTCGTTTTTTTAGTATCGGTCAAAATCCTTTTTTTTTTGTTAGTTGAGCAAATATTGGTTTTATTTCTTCTTTTTACATGTTGGTTAATTACCAAAAGTGAAAATCTTCGACGGTAGTCGGCAATGGGCGAATGATCATAGCAGTCTTGCCCAACAAATATTGTGAACTGATAATTGAACTTGAATCTAATCGACCTTACCAACAGTTTTTTGTGAAACGCATCAGTGAATTGAATTGAATCGACCTTACCAATTATGATCTGTGTTCACGTAATTTGCATAAATTGCGTATGCCTTGAATTTGGTATTGTCAGTATACCGTAAACGAAAAGAAACTTATCGAAGGAGATGTCCAGACTATATTCATCGAGTTTTAGGAACCCAAAAATGTTAAGACAATTGATTACCTCTTATATGGGTAAGTAACGCCGAGTTCAATGATTGCTCCCAATAATTTAACTTAAATCCTTATTTTAGATCTGCAAAAGAGAGGATGCTAGAATGGTACTTACAGACTTGAATGTCGATTATTTATATTGGTAAACGGTTTGTGGTGAAGTGATTGTAAATAATTACTGGCTTAATTTTGTGGAGAGATGACTTGTTCAGTAGCGATGGACAAAGGCACCCAGGAGCTTCTTACGCAAGTTAAAAAATCGCTCGTTTCAGTGCTCCTATCCCTTTCAACAAATTTGGAAGCAGCCTCAAACTAGAAATACAATTTTGCAGTTAAACAGGATGAATTTTGCCAAAAGCATTTTTGCCATCAACTTCCAAGTAGCATCCGCAGGTGCCATAGGTCAGATTAGACTCAAGCCAGGTGCAAGGCAGACACATTTATATAGGACTCCTCGATTAATATAATCAGCCATCAATTTTCTAGTTGGTATTGGAAAAGGTATTTTTTGTCCCTGTGTTAGACATCAAGTACTTGCAAAATATAAAGATTTGTTGGACAAAAAGTAGCGGCAGAATATGATGGATGGCAGCAAAGGAGAGAAAGAGATATTCGTCCACATATGGAAGGTAGTTTACCACAGCATCTTCACTCTGGAAAATTGAGTGCTAGTGATTGGGATTGGGGTCATTTCTGTTTCTGATGGATGCTACATTATGGTTCAATGGCCCACTTTTACCTACAACCACGACCTATATTGTATAGTAATGCTTATTAAAACTTTTTCTTAAATCTCCTGGATGTTTTGTTTTGTGGAGCCTTTTGTTTTCAAGCCTGGGTACTATAACTAAATGCTAGCAGTAGTAGGTGGCGCGATATTCCGTCATAAAGCTTAATAGTCTAGCCACAGAGCGGGCATGCAGCAATAGCGTCATCTCTCGTTAAATCAGAGAATTAGTTGGTTCTGATAGATCCACACAGATGGAGAGCACATGCGTATGCGGCGCCACCTTTCCTGAATTCATAAAACTTATTAGTTCAGGCTAATATCAATAGATGGCCTGCTTGTGGCGGTAGCCCCCATCTTTCGTCAAATCGTAGAACTAATTAATTGACCCAAGCCCTTACAGCAGGCGGACGTATGGCTGCGACGCAATCTTTCTTTAAATCATTGAACTAATTAATTCAAGAAGAGCCTCATAGATGGCGCGCCCATTCGTCAGCAGCGTCATCTATCCTTAATTCATAGTACTAATTAGTTCAGATAAATATCCATAGGTGGCGCGCTTGCGGCGGTAGCATAACATTCCCTTTAACCATAGATCTAATTAGTTCGGACAAGTACGTGTAGATGGCGCGCTCGTGGTAGAACAACCACCTCTCGTTAAATTGTAGAACTAGTTGAGACAATCATTCCGAGGTCGCGCGCATGAGGCAGTCGCGTCATCTCTCATTATATCATGACACTAATTATATTCACATCTTAATTAGAAGCCATTACAGTAGGCCGACGTATGGCTGCGAAGCAATCTTTCTTTAAATCATTGAACTAATTAATTGAAGAAGACCCTCATAGATGGCGCGCCCATTCGTCAGCAGCGCCATCTATCCTTGATTCATAGTACTAATTAGTTCAGATAAATATCCATAGGTGGCGCGCTTGCGGCGGTAGCACAACATTTTCTTTAACCATAGATCTAATAAGTTCGGACAAGTACGTGTAGATGGCGCGCTCGTGGTAGAACAACCACCTCTCGTTAAATCGTAGAACTAGTTGAGACAATCATTCCGAGGTCGCGCGCATGAGGCAGTATACTCACATCTTAATTAGAAACAATTAATTTCATTTAACGTAATAAATAAAAAGTCATCATGAAACTTGATCAACTTTTCCAAAAGACCAAAGGAACCTCATGTTCTTTTCACACTTTTCTGTTTTTAAAGGTAACAAAGGTCAAAGACCTTCACTTCTTCGTGTTTTATTTTAATGGCTAAGTTGCTAGGATCCTTCGGTCAATCTTCTGAGTGAATGATGGCGCTGCACCACTGCACCACACGAATATGTCTGTTATTTGTTTCTGTGCGACATGGAACCACAGATGAAACAAAACAATGGAAAGCGCGTGTAATGCTCTCCGAGATAGTTGTCACCAAAAGAAAAAATGTACAGTAATGTTTTTTGTATCTATACAATCTATAATTTTCCAAATGACCCAATTACGTCCATTTATTTTTGTTTTTTATAAGATTTAATTTTCCACAAAATATTTTTTGGCATCTAAATCATGCGAAACGACCAACATTCCGGTTTGGTAGAATAAATGAAGTTTAACCCACGGAGAATTAGCACTTCAATGTCAAATCGAAACAAAATTACTTCCTCTTACGCAATTTATTTTCTAAAAATAACGTCGGTTAAAATGAACTTAATTTGCATAGGTACAATAAAATCTCAATCTCAAAAATTACAAAGAGAAAAAATCCGATAAACAATTGTCCTCTACTTTACTTCTTCAGTCTTTCGGGGAATGCATTATAGAACGATTTCAAAAAATTGCTGCCCCACGGAAATTACAACCAAATAGCCGCGAAGCGGCGAAAAAAGTGGCAGCTAGTTAGTAAAAAAGAACCGCTTAAAAGAGAACCTACAATTTCAATACGAACCGTTGGAAATATAAATATATTATAATATAAAATTTATCTACAAGCTAATTTCGTTTCATCCGTCTCAAAAGAATCAATAAGAAGTAAACTGTACACAAAATTGCAATAAATAAACTCGCTATAGTTATAAAAAGATGTACAACGTAATTGCTATTAATAAGTATCCGTGTATTATTGTGTGCGGTGTCCATATCAAGAGAATGTATAATTTGCAAATAAAAACAGTATAAAAAGTGTAAAGTTCCATCTATCTAGGCACTAATATTGAACAACAAAGCCACACATATTACAATTATTTAATTGCCTAAGGCCAGACAATATATGGGTTGAGTCGAAAAGATGGGCGTCCTTGTTAATGACACATTCTTTGTGGGACTTTCATTATACCATTTTTTATTTTAGCGACCTGGTTTCCGAAAAACTAAACTTTTGTTTTATACGCCTATGTCTTGAAACATATTTCGCTTATTTCTATAATAAGCACTTTAAATATGACGTCACACGATAAGCCAGCCAGCGGGATTGTCAGACTAACTTAAACTCTTTTATTTATACCAATGGTGCATCGTGACCATTTGACCATTTGTTTAAAAAAAGTAGCTCTTGATTTGCCTTTACGATGAATGTCTCAAAACATTTTATCATACCATTCCTAAAATTGAAGCTTGATTAATGAACATATATATACAAAGTTATCTAACTCAAATGTTTCCTTTACGAATGACTTATAATACTCGAGCCAGAATAACATAGAATTCTTCTTCTTAAATATAAAAATGTACCAAGAACACTTTTAAAAAAAGTTAACGAGTCCTGTGTGCGAAAATACAAAATGGCGTCACAATAGGTCGACTTATCTTTTTGACACACCAATAGGGTTGGCGTTCCTAAACTTGATGGGCTTTCAAAAATTGGATTCGGGTCATAGGAGGCTATGGTCTCTATTATCAAAATATTAGGACAGTTTTGCCACGTCTCGAAATGCGGAACATTGTTACAATTTTAGATTTTATAAAAAAAAAATCTAAAATTCTAAGTAACATATGTTATAGCTTTCTTGAGATATTTTGGAGATTAAAATTATGTTTTACAAAATATTCAGTCGGTCATTACGGTTTGCCAAAATGCAAACAATTTGATATGAGATTTGGGACATCGCATGGTGGTTACAAGATTAGGCATATTTTGCAAAATATGAGAAAGTAAGTTATGTCCCAATTTTAAAGCCAATAAAAAAATTTAAAAGTATCGTGGTAAACTGTGGTACCCAAAACATTTTAAATGCATAAACAGAATAGAAAACAAAAATAAAAGTTTATACGTCATCCTGTGTTCAAATTTTACCCAAACCTAAGTGACTTTCAGTACGAGACAGATAAGTTTCATACGTTATATTTATGAATTTATTGACACATACAAGATTTTTAAGAAACTCAAACTAATTTTATTGTGACTTGGCACTAAACTCAAATGCATAAGAACTACAATCACCACTTTAGTCACGTAGACATATTCCATCTAAATCTTAATTCTACTAGAAAACTAGCTATTGATATTTTTCTGTGATCCAGTAGCGTACCCATAATAATTAATCATGATTTGATTTCCTGTTTTTCTTTCTTTTCTTGCTTGCCCAATTAGTTTATTTTTATTGCCGCAATGAAATACGGGGGCAAGCCAGTCGCTACCAAAATTTCAAATTTTTATCTGAAACGGTTGAAGCCAGTGGCGGTTCGTGGGAAAAATTTTAAGGTGCAATATTTGCAAAGAAAATTTACCCACCAAGTCCACGAAATATCCCCCGATTTTTTTTTGTTACATCACAAATCCATTCACTTTTTGAGTAAATGGTTGAAGGGATAATGATAATTCTCTAAAAAATAATTTTTATCTTCGAATGTGTAAGCACGTTGAATAGCCGGTTTCAGAATTTTTTAAAATTTTCGAGTTGATGTGGCAACGCTGCTGTCTTCGAAATAGGGAACATAACCTCACTTTTAAACGCGCATCTTTTCCCATCCTCCATATTCTAATAGGTCATCGAGTTTCCAAAAAGTATTTTTGAGTACTATCGTAAGTAAATACATTTTTTGTACGATACTGTAGCAACATTGTCGAGAGTATTCGCGGAATATGGCGTGATGTTACGAAAATTACGTTTAGTTACAAAGAGATACTGCCGGAACACCCAGTAGATTCAATTCGATTAGTGCCACCCTACTTACGACATAACTAGAGCTGCTTAAATTATCTTAGGTCGAGGTTTTACGCGTTCGTCGACAAAGTTTGGTCCAAACTTCCATCGTATCGTTTATCTTAAAATATCGACGAGCGTCGAAACGATGAGTAAAAGAAAGGTAAAGTGTCCGCGGGACGGCGGAACTGTTTTGCAACCTCCGCCCGACCAGATCAAGCCCGGGTAATTAACGTTGGGCACGGATGTTTCTGCAATTAAACGAAATACATTTTCAGTAGAAAAAACAAACACATCGGAATACATTAATTTCTTTCTTATTTTGGCGTTTCTACTGCTCTAAAATCTCTAATGACGACAGAATGACAAAAGAAGATGGACGTCTGCTAATATATTTCCATTCCTACTTTATACAAAACTTCTGGATTCCTCCTGCGTCGGTTTTTGCTTAGTCGAACTTGCTAACGTTTCGCCAATCATCGTGTTGATTTCATCAGCGCTTGACTGAAACTGGCTCTCATTTTACTCCGTACCTGCTTATATATTGTTTGAGGGGGGGCCGAGCATAAGGGGCATAAACACCGTCTCGGATAACTGATTCCCAAATTGGTGACAGGTAGAGACCTGAATCGCGGTTAAGATTGTTAAGTTATTTTTCTATAGATAGATTTCTATATACTCTCGTTGGTACAAGAACTGATTAAATGTGCTTTCTTTGTGTTCTTTTAGCCTAGTTATTATATTATATTATATTATTATTCAATAGACATAATACAATGGTCTACACCACTGCTCCTACCTCATCCTTGTTAAGAATAATACAAGATTATCAAGATTATCACATCATTATTATTTGTTATTTTTATTTATTATTTACGTCGGGGTCCTTTATTAATGGGCCACCCGGTACATTTTTAAGCGACCAAATATTGGCTCCCCCGTACATTTTATAGTAAAGTTATAATGCAACTTTTGATTAATTAATTGTTGAACTTTTAATATGATGTGCTGACTTTGAATAAATTTTAATAAGCCGATCTTCAGTTGCAAAAGGCCAATACAACAAAGACCAGGGAATATTTTCCATGGCGCTATTTTCAAAACTTCAAAACGTCAAATAGAGTTTGGTTGACAATATAGCATTTGGTTTCGCACATTCAAAATAAACTGAGTATGTACTCATGCTCGGCTCTTAAGACCTCCTTAAAGCGTTCTTAGAATGAATTTCATTGAAATCAATTTGCGCCTCAAGTCTTTTATTAAAAATAATTAATAATTATAATACAGCTACAAAACATTGCTAAAAAGAAACATTATTTTTTAAATAAATGTTCCAACAGCCCTCCATTAAGAGTTGCGATCATAAAATTCATTTCTAACATTTGTTAGTTGATAATTTGAAATCCTGACACATTACAAGTGACCCCACAGAAGGAAGTCGTTCGGCGTGAGGTCGGGTAACCAAAAAATTCGGCATCTTGGGATAATAATATCCCCTTTAACAGTATTTCCCAAATACTCCCTAACTACGCAGGAATGTATTTAGAATTTAGTGCTGAGCACGTGTTAAATATACGTTAGGGCAACGGCTAAACGTTTTGGTTCGATGCATAAGCTTGTTTCGGGAGGTACCAAGACCGACCATGAATATGTTTGCTCATTTGTATATTTTTGGGGGCCCTCACATCATTTTTTTATAACGCTCTATATCTTAAAATATTATTTTATTAATCGCATGAATATGTTTATTCCATGTTAGGCATGATTTTTATGAAATTTATATGAAATTAAATGTACAAACCACAATGATCAATGTCGAGAAAAACGCTTGGGTTTCATTTAAAAAAATAATAAGTTTTTTGGGAACTCTAAGGACGAAAACTGCGAAAGTAATGTCCAAACTGTGTTACAACACTTTCATCATCTAGGTTGTAATATGAGTTTGAAAATGCATTTTCTGATTTCACACTTGAACTATTTTCTTGAAAATCTTGGACCAGTAAGCGAAGAACAAGGTCACGACAACTGGATATGCCCTTAAAAACAAGTCCGGACAACGCAAACGAAAATTTCACTCAAAAAACGCCGAGTTTCTTTACTTTTTTTGTAACCATGAGTCCACTTTTTTACGGAATCAAAGAATAAATTATTTTAGAAATATCGTTTTATTTTTTAAAATAACATTTGCAAAAAAAAACCTTGCGTGATACAAATAAATGCATAAATCAGCCTACCGAAATTATATAATATTTGTTTTCAAAATAAAAACATCTGTCAAAAAGTTTATTTTGTAGACCTGCGTAATTGGTGGATTAAAATTTTGTTGTTAAAAATTGCAGTACTGTAAGCCGGAACAACCATTGCTCATAAACGGTTGAAATTATTGAGAGAATGAAAAACATGAAAAACCAGAATGATGCCTTTTCATTCAACCCGGTGCACACAGGCGAATTTGACCAAAATACTGGCCAATATTATTTATCTTAAAAAAATATCTAAGAATGATGAATAATGAATTTATTTAAGAAAAGTATAAATTTTAATGACACTATTATTCCGCTTCACATAAAAATATACAGTGTGGTCGAAAAGTCGTACCAAAATTAAATACTGATTAATCATTTTTTTTTAGAATGACGTTAGAACATTTTTAATTTAGTTTCTTACTTGTTCACATTTTTACGTAATTCATTTATTTTTCAGTGACAGTTATTAAAACTTATTTTAACAACAGAAAAACATAAAACAGTTCTAATTTTAACCTTGAATTATGATAATATATATGTAATTACAAAAAGATAATCATAAATACTTTAGAGAAAAGGGGTAAAAACGACGATGAGATATTGATATTTGAGTACTTTTTTATTATTTATGGCAATAAACAAGCAGAACTTTTTATGACAAGTCTTTTTATGGACTATTGAAATTTGTACAGTTGCGTCTATGAAAATCTAGTACAAAAACATCTCATAATTCCTGGTCTATTATAAAAAAAAATCTGATTAGATACCTAATAACTCTCTTTGTCACAAATTTTTAAAATGACACAGGGCAAACACAGGTTTTAGACTGTTATGTATGCTATATGTCATCCATTAGTCAAAAAACACTTAATAGTCTAGGATATAAATATTTCTTCTCAAAAAGCTGTAAATCTGGCATCATTGCCATCAGCATTTTGCATGTTCAAAAACCCTACAATAGTAAATTTTACCAAAATTGACAGTCACTTCTTAAAAAATAGATACCCATTCAGATCGCAAATTATCGCATAAATAAGAAAATATGTCTTTTTAAGGACATATTAAATAAGAGTTCTATGCTAATTTGAAGATGGGGAAACGCGGGGAAATATACTTTTTGTCCAAAGAAAACGAAACATTTATGTATTTTAAAAAATGACGCCATTGTGACATTAAAACAATTCATAGATGATAATAATTGCGTAGAAAATAATAATTATATGCTTGTACTTACCACTAGCAATAGAATCCATACTATAATTTTCTTATTTTTCAATCACCAACTTTAGAAAAAATGGTTAAATACACACTGATGCACTTTGATTAAATGAATACAAATTAATAAACTTTCAAGTTTCAATAACAATATGGCGCGTAGCAACGCGAATCAAAACAAAAGTTTGTTTATTTATAATAGCCAGGTAACTAGATTACTGAAATGTTATAGATTTAGCTCAAGATTTTGGAGTTTCTGACTTCTGGCCAGCTTTTGAGGAAAATTCGCCTGTGTGCGGTGTTTAGAAAGGGAGCGTCTATAAAAAGCTGACAAGACAATTCTCTACAAACAGTTCGGTGATTAACTGTATTGGATCCAATTCTCTTTGTTTTGTATATTAACGATATGTTTCGTGTAAACGATTTTCTATACTGATGCATCATGGGTTGTGCTCAAAAACAACGTCGAAAATGACTTCAAATTGTTGTGCAATTATTTTTCTTATAAAGAGCTAACTTTAGACTTTTCAAAAAGCGTTTTCGAGTCGAGACTAAACTAAATGAGTTCATCAATATCGATTATGTTAAATACCTCGGTAGCTACATGGACAGGCACATGAATTGGGAAAATAACACTGAAAAACTTCTTTAAAAAGTGAGATCTCTTCAAAAATGCCAGGAAATTTTAAAATGTTATGTTGTTTATTAGCTTGAGCCAACATCTCACATACGGAGTCTTGGGGTGAGGTGACTAATAACTACTACAGAAAAATTCAAATTACCCAAAAGTGGATTCTTAAAGTTATATATTCTACAGAAGAACTCTATATGTAGCAAAGATCTTAGATGTTAGACGATTATTTTTACAAACGCGACAACAGTTTACCTCTATTCGAGCACGATTATTCGTCACGATCTCAAAGGCAATAACTGCGAGGCGAGAAGAGACTACAAATCAGAGATGCTGAGACTTTATATCCACCAACAAGTAGATTTAAATATAGTTATTCTATTATTACAACTCATTAAGTTTTTTCGGTAAGATCCATAAGTTTGTTCTGATTTTTGCAAGTCCATTATACACCACACACTTAAAACTTCAAATTTTTGCTTTTTATAAAACTACTGGTTAATTTAGACGTAGAATCATCGGTTATCAACTCTCTTGTTTACATAGCCGGAAAACTATCTCAGCCCGAGTCACCAAACTCAGAATTAGAACACCTTACCTCTGCTCTTGTCTTTAATAATTTCCACGTTGAAGATATTAAGCGTTCCATCACAAAATATGCTTCACCACAACCTTCCAATAGCAATGAGGCCGAAAGCAATCCTACACTTGACACTGTGGTCCTTCTTTACATTCAAAACATCACTGACCACATATCAAAAGTTCTAAAGAAATATAACGTCAAAATCAGATTTACCACTTGTCCAAAAATCTCTCAACATCTTCGATCCGTCAAAGACGAATTTCCATTTGAGATGCCAGGAGCTTACAGCATTCCATGTATATGCGATAAAGAATAAATTGGAGAGACCAGGTGAAAAATATCGACTAGGCTGAAAGAAATGAAAGAGCCTTACGACTAAGAGAAATAAACTCAACCAACCAACCAACGAAAAATCCGAAAGTCTAGTAGTGATGGGGAAACTACGGCCTGGGGAAAGGTTTAATCAATAAACAAATAAATAAAAATAAACAATAAGATTAAAAAATACGAAATTAATTTGAGAAAATTATCTTCAGAATTTGAAAGGCGATTTCAAGATTTTATAAAAAATGGAACCCGAGTTTAGTATTTTTGCGACTCCATATCAATGTTAATTACGAAAAAGTTGATGCAAAATGTCAACTCGAGTTAATAGAACTGAACAAACATTTCGTACAGTACCATTACTAGAATTTTATAAAAATTTAAATCCAGATAATTTCCCAAATCTAATTACTCGTGCAATGAAGATAATGAGAATGTTCGGCTCATGCATGAGAAAAAATCTTTTGAACAATGAAGCTTAGGCAAACTTCTTTAAGAAACAGAATTACAGATGAGCACAAAACAGTCTCAATTTCATTTTTCTCACGCACCATCAACCAGTAATGACACCAGAAAATAAAGTGATAATACTTCACATCAAGAACTACACTAAATGCATTTTATATTTTGTGCTTGTAATTTTCTTACCTTTTGCTTTTTCACTATTAAAATAATAAGTGTATGTAATAATATACATATATGTTTATAAAACACATACATTTTTTAACGATTAAGCTTTGTTCTTTGGCCCGCTATGGTCGTCTGGTCTTAAAAAAAGTTTCCCGACCACTGGTCTATAGAAATCTACACAATCTTAACCGCGACTCGGGTCTTTACCTGTCACCAATATGGGAATCGGTCATACAAGACAGTGTTTATGACCCTCAAACAATATAAAAGCAGATACAGAATAAAATGCGAACCAGTCTCAGTCAAGCTCTGAAGAAGCCAACAGGATGATTGGCGAAACGTCACCAAGTTCGACTCAACAAAAACCGACGCAGGAGGAATCCAGAGGTTTTATAAAAAGTATTACAGTAGCCTGTGGAAGTTTCTTTGAAAAAAAAAATGTATTTATTTTTTGATTTATGTATATTGTTCAGCTCACAAACAAATAATCATTTGCTAATATTTTGAGAGTTTTTTCCCTATTTATTTACTATTTACGTATCTGTACTTATTGAATGTTCTTTTACGTGTGCCCTATGTAAGTAAACTATCATTATTATTATTATTATTATTATTATTGAACAGAGATAAAAGTCTTAGTTTTTGTACCCGCGGAAACTCTCACTTATTCAATACCAATAATACGCTTTGGGAAAAAATTAACTTACGTAATTTTTTTTACGTTAAAAGGTGGTTCAGTCAACCGTTGAATCGTAGATTTTTTTTGAAAGTGACTAATAACTCAAAGAACGCTTACCTGAACATCATTATCGTTAGGGTAATGAATAACGCTGCCGTACTGGTCGACATCGTCGAAGCGGCGGCGAAACGGTTGGAGCCGCAGGCGGGAGGGCATACGGGAATCACAGTCTCTATACACAAACAAGTACGTACTATGCAAAAGCTAGTCTACTGAAATGCTTTGGATTTTTGTAACTGCGCGCAAAGGGGGCCACGCAAAGTCAGACCGAAAATTACACATACATATACCACCACCAAATGTTGCCTCTTAAATGTACAGGGTGATCCATTATAAATGTACACCCCACCGAACTCTTTTCTTGACCAGTTAAGAAAATATGTTTACGTAGACAGTCGGATTAAAAAAAAAGAAGTAGATGAAAACATATTTTTTTTCTTTATGGAAGAGAGAGTCCTTTAAAGGCTGCTTTCGAAAATATGAAACACATTGTGGTTATTTTTGATATTTAAGACGGACAGAAAATGGCATTTCCTTCGTTGGTCGTTCTGTATACAGGACAGTCCCGACTGTCCCGAATAATGTGGACGAAACTGATTTCGAATAATCGAATTTTCAGTAAATCCTTTTTTTTTATAAGAGTTTAGTTTGATATGGGTATCAACTGATCGACTTAAAGACGTTTATGAAATATTTCACTTGAATTTATATATTTATTTAAAAAAAAAACCGAGAACTAAGAATGTATTTAATTTTTTATTTAATACAACGTAAAATCAAATATATATATATATATATATATATATATATATATATATATATATATATATATATATATATATATATATATATATATATATATATAGTGTTCGAAGTGTTTTCGGAGCGTGAGCATTGAAGATGCCAAGTGAGATTTTGGCGAAACGTCTGCAGGATTCCAGTCGGAGTTCAACGAGCGAACGGATGATATCCCGGAATATAGTGTCATCATATATATATATATATATATATATATATATATATATATATATATATATATATATATATATATATATATATATATATATATATATATATATATATATATATATATATATATATATATATATATATCTCATTTTTTAATTGACTGTCTTAAAAAACTGCACTCGTTTAATAAAAAGAACATCCGCGGCAGTCGATTCTCTTATTGTTCTACATAAGTTAAGGCTTTCTTCAAGGCCTGTAATCATTCTGAATGTGACATTTTTAATGGAATATTCTCAATGCCTTCTACTTTGTATTTCCGCTTATTTCAATAGCATTTTTGCAAACACTTTTAATTATTTCTTGGTTCCTGTTTCCATAATATTTTCCCATCCTGGTATTTTGATGAAAATTTGCTGTAAACTTTCGTCATGATCGGACTCTGCATCTGTGAAATGTCCCACCTCTAGTATTGATTTTCTTCGGTTAATCGGCATTTTTGTTTTTTAATTGTCTATTTCGAATAAACTAGAATTCGGATAATCCGGATTGTACTGTACCTGTAGAAGTACACTACAATTCTTATGTTAAACTTCTTTATCTAAACTCTTAAGGAACAAAGTTACGGGAGAGCGGACATTTATAATGGATCACCCTGTACACGTTTTTAAGGGTTTTAAAATTTTGCATTTTTATCCATCCTTTATGTTTTTTTTCTTAAATCATTGTGTTTTAATAATTACGAAATGTTTGGTTTAACAACTTAAGAATATATATGAAGCACTCATACACAGAAAATTTTGTATTTCAAATACCTCTTATTTTTTAAAGGCTCATAAAAAAAAGTCTATCTAAATATTTAACATGTGTACCAGCTTTATCAATAAGCAATGCCAACAAAAATGGGACAATCGGTCTTATCTTGAAAAGCAATTGAAAGGATCAAAGTATAAACCCCAAAATGTTCAGCCAAACAGGATTGTAAACAAACGAAATATATAAATTCAAAAATTGACTAATAAATTTTGAAGGTTTTTTCTTCAATCAGTTATTCAGTCTTATTTTTTTAAAACCTATGTTGCTCTGAAAATGTTAAAATATATAGCAAAGGTCAATGAGGTCTATCTACAGACACTTCAAAGTCCCTCTCCTACCCCACAATGACGGCAAATAACATTAATATACTATAATAGACATTTTGGTACTACTGAAAGGACCAAAGTAAACAATACCCTAAAAATTTCAAGCTCCCACATTGTAAATAAGCAAATATATAAAAATTCAAAAATTAATTATTGAATTCTAAGTTGTTGTATTTCATTATTATTGTTATTCTTTATTTCCATAAGTTGCTCGAAACACATTAAAATATTTGTGAATTCAGAACAAAACAGCAAAAATTATAATGTATTTTTCACCTGTAGTGCTTGATATGTTTCCTGTTTATTTTCAAAACATTAAACACGCAGTTTATGTTAGAATTCGTGCGAAGGAGTATCCTGCATTAAAAAAAAGATCTTGGTGTTTTATCCATGTTATTGTTTTTAAATTTGAAATATTGCAATAACATTTAATAACATGGGAATCAGTATTAATTATTATTAACATTTTAAATCTAATATTAGCTTTTCAACAGTGAAGAACGAATAATAGTGTATTTTGTTTGTATTTATTTACTGATAAAATAGGTAAGCAAAAAGATTAAAATTCCGTTGTATCAGCTTTGCAATTTTAACTATCTATAATATAAGATTATATCCCAAAAAAAAAAAAAATCACCAATTTCCCTTAGCTGTTTTAGTCATAAGTTTTTCATCCCAAGTCTTTACAACTACTTCTGAGATAGTGCTCAATGCCGTTCTTACCTGACTACTTGGTACATTAATAGTGTACTTTGTCAAACAATTGTGCCACTCGGTATATAACTGGTGACTTTTTGTATGATCTATGTATTGAATATGTAAAAGTAAGTTTTTTATTGCTTTTAGTTTAAAAATGAGTAATTAAAAAAGTTTGTAATATATATGCCAAAATTTGTTGTGTATTTCTTTATAATTTTGTAATTTTTGGTAGGTATTTTAGAAAATTTTAATATTTTATTAATAATGGACTATAACTTGTATTTATTCTGCCCAAAAAGCATTCTGCTACTTCAATATGCTCCAAGCAAATTCATTACCTACCATGAAAAATTTTACAATATTATTAGTTTGCACACTGACAATTTCAAAATTGAAGTTCTAATTTTCGTCAAGGTTTTATGTCAATTCACGATGTTCCATAACTACGAATACAATCAAACATAACCTCTAAATACTATGAACTGATAAATGACATTTTCATATGAATTAACGTCTTAATCCGAACTTCATAAAGTAATCATCAGATACTTTAAGAATTTATTGTCAGTGTAAAACTAACATAAAACTTTTAATATACTCAAAGCAAGTAAAAATATAAATTAAAACTGGTCTACCAAAGCATCGAATGATTACTGTGTTTGCAATCAACATAAACAATTTTCAATCAACAACAATACTTATGTCACATTTTAATTGATTCAACAATGGCGGCCAATTTTAAAATAAAATATATTTACAGGCACTATCTTACCATATGCTCCATGTAAAAATTTGTAACAAATATCATGCTCGATAATGAAAACAATACAATCCACTTACCGAATAGTTCTACTCTTCCCGTGGAGGTACCCAACTTATTTGCTGCCCTGCATACATATTGCCCATACTGCCTTTTTTCTATTGTAATAACCTGAAGAAAAAAAAAACAAAACAATATCCCGCAGTTTTCTAGGTTAATTAACTTACCCTCAAGGTGGTGTCGGTGAACTCATCTGCCACAGCGAAATGGGAAATCTTGTAATGTTGATTATTCGACAAAGTTATCTCATCTTTTTCCCACGAAATCGCCGGAGGCGGATAGGCTTCCACATGGCACTCGAGATCCATATCATACTGCAAGGCTTGCCCTAATCTCGGTCTAGGCACGGTCACCACAGGAGCAAATTCCACCTCCACGGCGATGTTACGTTTCGTACCTTTCCCGACACCGTTTTCCGCCACGCAATAGTAAGTGCCCCGGTCTTCTTTTTGGATGGCTTTAATTTTCAGCTTGTTGCCCCTGTAAATGGAGCCGCCGGTCGGTAAGATGGCGTTGTTTTCGCGCCTCCAAGATATCCTAGGCGGAGGATATCCCCCCGCGTAACATTCCATCTCGATCGCTTCGCCTTCCGAGACCACCACAGATCTGGTGGAGTTGTCGGAAATGAACGGAGGTCTGCGCACTTGGACTTCTACTTCGGCGCTCACTCTATTACTCGGAGAAATAATGATCTGGCACTGGTAGAAACCAGCATCGGTTTCCTGCATATCTTTGATTTGAAGGACATAAGTCGAACTTGTCTACAAACCACCCCTTTCTAGTTTACTTCTAAAACATTAGTCGTAACTTACCGGGTCGTAACGAAGCGAAAACCGCGAATCGTGCAAAATCAGAGAGCTTCCAGTCGATATAGGCAAGCTGGCAGTATTGGTTCCCTTCTCCACTTTCATCCACAGTACCGGATAGTCGGACGTATACTGAACTGAGCAAGCCAATTCGACAGTACCTCCAATATCCTTGATTTGGGTTTGGGATATATAAGAAATCGTGGGAGATCTTTGAGCTTTTGCTAGAAAAAATATAGGTAATATTATCAACCTCCAAGTTTATACAATTTCTATTCATAAATAAAACCATAAAACAAGAAATGTTTTGCGATGTTAATGGTTTTCCCGTAAATTTTTGGCTTTCCAGAAAGAAATTAGATCCTAGTGAAGTATTAATCCATAATATTAAAAAAATTACAAAGGAGGCGTCAGCTCTTTGAAGGCGTTTAATAATTAATGGAAAAAATGAATCATCAATAGTCATCAACTCATTTATTTCTACCGTTTGGTGTATTAAAGGCGTTCTATTAATAACGTAAAAAAAAATGGACAAAGGCGCGTCTTTGAAAGTACGCTTCTCGCCTTTTTACATTTTCTGCGGCATATTTCGCAAAACAAAGTGTCGATAAGCAAGGTCTAGTTCAAACAAACAAATCAACCCGATACGAATCGAACAAGAAATAAATGGGCAATTTGCTGTAAACAAGTAGCCCACGGAAACCGTTGGCCATCACATAAGCGATTTTTAAAGGACGCCACCGAAAAAATTGACACCCAGTAGACGATTTGATAAATCTATTGATAAGATAATGCGACGCCACTTACAGTATGATAAGTTAAATGCGAGCACTATCACCGACACAACCAGCAAGTTCGCCATTTTAACCGTTTCGCTGTTTTGTTCCGTTGTTATGCTGTTTCTTTCCGCCGTTTAAAACACAGACCGGAGTTTTTCAACGTGTACAAACTGACGTTAGACCACACCTGGGACCACCCTGAGACAGTGGCGTGCTGTTTATTACTCAACCCGTTGACTTTAACAGGACAGTGTATATTTTAAATGAGGTTGAGAAAATGTTTAAGTTTGCATTTATACTATTCATGCAACAACGCAAAAACGTTTCTTATCTATAGAGGAAACTAAAATAGTGAGCGCTCAGTGACGTCACTCGGTCCACTGGAAACTAACCGTTTTGATGCTACAATTTCGGTTTTTATTGCAATGAATTCAGGAAAAAATGTATATCAAACAGATAGAGCAACATTAGCATACAACTTGTTGAATAAGCAATCGACAAGCTACCCGTGGTTGGCAAAACCCTTGCAAAAATATTCCAAAAACCACCAGCGACCGTCACCAAAAAAAAGCAGACGTAATACGGATCTGTTTGTGCCAACTCTAAAGGAAAGTCGGCATTAGAAAGGAAGAGTTGATATCAATATGTCGAAAGGTTAGGCAAAACTCGGAGACCAGTAAGTGAAAACAAGTGAGACCCAAAATTTCGCATTTCGAAAGACATTTAATAACTCGAAAATGTTTTAGTAATGTTGCTCTGCGTGGGTAGTCCGATAATCGATTATATCACTGATGTAGATAACGACCCCTCCTTTTTAAAAAAATATCAGCTCGAAAGTGACGGTGCCGTTAAAGCAGATTATCGACACGAAAAACTGTTTGAAGACATTTTGGGATTGCGGGACACCAAAGTCGTACCCGGTAAATATTTTGATCGTATTCTGTTAAAAAAAAAAAAAACGTAAAAATGCCAACTTTTCCGGTTATCAATTTTATAATATACTGACTGTGGTCCGTGAATAAAGTTAAACTCCTAGTTCTATATTTTATTGTTTAAAACAAAAGAAAACATCACACAATAAAACAAAGTTACAAAGAGCCATTCAGTTGTTTGTGACAGTATATACACCACAATAATAGTTATATATTTCCACAGTTGCCAAATAAAAGAAAAATCCCATTTTATGTACATTTTAAATATATAAAAACTAAGGCAACATAGAAATACCACCAGTGTCATTAAACACTGTTTGTTGTACAACTATAAATTCGATTTAAAAAATCCGCATGTTATAATGCACAGGTAAATTGGTTTGACGACAATATACGAACTTATGAAACAATCATAGATTTTTGATAATATAAACTAACTAAACCATCCAAAACTAACCTGCAATTCGCGCCATTTTCTTTCTGAACAGCGATTTCCGCACACTGAACTTGTGTTCCCGGAATATTCATCCAGATCTAGGCATATTTTGAGAAAAATGCCGCACCCAAACTTATTGACGATCTGTCAGCGACCATGTTGGTTGTTGAATGCGGCAAGGTGATTGGTTAAAAACATGTTAAATCTCGCGCATGCGCATATTAAATAGACTAACAATTTTTTCAAAGTTGTTCACATCAAGAAAAAGGCCCATTAGTTCACCGAAAGTATAGTGCTTTTACAGATACAAGGTTTTGGCTTTACAAGTAACCTCCCGATCTGATTGCGCATGGCAATGGAAATGGAAATGAACATTGTAAAATGCTTTAGGGCAGGGTCGGACTGATTTTATATATATTTATATAAACCATTTTCACTTACATTATATTATTCTATTTGCAATTCTGTGCCGCTATCGTTAGCTTCTTCTAAATGAGTTAAAACAGTTTTATATAGCAATATTATTGAACTTGCTATAACATTTTTCTAACGAAATACTCAATTTTAGTTGGTGCCTCATGTCATCTGTAGAACTGAACACACATTAATATGGCACCAGTAATGCCGTTTCCTCTGCTAAAGAGTCTCATATACTTTTGCTAGACTTTGCTAAAAGTGCACATTTTTTATAACTTTCTTCAATAAATATATCATTTAAAACCCATAGTTTTGAATTTCCAATGTTGGTTTTGGAGCTACGGTCAAACCATTAATCGGTGAAAACACTATCCATAAAATATTGTGAATTAGTATTGTTGTGACAAAGGTCTCCGAAAATTAGTAGTTAAGGCGGTAATTTTCTAGCGTTTCCTTGGAAAACTTAATTTTCGGGTCATCCTAAGGTTAGATATTTCTTTAACTGTTTCAGCCGGTAGCGTCACCAACACCGCACGGGTTTTCCGATGGATTTCGAAAAAAGGCGAGGTTATGTACGTCGGTGCGATAGGCAAAGACAAAAACGGGAGGTTAATTAAACTGCGATTGGACAGCGAAAATGTACCGTACCGTTTCTTAGAGAGGAAAACTGAGATGACAGGAAGATGCGCGGCTCTCATTTCGGTGGGAGGCAAATACAGATCGCTTGTAACAGATTTAGGGGCGGGAGGTACATTTCGACCCGAAGATTTAAACGATAATTTATGGGAAACTATTAATAAATGCACGATGATTTACATTTCGGTAAGTTTCCGAAGGGCGCTAAAAGTTAATAATTATCCCAAAAAACACAAGGCACAGGGCTCGTAATTATCCATTCAATTCTACAAGTGTCACACTTCAAGATGTAATTCTGGAACATGTAAAACTTCTGGAACCCAGGTATGGATGTCTCATTAAACACACCCAAATTTCTTTTGAAATCCAAAAAGGTCCATTAAAGAACTATTTTACTAAATTATTAAACTATTAACTAAATATTTTCGTACCTACTTCACGCGTCCGTTCATTAAATTGGCGTCAATAAAATGACGGGAATCGTTTGGTTAGGATGTCAAGGTTTAACCAAAGCATCCTGACATTTAGTTTTTTGGTTAGTAACGGTGGTTCTTATTCTGTGTACCTCTCTAAACTAGCATTTCATAATCCTACAAAACTTAGAATCCCTGAAATATGCTTTTGGTATGGTTATATCATATCCGACAATGGAATATTTAAAGGATATCCAAAAGATTCGCTACTGGATGTCCAAAAGCTGTACGAAAATGATAGTCGTGGGTGAATTATATATGTACTAATTTAACATAACCAACGGATGTGTTATCTGTAATCAAACGAAATAAAATTTTCTTGGTTATAAAGTACGTTTCGGTCAAAAATCGTAGCCAATCTCCGGAGATACATTGTACCGGGTGGCCCATTAATAAAGGACGCCGGTCATATCTCAGAAACCGTTAGTTCTATAAATTAAAAAAGAAATATATTGGTAAATTATTTTCAGGTTCATAAAATGGCCGCTATATCCAAATTAGTTTTAACGTAATCTACTCTAAATAAAGAAACTATTTTGTTTGAATTATTTTTTTCCATTTCGTCAAATTAAGGGTTGGGTCAAATATTGGTTTAGAAAAGGTTGAATAACTTTTTTTAGCTAATGCGATTTCTACGAACTTAGCTTAGTTTTAAAACGTATTTGGAGTTTCGACTGGCATATTAATATGACGACATTAATTCTTTTACGAGTCGGTAGGAAGCGCTTCATATCAAAAATAGTTATTTTTATGATATTCTCGAAAATTTCAAATATAATGAAATAAATATATTTAGCTAGGATGAAAGAGTGTAAAAAAACACAGCAAGTAGTGGAAACGGCATGGCAATATAAATTAATTTAAAAATACTTTTTACGTAGGTATGATAGAAGTAGTTGTTGCATCAGGGTTTTCGGTGGTCTGTGATGTTCATATTCTATGGTCTTGAGAGGTTAGAATGTGGGACTCTCGACCCGGTATCTCGCGCGCTTATGTCCGAACCTCATGACGCAGATTAAATAAAGGACTTTTAGTGGAGTTCTCTTTTATTACAAAAAGCCTCCAACACGACAGTAGTATTAGCCGTTACCATGCCAACCGCTAAGTCTACTTAGTTATGTTATCCTTTTCTTCAATATTGACAATAACATGTAATATATTAATAAATTTTATTGACGATTCTTTTTTAACTATAATTGATTATTCGCGATTATTATGGACAAATTAGGACAAAATCAAACTCTAGTAGAAAATATAAGCCCACGTCACGCCTGTCGTCTCTGGTACTATTACTACGCGGCGATTGAAAAATATGATTAATAAACACATTTTATTTATATCTCAAAAGGGAAAAAAGATATTGCCATGCCGTGTCCACTTTTCTTTCATCTTAGCAAAAATATTTATGCCATTATATTTAAAATTTTCTAGAAAGTCATAAAAATAGCTGTTTTTGAAATGAAGCGCCTCCTACCGACTCGTAAAAGAATTAATATCGTGATATTGACATGCATATCGAAGCTCCTATAAATACTCTATAAAACTAAACTAAATTCCTCAAAATCGGATTAGTCAAAAAAAAGTTATTCAACTTTTTCTAAAATAATATTTGGCCCGTCCTTACCAAGAGTAGATTACGTTAAAATAAATTTTGAAATAATTTAATTTGGAATATTTTTGAGAAAACCCGGTTTTTGTATTAGAGGATATGCCGCCTAGCGGCCATTTTATGAACTTGAAAATAATTTCCAGCTCTTTCTCTTGGCCGATTTACCTACATTGAATAAAAAAGTTTTATGTGACCGAATAGGCAGAAATTTTATTTAGTTACAATAACTATGAGATAACAACTATTAAATTTATACCGCGTTCGATTTGTTTTGTTCACAAATTTTTCAGGCATTTTTTTTGAACGTATCCGTGGAGGTAACCGAGCTGCTCATCCGCCATTTCAAAAGAGCCGGGAAAAAAGTGGCAGTAAATTTGGGCGCGGAATTTTTGTGTAGGCTGCATCCGGGAAATGTTCGATATATGGTCGAAAATGCTGATATTGTTTTTGGGAATGTGAAGGTAAAATTAAAACAAAAAATACACAGGGTGGGCCAAATTCGGTGAAAATATCCAATTTTCGTATACTACATAATGGTAAAAATCTCAAACGGTTTCAGATTTATGGGGTCTTTTTTGAAAATGCCCATTAAAAAAACTTTTTAATAGTTTAATATTTATCAACAGATAAATCGTTTTTCTTATATGGGACCTCCGGTATATTTTTGAAAATAACATATATCACAGTCGATATTCTTTTCGAATACTTAATGCTTAATAAAATGGAATGGAATCAATGGAAGTATGATATATAGGGTGTTCCATTTGAATTTTTTAACGAAAATTAGTCCTTTTCGTCTTGATCGACCCTGTATAAATGATTCCAACTAACTTCAAGACAATTATGGGATAAATGACTGTATCACTTTATAAAATTGTTGGCATCATAAAATTACAACTGTCGGAAACGGCGCCAAAAATATAGGGTATTAAACACAAGGCATTTTTGACGACAAAATAGGCGCAAAGAGCATAAAAGAGAGTATCTGTTAATGCCATAATATACACGGTGTCCCATTTAAATTGTTGTACTTTTGTATTTAACATTTTTCCTTTAAACAAATAGTAAAATATATTACTTTGACACACTATTTGGACACTCTGTATATTTCGCCTAGCCGGTATAATTTGCGAAAATTGGTATTCATGGAATTTTTATTCTAGGAACTCAATTTCTGTTTTTATGAATAACTGGCACACTCGGTATATTTTGAAAAAAATTATCAAACATAAGGGTTTGTAGTTCGATATTGGCCGTCGTGTAGTTTAGCAATTTTTTTCTATCGCACAACCGGTTCTCGTGAAATGTGCCACGTCTCTGTGCATGTTTAGATTTACGAAAAAATAGCACACTGCTCCGAAAATCGTATTTACATATAATATATTATATGGTCGATGTCAAACACGTCATATTTTTTAGGAGCTGCTCGTCCTGTGCGAAACCTTGGACATAATCGGCCAAACCACGGAGGAATTGTTGGAAAAATTTTACTGCGCGTTTACCGACGAAACTTCGAACACAGAAAAAATTTTGGTGTTTACCGCAGATAGCAAGCCGGTGGTGACGCGTTCGCGGGCGGGCCTGAAATATTTCCCGGTGGGCGTCGTTGATAATATCGTCGACACCAACGCGTGCGGGGACTCATTCGCTGGCGGTTTTCTGGCCAAGACCATGGAGCGTTGTTCTCTTGAGGAGTGCGTGAGGTGTGGTCTGTGGTGTGCCGCCGTCGTAATTCGAACTATGGGCTGCGAATTCGAAACCGTACTCGAATACGAGCAAACTTAACCTGTGTTTTTTTTTGTTTCCCAAAAATGTTGTGGTTTTTACCAAAGAGAAAACTAATAAAAAGGGATAAAATAAGAATAGTCGACTTATTTGTCACTGACACGTTGCCATGACATATCTGAGGTGGCAAAAGCCGCTATGTTATTTGTCTCAGAAAATAAGAAAGTTATCAGATAAGGCAGATTATCTCTGTCTTATCACTTGTGGAGTCTCGCAGAAACTGAATGTCATTTAAATTCCCTTGAAGAATTATATCCAACTCAGATTCAAGAGGCATATATGTAATACTAGATCTTTTTTCTTTATCAATGGTTGTACCTTTGAGCACAAACACAATGAGCTACGATAGACTATCACATGATTATCAAACCCGTGGTAGAACTGAAAGTGTGCTCTGGTTGCCTGCTGTTTCCATGTTTATTAAAAGCAAAACATAACTTCAATACTTCAATTGCTTTGGACAGAACAATTTGTTTTGTGTTTGGAAACTGGAAAGCTTTTCCTTTAATCTTGAACTATGGTATGAATTCGTAAAGCGAACTATTGGTAATATTTTTTCCCACCAGAGGTCTCATTAAATTGTAAAATCGCCAATTTTGTACTACTGCAACCTAAAGGTTTCAGCCACGCCCAGTTTATATGTAAAAGAACAATTATTTTTCAAAATAAAATATTCACTCTTTTGCGCATTATAGGTTCTCTGATCTAGATGCTGCAAAAATGTTTATTTTCAAATTCGAAATCTTAACGTAATGCATAGTACCTGATTTGTTGTGAGAAGTTCAACAATAAATAATAAAAATAAATAAGAACTAAAAGTTCAGATTTTCACGAAATTATATATTTTGATATGACAATTGTTTCGACAACACCGTGTCTTTATCAAATGTAATATTTACAAACTACCTGTTACTATATATACCGAAAAATGACCATAAAACCTTAATTAATGTTGTTGTGAGAATTTAAATACAATAAAGGAGAGGTATTTAAATCTAATTAATCGTTAAGCAATACTTTCATTCGACCAGTGTATAATAATAAGTTCGATAGATCAGTGGGACTACTATAATGTTTTACACAGGCGGGCGTAATCAAACTACCAGTTCGCAATAACATATATTATCATCTAAAATACAATTTGAAAATGCAAACAGACGAAACACTAATACATTTAAATAAAATACAATTAAACGCGTCCCTGTGGCTTCCAGCAACTAACTCGTATCCCCGTTCAAAGGGCTTCGAATCCCCAAAATATTGTCAAACAAAGGTGTATAACTTTATAATTATTTCCTGACTGTGAAATTAAGAAATGTTTTTACTAAAATTTCTTTGGTTTTCTCATGTATGACTCGCTTAAAGTGACCTAGGTACCTTTCTGAATAAGTTTTGCTTAGTTGCGGTTAGTGGCATATAGCTATAAGATAATATAGTGGCCCTACTACGGTAAAAAGTGATGCGTCGCAGGTGTTATTCTCGTAGAGAAGGTGTGGATCTTTTGCGCATGCGTCACGCCCCAACTAGCTGAGTTGCCACATTTCCGTAATTTTTCTGAAAAAATTGACTAATTTTCATAAGAACGCAAAATCAGTCTCTGAAATTCGAATATAATTGGCAACGCCGAACTAGGAACTGCTATTGCCAGAGACTACTAATAGTCTGTGCCATTGTTGTTTACATTTTTTGTGGTTATGATTCTCTCCGTACCTTTGTCGTGTTTTTGCAAAAAACTTGTGTTTGTGGTCAAAACTGTAACGAAAAGAATGTGCCTATATACTAGTAAATGTGTGGTTTCTATAGTCACATTTCGTGAATTCGACTTTAGATAGAAAAATAGAAGTTAAACCAATAAGTTTAAAAAAACACACTGTCTGCTGCGATTTACGGGCACAAAAACGCTAAATACTTACAGAATTATACTAAGGACGCCGATCCGTCTGCATAATATTAACTCTGGCCTTTTCGCTAGTTTTTTTAACAACACTTTCTACACCTTAATTCCATTTTTGCCTGAAAATTTAAGGGGATTTCGACACATTTTGAGAAATTACTGCATCCAATCATTCACGACCTGTCAGCGGCCATGTTGGTTGTTGGAACCCGCAAGGCCTTATGGGTAGAACGTCAGAAAATGCAATTAGAGCTGCCATTGGTAAGAAACGAAATTTCAAATCTCGCGCACGCGCCCATTGACCAGACCTCACAATTTTATTACATAGTTGCTTTACAAGTTCCCGTACTATTAGCCTAAGCAGGGCCTCTATAAGTCTAGTAGCTATATGGTTAGTGGTCAAGAAATTTTAGATAGAAAGTTCTTTGTACTTAATGGAATTTGCAGATTATTTACCTTAGTAAAGTGATAAAAATGGAGATAACTTTCAGCAGACCGACCTGTTTGATTTGCTTACTGTTTAGGAAATATTTAAGGTTGTATTACTTGTTATTGAAAAGTAAGCACATTAAGAGATGGCCGCAAAATAAAAATTAGGCTTAGTACCATTTTCAAAAGGAAAACGGGGTGCCTTTTTTTTACTGTATAGATTTAGGCTAATTAGGAATATTTGCAAACTTAGGTTTAATGACCATTCGAGATTTTCGAATCTAGACTTATACCAGATGTCTTTTTTTATTGCGTCTGGAAAATTTTAAATATTAAGATCCAATTTGTTAAATTGCACACCCTGTATATTATTTGACCATTTCTCATTTTTTGCGCATTCTATTGAGTATTGAATTGTATTGCATTCCTGAAAAACTGAATTGAATATGTATACCCAAGACAAAAGACTATAACACTGTCGTAAACTTAAACAAATACTTTTGTTATGAATAATTCAGGGAAACATTTTATTTTACATCTATGAAGGTGTAAAAGACGCATATATATAGAGGGTGAATGAATTATATGAAATTAAAAAATGCTGTCCAATATTTTCAAAATTGAAATGCAGGTAGTAAACCTAGAATATCAATACCGAAGAATTGGAACAAAATTCTATTAAATACAAACAACTTGTAATTAAAATTTCTTGATTATTACCCGATACATTTATTTATTTTTAAAAAACTAACGTACGCTTAAGTTTCGACTATAAAGCAAAAATACTCAGCTATGCTGCTACAATCGTTTTTGTATACCCTTTTTTTTAAAGTTCCTTATAATAAAAAGTTCATTGGCGTCAAATCGGGGCTCCTAGGGGACCCAGCAACCATATTGTAATGGTGCCGTAATGGAGACGATAGGGAGCACTGTATATAGATATAGAAGATGGATAGAAGAAAGGTATAATGTGCAGGGTATAGTATTAGAAGATGAATTATTGGTATTTACGAATTTCGAAATCCATAGAGTAAAAAATGACACTGGGTCTTGCTCGCTTCTCTTAATATACTGATTTTTCAATAACAAGTCACATAACCTTACATATTTTCTAAACTACTAAATACAAATAATAAAAATAAAAAATTAAACATTTTAAATTTCAAAGTTGACATCGGCATCGAAGAAATGGGGCACTCAGATAACTACTACAGGTTTTGAGAAAAGTATTGTGTGAGAGCTACATATATTGGGTTTTATTAAAAAGTCTTACGTTTCGGCTATAAGTAGCCATCTTCAGGTTATAAATAACAAACAAAGGCAAAACTGCTCAGCGATGCTGCTGTTATAAATACTTTTGTGTACCCTACTTTTTAATTTTTCCTATAAAGAAAGTCCATTGGTGTCAGATCAGGACTTCTAGGGGCCACGCATACGTCCAATATTGTAATGATGACGGAAATAATTTATTACAGGTTGGAGACGATGATATCAAACACTGCATATAGGTATAGAAGATGGAAAGTGGATACAGAAGAAAGGTATGATATACAGGGCGTGGCATAAAAAACGAATTATTGGTATTTACATAAAGTAAAAAATGTCACTGGGTCTTGCTTTTGCAAATAGTACCTAGTCTAATTCTCTTAATAAGCTGATTTTTCAATAACAAGTCACATTACCTCAAAATCTTTTCTAAACTGCGTTGAAAGTTACAATAAATGCAAATAATAAAAATAAAAAAATTAAATATAGGGTGTTCCATTTCAAATTTCAAAGTTGACACCGTTTTTTAAATTTCAATAACTGTCGAATGTCATTATATTTGTTTTTTTTTATTTGACCGAAAACAGTAACGAAATCCCGCACCTTTTTAAGGCTCCCTTAATATTCGACCGTGACGCATTTGGTTTTCAAATATTCGTTGAGGGCCTCTTGTCCCAAATCTTTGCCGAAGCCGCTCTGCTTGACCCCGCCGAACGGCGCCGCGACGTCCGTCTTGTTGTAAGTGTTGACGAAAACTGTTCCGGCCTCGATTTTTTCCGCAAAACGCAACGCTTTCGAAATGTCTTTGGTGAACACGCCCGAAGCCAGACCGTATTCCGTAGCGTTCGCCCGTTTGATCACCCCGTCGATGTCGCTGAAACGGAAAGAGATTGAAACGTTTGAGGATATACCTCGAATTCCGGCCGACAAAACCATATTAGGCTTCCGTTTCGTTGATTGACGTAAGGAAATTGCGGGTTGATTATTTTAAAACATTTATTTTGTCACAGTCACTAAAAAAATGTAAAAGCAGGGGGACAGTTACACTGAAAATAGCAGTTTTCTTTTCTTTAGATATTTTCGAAACGTCTCGATTCACGAATCGAACGTCAAACGTCCAGATTTTTAAAAGCGTTAGAGAATATATCTCGATCTCCGGCCGGCAACACCATATTAGGTTCCTTTGTTTTGTTGTCTTGAATATTTACAAACTACCTGCTACTATATATACCGAAAAATGCAATAAAACCTTAGCTAATGTTGTGAGAATTTAAGTTCAATAAAGGAGAGGTATTTAAATCTAATTGATGGTTGAGCAATATATTTGAATATCTCATTTATTCTATTTATCCGAAATCTAATACAGAATACGAGAAATTTAAAACAATTACATACATAGGAGAACCCAGTGAAAAAGTTTCAAAACATTTGTCAAAATGTGGTTTAAAAATATCTTTGAGAACTAACAACACAATAGCAACATTTTTATAAAACAATGAAACGAAATGTCCAAAATCTCAAAAACCAGGTTTCTACAGGTTGAAATCTTAAAATTTATATTGGACAAACAGGTAGATCCTTCAAGAAACGCATTAACCAATATAAAAAACCGTTTAAAAGCAACAGTCTAGATTCTAATTATGCTACACACTTAAACACAGAAAAACACATTTTTGACGACAATTTTGATATTTTACATACAGCCACAAAAAGTAGAAAATTAAATTTATTGGAAGCCATGGAGATTAACAAAATGAGACATTCAAATGTATTGCCTAACGATCAATTAGATTTAAATACGTCTCCTTTATTAAACTTAAATTCTCACACCAACATTAATTAAGGTTTTATTGTCATTTTTCAGTATATATAGTAGCAGGTTCTTTGTAAATATTACATTTCATAAATATATTACATTTGATAAATATTAATATAATATAATATATATATATATATATATATATATATATATATATATATATATATATTATATATATATATATATATACATATATATATTACATTTGATAAATATTAATATAATATATATATATATATATATATATATATATATATATATATATATATATATATATATATATATATATATATATATATATATATATATATATATATATATATATATATATATATATACATATATATATATATGTATATATATATATATATATATATATATATATATATATATATATATATATATATATATATATAATTTAGTGAAAATCTGAACTTTTAGTTCTTATTTATTTTGATAAATGGATTTTCATCAAGTAAAAGCCACCTCAGTTCAATTTCAGGATATATTCCGCTTGGGTGTAACCATGGTTATGAGTGTACTTTTCCAACAGATGGCATTATAAGTAGACATCTGAAGCAGGGGCTTCTATGGTCGGTAGTTGGTATTGTTTTTGAAGCTTATATATCGAAATTGAGCATAAAATATAATAAATAAAGCATCGATCCTTTATGAGAGTGTTGCCCGAATTCACTTACTAGATTATGTGAAGTTACTTCAATAACTCCCTGTATATTGAACACTCACCCATTGCTAAACCTGCTGACGATCATGATCGGCCCAAACGATTCCTCCTTAGCGATATACATGTGGTCCTCTACGTCGCTAAAAATGGTCGGTTCAAAGAAATACCCGGGCCTATTCAGTCTCTTGCCTCCGTATACCAGTTTAGCACCCTCTTTCACCCCTGAAAAATAACAAAGGGAACATTAAAAAAGATTAGTTAAAAACAATTGACTATAAAGAAATTTGAGTTCAAGTTTCCAGAATCATACGAATTAATTTTTAGCTGATCGTTTTACCTATTTGCACGTATTCCAAGAGTTTGTTCAGGTGGGCGAGGTGGTTCTGTGGTCCGTGCGCCGTGGATTTATTCAGCGGGTCTCCTATGGCGATTTTTTTCGTTTCCGATACTACCCGCCTTATGAACTCGTTGTAGATACCGTCCTCGACGAACAGCCTGCCGGCCGCTATGCAATTTTCGCCCTTGTTGAAGAAAACGCTCTGCATCCCCTACGAAGAAGATACACATAAAATTAGGAACAATAAATGATAGTTTCGGTAACATACAAAAACAAAAATGTTATTAAAATGTGTGCTTATACATGAAAACACATTATACCAAATGTAAACCCTTAAATCGCAATACTCAAATCACATTAAATAATTAAACCAACAAATCAAAATGGTGGCGGCGGCAGCAGTTTGTATGACGTCACACCGCAGGAAAGTACACGGCACGTTACGACTATAAGAGCCATTTCAAGCATTTCTCTCTGATTTCTTAACAAATTTGCATCGTTAGTCTCGGTTTTTAAATGTTGAATTTTTATATCTATTATGTAAACTACTGTTCAACTGAGAAAGATCAATATAAAATATTCATTCGGGAAGAGCACAAACATTCACGTTTGTGAAGATTATTTCAATGTAGGTATAAATACTTAAATATAAATAATTAGGATTAGATAAACTCACCAGTAAAGCCTACAATATATCTTCTATTACATACTTACCTAAATAAACAAAATATCTAGATACTAATTTAATTAGATATAGGTATCTAATTTTCTAGTAAAAATATGACCTACGTACCCATTATTTATACTTAATAAATATTTGATTATGTATGTTATTTTTTCATTTCAGATTACTGTAGATTTAGATAATTATGTTAAGTTTTTAGCTAAATCTTATGTGTATGAAACCTCACATTTTTAATTGCCAGCCAGCTAGAAAAACACTTGTGAAGTGAAGCTCGTAGTAGTAGTCATAGTGAAGCGAGTGAGGAACTTTCGGATGAAAAGAAAAATTCATTTAAAAGTATGTATTTACGCTCTACAGTAATGATGAGATTACCTAACGATTATTATTTGCTTGAAAAATACTGTAAAATAGAGTCTATGAATATATTTTTGCCTTTAAACAAAAATTAGAAGCAGAAGTACATTTGTTTGCTTGAGAGATGACTTTGTAACAAGAAAATTTCTTTAGTGAAATTAAATTTGGAACTTTATACAATAATGATTATTGTATTATTGATTGCATTGCTTGAAAATAGAAATAGAAAAAGAGTATAAGATAAAAAACGGTAACGTGAAGTTAAATTTAATTTAACCACAAAGTTAAATGTTCATCAACTTTAAAATTAAATTCAGTCTTAAACAACAATATCCCTGTAGTTATTGATAGAACAAGGCTCTCAAACAGAGTAAATGTTGTACCTAAATATAATATATAATAAACGGTATTTTTAAAATTAGTAATTTGGGGCACCATTCATATTGATGATAATGTCCTTTAGACCTTGATTATAGATTATAGATCTAGGAGATGACTGGAGGATTCGACCCACGCAATGTGGGCAAATCAGTCGGTAATAATTAGCCTACTAAATGCAGTTTAAAATATTTTTTTAGTAAATTAATCAACAAAAACTTTAGAAATATTTTTTAGTTTTTTTCTGGCATATTTTTTAATCTCCATGTAACAAGAGTGAGAAATGATATTTTTTGTATGTATGTGTGAGAAATGATATTTTTTGTATTTTTCAATACTTTATCAATGTGTTTAGTACATTTTGTATATATATTTTTTTAATCTCCAAGACCACAATTTTGACATGATTTTATAATTGTTTCATATACAGAATGACCCATAATGAATGCGCGAAAAAGCAATCCTAAATTAAACTCATAAAAATTACCATCAGGCAGATACAGGGTGTTTAAATTTAGTCCTAGAAATTGTTATATCTCGAACGGTTTTTTTTTGAGATAAGGAATTCCTTAATATCCCAAAATCTTACTAGTTTATGCGTTTTTTTTTTTCGAAAAATTATGACAGAGTGATGTTTATTAGCTGTCATTATTGATATGTCTGGGGTACCATATACTGGTCATTTTTCAGCTTTAATCCATTTTTTTTAAATTTTTTAATCATGGTCATGGCACGATTTGAATATTATATCGGAATAGCTGAACCAAGCTAAATGCTTCTTCACAAATTGCCACTTAATGTTTATATTGGGATTATTCGCCAGCAAAGTTTACTAATACTTGGCTTTCAGTCACTTTCCTTAAAATGTTTTTGGAAATAACCGATAGAATGTAGAGTGTGATACAATATATAATCAAAATTATTCAAAATCCAATTCAATTCAAAATTTTAAGTATTTAAGTCCAAGTCTTTGCAAATATGCAAATAAAATCTAAAACTTTATTGCTTATAAAGGAACGGGCCCTAATGCTAGGATTAACCATACGCTAAGTAGATGCCTTTTCTATCAATTTCTCAAAATTTAAACAGTCACAGTAACAGACGTATAAAATAAAGGTACTAACCAATCTTACTGCCTTGTCTAAATCGCAGTCCGAGAATATTACCAGCGGAGATTTGCCTCCGAGTTCCAGAGACACTTTTTTCAGGTTCGATTCTGCACAACTCTTCATGATGACTTGTCCTATTTCCGTACTGCCCGTAAATCCTAATTTCCTCACTTCCGGATGGGTCGCTATCGCATTTCCGGCGTGAGACCCTTCGAATTAAACGGATACAATGAAAAACAAACTATGTATAATAATTAATCCTCAAAAGAGATGTACCTTGCGTTCAATTTATCTTGATAAAATTTTAATTAGCTGTAACTTTTTTGTTTTTAGAGATATCAAGGTAAACGAAAAAACAAAATGTAGGGTTAGTTTTGATTAGCTTTTTTCCAAGGCTCTCGGAAATACCCCTCAGTCACGATTAAAATGAGGCACAGTGTACAGGGTGGCCCGTTTACCTTATCTCGAAATTTAAATACAAAAGTTGTTTCCATTAAAATGACTTTTATTTTCCCAATCGTCACTTATTTATTTACAGGGTGGTAAAACAAAGTTACATTTTTTTAAATAGAACACCGTACATTTCAACGATATATATATATATATATATATATATATATATATATATATATATATATATATATATATATATATATATATATATATATATATATATATATATATATATATATATATATATATATATATATATATATATATATATATATATATATATATATATATATATATATATATATATATATATATATACAATACAAAGTTGTTTCCATTAAAATGACTTTTATTTTCCCAATCGTCACTTATTTATTTACAGGGTGGTAAAACAAAGTTACATTTTTTTAAATAGAACACCCTACATTTCAACGATATATATATATATATATATATATATATATATATATATATATATATATATATATATTCTCACGTATTGATTCACGGATGGAAAAATGTGATGACACTATATTCCGGGATATCATCCGTTCGCTCGTTGAACTCCGACTGGAATCCTGCATCCGACTGGAATCCTGCAAATCTTGCATCCGACTGGAATCCTGCAGACGTTTCGCCAAAATCTCACTTGGCATCTTCAATGCTCGCGCTCCGAAAACACTTCGAACACTTCGAAGTGTTTTCGGAGCGCGAGCATTGAAGATGCCAAGTGAGATTTTGGCGAAACGTCTGCAGGATTCCAGTCGGATGCAAGATTTGCAGGATTCCAGTCGGATGCAGGATTCCAGTCGGAGTTCAACGAGCGAACGGATGATATCCCGGAATATAGTGTCATCATATATATATATATATATATATATATATATATATATATATATATATATATATATATATATATATATATATATATATATATATATATATATATATATATATATTGTTTAGTTTTCGTTTTATTATCTTTCGACTTCTTATGAATTTATATATATAAACCTATAGCTTATCGATTGGCCGCGAGTACAGCACCAAGAAGTTATTCTTCTTCCTTTCCTCGCGGTATTAAATTCTTGAACTTAACTGGCCATCTATACCCGCCAGCGCCCTTAGGCGCATGCTCCACTAAAAATCACGGTGAAGCGCTAAATCGGTCGCTCTCATCGTGTGGTTCAAAAGGTGCCGTTGAACGCATCACGTCATACGCGTGGTGATCAACAAATTTCCTCACCACTCGAGGCACAGAGAACGCAGCACGGGCCGGCCCCTCCGGAAGGAAGACCAAAAGCGAGGTAGGGTCAGTTAAGTAATCAAAAATCTTTTGATCCTGTCTTGAGTAATTTTTGCGACTTCTTGCTGTGCCAGCTGCGGCCAAAGTCCGTTTCCGCGCGGACGAAACATATATACATATATATATATATATATATATATATATATATATATATATATATATATATATATATATATATATATATATATATATATATATATACATATATATATATATATATATAGTATAATTGATATTGCTATTAAAGTGGCTATTCGAAAATCTAATAATATATAGGCTGCCCAATTTAAGAAAATTGAGAAAAATATCATTGCCTAAAGAAAGGCATTATTTTGGTAAAAAAAATAAAAGGGATAAAAGCTTAAAAAGTTAATAAGCAACTTAACAATGATGGTTTAAACATAACCTGAAGATGATCGCTCATAAGTTCGAAACGGTGCGACACAGATCCATACTCATATATATCGTTGAGAGGACTATCCAAAAATGCAATAAAATGTAAAATAACGTTGTTTTGCCACACTGTATATAAAAAAAATCTTTCTAATATGAACAACTTTTGTATTTAATTTATTTTTGTACCCCCCGTAGGTTTCGAGATAACGTTTAGGTTCCTCTTAAACGGGCCACCCTGTATAGTAAACGAGAGCTAAAACCGTTCTTAGAAGCACGTGTTCCGAAAATAGAAAGACGCCACTCACCCGTTCCAGGTAAGACGTTAATCACACCCGGTGGAATACCAGCTTTGGCCGCCAGTTCGGCGAACTTCAACGCCGTCAGTGGTGACACCTGGGCGGGTTTGATCAGGACGGTGTTGCCGGCGGCGAGACAAGCGGCCATTTTCCACGACAGCATCATCAGCGGATAGTTCCATGGCGTTATCAAACCGCAAACTCTGGAGCGGAAAAGTGAGATGTTAATTTCCGCGAAGAAATTTAATCGGAACACATCGCGTACCCAATGGGTTCCCTTTTGGTGAAACTTAGGTTCCTGTTGGGCCGGGCGTGCGACACCGGTATGGTGGATCCCTGGATCTTGTCCGCCCATCCTGCGAAGTACCTCCACGTTTCTATGCTCATACCGACGTGGGTTTTCAACGCTAAAGTGTAAACAGCGCCCGAATCTATAGATTCTATGGTGGCCAGTTCCTCTTTGTGCTGTTGCATCAAGTCTGCTAATCTGAAGAACGGTTTTCGTCGATAAATCGAAGTTATAGTCCTTTCGCAAATAACTAGTTCTGACTTATCGAACGCAACAAAACTGCCAGCCTTGCTGGTGCAAAAAAAAGTTCGACAATAGACACGGGCATAAGAGTATTTACAAGTCTTCTGGTTTCCTCCTGTTGTTGATGAACCGAACTTGCTGACGTTTCACCCATGATCCTGTTGACTTCTTCAGAGCTTAACTGAAATATTGGTTTGAGGGGGCGGAGCTAAAGGAGGGACCTGATTCGCAGTTAAGATTGTTTGGTTGCTTATATGCTATAGATTCTATAGATGTGTTCGGCAACTGCTGATGAGTTTGCTTATGTTCTTTGAGTCTAGTTGATCAAACGGAATTTTTAGGCAAGTGCTGGTTTCTTTATTTATTAAAAGAGAGAGAAAGACATCAGCTAGAAACCAGAACAAAATCTAACAATAAATGAGCTTGTAAGAGGTGAATAAACTCCAGCTTCTGTTAAATTGTATGGTATGTAAAAGAGCTGGACAATAATACTAACCATTCAGAATTTTAAAGAGAAAAACTGGAATCTTCCATTATAGTTATTGATATAAGCCTTTGAAGGCAAAGATGTTAAAAATACTTTCTGAACGGCTTCGATGTCATCTATATGGTAGGCATAATATGGAGACCATATCACAGATGCACACTCCAGTCTAGAGCGAACCAAAGCGGTATCAAGGAGTTTAAAGCAAAGCAGAGTAAGTTGGTCACTGTTTACCACTTCTCCCCAAAATGTGTCACAAAATTTAATTTAGAATCGAAGAAAACAAACAAAATTTTAGATGGAAGCTGTCGAGGGCTTTCCTCTTAAAGTATACTCTCGCTGACTGGTGATAATAAAGAATCCATAGCTGTTCCCGACGTTTGTTCATAAATTTGACAAAAAAAATATGTTCCAGACAAGCAAAATAAGAAGGTTTGGTTCCATATTCTCGGGTTTTAATATATCTGAAATAATGTTGAGAGTTTCAAGAATAGGCACTTTGGTACGTGGAAACTAACCAGAATATGCGGTGATTTCATTAGCTGTTTTAGATGGCAGTTTTTGGGATAATAAATAGGCTGGAGAAGGACAAAGTTGGAATCTTTTGCAAGAATTGATTTTTCCGTCTCAGAAAGTTGTTGCTATGATGATATATTTACCACAGCGTTTGGTAGTTGAGAAGAGTCTGATGATTAAGTGTGATTCTGGGTGAAAGATAAACATGACGGGGACAAACTAGGTTTACGAAGAATTCAATAATAACCGACGCAGGAGGAATCCAGAAGTTTTGTGTTTGTTTTTTTCAATGGATATTTATTCTTCTTTGGACTAATTGTTTTGGATACATTTTATATATAAGTACAGATAAATGCAAAGTAGGGCATAAATAATATTTTAAATTTGTTTCTGTTAAACTTTGGCATTTTTTTAAAATTCGGAATAATATATACTGAAACCTATTAGTTGTTCGAATATTTTAATTTTTCTAAAAAAATATTAGTTTTCATGCCACTGCGTTGTGGAATTAACATGTCAATTTTTTTGTGTTAATTGGCCGAAACAAGTTTTAAAATACAATAAAACATATTTATTTATTCATAGTTATCTATATTATGAATTACGTCCTTCTGGGAACTAAACGCAGTGGATATTTTTATTGGAATTCTACTAATCACTAAGTATCGAATTCGGGTGTTCCTTGAAAAGGTCATTTGGACATCAATAGTTTATTATAAAATACATATTATTACTAAATGATAAATATAATAAGACCAAAAATATAGTGCATTTATTTCCTTGACGTTTTAAGTATTTTGCAATACCTTCGCAGGATCGTGGTAAAACCCATCCCAACCGATGTTTTTTTGTATTAAGCAGGTTTTGCCTGTAATGGACCGTAACGAATATTTGTAGAGCTTTGACCCTGCGAGGTTGTTTTCACTGGATAGTTCAAAGGATAAGGGTAAGTACTCTCTTTATTTTATAGGTAAGTCTGAAAATAATCATTTTGGTCTTGTGTGCCTGTCAATTAACATCATTCTTCTTCTTGTATTTTTGTTTCTTCTACGTAGTTCTACGATTCTTAAGACTTTAGATTACATTCGCGGTAGATAAAGCTACGTCATAAGAATATGGATAAATATCTATCACAAGCTTACAATTGAACAAAATAAGCCAATGGTGTATTTAGATGAAACGTGGTAAGTCAAAAAAGGTGTGATAACACTAACAAGTGGGTACTAAAAAAGTAAATAAGAACTAAAAGTTCAGATTTTCACGAACTTATATATATTCACATGACAATTGTTTCGACAACACCGTGTCTTTATCAAATGTATCAAATGTAATATTTACTACCTGCTACCTTAATGTTGTTGTGAGTGAGTTTAATAATGGAGAGGTATTTAAATCTAATTGATCGTTAACATTTGAATGTCTCATTTTGTTCATCTTAATTTTTAATATTTTACATACAGTCACAAAAATTAAAAAATTAAATTTATTGGAAGCCATGGAGATGTATTGCTTAACGATCAATTAGATTCAAATATCTCTCCATTATTAAACTTAAATTCTCATAACAACATTAATTATGGTTTTATTGTCATTTTTATAGTAGTATTTAGTTCTGTTTGGTGACACCCATTCCTACTTAGTCGTACCCCCAGGTGTTTAAAAACGTCAACGTCATTTCATTTAATTCGATGTTCAGAATTACATTTGTTTTGGACGTAACCATAATTTTCGTTTTTTCTTCGATGATTTTAAGGTTTTTCTCATTTAGCCTGTTGTCAAATATTGTTATCGTGTTGGATAATGCCTCGTATCATTCAGCCCAAATTAGAAAAATTCCAAATACTTCATATATATACTGCATATAAGAAGAAATAATACTGCACCAAAACTTATTGATAGTACCATAAACGTAATTCGGCAAGAAGTAGCTAAATATCAGTACAAAGCTGGTCTAACTGCGAAAAACGAGTAATAAAAGAAGAAAATATTTATCGAGAACGATTAGTGGCGGATTTTATCACTGAAATAGGCAACGACAGTAGCGATAGTGACGATTTGTGACTGGCACTTTATTATTATTATATTTAATATTTTGTATATTAATAATGATACTACGTAGAAATGTAGTGAAATAGAACGTAATAAATTGTTACTTTGTACTAATTTTTTTTATGTGCATAATTCAAGAATCCCTTGACGGAAAAAATTGAAAACATACTTATATCGCGCTTGTAGATAAATTCCTAGGCAAAGTTAATCACGGAGTCGGTCTACAATTGTTATTTGAAATATTTTGGCTCCGTTGGTACTACTCGAAATAAATCATTTGAATTCGCAAGCGGCACTCACTTGAACAGCAGCTGTCCCCTTTCCCTAGCGCTGATCTTGCTCCATTCGCCGTCGTAGAACGCCCTTTTGGCCGCCTTCACAGCCCTGTCCACGTCGTTGGCGGAGGCGCACTGCACCTGGCATATCACCTCCTCGGTGGCGGGGTTGATCGTCGGAAGGGTTTTCCCGCCCTCCGCGTCCACGAATTTACCATCGACGAAAAGCTGGCACGGAAATCGGACCTTCCTTTGGTTTATTTCCAACTCCACCGGTCTACGACAGAAACTCGAACGTTCTTGTTATGCCGTAAAGCCGTATTTTATTATTATTATTATTATTATTTAACGCATCTCATCTTAATATTGTCGAAGACGGTTACGCCACTATTGCAATTTTTATTATTTATCTTGAATAACACACCAAACGTACAACTCTCGTGTTGTTTCTTTTGTTTTCAAGCGAAAACAACTTCTTTAATATTTGTACATTGACTGTAAAAAAGTCATACGAATGGACCACGGAAGTTTTGAAATAACTACGTATTTTTTGAAAAATGTTTATTCCAAGTTCAAAGAAAAGTGAATTTTTAACTGTTTTACAAATTTAATATATTCATTTATATTTCTTAAATTTTCTGGAAGCTTATCAACAGTACGTGCTGCTTGGAATACTGGAATGGAAAGTCCTTTATGAGTTTTGATATTATAATTGTAAATATCGTTATGAGATCTGGTGTCATAGATGTGCACGTCTTTATTAAATATAATCCTCATGTTAGACTTTTGTATTTCATTTATCACCTTATACATACATTTACATTGTTTTAGCTTAAGCAATTTGTCTTTTTTACAAATTTTCTGTATCATAATTAAATATTATTTTGTAGAGTTTGTATTTTATTAAAGTAACTTGCACCACATACACCCCATTTTGGAATTAGGTATATCATATGTGCTACAAAATAAGAATTGTAAATATTCATTTTGCTACCGTAACGCAGATAATTTCGGCTTTTATATATGGCACTGAACGTTGGGTAAATTTTATTTGATATAAAATTAATATGCTCAGCCCAGTTTAAACTATCATCGATCAGTGGGCCTAAATATTTAATTCGTTTAACACGTTCTATATCTACATTCTTAATACTTAATCTTAGCACCCATATTATTTTGTGTGTTTGCTTGTACAACATGTATTTAGTTTTATAAATACTGATTTTTAATTTATTACCCAAAAGCCAGTGCGTATATTTTCTTAAATCAGAACGTATTATTCCTTGTAAATCATTCTCACTTTCACCACTATAAATTAGCATTGTATCATCTGCATATGTGTAATACCGTGTTGTAAGCCCTGCACACTACAAATTTAAGACACAACGAGTGCAACAATGGTCCCAGGACTGAACCCGGAGGAACGCCACATACACTTGATTGCATTTCACTTGATTACATAATAATGTTTCATGTATTAGTTGTGTTTTGTTTTCAAACTATATGAGCAAAGTGAAATAAAGTGATAACAAGACACGCTTTCATAAGTAGTTTTTGTTTGTCTTTTATCTATTTTGCTATTTGGAAACGTCAAGTATTATGTAACTCTCCTCAGTTCTTAAAAAATTAAAAAAATGTCGAAAGTGTGCTTTTACAATAGTAATATATAACAAGGTAACCTTGATTTTAAACAAGGAATCTTGAGTTTTTCGGATATGTGACTCAATAAAACAAAAATAAAAAAATATTTTGGAATTTTGCGAATAAGCACAGATATACCATTAGTTTTCAGTCATACCAAATATCGGTACCGTTTCTAAAATGGCTGAGAAAATATCAATTTTTCCACATCGTGGAATACTAAATTTAACGTACATTATCAATTTTAGAAGAAGAAGAATATCATACTTTTTCAGGCCATACTTTTGGTACGCGCCCCAAATATGAAGAATTTTAGCTTGGATTATCGAGAGGATAAAGTGCCGAATTTTTTGAAAATTGGTTCCAAAAAAAAATCTTTTAAAAAATAAAAAGCACCGGCCTCACCAATTTCAAAAACTCCAGGAATATTTGTTAGAAAATGACATATTTTTTGAATTCAGTTACAAAAAAGCTCAACTTTTGGAAGTCCTAAATTCATATGCAATTAAAAAACAGTAGATAACTTGAGCAAACGGGCATACTGTCTTACATCTTCCTCTATGTAATTGCATGCTTAATCCCATAGAACACAAACAATGTAATTAATAACATATCAATTGAGAGCTGAAAAAAATCCGTACAGCACATTATAAACATACGAAACAACATAAATCCTAAAACTTCAAAACTCAATGACGACTGTGATAGTGAAACAGAATTAGATTTAGACATTTAGAATAAAAATGTAATTATGTATATGTAGTATGTTCCTAGTGGAAATTTATTTCATAAAAACTTAATAAAAAGTTTGTTTACATTTGAGTTAGGTGTATATGGATTCAATTATAAAAACAGCTTTACTAAAAATAAAGATAATCATTCTTTTAACACCAGACAGCAAAGCGAAATTCATATGTACATTTTGTCAAATCTAAATTTTAGTCTAGATCACCCTGTATACTGGGGCTGTAAGTTTTTATTCGCCTTCCAGATGAAAGAAAATGTATTGTAAGTATTTCTATAGCAACTTTTAAAATAAGATTAGAGCAGTATCTTCTGCAAAAAATTTTATACACTGTAAACAGTTTTTTTAAATAACCTTTTGATTATGTAGTTCATATATATTTTTTTAGTGCCTCTACGCATTTAATCTGTGCTTGTCATTGTATTTGTTTGTTGTTTGACAATTAATTGTTAAAAAAATTCCTGAAGGGAGAATAAAAGTATTATTGTTATTATTTACGTGTTTTTTTTTTAATGTACGGTTATGTGGTACCTGTAATCGATGTCGACGTTGCCTCCAGCGCCTCTGCTTTTTTCGACGACGTTCGAGACGAATTCGGAGAACGTCGGCGCCATGAACACATCATCGTTTTCTAATTCAGTCCTGAACACGTCCTTTACTTCCTCGATGAGCCTTGAAAAGAAAACCCGAAATTTACTGTCTAAGATACAGGATAGGTTTATGCCCAAAGTGTTTTAAAATCATAGGAGGAATGTAATTGTTGTAATTTTGACAGTTATGTGATATTTGAAAGTTATTATAAAGCTTCAGGATTTTTTCGTCAAAAAAAGCGTATAGAGGACAGATCAGGAAGAGAAAGTTCTAATCCGCGTCATTTGATGATCCACAAACAAGTATTCATCGGTTTAGTCCTGCTACTAAGAACTAACTACAGCTGAAAGTTGTGAGTCAGAATTTATCCTACGTCTTTAGCCCTAGAATAAACTTTTCTACTTTTGTTCGAAACCAGCAAAATGAATATTGTAGATATGTTAACAAAATTTTATTTACTGACGAAGCTACTTTTACCATATTCTTAATTTTTATTAGGCATTTGTGGGAATTAGAAAATCCTCATTTCACCTGAGCACGAATTCAAGATAAACGTGTGGGCAGGTATGGTAAATAGTTATTTTAATATTTTAGATTTTTTACAAGACTTCTTAAATTTGATGGATAACGTGCTTTGGGTATAAGAAACGACATGATACCTTTGTTTGACGGACCTCATTATGCGCTAAGAAATTATCTTAATTTAAAGTTTGTTTTTGGGTTATATTGGCTGGTTTACAAACGGCCGTGAAAAACTTTGGCATAAAATTCTGGATGCTGTTATAATACGACCAAAAATATAGTGCATTCATTCATTGCTTTTACGTTTTAAGTATTTTACAGTACAATAACCGCAGACCTTCGCAGGACCGTGGCAAAACCCATCCCAACAGATGTTTATTCTGCATTAAGTAGGTCTTGCCTGATATGGACCGTAATGAATATTTGTAGAAACTTGAAATTTTTATTTGAAATATAAATGGACCGTTTTAAATTTGACCAAGCAAGCATTCATGCTGCGAGTAGGTAGAAGCGCATATATTAAAGAGGTATTTCACAGTGATTTCTTGCAGTAAGTACGTATTTATGTACCTGATCTCGAGCTTTGACCTTGCGAGGCTGTTTTCACTGGTTAGTTCAAAGGGTAACCGTAAGTACCTGTACTTTATTTATCTTAAAGTTTGAAAATAATCATTTTTGTCTTGTGTGACTGTCGATTAACAACATTCTTCTTCTTGTATTTTTGTGTCTTCTACATCGTTCTTCGATTTGTAAACAACAGTCTTTTTGAGACTATATATATATATATATATATATATATATATATATATATATATATATATATATATATATATATATATATATATATATATATATATATATATATATATATATATATATATATATATATATATATATATATATATATATATATATATATATATATATGATGACACTATATTCCGGGATATCATCCGTTCGCTCGTTGAACTCCGACTGGAATCCTGCAAATCCTGCATCCGACTGGAATCCTGCAGACGTTTCGCCAAAGTCTCACTTGGCATCTTCAATGCTCGCGCTCCGAAAACACTTCGAACACTGTTCCCAGTTCGAAGTGTTTTCGGAGCGCGAGCATTGAAGATGCCAAGTGAGACTTTGGCGAAACGTCTGCAGGATTCCAGTCGGATGCAGGATTTGCAGGATTCCAGTCGGATGCAGGATTCCAGTCGGAGTTCAACGAGCGAACGGATGATATCCCGGAATATAGTGTCATCACATTTTTCCATCCGTGGATCAATACGTGAGAATATATATATATATATATATATATATATATATATATATATATATATATATATATATATATATATATATATATATTCGCGGTAGATAAAGGTACGTCATAAGAATACAGATAAATATTTATTAGAATCTTACAATTAAACATTTTTGGAAGGTGTTTTTTAACACTTTAAAATGTGGAGACCGTGGAATGAAGCAGATGACCTAATGACAATTTACAAGACGAACTACCTCAGTAAATAAAAAAAACCGATCCATTTGTCTTCGGATGTTAAACAAATTGTTTTGAATGTTTACAATTTTATAAGAAATTCAGAATAGGAGGTATTATCAGCAATAAAAACAAATGACATGACCAAAGATTCAAGTGTGGATTACCATGGAAACATGACCGCGGAAATATTTCACCACTGGTTTGAAAATAAACTGTTGCCAAAACTATCACCAAATACTGTTATTTTGTTGGATAATGCCTCGTATCATTTAGCCTTAATTTAAAAAAATCCAAATACTTCTTCAAATAAAGAAGAAATTAAAGAATATCTGTACGAAAATGATTTATATTTTTAATAGAACTACACGAAGAAACAACTTCTGGAATTATTAAAAATAAAACATTTTAATAAAGACTACAAAATCGATTCGATAGCAAAACAAATGAACGGACATGAAATCTTGAGATTACCCCTGTATAATTGTATATGTGACCCAATTGAGATGATTTGGTCTGAGTTGAAAGCGCATAAAAGAAGAAATAATACTGCAGCAAAATACCATAAACAAAGCTGATCTAACTGTGAAAAACAAATAATAAAAAAAAATATTTACTAGGTGAAGACAGTAGCGATAGTGACGATTTTTTAAGTGACTGATACTTTATTATTATTAAATTAACTATATTAATAATGTAAATTAAAATTGTAATAAAATATAACGTAATAAATTGTTGTTTTCATGTAGATGTTTCAGGAATTGGTCGGCGAAAAAGATTGAAGACATACTTATATCCCGCTTGTTAGTGTAGGTAGATAAATTCCTAGTACGTAAACAGTAGGCAAAGTTAAACACGGGGTCGGTTGTAAAAGCACTATATTTCTGGTCGAAGTATAATGCGTTCCGAAAACCTGCATGGTGCATGGTGGTGGTGGTTTATTGTAATTTGGTTTTTCATTAGTAACAGTAATATAAAACACATTAGGTTGTTCTTAAAAATCTTCTTTCTTTTTCGGTATTCACTGGCAACCATTAACGAGTTCATTTCAAATACGGTCTTCTATTACTTGGTCTACACACATAACCTAAACATACCTCTCTTATCAATTTGAGAATACACAAATAAAAAATGGTATTTTCGCTAAAAACGCGCTTTGTTTGCCCATATTTTCAAAATTTCGAACGTAAGTAATAAAAAACTTACTATCCTGTATCTCAGTGATTATTTGAAAAATCGAAATATATTTTTTTAAGATTTGTGATTCTCTTAAGGCAATCTGTTCTATTTTGCAATATCACTCTAATTAAATAAAATCCAGGAAAAATAAAAAAAATGTTCTAGGTATAGTGCCCTCTAGTGATAGATTTCTGAAACACTTTTATTTTGAAACGACGATTTTTATACGGCGTTAAAAATAAAACTAAAAAAATAAAGTTTCGTCTCGGCTATGCTCTTTGTTATTTACTTTGAATGGGACACCAAAGTACGACTTGTTTTCATCAACCGGTGGTCACAATTAGCACAATTTTTTCCTTGGTGTTAAAAACGTTCAAAATTTTCGCTTGCAGCCCATAAATTTTAGACCCACCTTACTACGTCCATCGAACCAGCTCCGGCGGCGAAGAAGTCCGTGTCGTCTTCGATATCGATGTTGAGTATGGCCTCCCAGATCTCCCGAACTTGCTCTATTTGAATTTTCTCATCTGCCGTGTATTCGAGCGCTATCTGTTTCGCGGCTTGATCCAACGCCGACGCGTTCCTCATTTTTCCTGGAACCACATTCCTTACGTATCAAACTAAACCCAACTTCCGGAAGATCTACCTCCGATTTTCACTTTTCTCACGTTGACGTATTCGCCGTCGAAACCTCTGAGCAACAACCCCCCTTCGTGTATGATCCCGGGGGTTGTACCTTCAACGTCGACCTCTTTACCGATCGGTAGATCTGATTTCCAAACCGTCGACCCGAATACCAACGCGAGTTGGTACTCGTTTTCGCCTGCTAGTTTTAGTTGGCAACTAGCACCCGGAACTGAGTCCATGCCTCTTATGAAGTTGTGAAGCTCGGTGGCGGTTTTTGTAAAATCGATCTACGAAAAAATGTAGTAAAAGGCAGGAACCCGGGACTGTAGTATACTTTGGGCCGGGGTATACACTTCTCTATTTTGGTATCTACCATCTCCATTTTAGAGATCGACCGTTCTGAAGTAAAACTTTATTAATCATTTAATAGATTTCATTAATACTAGGATATTTATTAACTTAATACACTGTGACGACAAAAAAACCAGGATTATACGACAATGCCATTACAGCAAATCAGTTAATTGGCTCTTATATCAAGTTTTTTATGAGACGAACTCGCTGAAGCCCGGATCGTAATAATATCAATAATAAATTATAGTTGACTTTCTACGTATTAAATAAAACGCTAATATTTACAAATCATGGATTCCTCCTGCGTCGCACAAAAGGTAATTTACAACAAACCAGACTTCAGTACAAAACTAACGCACACCTTTTTAGCATAGACCTCATTTGGCTTTTAATTTATGTCCCGTGCTTTCATTCAATCAATTTATCTTCAATATCAAGGTGGACAAAAAAAACAAAATGTAGGGTTAGTAGCCAAGTTTTGTTTCCGAGTGACATATAAAACAAAACACTATCAATTTTCTGACATATAAGCCTACATCATATATTTTAAAATGGAACACTGTGTATATTAAATATGTGTTTAATAGAACATCTTATTTCGATTTCAATGTTGTAACACACTTTATATTTTAGTCCACTCGTTTTTAACGACGGACAAAATATGTTTATATTTGACGTATTAACAAACAACGTTGGTGATTGAATTATAGAAAGAATATAAATATAATGCATTTAAATTTGGTAAAACTCCAAAAACCATGTTTTAAATAGACAATGAGAAAAACAATTTTTTGAAAAACATTTTTGGACTGATGAAAATTCGTTCGCTACAAGAATGGGTTGTAATAGACAAAATACACGATATTGGTCTTGCAACTCTTGGAGCACCAAATAGAACAATATATAGAAGATTTACCCCTAAATATATCAGCGCTGATTTTATGGCAGCAAGACGGTGCCCCTTACAATGCTGTGCAAGTTAAAAAATTTCTTAACATGAAATATCCTAGGGGTTGGATAGGGAACGACGGAACTATGGATTGGCCAGCCAACAGCCCCGACCTAACTTTAATGGATTGTTTCATTTGGGGACACATAAAAAATCAGGTGCACAGAATTCCTTGAAATAATGTCGTGGAACTTCGGCAAAGGATTTCAGAGGCAATCAATCAGTTATTAAGAAACAATCCAAACAAGAGACATCATACAATTTGAGTGTATGAGAAATATGTTCAGGAAATGGTGGTCACATACTGCAGTATTTAGAATAGTTAAAGAATTTTTTACTTTAGTGTGTCTTGTCATTTTTTGTATTTTTGTTCTATTTTTTTTGGAAAAAATATTGTTGTTGCAGTGAGTAAATCAACTCTTTGAAATTATATAAAAATTTGTCAAAAATGAGTAGACCAAAATGTAAAGTGCGTTACATCATTATAATCGGAATAAAATATTCTATTAACCACATATATAATATACATTGTGACACATTTTTTGTATACGTCGCTAGGAAAGCAACTTGGCTACTAGAAACAAAAAAGTTACAGGTTTCGGAAGGGTTTATTTTTGTTCGCATGTTCGATAAATTAGGGAATGAATTTAAAAAGGCGGGTTTAAAGGTAAATGTAGACGTAAGAATAGAAGAAAAAAAAATTGATCAGTTTTTAACACAATAAGAAGAAAAACAATAAAACAAAAGTTACTTGTATTTCTTATTTGCAGGGTGAAATAATGTTTTATTTCCTTTTATACGCATTTGGTGTTTTCTTCATCCTGAATGTCAGAATCAGAGTCATCTTATTCTCCAGATATTTGTCCTAAAAGTTCGGCTTGAATTTTGACGTTTGTCAATTCTGACGATTATGTCAGTGAATTCATCCATTATACAACAAGTGTTTTAATTTAATTGCTGATGGACCATTTTCAAAGCAAAAGGCCAAATCGCATGTAAACAAAAAACCAATTATGACTAGAAAAATGCAAGAAAAGGTGTACATTGAAGTGGTCGAACCACTACCTAATTACTGTATCATTACAGGATTACAAATTAATCAATTGTATATCAAATCATCGGTAAGATTTGCCCAAAGAACCAAAAATACGAAACAATACAAAATACATCTGTATTATTCCAAATACAAGACAATCTAAATGCCAAAAAATTATGTTTTTATACGATCCCAAAAATATTGAATTTACGAATAAACCATTTCGTAAAATAAAAAATACATTCAAGCAGTCTCTGCCTATTAAATGTTATAATATTTAAAACCAAAAATATTGTTTATTGAGCAATAAACAGTCCATAATAAAAGATACAGTATTTTATTGTTTTGTAACCTGCTTTTAAGAATTTGTAAAAATATTCACAGACTGTGAGGTCCATAGTGCGCCATATTATTGTTGGGGGATATTAAATTGTAATAAACGTTCTTGAAAATAAATTATATTATTATTATTGTTATATCTCGAAAACAGTTTGTCTAAAAAATTGATCACTGCACCACTGGATTGTAATTATAATTAATTATTAATTGGATTATAAATAAATACTTATCTAATCATTTTTTCCCTTTTTGCTATCTTACAGTACTCCAAAACGCGCAAAAATTTCTATAGACCACTATGGAACTTTAGCAAAATCGATGTGATTTTATTGTGCATGCGCCCTGTATAAAGTGACTGAGTTCGAATAAAATTACAGCATCTTTAACAGTTTTTCCTTTATCGCCGATTATTTTTTAGCCACAAAAAATGGAAATTTTTAGAATCTCGAAAAAACGTTTAAAATAAAAGTTTTAGTCCCGAATCTCCCGCGTATCCTGGTTCAAAAATAATCCAAACAAATTTTTTCAAAAATTTGCGCCCCTCTTCTAATGTTACAATGGACTTTTATATTTCTGCCAAATCTGAAGTCGATTGCTGCACATTCAAGACACCTCCTCTATTTTATATTATAGCACGAAATATCCCGAACACCCTGTGCAATGTGTAGAAACGTTAAATAGAAAAGTTTTGGTGTTTATACGGCCGATATGGCCATATTGAAGAAACTGACAACTGAAACACTGCCTTATAGTTATAGCCAATTATCTTTAAAGGATAAATCCATTTTTTAGTTTTTATTTTTTTTTATCCGGACTCGTGCGTCTTTTCGTTCAATTTTTTTTTTGATATTTTGATTTGATTTTTGACACTCTTAAAATACTTAGGGAACCAAACTCTATAACTGTGCAAAGTTTGAACACGATCGCTTTAAATTTCGGACACTTATCGTGTTTCGTAGCGATGTGGAAAATGGCGAAAAAGGAGAGACGCGAAGGTCTGATCGCGGCCATTTCTTATGAGATCATGTGTCACGTGGGCTGTTTAAAAGGAGAAGAAATTCAGCTCTCTCACCCAATCCGTTCGGAAGTTATTCGCGTTTTTGAAGGGCGTCGACAGAGAACAGAGAACAGAGAACGGAGAACGGAGAGCAGACAAAAAATTAAAACGTCTATTTAATAATGGGTATTGTAATAAATGAATCAATAAACTTTCTTGAGTACCTTTTGCAATTCTGGTTTGTTGAGCAAAGGGTCGTAGGTGGCGCCCTTTTCGCTTTGAATTTGTCTCGGTGCGGTGCCATTGGCAACCATGTCTACGGCCCTCGCGCACGCGGACACCCCCACTGGGTACAGAAATCGTTTGTACAGGGTGTCGACGGTATCGTCTTCCCACACGTCGCATTCTTCTTGGAGTAGGATCGGGCCGGTATCGAGGCCGTCGTCCGCCCAGAATATGGTCAGACCGCCCTTTTTGTCGCCGCATATCAGCGTCCTGCGAAAATTCAAATGGAGCAAGTTGGGGAGATCTGGGGGCCATACTCAACACTATCTGATGATATCTTTTTAAGAAGAATATGTGCCACATATTGAATAGTTTTATTATTAGATAGGGCGTAAAAATGATTATTTAATTAAAATTAAAACTAAAACTTGGATGATTATTAAAATCATTGCTTATAGAAAATTAAAAAGGCAATAACGATTATTCACGACAAGATTTCTTTACGTACTAGTGTAGGAAATGTCGAATTTTTTCTCAAAGTATAAATTTCTTTCCATTTAACCTAATTAACCCAATTTACTTTTGTAAAACAAGCTGCAAGTACACTATATTTATAGCAATATTTGTGTCGTCAAAACTTTTGTTCTCCTAATGTCTGTTGAGAGCGATCATGGCCTGTTATAAAAAAAATCAAATCTTGCTTTTATGCCCTATCCAATAATATTCAATACGGAGCCCGTAAGAAAATTTAAAAATCATAACGACCGACATCCCTATGCTATCCCATCCTTACATTGGACATACTGTATATAGGGTTGTTTGTGGTAACATTTTAAAATTAAAAGTGTTAAAAGTATCGAAGTTAATTTAAAAAAAAAAAGGTTTTGTTAAATTTTGTCAAAGTTTAATCTAATTCTAATTTCTCAAACATATAAGAATGATTCAAAGAAGATTTTATATCTCAATTATAATAGGCGTCTCATCTTATACCAATAATTTATCCTAATGTAGGATATACCTGAAGCCATTCGATATGTAAATGAAGAGTACATTTCATGGTAAGTAAAAAAATGTGGGTTTCCAATTAAATTAAGGTAATCTTGCTAATATATTATTATTATTTTTCGGCCACCCTGTATAAGTTAAGTTTTTAATAATTGAGATATAAATTATCTACCGTAAATTTCAAGATTCAGGTATCAAAAACCTTACTGAAACACACACACACACTTATTTTCAGCTTGGAAACCAAAAATGCTATAATATAAAAGGGTTTCATTTTAAAAAAATGAAACTTTGACATTTTAATCACTTTCGGTATGAAACTTTAATCATTTTATACTATGAAAGTAATTTTAAAGAGTAACCATGGTAAAACTTTTTGAAAATCTTTAATTTCCGTGCCTTTTAGCGCGAATGACTCTGTATACTGAAATAATAAGTAATAAGAGGGTCTGCTAGAACGCTTGAAATTTTCCCTGATAAAGTTTTACTGTGGTATTGTTTGCGCCCAGACATATATGGGTGTGTAGGAAAGGTATATGGAGGTGTATGTATGGAAGTATATGCAAGACATACGCAGTAGTTCAAATGTACAGACCTGTCTGGCCCGACTGATTAGCCACTGGGCTATTGTCTACAATTGACATTTTATGAGTAGGAATTTTCTTATCAAAATGGGCATATGAGGAAGTTTTTAGATACGGACTATCAAATTAAAAGTTTTTTTTTTTTTGTAGAACTGAAGTTGGCGTTTGTTGTATTGTCTGGTCGTTCTTTTTATATTTTTAGCTAAACCTGTGATGTCTGGAGATATTTTATCGGTTGAAACGTTGTGAAAATTAAACTAAATCGACACTTATTTATGACCTTCAAAAACATGGAGAATTCTAATGGGAAACGACGGACAAGGTAACATTATTGGTAATCATAAGTCGTAGTTTCTATCTTAACATGCGACGCTTCAATGAATAGTCGGTAATTACATTTGATTAGGACGTATTACTGTAAAAAGACATCATCATCATCATCATCATAATTTAAGTAAATGGACGACGCCATTTGCAAAAAATTTATTCATATAATGCACAAATAATATTGGAGAATCTTTCATAAGGGATGTGTAGTGTGTCCTTATAAACATTTTGTTATTTGTCATACTTTGGACAACTTTTTAGCATATTTACTACGTCATTTTGATAGTAATTAGATCTTAGAAAGATGATATCATCCATCAGACAGTGGAGAGAGTGGAAACAATAAAGTAAATGAAAGAACAATACCTTAAAAAAAATGAAGAAAAAAAGAAATCGCGGATGATTGACGAAATATTAAAATTTATGCACAAAGGAAACTATACAAAAACAATCCCAGTGCATACAAAATGCTTCAGGATATAATTTAAAGGGAAGTTAAAGATAAGGAAAAAATTGAATGAAGAATCTATATACCATATAAATTCGGCAAGAATGGCTAAAATCGGAGTTTATAACCCTACTATAAAAAATCAAAAATCTGGGAAAATTATTCGGTTGGTCGGTTGTAAAAGCACTATATTTTTGGTGGAAGTATACCAATTTATCGAGCTGGCGCCTCTGTGTCGAGGCAGCAACGACGGATGGTAGCAAATACTCTTCAGCCTGGGATAATTGATGACCTCCATCGGAATGAACTGGGAACAATAAGGAAGAATGTTCAGATCGGCGTTGACGCTCTTGTAGGTGTCCAAGACTGCCGGAAGCGGCACTCCCTTGCTCCTCCACGCTTTGATTTTGAACACGGGAATCTCGTTTTCTGCGCCCGCTTTCGCTGTGGACGAAATACTTGGTTGACATCGACATCGACGAAGGGGAGTACGGAAACTAGAGATACTAAAGTCCAGAGCAATTGTGCAGTATATCTATTTATCAAAACCGATCACGAAAGTAAAGCACACTGAAAATCCCTTGTGTAAAGTATGCGAGCCTAGCAATACGGACACGAGTTTATGCTATGACGCAGCTGGTATAAAAAAATATTGAAAATTTACCTTTTTCCAAATGAATAATGTAATTGAACTGAGGTGGCTTTTACTTGACGAAAATCCATTTAACAAAATAAATAAGAACTAAAAGTTCAGATTTTCACCAAATTATATATATTCACATGACAATTGTTTCAACAACACTGTGTCTTTATCAAATGTAATATTTACAAACTGCTACTATATATACCGATCTAGAACAGAAAATTACAACAAAAAACTTAACGACTACAATCCGTCCATTATCGATAAAATTATAAATAAAAAACAAATCCAGACAACAGTAAACTCTATTTATCCGAAACCTAATACAGAACACGAACAATTTAAAACAATTTCATACATAGGAGAACCCAGTGGAAAAAGTTTCAAAACATTTGTCAAAATGTGGTTTAAAAATAGCTTTCAGAACTAACAACACAATAGGAAAATTTTTAAAAAACAATAAAACGAAATGTCCAAAATCTCCAAAATCAGGTGTCTACAGGTTGAAATGAGGATCTTGTCCTAAAGGTAGATCCTTCAAGAAATGCATTAACGAAAAGAGTGTTTAAAAACAATAGTCTGGATTCTAATTATGCTACACAGAAAAACACATCTTTGACGACAATTTTGATATTTTACATACCGCCACAAAAAGTAGAAAATTAAATTTATTGAAAGCCATGGAGTTTAACACACAAAAGATTTAAATACCTCTCCATTATTAAATTTAAATTCTCACAACAACATTAATTAATGTTTTATTGTCATTTTTCGATATACATAGTAGCAAGTAGTTTGTAAATATTCCATTTAATAAAGACACGGTGTTGTCGAAAAAATTGTCATGTGAATATATATCATTTCGAAAATCTGAACTTTTAGTTCTTATTTATTTTGAAGAATATAATCTGTGGCACTGCTTTTTCATGGGAAAACTCGAAGATGTAATATAACTTTTTCATTAATTTTAATAATTACTTTTCCTCCCTTATACAAACAAAAAAATGAAATTAAGTCAAAATATAATCTTTTAAGAATGGCCTATCGCGTTTTGCAACATCCGCCTTATTTTGTGATTAGGTTGTAAACGGTAGAATGATGCCAAAATAGTTTCCATCATTCCTACAACATCTGATGCTGTAGTGCTTATATGGATTTGCCAAAGTAAAATAATAATAATAATACTTCTGATGGAGTATTCATAACACCTTGTTTCAGACTTCAAATGGAAGGACTGTTGTAGGCATAAAGACCACCTGATAAGTAAGGCTTGGAAAAGGGAAAACTTGATCCATAGAGCTTATATTCTCCCAGCAAGATATTTTTTCCGATGATTACTAGTTTTGGTTAGCTTCCTTTGCTCTTTGCGTTATGGGTTGAAGCAAAAATAAACCTATCCAATTGATCTTTTATCCCATATACAGGGTGTTCGGAAACAATGTTTGAGGATTTATGATTCTGCTTAAGGCAATCTGTTCTATTTTACAATATCACCCTAGATAAATAAAATCTAGGGAAATTTAAAAAATGTTCTAGGTAAAGTGCCCTCTAGTGACTGATTTGTGAAACGCCTTTATTTTATAACGATAACTGCGTTAAAAATAAAATTAAAAAAAATGAATTTTGACAAACTATCACTCGGAAAACATTAGGATTTCGAATTTTTGTTACGTAACTTACTACCATTATTTTACCACTTTGAATCTTTCCTCCATGTTTCCTAACTCAATTTCCGAACACCCGGTATTTGATGCGTTTTATTTTGCCCGTTCGTATTAACACGCCACTGAACGATGTTGCCATAATCTCATTATAACGAAATAATAATATGTACGAATGACTGTTTTAGGATCATGTTTCTTACAAAATAGAATTTTAATTTAGTTTTTAGGATTGCTAAAACTATGAATTAGTGAAAATATATCTAAGGCCTACGGATCGTTTTTGTTTACGTCACTGTACGTGACGTAACTGCGCAACTGCCCTGACTGGAGTATACACGTAATTCTGTGTTAAATAAGCCAAACTTGGCCCTATACAAATGTTGCTAGGTTACAAGATATGGCATGTGAAAAATTGCAATAATCATGATAATTTTCTCAATAGCAATGTGAAAATTAACATGTTGAAAAAAACCCGACAACAACTGTGTACCTTATATTAATGCTCCTAGGTGGCGCTGCAGGTCGCTCTTTTTTTTTTTGTTTATTTTACTCGAAAAAAACTTGCTGATGAAATTAATAATAATCCACGTCCAAAAATTCACAGAGTTATTCAAATTATTCTGGACATTTACTCTAAAGTAATATATTATATAGTTATAGTATAGTATTTATTTTATTAATATTTCGGGTAGTTTCTAGATAAGTTTTAGAAATGTAAGATAGATTAAAATTTAATATGATATTATTAATAGCAGGCAAATACAATTATTTGACAAGTAATTAGTAATAACGAGCAGGTTAAGGCAGGAAGTGTCATTTCAACTTCGCCTTTTGTGATATGTTGTAATGTATTATAATAAATTCACGTTGTTATTATTATATTTCGATTTATCAACTAACAAAATCAAAATGAGGGAAATTTGGCTTAGGCGTCTTATAATTAAGTGTAGTAAACTCCGGTTTATAGATTTCCTCTCCCATTTTTATATGTGATGATATGTGGGTACCTAAAGGATCCTCCTTTTTGCCTTTATCGGGGATAGTAAATATTCCGACGACCTTGTGTCCATGCTGTATCAATCTTTCCATAACATCCACCGCGAACACGCTCTGGCCAATAATCGCCACTTTAAGGGACGCTTGGCTATTGACATTGTTTTGCTGAAATGAATATTACTATTACAATCGACAGTTGTAGCGATGGTTGCTGCGGTTGGATAGTAATTCTTTTATTCCATTACATAAATAAAAATCAAAGTTCGTCAAATCTGGAGATCTCGCTGGACATATATTGTCCTATTGGAAAATACTCAATCGAGATAAATTTAGTGTGAAGATTTGGTAGAACTTAAATTGGTTTCGTTCACAACAGCAGGTGTATTTAATGGGAACAATAAACATTTTTGGTCCACCAATAATCCGCACAAAATGCGGGCAGTGAAATTCCAAAGACCGACATCAGTTAAGGTTTCGTGTGGTATGTTACACAATATGGTGGTTCCTTGAAACAGAAATAGAATAGTTATTATTAAAATTTTATTTGGCATCAAGATGGCGCACCTCCACATAATATCCAAGAGGCTACCGATTATTTAAATAATAAATATAGACTTTTTTTATTGTTTGAATAATATAATTTTATTATTTGGGCTTTTTCTTCCTCAGTATAACCCATTTGAAATACCTTAAGTCATTTAACTTTAATCTTTAGTTTTGATTTGACCATTTTTAAACAATATGGCTCTTGTCCAGAAATCGAATAATTATGTTTAAACTGAAATATCTCAAAAACGGCGAAATGAAATGTCAATAAACTACGAGGTTAGCGCCAAAATTTCCCAGCCTGACATAGATGCAGCTCCAGTATCACTATAAAACTTTGTCTTCTTTTAAATATATATCTTAGTAGGCTGCGAAAAAAAAATGGAAGTCTTGCGTCAAACAGTTTTTTATTGACAGCATTTTAAACAACGTGTCCGAAAAACTGTCGCAAATAACGCAAATTGAGGATAGAGCAGTCATAAAATTTTTCACAAAAGAAGGGTTAGCACCTAAAATTATTAAAGAAAGGCTGGATGGGGTGTACGGCCAAGGTTCTCCTTCGTATTCTGTAGTCAAAGAATGGGAAAACGTTTTCGAATGAGGCAGGACTTCCGTGAAAATGATTCAAGAACTGGTCGACCAGTCGAGGTCATAACGGAAGATATTGTTGCGATTGTGGAAGAGGTGGTATTGAGTGATCGACGTTTAAAAGTCGTCGAATCCAGCATGATCATTTAGGTATGCATAAGGTTAGTGAAAGATGGGTTCCTAAAAACCTTTCGGCTATTCAAAAACAAAGCAGTGTCGAGTGTGTACGGTCTTTTTTGGAACTGTGTGGGTCGGAACCGAAGCCTGTGATAAAAGCTATTGTGACGGGAGATGAAACTATGGTTCTCTATTATGATCCTCTATCGAAAAAAGAATTAATGGAGTGGCGTCGTAAGAAAATTCAGAGTCTGCTAGTTAACAAAAAAGGTGATGGCCACGATCTTTTGGGATTGTGAAGGAATTCTTTTGATAGATTTTAAAGAAACTAATACCACTGTCAATGGTAAATATTACGCAACATTATTACATAAATTACGAGACTGCATACGTGTAAAATGTCGAGGAAAACTGACCAGAGGCGTGCGTCTTTTGCACGATAATGCACCTGTCCATACTGCTGGTGTTGCACAAGCTGCCGTTTTACAGTGTTTGTTCCAACAGATAGATCATCCTCCCTATAGTCCAGATATGGCCCCCAGCGACTATTATTTGTTTGGATATTTGAAAAAAACTTACGTGGACGGCGGTTTAACTACGAAGTTGAGTTAAAAGAGGCTGTTTTAGCTCATTTTGCAGACAAACCAAAAGAATATTTTTTTAAAGGGATTGAGTTGTTTATAAAGAGATGTAAAAAGTGTATTGAAGTTAGGGGGGATTATATTGAAAAATAATAAAAAATTGTTACTCTACTTTGTTTCTTTCATATTCAGGCCGGGAAATTTTGGCGGTGCCCTCGTATATGTTGTTGAATTCAGAAAAAAAGGATCTGCGATTTAAGCTAATAATATATAGGGCATTCCATTTTTAAAAAATGATGTTGCTGTCATTTTGATAACTTGGGATCGTCTTTTATAATTTTTTTTTGATATTTGCATAAGACAATTGAGTAAAATTGTTCAAACTTTTGTATTTACACTTTTTTTTCTATCTTTCGGAATTAACCCTGTTATTTTTTGACATTATATTTTGACACCCACCTGTCAAAATATAATACCACTCAGTTTAGCACGTTAAAGATTCAAAGACATTACTTATGGGGAATCGAAGAAGCATACGCATCCACCAATGTCAGCAATTTTGAAAAATGAAAATCCATCTATCCATCCGACGTAATATATTGAGTATCTAAGAATCGTAGTCATTTTCTTTTATCGAATACAGACACAGAAATCAACAAGCCATTTAGTTGCATACAAAAATGATAAGAATATAAAGTTACGCGAGATAAATCCCGTGAAAAAATTACGAAATTGCGGTGCCAAGCAGTCGTATCTGTATCGAAAAGTTCACTGATTGCAGAGGTTATCGATTCGACATTTTATCCGATCTTCGTTGGTCCAATTTCATCAGCCGCATACGGAGCTTATTGTTAAATTATCAGCTACTATGATATCTGAAAGTCGCCTCAATTTTGTTTAGTAAAAAATATAACGATATTATAGCGTCTTTTCACTTTTTTAAAGCGCAAAATTTACGTTTCTCTATTCCTTAACTCAAAAATAGTCAACTCTGTATCGAGTGTACGAAAAGTGCCACTTTAAGACGTTTGCTTCATTAAACACTGCAACGTCGGGTGTCTTAAGTGACTTCAGTCACGAATTTGAAGGTTATCGTATGTTTTCGGTAGATTTTAGCCATAGGATTTTGACGTGTGTTAATTCAAAAGGTACACTTTTTTTTAAATGTCTCCAAAAACTAATGGTCGTACAAAAAGCATGCGATGCAACGTGCTGATAAAATTTCTTCGGTAACTCGTGACTAAAGTAGCGTTTATCAAATTTGTTACGGAATCTGTCATTTGCGTTCCCTATATACTTTTAATACGAGGTCATCGCTAAAATTTCAAGGCCTGAATATGAAAGAAACAAAGTAGAGTAACAATTTTTTATTATTTTTCAATATAATCCCCCTTAACTTCAATACACTTATTACATCTCTTTATTAAACAACTCAATCCCTTTAAAAATATATTCTTTTGGTTTGTCTGCAAAATGAGCTAAAACAGCCTTTTTTAACTCAACTTCGTCGTTAAACTGCCGTCCACGTAAGTCCTTTTTCAAATATCCAAACAAATAATAGTCGCTGGGGGCCATATCTGGACTATAGTGAGGATGATCTATCTGTTGGAACCCACACTCTAAAATGGCAGCTTGTGCAACACCAGCAGTATGGACAGGTGCATTATCGTACAAAAGACGCACGCCTCTGGTCAATTTTCCTCGACGTTTTACACGTATGCAGTCTCGCAATTTATGTAACAATGTTGCGTAATATTTGCCATTGACGGTGGTATTAGTTTCTTCTTTAAAATCTATCAAAAGAATTTCTTCACAAAAGATCGTGGCCATCACCTTTTTTATTGACTGGCAGACTCTGAATTTTCTTGGAAGTGCTTTACCCTTACGACGCCACTCCATTGATTTTTTTTTCGATAGAGGGTCATAATAGAGAACCATAGTTTCATCTCCCGTCACAATAGTTTCTATCACAGGCTTCGGTTCCGACCCACAGAGTTCCAAAAAAGACCGCGCACACTCGACACGGCGTTGTTTTTGAATAGCCGAACGGTTTTTAGGAACCCATCTTGCACTAACCTTATGCATACCTAAATGACCATGCAGGATTCGACGAACACTTGTATCAGAAAGCTTAATAATTTCTGAGATTTCCTTGACCGTTAAACCTCGATCACTCAATACCATCTCTTCCACAATCGCAACAATATCTTCCGTTATGCCCTCCACTGGTCGATCAGTTCTTGAATCATCTGGGACTCCTGACCCATTTGCTCATACTTTCACTACACAATCGAAGGAGAACTTTGGCGCTACACCCCATCCAGCTTTTCTTTAATAATTTTAGGTGCTAACCCTTCTTTTGTCAAAAACTTTATGACTGCTCTATACTCAATTTGCGTTATGTGCGACATTTTTTCGGACACGTCTTGTCAATAAAAAACTATTTGACCCAAGACTTTAATTTTTTTTTCGCAGAATTCTAAGATATATATTTAAAATAAGACAAAGTTTTATCGTGAGACTGGAGCTGCATCTATGTCAGGCTCGGAAATTTTTGGCGCTAACCTCGTACGCCAATGAGGTTGAAAAAAGCAAGAAGCGTTTAAAAGCATGCTGGTTGTCAAACTTAAAAATAAAAATCGGTTTTTCATAAATATCTGAATAATATTGAACTTTATTAAAATGTGACGTAAAATGCGATTTAAATGATCCATTGAAATCATCATCACCGACATTTTTGACAGAAATAAGGGCTCTACTGATCCTTTATCATTTTTGTCGGGTAAACCAACCGAAAATAAAAGTTTTTCAGATTTTTCGTATCTCGTGGGATTTGTCTTATTTAATGTTAAGAAGAAAAAATTATCAACTGGTTATTAGGGAAAAGGGCTAGTAGCAACTTGCAATTGCAAATTGAAGAATTCCATTAGGCCATGGAAGTTATAGTGCTTTCACAGATAAATGGTTTTGGCTTATTGATTATAGGCAAGCTAAAAAGATGTAATGCAAAGTCGGACGGGTTTATAAATAATTTAATGGAATACCAAAGTTGCTACCATTACGTTGGCTCCTTCAGGGTTTAGCTGAGTCAGTTAATAGCTAACAGTTTATGTTAAACTCCGAAGAAGCCAAAGTATGATTGACGAAACGTCAGCAAATTTAGTTATTTAAAAAAAAAACGGATTTATATTATTCAATAGCGATTAAACTGGAAGGAAAATTGTGAGACCTACTGCTTAATATTAATTATTCCTTCTAGCTCTTACTGGCGATTGAAGTAGGATCCGTGGTTTGCACCAGACTCTCTTTTTTTAACAACTTAAAGAAACAATAAACCTAGCAAATATTTTTAAAATAAAAAAAATAAACTTTACGGGAAATACATGGTCGGAATACTCGGTCGGGGAATATATCGGAGTACCCAGGTATTTCCCGTCTGAGTAAAAGCAGTGCATTTTAATAAAGATTAAGACGTCTTTTTTTTTAATTTTCTATTACTTAGAACTTACACGTTAGCTGGTAGTTTATTGTACAAGTTTAAGTTTAGTGAATTTTTTGACTTTTAAATTTGAATGAATGAATGAATGAATGAATATTTGAATCTTATAGCACGAAGTAGCTTGTTATTTCTAGTTAAATAGTCATGGTAAGAGCAGTTCCGACTGAAGCTGTCTATGCTTTTGTGCATTTCTGCATAATTGATAATAAATATACAGACAAGGAAGTGGCATAATTTCCAACTTCTTAAAAATTGGTTAACAGTGCTCCAGATAACCTGCACCGGTAATCAAACAAACAACTTTCTTTTGGAGTTTAAATGGCTGGCCTGCGGTGGCAAAATTACCCCAGAGAACTATGCCGTAAGTTAGACGAGAGGTAACTCGAAATGTGCCCACAGTAACCAGTCCTTTAAGTTTACGGATTATGAAAATATTAGAGGCAAGTTTTTTGCACAAGATGTCAAGCGTTACTCCCAAGAGACTTACATTCTTGCCCTCCAGTAGATTATTATTAGTTGAGAAAACAAGGCCTTGTGTCTTATCTGTGTTTAGTTTAAAGTTATTGTTGGTGAACCATTGGAGTCTTTACCATAAGTTACAAACGATGTATCGTCCGCATAAAGTTTACATTTATTGGGGAACTGAAAATGATACAAGTCATTGATGTAAATAGTGAACGGTAGCGGACCCAAAAAGGAGCCCTGGGGCACGCCACTGCTCACAACCCTCAACCCCGATATGAGTAAATCACGTCAAGTGGATGTTGGTGGAAAATTGATCCCTCAAACGATTTTTTACAATTTTAATTTTTTTATAATGAAAATTTTAAGCACTTTTATTTAAAAAATGGATTAAAAATTAATGGTAAGAGATAAATTTATGAAATATTCAGCATCCATGGCCAAATGTCTATACTTTAATAATATATCAACGACTTAAAATTGTTTGTTTATTTTCATATTGTTAACTAACTTTTAACATATGAAAATTTAACTGATTTCTTGGTAAAAAAAAATATGGTTTCTTTATCAGTCACATGCTTTACACATTTAAGTTTAAGATTCCTGAAGAAAATTTCACTGCTCCTTATTAGTTTAAACAAAATGAATTTATTTATGACAGCGCGGCAGGGCGTCGAGCGCTGTGGAAGCGCCGCGCTGCCGAGCGTCTCGAACTGCATTCAAGGTTTTATCAGTGATAATTTAAAATAATAATACAAAATATTATAATAAAACAAATTGTATTATTATTTATGTTATTTTATTATAAATATAATTAATAAAATTTTATTGTGTTAAACAATATTAACAATCTTAACATACTGAATAGAACAAACAAGCTTAAATAATTTAATTGTAAATTTGTCGTCAGTTATTTTTATTATTGATTTTTAAACTTTTTTTTTTAAATAAATACTTTTCATCCTCCGACATGAGCCTGCATTCTAGTGAAAATTTTTCCGATGGTTTGTAATAATAAAATTGGTGAGTATTTTTTATTGTAGATAAGCGTTCGAATCGTGGTTGATATTTTTTTTAAAAGAACCTTGGGCCAACTCAAAAAAGGAAAATGGGGTTGCTATGTTGTTGTTTTTATCACTTTGGAGACTAGCACGATAAGCTTGTCTTTTTATACTCGCTGCTAAGCCATCACACGCTCCTTTGCCATGAGATGTAGCGAAAAAAGTCCAATCAGCATCAACACCAAAATCATTTTTATGATTAACTAAATTGGCAAAATTATATTTAAATAATAATTAAAACTAATTTTTTAATCACATTATTTCATAATTCACCCGACCTTTTTTAAATCACAGAAAATATTATTATTACAATTAAAAATTATAATACTAAAATATTAACTAAAAAAACACATCTCGACAACACTTCAGCTTTAATTTTTAATAATTATTTCATGCTTCGCGTATAAACTTATGTCACGAATAGACAGGAATGACTTCTAAAATGATTTTGTTATTTACTAGGACACGCGAAAAACAAATGAAAATCGTAACGGAGCGGTTTTTCTTTTGTTAGCTAAAGGTAAGATAATATATATATATATATATATATATATATATATATATATATATATATATATATATATATATATATATATATATATTAAATTCTTATGATCACGTTATTGTTAAAGACGACACACTGTCTTTTGTCAGTTAAATATGGCCTGAGGGTGACCACGGACACCATATCTGCCGAGCTTCTTTAGAAGCAGGTCATGAGAGACGCAGTCGAAAGCCTTAGTGAGGTCACATAGCGTGAGTGCAGCTTGCTCCCCCTTTTCCAGGCCATCCACCACGTCTCCCACAACCCTGCGAACCGCCTGCACAGTGGAGCAGCCGGTCTTAAAACCAAATTGGGAATCACAAATGCATTTTGTTTTTTGAAAAAATCGTGATAATTGATTTTTTTAAAGGGTCGCTAAGACTTTACCAAATATGCGAACTATTGATATGGGTTCAAAATCATTTGGAGAGTTTGTGTTACTTTTTTTAAATATTGGAACCATCCTCGCGATCTTAAATTGCTCGGAAAAACTTCCCCTACATTTGTTAAATAAAAATGTGAGAGGTGTTACAATCTGGTTGATAATCTCCTTCAGAATAATACTATTAATGTAATGCATCATTAAGGGAGGTTCAAGAAAAAGAGAAAGAGATTTTTTTCCATTAGTAAAGTTATTGTTTTATGGAGTTGCTTGCATCCCCGTGAGCAATAAATATGCAATATGCAAATTAAAAAAAAAGTGTTAAATAATAATATGCAGTTTTTTCGGAATTGAATTTATGCAATAGATATTAAATGTCTATTTTAACGAAACGTGCGAAATTTCGTTTTAGAACATCCATAATAATTTTTTAAAAACGCTTACGTTGGGGGGCATCTTTTTTTTGTTAAATTTCAACCTGGCACCGGCACTGTCCGAAGTAGTCCCTTTTAGTTCGTACACTTGCCGAGATCGCGAAAATTTTCGAAAATTTCAGGTGCTGGTCGCGTCAACAGCGGCGGATACACTGACAGCGATTTCTTGCGACCAGAATAATTTATACAAACTTTATACTAAACAAAATTCTTATCAACCGCACAAAGCGTTTGAGGCTACGCGTATAGTCCCTTTCTCTTTCTAAACATAACGTAAGTCGCCTTACTATACCGGACGAACAGTTCAGTTGGTCGTTTGCTCTTCTCTAATCATCAATTTCTTCCCTTAAAATTTTAAGAATGTTATTCCAAACTCAAAATATTTAAATTCATTACAATTAAAAATTCAGAAATGGAAATGTGGAAATTCCCAACATTATTAGATGCCTACCAGTCAATTTATTAAATGAAATATAATGTCAAACGAACAAGCTTACCAGCTTCAAGTTTTATAATGCCTGACCATATACGGTAACCCTATAGAAAATTTATGGACTTCACGAGTACTATAATTTAAGGAGGAAACACTCAATATTAACTTCTCATTTGTTAAATGTTTGTAATAAATTGTTTTTTACGATTGGCATTCACTAAATTACGTATTTAATTTAATGAGTTGCATAAAAACGTGAATAAAAAAAACGAAATGGTGAGGAAAAAATTGGGCTATGAACTGATTTAGACACCTAATGGTGTTGTCGGGAAGTCCCACAGAATAGGAAAAACATAATATATATATATATATATATATATATATATATATATATATATATATATATATATATATATATATATATATATATATATATATATATATATTATATATATATATATATATATATATATATATATATATATATATATATATATATATATATATATATATATATATATATATATATATATATGATGACACTATATTCCGGGATATCATCCGTTCGCTTGTTGAACTCCGACTGGAATCCTGCAGACGTTTCGCCACAATCTCACTTGGCATCTTCAATGCTCGCGCTCCGAAAACACTTCGAACACTGCACACTGTATATATATATATATATATATATATATATATATATATATATATATATATATATATATATGGAGAATATGTTTATTGATTTTGGACATTAACTGAAGAACACGTGGGATTTAGAATGTTTTCTTTTCCTTATTTATTTCAATGCATTATTCAAATATTTATTATTGGTATTATGTTATAATGAAAGCAAATCAAATGAATTTAATAATGCAAAAACATTTTGTAGCCTTATAAAATCCTGCAATGGGGTTTAAAAAGTATTAACTTATTGCAAATTGGAAGAGAATAGATATAGATGATGAAGTGGAAAAACCATTTTAAAGTATTGTAGCCTTTTAAAACCTTACAATGTACTTAATTTAATGGTGAACAGTTTCAAAAGTATTAACTTGTTGCAAGTTTGTGGAGAATAGATATAGATGAGCGAGTGGAAAACCCATTTTAAAGTATTGTAGCCTTTTAAAACCTTCAAAGCGAGCAATGTGCTTAATGTAATGGTGAACAGTTTAAAAAGTATTAACTTGTTGCATGTTCGTAGAGAATAAATATAGATGAGGCAGTAAATACTCATTTTAAAATATTGCCAGATGGACTCTTGTGTAAGCACAAAGGCCAAACTCTTTAAAAATTAACCCGTCCGGTATACACGCAATAAAAACCGGCAAGCTATTAATTAGGACAATATCAACATTCAACTGGACAACAGGTCAACCGATCTGAGAACCGAACTGGTTATTTCCAGTTACACACATTTTACAATTATTTATATATGCGGTTTTTCACATAACCGCCAATCATTCGGCTATGGGCGCGTTCCGCCACTGTTGTGTTTGCGATCAAAACTGTAAAGAAATAAGTAAATTTAAAAGATTTAAAAGTGGTTTACATAGGGCTCTCACTTACAAACTTGTATAACTTCTGTTTTCAATGCTTTGCTCTTTCACAAAATTACATAAACATCTTAACTCCTTTTTTTTATTTATTTATTTATTATCATTAAACTTGTGAAACTTTAGAGTTTTTTTTTCAAATGTCATTAAAAGACTAACAATAAAATAAAAGCAAACATGCCCTAAAACGAATAAATACAATTATTTTTTTACACCAATAAAAAGATCAGAGGACGATACAAAATACGTATTACCGAAAAAATCAGGAGCTTAGACAGGAAACTTTTAAAACATACGAAAACAAAAGTACAATGAAAACAACAAATAAGATGCCGATGATTTCAGCAACTCTCCCTACAATTTAATCAATTTACCATCCAAATGACTTTTGAAAACGCCTAATATTTTTAAAAGTTTTCTGTTTCATATTTAGATTATACTCTTGCGAGTAGTGGTATGACATAAAGTTGTTAAAAAAAAGTAAAATACAAGACTCTAAAACAATGGCTTGTTAATTTCGAAAATCGATGAAATCGAATTTTCGAAGGTATCTGCGCTCGTATAAAAATTTTATATCTCGGTAACGGTAAGTCGAAAAAAAAATCTTTTTTTTGTCTGTCCGTTCTCCGTTCTCCGCTCTCGCCTTTTGGTTTTTCCTGAATAACTTTCGAACCGTTGAAGCTACACAATTGAAATTCGCATCCTTTTTAACCCTCCACGAGGCCCTGATCTAACGGCGGTATCCATCTTTTTTTCGCGATTTTCGACTGTTTTTTGGACCTTGCTATGAAACACGATAAGTGTCCGAAATTTGAAGCAATCGACTTCATAATTGGCACATATATGCAGCTTTGCCCCGTGACGGAACCTATTGAAAATGGGGGGGCTGGGAGGTCGGGAAGTATTTAAAAAAAAATTCGCGTGTGCAAGGGTATACAAAAAAGACCATTTTTCAAAAACCGTTTACAAGACCGGAAAAATTATTGAAGCAGAAGACTCAGAGGAAACGACTCCATAAACTTTTATTCTTGACAATTTTTCAAAAATATACAGGGTGCGCCGCAAATTCAGAAAAACTGAAAAATGAAATTATTGAAAATTGGCAATCATTTGAAATCTGTGTTTTAGATGTCAGTTTATTTTACATGACGATATAGCCCATATAGACAGCGTAAACTTTGGCATTTACGAGTTTTACGGTACATAGTGTTCGCGATATTCCGTGCAATATTAAAAAACATAATACCGACTTCAGACCTGGGAGAGAAGTTGAAGCCTGGACCCGCATTCAGACTCTTTAAATTGCGAGCAATAAAATAACGCGAAGCATTTTTTTTTTAATTTTTGTTTTTTTTTGTGGTTATTTTGGCATCCAGAAAAACAGCTTTTCCTCCAAAAAATTCTAATAGATCCTAGAAATTTCCGCTTTTGTAGGTCAATTATTGGCTATAAATAAAAAACTTTTAAAGATGTGCAAATTTGATATGTACAGTATCGTAAACTGTATCGACAGAGAGTTTAAGGTTTCGTCTATAATACAGGGGGCGCGAGATATTTGAAAAAATATAATTTTAAATTGCAATTACCAGTACAAATTTGGCGTAACTTTGAAGTCCGACGAGATATGAAGGACACTTTATACAGGGTGTATTCACAATAAAATAACATCGATTTTGCGAAAGTTCCATAGTCGTCCGCACGAGCACGATAGAAAAACAACTTGCCCCTCTCACCGACGATTTTTCAAAAGCAATCTTGTTTCTTGTCCTGTCATTCCTCTATTTGACGAAAGATCAGTACTTTTTTGGTTAGTAATATGTACAGTGTGACCAATTTTTTATGGTTTTACAACGCACAGTGTTGCAGATTAGTATATTGGCCGATCAAAATAGACAAAACGAAGATATTAGAACTAAAACAAATACCCATAAATAAGAACTGCATAGCCAGACAATACACCACAATTCAGCAAAAACATTTTCTTGAATCAAGTATGCCTTGGTTGTCCCGGTTACGGAACGCAACTGTCAAATTTGGGCGTCGTGTGTCAAATATGTTAAATATTTTATGTCATGTCTGGTAAGTAAAAATGGTTTATAAGTGTTGGTATGTACTTAGTATAAATTTTAATAAGAATCAGTGAACGAAAATATATATTTGAAATATTTCCTAACAGATTTTCAAAGATCCTAAAAGAAATATCACCTAGTTTAGGTGATTGCTTTTAGGTATTAAACGAATGGAACTTTACCAATTTTTGCTATACACAAGAAAACAATTGATTGCGTATGATATGACGATTATATAAAGGAAGACATCCCTTAATTTTCGGTAAATTTCTCAAGATTAAGTCTCTAACGAAAATAGTCAATTATGTTAATGCGTTTATCGGTATGTGTAACAGCACACCATTATTTGGATCAGTTCTAATTTGACTTAGTCAATATGCCGAGCATGGCGAGTAAGCGAAAATTTTTATCTCTAGATGATAAAGTTGCTTTAATTCGGGAGATAGAACGGGGAGAAAAGTGATGTGGGACGTCGATACGGACTTACACCGTCTACTGTATCTACGATTTGGAAGTGCAAAGAAAAAATCATTCAGGCTGAAGCGGCAGGCAGTTCTAGTAAAAAACTAAGAAAGCCAAAATTTGAAGATTTGGATCGGGCAATATTGCAGTAGCAACAACAGCAACGTCTTAAAAATGTACGACTCTCTGGACCTATCGTAAAGCTAAAAGCAGAAAACTTTGCTGACCAGCTGGGCATTATCGATTTCAAGGCTTCGGAAGGATGGTTGGGGAAGTTCAAACAGGGACATGGTGTAAATTATGGGCAGATAAGTGGCGAAGCCCGTTATGTCGACAGAAACGTCACTAACGACTGGTTAGAGAAGACGTGGCCAAAACTAACAGAAAAGTACCCTGCTGACGACATTTTTAATGCTGATGAAACTGGCATTTTTTTACAAAATGACGCCAGATAAATCTCTTTAAATGTCGCAGCGAAAAATGTGTGAGTGGAAAACTTTCTAAAGAATGTATAACGGTGTTAGTAGATGCCAATCAACTAACCAACGATGTTTTAAGAATATCAAGCATTTGCCGGTCACTTACAAGCCAATTTTTGCAGAGGAGATACGGAAATGGGATGCAGAATTAAAGGGGAGGAAAATATTACTTCTCTTAGATAACTGCCCTGCACATACCCATATTCCAAATGTGCCGAATGTTGAATTGGCATTTCTTCCAGCCAAAACAATAAGTGTATTTTAGCTGATGGACCAGAGCGTAATTTAAAGTCTTAAGAGTCTATTTTAATGGAAATGATCTAGTCCGAATACAAATTTTCCATTAATATGCTAGATGCAGTCAACTTTATTAGTAAAGCTTGGAAAGAGGCGACAGCAGAAACAATTCAACACTCCTATCGTCATGCAGGACTTATTACCGAGACAGAATGCGAACAGGGCTTGGAAGATGATCAACCACTAAGAGAGTGGACAAAGCAGTTTCAAACAACAATTACGTTTACGAGTGAGGAGTTGCAAGATTTTATGGTGATAGATCAGGATTTGACTACAACAGCAGACTTGATAGAGGAAGCCATATTACAACAAGCAAGAAAGGATGAGGAAGTGCACCAAGAGGAAGAAGAAGATGAAGAAGTTGATCTGGGATCACCACCAACCATTCAACAAGCCCTATATTTAGTTAAGCTGCTAGAGAAATTTTTTATGTATCATGGAGAAGATGCCCCTCTCGAAGAAATGGTGAAAATACAAGCCAAAGTACGAGATACGTATTGGCATACTAAAAAAATTCAAAAAATTCAATTTGGAAAATCTAATGTAGTTCTTAAATATTTATATAAAATGTTCCTAAGTAGATGTTAAAATATGTATATAAAATAATTAAATATTACAGAACACATATGCCTATTGTTATTTTTCAAGTGCCTATAACTCTTTATAACGAAAACGAAAATATATAACACCTCAGAACTATTTCAAATACAAAGCATGTTTCTTCAAATATTTTTTATCAATAACATAATTTATAATACACATATTTTTGTTGGATGTTTTGTTTGTTATTATGTAGTGATATATCTCTTAATGTAGGTAAAACAAAATATAATTTAACGAGTACCATATATCTGGTGCAGTACCCTAGAGACGACGTAATAAAACGCTGAAACGTCTGCATGGCAGCCAATTTGTTACGTATTTTTGAGTTGGCCCTTTCGATTGCCTTAATTGTTGATCAGTTTAGTGAGATAATGCGTCTCGACTGACCATCGGCGGAAAACGACCACGCCGAACGGAGCAAGTCGATTTCCCATTACTATGCCACAGTCCGTGTTAGTTGCGACAATAAATATTAGAAATTTATCAAATACTTGCGCCTGGACTGGACTGCACACGCATAAATCCGTTTCCTGTATTGTAATTCAATTTAAATACCTGCATTATGCATTTTCTAAACTAAAGAGACAATCGTATCAACGTAATATAATCTTCTTTATGTATTTATTTCAATTCGGCGAAGACCTCTCCTCCGGAACTTTTGACACCCCTCAAATGTCAAAGATACCACGTTTTGCTGGGAAAGTGACGTAGACTTCTGTTCAAATTTAAAAATAGCGAACATTTAAGATTTTATGCCGATAGGGACGCGATGATTTTCGAAAAAAAAAGTGTTCACAGAGTTAAAAATATACAAGGGTTCGTTTACATCAAAAACTAAGTTGACAGGGGACGCCATTTGAATTGAAGTTCCACCTTTTAATTGTTTAAAATTTCAGTTCGGCAGTTTAGATTCCTGTTTTGGTTAGTTTATTTTTGAAATATTAATAAATTCTGCATTTTTTTCATTCAAGTCAATTCCCAAATCTAGTGCAAATTAGGGTTCCTCTTCAAAAATTACAAAGAAAGCTTAGTTAGAAATTTGAAAAAAGCGAATAGGGATGATCTTGAGACACATTTCATTATGATAATAACAGAAAATCTTTTTTTAACAGTGAAATATAAATTAATACCGACACAATTCAATAAAACTAGGAAAACACAGATTAGAAACACATTTAGTTTTAGAATTATGACAACTTTTACTATAGTTTTAGAATTATGACAACTTTTACTAGTCTAAAGAATAACATTTTACCCTGTAAACTTTATTCTCAAAATGACTGTTTTTTCGGTATTTGTTCTTTAGAGTGACTAACCAACTAAGTAATCAAAACTACAGTTAGGTTTGATCCACAACTAATGAAATACTTTTGTGATTGTTAAACTTTATACGTGTTCTTCTTATCGGGAAAATACCAGAAATAACCAGAATTAGCTATAACAGGTAAATTTACAAACACAAGTATCTCTTTTTTGACTTTATGCAGATAAATACTATTTAGATATTGGTATTGGTGAATGTATTTCACTACATGCAATAGTAGACAACTATTCAATCATTCAATTATTAAATTAAATTTGCCACACGCGAAACTGTGTTATCGTATTTATCCATCCGCGTCGAATATCGACATTGCGAAAATACATCTGACATGTGGTGTAACGGGTCACCATTATTTTGCAATAGTGACCTCTTGCGAAACAATCAAAACTATAAACATCATCATAAAACGGAATTTACCGTTTAATTGGTTCTTACTGGTTCGGTTTTTAAAAAATAACCATTCTTGGCGTTGTTTTTCTTTTCGAACTCGGCAAAACAAAAATATAGATAAACCATACCAAACGGTAAATTGTAAACTAAAAGTATAATTCAAAATATTTATTTAATCCATTTTAAACTTTCTATAGTATATGGTATCGTTAGCCACAGTACAAACGGTATTTTGTACTAGTTACATAGTTCCGCAATAGAAATTTGCGTAAAAACATTACACATGAAACTTGTCTCAAAGGGGATGGGTGACGTCACTACGGAAATAAATCGTCAAGGTAACTTTTCCTTGCTGTACACTTATAGCTCATGAAGTTTTTGTGTTGTGCCTTTATTTATCTTTAGTTTTAACGCTCTTTATAATTACTTGTGATGCGTTTGTAATAACAAAAGATGTCGGCTCTGTCAGCGTACCCTATTGGTAAATAATATGCATGTAAGAAAACGGTTCCATTGAAATATTCTTACCTCAGGGCATTTGTTCAGTGGTTGTTGGTAAACAATAATGCCATGTCTGACACATTTTGGAAATAATTAGTTATAATTTACGGGAGCTCCGGTGCAAGTTAGTATTTTAAATTTGACAATGATCCTTTAATATATTAGCAGACTCCGTTATTGGACAAAAATGGTCAAAGGTAATGAAGTTGCGTAATCCGCATTTGTGGTATTTTACATGCCTAACTTTTTTCACCAGCGGGATTTAACAAGCAAAAGTCCCTTTTGCACGTCAATAGAGATAACCACAAGCTTACCGAATACTTCCCGATTAGACGATCTATTAGGAAAACCAAGAAACACGTATTACGAGAACAGCAGACATGGCTAGAAAATGTTATAAGGAGAGAAACCGAAGAAGGTCTGGAGGTAATTTTTGTAATATTTTATAGTAGACATATTTCTAAGATCGTAATTGAAGATTCGACACGTCGAAGATAAAGGAAGAAGCATTTTTGCAACCAGAGACTTTGCAAAGGGTGCCTTTGTAGTTGAGTACAGTGGGGATTTCATAAGTATTGCTGAAGCCAATGAACGGGAGGACCAATACTCACAAGACGAAAGTACAGGTTGCTATATGTATTATTTCAAATATAACGACCAGCAGTTTTGCATCGACGCTACTAAAGAATCTGGGAGAATGGGTCGCCTTATCAACCATTCTCGCACAAACAGCAATCTGTTCACAAAGACTGTCATGGTTGACGGTTTGCCTAGGCTCGTGCTGTTTGCCAAGGAGAATATAAAGAAAGGGGAGGAGTTGCTGTATGATTATGGAGATCGTGCAAGGGAGTCTCTACAAAACCACCCATGGTTGAAGTATTAATTTTTCATTTCATGAATTATTCCTTTGTCATGTTTGTACAAAAATCACATAGTTTTTCTTAGATTGTGCAGCTTTATTTCAGTATTTATTTGTAGGTTAGGTAACAGTTGAAAATATTGATAATTCATTTTATATAAATTTAGACATGAAATTAGAACTGAAGACATTATGGTGAATATGGAATGCCCAAGTGTATCTCTTGTTTTAAAATTGTAAATTTATATTTAATTTTTATTAACAATGTAATACAGTACTTATTAGTGCTTTTATTACTTTAAAATTTATAGCGATTTTTTAAAATCTGTAATGACATTTTTTTAATAGACAGGAGTAAATTGTTTCTTTCATTTTTACTTTTACTGCCTTCACATGATAATATCTAAATGGTAAAAATTGATGCACCCAGGAAAGGGAATGATATTCTGCCCATGCCTCTAAATTTTACATACTAATGTGGTCTTCGCGGTATTTTCTTTCTAAACAGCGATCCATACACACTCAACTCGTTTTCCTAGAACAAATTATAGAGAAAATATTACCGAAAAAAAACCCGACGAACTGTCAGCGGCCATGTTGAGCTAGTTGTTGGTTGGTTTCAAATAACAGGATTTATTGGTTGGAAACGGTATTTCAAATGACCTCGCATTTTTTTGGTCGTCATTTTGCTAAAATTTTACTTAGAAACTCTCGGTTTTACAAAAGGATTGCAGGAGAAAATAATATATATTTTTCCATGTCATTAGGCACGTTTTTCGTTAAATTTAGTCAATAAAAATTGTTTTTATAATAGTAATACTTCCGCAGTATTTTAAATATGGGATAACCTCCTTAAAGTTTTCATATTTGTTTTGAAACACCTTGTATATCTAGTAGCTATATGTTATAAACTGTACGGCATCTTTCAGATGGTTCAAATATTTTCGTTAATAAATATATAAAATACTTACCAAAGATTGCCGTCAGCCGCGGATGTTGCTATTGTTTAGTGATTCTTAAATAAATATATTTTTAAAAAAGTTTAGGAGAACTAATTTTAAAATTTCACAAATCAGCACCAGAACGGCAAGGCACAGAACCATTTAAAGCAATGGCTAGCCATCTAGTGGTATCCTTTTCAAACAGAGCGAACGTGACACGTTCACTGCGTATAAAGTCGAATATTTTCAAGGCCATCCGCGAAATTAGCAAAAAATCGCACGAGTTCCAAACGGTGGAAAAATTTCCACTGCTCCCCGGTATACCTTTTTATAAGTAAAAATGAAACAGAAATTTATTTTTTAATTACACAGGTAAATTGCCCATAAAGTTTTGAAAGCTCAAAAGACTAGAGAGACATATACTGGCGCCCTTTTTAACTTAGAGCCTGACTAACATCCAAACGATCAAAATTGATATCAATATTATTTACATCTAAACTAAAAATTTAACTCAAAAACGGACCCACTTAATTTGAACTTTTTGTCTTAACATTGAGAAAGGAATCACACCCCTTAGAATAAACCGCTTAGGAATTTCCAACAAATAACTTCATATACATAATCATTAACCATTTATTTAAATACATTAATAAAGATAATAATACTCTTAACCAATGTAATAAAAATAATACACAGCGTATCAGAAAACAAAAATATATGGACCGATGTACACAGGGTGTGAAGACCAGCTAGTCGGCGTTCGAAACACCAGTTCACATTGATATTTTTACTCAGGCCGATGAATTGTCCAGAACTACACACACGTGACAATGTGAAATGTACAGCGTGCTACTAAACTAGGAAGACTCATGGACGCTGGTGTATAGTGAAAGTCGGTGGACGAATATCAGTGTGAATCGGCTTTCAGCAAATCACATCTCTATAAATTCGTTCGCTATGTATATATATATGTTGTAAACTTAATTTTGAAACGCTTGGACCAACCAAAACCAACTTTTCATACATTTACATTGCCTATTAGCTTTAAATGTGACCTTCCCCGAAGCAATTTGGTAGTTTTAGGTGACCGAGACACACAAAACAGGAGCGAACAACTTTACACGTACACGGTCGCAAAAACGACATACTTGCGGTACACTTTGACCATGGAAATGGAAATTTTATTATATACAAAGTTTCTGTGTGGATTTTTTTAACAACTTATCTAACGCATTTTCAATATTTCATAAAACCAAAAACTTATACGCTTCAAAAACTTACAATTTTGCTAACAAAAAAAAACTTAAATATATTTTTGACAATTGACAAACGCGTGAAGACTATCCCCCCCAGGTATTACTTAATTTTGTGCGCGAGTTGCGAAAACAAAATAAAAAAACGTAATCAACAAAATAAATTTATTCCAAATTGTTTATTTATATATATAGCTAAACAAAAACTCTAGATTTCGAAAACATTGGGTAATAGCTAAACTTGTCTTTTTGCGTTAAAAAAAAATGTGGTTAGTCCCATTTAGCCACAACAATGTTCCCGTAGCAATAATTTACAAAAAAAAAATATATCAGTAAAGTCTGGCTTTCTAACAGATTATATATTCCAAATAACAGTCAATCTAGGATAAGAAGAATGTAGAAATACTGTGATGAAGAGGTTGGATTTGGGGAAGTGGGGATTTAATTGAGATTCTTGTCTTCTGTTTATCCGCTCTTAAACAACAGTATTGCCACCTAGAGGAACGCAAAATGTTAAAAACAAAACCGTTAGAGGAAACATACAAACGTCACTTGCCTGTCCAAGGTAGAAGTAGATGAAGTGGCGAGTCTCGTGTGTCACATAGGAACCGAAATTCCTGCCTACAATGCAGTGCCACGTGGGATTGTATTTTTTGTCGAATTCCTTCTTAATATAGGCGGCAATGTCCTAAAACCAACAAAGTTGCTAAGAAATCTACAATTTAAAGCTTTATCGGTCATAATTTTTGAATTAATTTATAACTATCCCAATTTCTATTAGTCACATTTAAATTGGTCAAAATACACAGGCTTGCAAAACAATATACTTTATCTTACTTGTTAAAAAATCTTTCACAGTCTAGAAAGATTGTTTAATTAGAAGCCTTTTACTTTTAATTTCAAAGCCTGTCTTACATCATCCTTGGTGAGGTTTTTTAAATTTGATAACCATTGATTGATTTAGTTGATTGATATATTAAGTTGTACTCCATATCTTCATTCATATCTATTTGTGATATCATTGGCCAAGAGACATTTTTTATTGTTATTTTTTGCCTTGTCAATATTATTGATATATATTAACAACCGCAAAGGTGAGAGAACTGATCCCTGTGGTAATCAATGTTTGGTGGCCCCTCCAACAGAAACTTCACCTCCATAAATAGCAAGCAACATTCCCATAAAATACTATCTTTCTTGACAGGACCTCATGACAAAACTCTTGACCATTTCTTAACAATTCAAAGATTTCAGATTTGATTGTATTTATTGTTATGGGTCAGTAAGTCACTATAAACTGATACCAACTAACCCAGGTGTGTGGGTGTGAACAATAAATACAATATGTTATTGCTAATGAGATCAGTATTATAATAAGTCAATTTTAGTGCTTACACCTCAACAAAATGTTGTATATGTATGTAAATAAGTCAATAAAATAAAAGATAAGATATAGTGACGTCTAGCATGGACCTTTGCAGAGTCTGACAACTTTATTGTGTTAAAAAAAAAACATTGTCCATAAATATAGCACACCTACCTTTTCGATATTATACTTTTCTATGGCCTGTGTCGCACAATCCACGGCATCTTGTTGCATATCCTCTCCCATGTCAGCATTTTTAATTACAGCTTTCCTGTCAGTCATAGTGGTTTCTTTTGGATTCGAGTTAGACCTGCGAAAATACAAAAGCCAAAGTGTAACAATCAAATATTTACTTTGCGTTTATACGTTTTTCTGTAACCACTTATGTTTTTGATCCTAACTTTGGCATGGGCGACGATCTCGCCCATATTAAAACATAACTGGTACAGACGACTCCGGCATGTTTATGTTTTATCAATATTTCGGATTTTATAAAAATTATGCATGCGATATCAGGGAAAAATTGATTAAGCTGTCTCAAGATATCCGACAAGTCAGTGTATCAACGCCGTGCCACGCAAATTTAGGTACTTACGTGAAATTTTATAAAGTAATCGGCTCGAAAACTTTATTGTGTGACAATTCGCGACTTTTTGATTTAATTAGTTTTTGTTGAAAACAACGTTATTCAACTATTTCGGCTGCCTTTTCTATCGCACCTAAATGCAACTGACAAAATACAATTCATTTATTGGTCGGTCGCAGAGGCATCTGGCAGAGGCGTCTGGCAAGTCTCGCGCGATTGGTCAATGGATTTTCACAGTGGCGTGTTTGAGGGTAATTAGGGAATACGGGAAAATATACCAAAATTTGATACAATTTAAATACGTATCGATTCGTTTCATACCATAGCGTCGAGATACGAATCAAACTTCAGGCAATCTGCATGCATCTTATTTGCTTAAAGCATGCAACATAAATGCATTTCTATACACACAGATAAAAGCCGTATCTATATCTGTTTAAATTACCAATTAATGTTTATTTTTATATTCTCAGAAAAAGTCGCTTTGACAGTGCCGGACATTCGATGTTCTCGTGCTCTAAAAGCAATAAATATATAACGAATCGCTCACAAATAACGCGCAAACTACAAGCTTGACATTGCCAATGGTTTTTTTAAATATCAAATCCGCATGCAAAAGGGGCAACATAATATTTAATGGGAAAGTAATGTAAACCTACCCGAGGAAACGATTTTATTATGTTCGCTTATTCCAAATTCTGCGATGCTTAGAAAATATATGTCTGTTTTCGAATTTTATCAATTTGGACCCGGAACGGAATTAATTAACCGCAATCTTGTTTCAAGGCAGAGATGGATGAGACTCCGTGTTATAAAAATCGATGCCCTTCGCATTGCGCAGAATCTCGACGGCCAGACAGAAATTTGAAAACTATCGATAAAATTGCGGAGGTTGAAAGCACCGAAAACAACACCCGGCGACGGCGGATGGCCGAAACCACAGACCACGGCAATGTGATTGGAAAATGATACGAAATAATCTTATAAAGGATAATACCAGATATTTACTTAAATGTAAACATCGTAAACTGTTTTGGGAACGAATAAGATACTTTTTTATTTAATTTCATATATGCGAAAGAAAGTAAATTTCGACTCCGATGCTTAGCGTTGAAATAACGTTGCCGTCAATACCACAGAATTAAGTAGTCTGTGAATTAACCAAGTATTTGAACATATCATGTTATCCTGTGATGTATAGGTTATAAACCCAACTTTATATCATTTGATAAGTCCCCTTCGATTTTTTAAAATTCTAAAAAGGTGAGAAAGCATTGTTATTACGCAACATTAACGCGCAGGACCGTTTTTCCTTACTTGAAAATGCTGAAGGATAAGACGTTTTTTTCCGCGACGAGTTGTTTTTTCGTGGGAAAAGGGCAACACTACCAAACCCAACGGAGTTACAGCGCAAAGGCAAGTTGGAATGCTCGTCTAACAGTTTCAAGTTCGGGAATTGTGACTTATTGGCCAGAGGAATGAAAATGACAGGGAGTACTCAGGAGTGGGGGACAGAAAACCAGTAAGCAGTTTTTATGAAGAATACTCAATTTTAATAGAGATTAGGTTTTCTTTCAAAACCTTGAACAATTATTCAATCGTTTTTTTTTTACGGGATGGTGGCTGACAATGCAAACTCGCCTGGACCGCACTAAATTCTTTATTCAGTGAAATTTCATTTACAAATTAAAACAAAAATAAAAACACCTTTATATTTCCGGGGCGTTAAACATTCTCGTTTGAGCAACTTATAAAAACTCGACCGCCATTGGGCGATAGCAAACGATATCACACTGTAAACAAATATCCGCGAAACTTAACCTAAATAAATTTACATAAAAAGAAAATATCGTGAGTAAACATAAAGATCATTTACTTATATTACAATCTTTGTATCATGTTAAATATTTATGTTTGCATTAAAATATGTACAAATACTTAGTTTATCACAGTAAAATTAGTATAATGGGTTGTTATGCCGCTGAAAAACAATGGTTAACGCGTTTTTTTTTCCGGAGTATAATATCTAAGTATATTTACATACATTTCGTTTGGTACGTAATCTCGGAGGAAAGAGATTTCTTTGATAGTGCTACCAAAAAAAAAAAGTTAATTTGCTTGTACTAAATAGTTTTCCCTACAAAGCAAAGCAAATCAAAGGACTAATTAACCAATTCAATCAATTACATCGCTGGCAATGGTATAGAAGCATATGGTACTCTAAACTAATGTGATTGGATCATAAGTTTACACCACTTTTTGAAAAAATCATTGCTTAGGCGGTAGTGTTTTATGTTTTAAATAACCAACATGGTTCCTTATGTCACTGTGTTAAAATCTCAGGCACTATTTCCATCAACAGCCTAACTTGCAATTTATGGGTGGAGGAAAAGATTGCTTCATTGCTTGTGGGCAAAGTCGGCAGCAACCGTTGTAGTAGTTTCAACTTATGCTGTTATAATCCCATATTGAGACCCATTTCTATGAATAGGCCAAGCAATTAGATAGCACAGTGATCTGGAAATAACTGAAACGGATGAGTTACAATGGAAAAAACAAATGAGAAAGGGTGCCCAGACAGCTATTTCCTCAAAGTCTTAATTAAGAGTATATAATAGTGGCTTGGAATGCATACTTTTCAAATAATATAAAGCATTTATCACATGAAGACAACTCACAGCCTTAAGTTTAACACCACTAGAAAGCAGAAAATCATTAATAAAATCTTCAGTGGGCGCTGCTCTTGTGCTCTTCACATCTATGTACATAGTCAGGATAAAAAATCACAAGGTCACTTCTTGGTAGTGTGAAGGAAAAGAATTAACAAACCCATAGGTTTCTTCAAACAGAGCACGAGAAACACAGTTCCCACTGAGTGCTAGTCTCATGCTAATCTTTTACACACCACCACTGTCACTGGAAACCAAGATCGTTCTTTGGTGCACCTCCAAGATCACCAAGAGCCCCTTCAACTTCAAAACATACAAACGAAACGTAGTTGTTACTAAAAGCTAGACAATAAAAAAACAAAACTACCTGGGACAGTAACCAAGCGGCTATTGCACTGGACCTCTTAAATTTTACCAAATAGTACTTAAAATTCTCGTCTTCACGGTGTCATAAATGATATTGGATAAATTCTTCATAGGAAATGATTCTTGGGTACTATAAAAGAAAAAATCGCCAGTTTTGGTTAGAGAAAAATGTTTCCGCTAATATTCGAGTAAGGTGAAAGATGAGAGGTCGGGAATGTTATTCGTTTGACGTTCGTGGTGATTTATACCATAAATTGGATAATCTAGAAGCGGCTTTGGCAAATCTAATTAACTGGAATGTCTGATATTTACGTTAAAATTGTTCCCAAAAAAACAACTTCCTGACGGTGTGAAACGCATAGACTCTTTCAAAAGATACATGACAAATGCAAGTAGCACAAAATTTAAATTAACATATTTCATTTTAAAATGCCCTTTCAACTGCAAAACAGACAAACGAGACGTAGCTATTATTGCAGAGTAAACCGCAGCGGCCTTGAAAGGATAAAGCCGCCTAGTGTCGTAAAGAACATTGGCATAAAGACTTAATGGAGAATGATTCTTAGGTACCACCGGTAATATAGTTGTTATCCAGCCTTGACTCGAATAGGGAACGGAAGCCTAATTTCTCCCGTATTATTTGTCATGGAATGTCAAAATACTACATAAGAGAAAAAAAATGGAATCGAGACTTCTGATTGCCTTTCAAGTTGACTTTCTGATTGTCCCACGCTTTGTAATGCAGAAACACCATAACCGAATCAATGGTATGGGTATGGCAGTTTTTTCTGCTTGGAAAAAGGCTTTTCGAACAAATCATTGTTTAGGGACGATAGTGTTTTGTAACTGATTAAATAACCAACATGGTTCCTTGTGTTAGTGTGTACAAATCTCAAAAAACCTCAATAGTTGGCATTTTAAAAAGCCTTTTCAACTCCAAAACAGACAAGACCAAACGTAGCTATTATTGCAGAATAAATCACAGCGGTTTTGAAAAGCTAGACATCGAAAAAACCACCTAGCGTCGTAAAGAACATTGGAATAAAGACTTCATGGAAAATGATTCTTAGGTACCACCAGTAATATGGTTGTTATCCAGCGTTCCCTTACCGCGAACAGAAGCTTAAGTACTACTACGAGTACTATGATTATTTGTCACGGAATGTCAAAATACTGCATAAGAGAAGAAATAGGAATCGAGATTTCTGAACATGGCTTTCAAGTTGAGTTTCCGACACCCGACACTTTGAAGGAACTCCGGCCAAAGCCGTCCCTGGTACCGAAACTCAAATCCCCTCCTAATCCGACTCAAAGAGTCCACAGTACGTTGCTGGCCATGCTCGTAGAGGACATTCAGTTACAAGCAGTCAAAATTTAAGAGATCTATTCCTCATCATCAAACCGTCGAGATAAACAGTGGTTATAAAAAGCAACTTCAACTTCGGGATATAGAAACGAAAGGAGAGCAAATCTCAGCGGTCCAATACCCTGGAAAAGCTAGACGCTATAAATAGGGGAAACAAGCTGATGCAGTAAAAAAGCGGCCATTGCACTCAACACTTTCTCTAACAATTAGTACTTCAATAGGCCGTCGACGCAAGTCTGAATACTTAAGTATTATTTGTGACGGAATGTCAAAATACTGCATAAGAGAAGAAATAGGAATCAAGATTTCTGAACATGGCTTTCAAGTTGAGTTTCCGACACCCAACACTTTGAAGGAACTCCGGCCAAAGCCGTCCCTGGTACCGAAACTCAAATCCCCTCCTAATCCGACTCAAAGAGTCCACAGTACATTGCTGGCCATGCTCGTAGAGGGCGCTCAGTTGCAAGCAGTCAAAATTTAAGAGATCTATTCCTCATCATCAAACCTTCGAGATAAACATACGTGGTTATAAAAAGCACCTTCAACTTTGGGCTATATATACGGCAAATCTCAGCGGTCCAATACTCTGGAAAAGCTAGACGCTAAAAATAGAGCACAAAGCGGCTATTGCACTGAATACTTTCTCTAGAAATTAGTACTTCAATAGGCCGTCGACGCAAGTCTGAATACTCCCGTATTATTTGTCATGGAATGTCAAAATACTGAATCAAAAAACCATTTTAGAGGGCGGTAAATTCGGAATCGCGACTCCTGATCACGCCCTTCAAGTTGACCTTTGGATTACCGGACACTTTCAAGGAACTCCTACCGAAGTTGCCCCTGGTACCGAAACTCAAACCCCCACTTTTCCGATTCAAGGAGTCCACGATACTCTTGACGACGTTGCTGGACTTGCAACTGCTAGTGGAGGGCGTGCAGGTGGTTTTGGGAAGTTGATCCAGGTTGACGACCTTTCTTTCTTCCATTTTTAAGGAGTCTGGCAAGTAGGAGTTGTAGGCGCGGGTTATAGTCTCCTCCTGGCTGGGTTTAATGCTCCTCCTCTCGAATATCGGCGTTCTCTTCAGCACCTTGGCCAGTATCCCGGAATTGTCGGCCTTTATTTCCGCAACTTCCGGGCAATAGAACTTGCCGGTCGCTTTGCGCTGAAGCAGTGGCGTGCGTTTCAACACGGGAGCGTCGTCGGGTGTTTTGGTATAACGTCTACGCACTAAGCTCGATCTCTCGAGGTTGTTTCTAGACAACTGCCTTTCTTCCGGATTGGGGAAAAAATTCGAGGTAGTAGAGGGTGGAGTGGAAGATACGAGGTCGGGAACGTTGTTCGCTTTGTTGTTGTCCTTGACGGTCTTATTGTGGACGAACTTTTGCGTGACTGCCGACGGGACGGCGTTGATGCTGTCCAAGTTGAGGTTGTTGGTTTTCTCTGGCGAACGCTGTTCCACGCTATGGACAAGAAAAAAAAAACTAACTTTTTGCCGACTCGTAGAAATTACTTTATAAAACAGAATTGACACAGAGGTAAGGGAAAATAGTATATTATGCAACAAGTGCAGTAAACGGCATTTGATTCACAAGTTTATTTTATATATTTATTATTTATTTAGTTTATATCGTCCGGCGAACTTTACCATAATCATTGAATTTACTGGTTTTCAATGCTTGTGCAATATATTTCCCATATGAGTCAGTTGTTTCATCAATCACAAGATAAACATAATTTTCACCCCCTTTTTGTTTGTTGTAATGTAATAAACTAATAAAATGCAATAACTTCTCTATTATTGGAAAAAGTGCATGTTTTGTACCGGGTGGCCTATTAATAAAGGACGCGGGCCATATCTCAGGTTACCGTTAGTCCTACAAGTTAGAGAAAAATATTTATAGGTCAATCGGCCAAGAGAAAAAGCTGGAAATTCTTCCCAGGTTCATAAAACGGCCGCTAGGGGGCGTAACCTCTACTGTAAAATAGAAAAAAACGGGTTTTCTCAAAAATATACCAAATTAATCTATATCAAAATTTGTTTTAACGTAATTTACTTTAGATAAGGAAACTGTTTTGTTTGAACAATTTTTTTCTATCTCGTCAAATTAAGGGTGGGGGAAGGGTCAAATATTGGCTTAGAAAAAGTTGAGATATAAATAAAAATTAATTTAAAATAGTATATTATGCAACAAGTGCGGTAAACGGCCTTTGACTCACGAGTTTGTTTGACACGAGCGGAGTAAGTGTTTAATAAATGAGTGACTTAAAAAGTTTACCGAACGTGTTGCATACTATATTTTTTCTACGACTGTTAGTTTTTGCGTACATTTTCGCAAAACAACATTCACTGATATGACCGTCAGAATTGACAAACGTCAAAATTCAAAGGGTGGGAAATATCCCCGAAAACATCCGATTGTTCCCAAACTCGTGTGGTAAAATTCCGGAGATGTCCAAAGTGGCTCGGATTCGTGGGAAACGAAACTGGCGTGGTAAAGTGATGCTTCCCGCACGCTAGATTGGTCGGTAATTAGGTATTTTACAGACGGGAGTAGAAAAATACTTTTTTACGTGGGTATAGTAGAAGCAGTAAATACACCGCAAGCAAATCGAAAGCGATTTCGTTCTCTAAAGGCATTTTACCATGCCATGAGCTAAGAGTACTTAGTTATTTTACCCTTTTCTCCAAAATTGAAAGTAAAGTAATGTATTGAGGTCTTCATGAAAATTTCTTTCTATTGTCCTGGTTTCTAACCTGGATATATTTGTCGATATTCTCTTTTAACCCTTGCAATATTATGTCCCGTTTGAATAATACAATTTTATTATTTGGGGTTTTTCTTCCTCAGTATAACCCATTTGAAATATCTTAAGTTATTTAACTTACGCTGTAGATCTTCAGTTTTGATTAGTTTCCTTGTAACAGAAATAGAACAGTTGTTAGAAAATGTGCCCGTTAGGAATTGTTTAAATTTAATTTGGCACCAAGATGGCGCACCTCCACATAATGTCGAACTGGTTACCGACTATTTCAATAATAAATAATCAGCCCCGACCTCAATCCTTGTGACATTTTTTTTGTGGGGATACTTAAAAAATAAAATTTATTATAATAGGCCTGAAAGTTTACAAGTGACAAGAGAAAGACCTAATATCGTTTTACAAGATCTAAACAGAGTAAACCCTGATTTTATCACCTCGTATATAAATAGGAAATTGAAAGGAAATATTGTCCGATGTATAGAGAATAATGGAGGTTATGTGGAAAATGTTTAGTATAACCCATTCGAAATATTTTAAGTTATTTCACTTACTCTGCAGATCTTTAGTTTTGATTAGTTTTGGTTAGTTTTCTTGCAACAGAAATAGAACAGTTGTTAGATAACGTGCGGATGAGGCTTCCTTCACTTCAGCAGGAATATTTAATAGGAACAATAAACATTTTTGGTCCACCAATAATCCACACAAAACGCAGACAGTGAAAATCCAAGGACGGACGTCAGTTAATGTATGGCGTGGTATGTTGAACAATATGGTAGTCGAATTGGTTATATACGAAGGATCCTTAAATGCCTAGCGATATTTAAATTTCCTTGCAACAGAAATAGAGCAGTTGTTAGAAAATGTGCAAGTTACGAATTATTTAAATTTAATTTGGCATGAAGATGGACAACAGCGCCGACCTGAATATATATTTTATATTATATATATAATTTGCCGTTTTTACCGTATAACCGGAGCGCTGGGGGGCGCGTGAAAGTCGCGCTTCGGGCCGAATATGGCGGCGTCGTCGCAGGTGCCGGCCGAACTGGACGTGTTGTCTTTGATCTCCTTCATGAACCGGTTTCGGGTGAAATTTTTCGGCACCGTCCTCAGGCGCACCTTGAACCGGCGCTCGTCCCCGCAACGGTTGTTGGGCTTTTCCGCCGTCTTCAGTTCCGCGTCCGTCAAGCTTTTCACGCACTTTTCCGTGTCGCACGCGAACACCTTGTCGTTTTTCAAAAACCCGATGTTCTCGTAATCGGGATACGACCTAACGTCCGGGATCTTCGTCACTAAGGTAGGGTTTTCCAAATTTTTCGCGGAAAGTTCGTCGCCAAGGGCGGGTTTCGTCGATAGTACGTTTTCCATCGGTTTGAGGTTGTCGCCGTTCGTCGCTTTCTTCTCCGGCGACGAGGTTTTGCTTATTTTACCTTCCTTGATGGGCTCGAGTGCGGGACTGCGATGCCCAGATGACGGTATGCCTGCAAGTTAAATTAATTAAACGTGTACGGGATGTTATTGAAATTACATCTGATAATCCGATTGGTGAGTCTGGAATCGATATTTTGTTATACTTGGTATCTTGGTCCACTTGGTCCTACTGTTACTGTGAAGGAGCACCGTTTCATTTAATTATTTTTCGAGTAAAGTTAATACAGAGCAACAAAACACCACCATCAGATGGCATTACAGTAAACTTATCCCCATTACTTGTATAGTTATTTTTTGATTGTGAATAAAAATTTGCCAGAGAATTTGTTTGTGGAGGCACTATTTTGTTTGGGATTATCGATGACACCGAAAGCACAAAGTCCAATCTAGAATCACGAACTGGAAACTGGAAGGCCAACTACATTTGAATTAATTGAATTAAAAATTAACTTAAAATTAATTAATGGCTTTGAAGGAAAATATGTTTTTCTGAATGAAAAAAAAAAATAATAAAAAAATAAAAAAATACTTGACGTTATTTTATTGCTCCCAATTTAAAGAGTCTAAATGCGTATCCAGACTTCTATTTCTCTCCCAAGTCTGAAGTCGGTAGCTGCAAATTTGGAATACTTATTATGTTTTTTAATATTGCGCGGAATATCGCACCCTGTACAATACTTAAAAACCGTATATACAAAAGATTAAGCTGTCTATATGGGGTATATCGTCATGTAAAAGAAACTGACATCTAAAACACCAGATTTTAAATTATTGCCAATTTTCAATAATTCAATTTTTTGAATTTTCGGCGCAAACTGTATATTGTTGAAAAATTGTCACGAATAAAAGTTAATAGAGCTGTATCTTCCGCTTCTTCTGGTTCAAGAATTTTTTTGGTATCGTAAACGGTTTTTGAAAAATGATGTTTTTTGTAGATCCTTACACGCGCGATTTTTTATTTTTTTAGAATACTTCCGGACCCCCAGCCCCCCATTTTCAATAGGTTCCGTCACGGGGCAATGCTGCATATATGAGCTAAACATGAAGCCGAGTGCTTCAAATTTCGGACACGTGTTTCATAGCAAGGTCCAAAAAACAGTCGAAAATCGCGAAAAAAAGATGGATACTGGCGTCGCTTCAGTGCCATTTCTTATAAGCTTATGTGCCTCGTGGAAGGTTAAAAAGGAGGCAAATTTAAATTTTCAATTTTCAAAAGACGAGAACAGAGAACGGACAAAGAGACAAAAAATTTTTTTTTTCGACGGTGATCATTTCTGTACCAACGGCGATCCCGTAGGGCTTACCGTTACCGAGATATAAAATTTTTCTACGAGCGCAGATACTTTCGAAAAATTCGATTTCTTCAATTTTCGAAAGTAACAAGACTTAAGTTTTCCTTGCAAAAATAGAAGGAGTAAAACATCTAGCATGTAATCAGCTTTTATTCTAATTTGTATGTATGAAACTAACGCTGGCAAAACTTCGTTGACACTAATAACGTAACAAATTATTTTTCGAGGCATGAATTTGCGAGATTTTAAATATGAACTTGGTGTTGTACAACTTGCAACGTTATTGCAAATCGTTGGAGCTGGTTTTCTAGACTACCAGACTGCAGCCCTAACGAAGGAGTATTTTTGGCACTTTATCCATCAACTACGAGACTCGTTCATTAAATCATTAAATTAATATGACGTCGTTTCAATAACGCCCCGTATATATTTACCTTCGGGGGTGGTGCTGCCGGAGGAGGTGGGACTGATCCCCCTATAATGTTGGATGTCGAACAACAAATCGGGCGGAAGAGGCATGCTCACCGACAGATGCATGGAAAGTGATTCTAACCACACTTCCATCACTTCAAAGGGCGGCCTAAAATCAATCGAAGGTTAAAATATCGGCGTGTCGTGCGTTGATGAAATTACGACTGACCGCTTGTCTGGATTGAGATCGGTACACAAAAAGGCGATTTGATAAAAAGGTTCCGGACAAGACGAGCAAAATTTCTCCTTGAAAGCCGCTTGGTTCAGGCCGAAATCGTTCGATCTGGGCAAAAAATCCGGGTCCGCCTGCACTCTCCCGATTATCTAGAAACCATGGGCTACTAAACGAAAGCTAAGGCGGGGTTTTAAGTACCCACCTCGCACAGAATTATCCCGAAGCTGAATATGTCGACCTTTTCGTCGTACTTGTTGCCCTTCATCATCTCGGGCGCCATCCAATAAGGGTTGCCCACCACCGTGTATCGTTTCTTCCGCTCTTGCCTCTTGTTTCCAGCCGGACCTTTCGGGAGAAACGAATCAGAAACGTATACTAACCTAATTTGACATAGTCATGTTGCCGGTCCCAAGGAGGGTTTCTAGGTAAGATTAGCTTCCTGCCTTAAGTAAAAAAATAATCTAGCTCTTACAACTGGGAAAATAGTCCCGCATGTTGGACGGATTAGGGAACAAAGGACAACGGCAAGAACACGGAAACGAATATGGAAACGGAAAAATATATTAAGGTTTATGAGAGACCAAGAAATCATAACTGAACTAAATAATCAAAAAATCGATATTTGTGCTCTATCGGAACGGAAGAAAGGAAAAGGGACCACACAATACGAAAATTACATGTTATTATATAGTGGCATAGAGAAAACCGATAAAATGACAAATTCGGGAGTTGGATTATTAATAAATGAGAAATTTATACCACACATAACTGACGTTAAGTACGTAAATGATAGAATACTAATAGGAATACTGAATATGTAGCCTTCTGCGACCAAATACAAGACGAACTTAATAACATACCATCTAAAGCCAGAATAATTATTATGGGAGACCTGAACACAAGAGTGGAAAACGAAATACTAGATAGAGTAAAAAAATTTTTAATGAAGATGTAGTAAACCACCAAGGTGAAATGCTAATACAATTATGTGCACACAACGAACTAAGAATTAACAACACGTTCTTCCAACACAAACCTCAACACACATATACTTAGGCACATATAAGCGGAAGCAAATCCGTAATAACTAAACTAAACTAATAAAAACATACAGATTACAGAGACCACCTTTGATGAAAATCCAATCAGAATATATAGAGAAAACTAATATACAAACTACGCCACTGAATTTTACGTAAAAATCTATATCGGACATTTCAATGGATATACGAGATACGAGGGGCGCCCCAAAACTTCAAATTTCTAAAATCACCTTGTATTTTAAAAAGTAAGCGAGGAATGAATTTTTTTTTAACGTGATCTTTCGTTTCACAAAAAAGTACCAAAGGTTTGCTCAGTCGCGGCCAGAATGGGACACAGTGTATAATACTTATATTATATATAAAGGCAAATATAATAAAATTATAAAAGTAGAAATTTACATTTGAAAAAATGACTCAACGTAAGTAATGTATATCGCCTTCTATAAAAAAATCAACCCCAAATATTTAACAAACGATTGCAGTCGACGAAATCGATAGATATGTTTGGAACTGCAAATGTCACCTTGCGACATAGACACGGTAAAGCGGTACGACTTTTCTGAGGTATAGGTTATTATATATCAAATATGTTTAGAAAGTTATGAGGAGTTCAAAAATGCCTTAATACACAGAGTGTTTCATTTAAAAGAAGAAAATACAAATAAAAATAAAAAATCCTTTTCGTAATTTTCATTTCTTACAGCCTCAACTTTTTTTTTAAATAGATAACTACTCACTGTTGGACGAAACGCGCCTAGCACTGTTCGTCGCCTGGGAAACGATCCTGGCCAGTCCGAAATCGGCCACTATAACCGTCTTATCGTCCCTCACCAGGCAGTTGTGCGAGTTCAAATCCCTGTGGATGATATTCATTGAGTGTAAGTAAGCGACGCCGGACGCGATGTCCTTTGCGAACGACACCCTCTGTTCCCACGGCAAAGGCTGCCCAAGGTCGTGCAGCAATTCCGTCAGAGTGCCGCCCGATATGTATTCGGTGACGAGGTGGAGTCGCTGCTCCTTATAGAGCACGCCGATGAACCTCAACACGTTGCCGTGATGGAGGCTGCGCAGGACCGCCACTTCCTTCAGGAAATTCTTCTGGGCCTCCTCGTCCACCCTGTACAGCTCCTTGAGCACCATAACCTCCGACGTGTCTTTGGTGGTCACCTTGTACACTTGCCCGAAGAAACCCTGGCCGAGCAGCTCGCCCTTTACCAGATCCGACGCCCTGAACACCCTTTGCGGCGGTCTGGATTCCAGGAACGAGTAGGCACGCGACAACTCTAAGCACCTCTTCGAGTTGGGAGCGCTAGAAGCGGGATAATACCAATAATAATAATAATAATAATAATTTGAAGTTTAAGAGAAGAAAATAATGAAATTTATAGAAAATTTGGTTGTTTATGATCAATTTTTAAGTACTACTCTTGATGCTGGTAAGCAGGTGGATTCACCTACACGGACTTTTGAGATGATGAATTTTTGAGATGATTAACCATGATAAAGAATTAAAAGTTCAGATTTTCACGAAATTATATATTTTCATATGACAATTGTTTCGACAACTTAAACTTAAAAGTACATAATCACTAGGTTTTGTTAAAAGAACTTTGCAGGATTTTAATAGTATCGATTGCTTTAAAGCACTATTTTACTTTTGTACAGGGTGTTTCAAAACAAATGCGAAGAACTGTTTTTAAAATAAACGGTAGTTTTGGTGAAATGGTGAAAAAATAATGTTTTTATTTTTTTATTTCAAAAAGGAAAATAGAAACCAGTAAAATATTACGGAAATGTTACTATTATAAAAAAACACTTTCTGCATATTTGTTTTTTTTTTATAAGTGGGGATTTTATTCTTTCATTTGGAAACTGTAACTATTAGGTAAAAATTGCAAAAGTCAAAAAAAAATTCTAATAAATCCGTCTATCAATTTTTTTTATGACATAACTGCATAAATTTTACAACTCATAGCAAAAGAACAAAATAAATTGTTATAAAAACTCTACATAAAATCTTAAATCTTAAAAAATATATTGTTTATAATTGCTTTTTCATAAAATAAATTATGGTTTATCTGCACCTTTGAGACGCTTTGGTTATCAATAGTATGGCGTTTTTTTAATGATTCTGTAAATGTCTTTAGCTCAAAAATAAAAAAATATATCGAGTGATATATATCCAATTTTATTTTTGGATCTTGTAGTACTATTTTTTACAACTTTAATTTGTGTTGTAGATTATAACATTTTTTGTACGGCCATTATATTTTTGCTTGTTTTTAATAGTAGTCCAATCTCGGTCAATGACTGACGGATACTTCAAAGAAGAATTAGCTGTAATTCCTTCTTTTTTTTTGTCATGTGAGATTGGAGTTAATAGAGTATAATAAAATTTAATAGCCTTGGACTTTTGAAATAATGTCATAATTTCAAACATAAAAAGGCTGTTTTAGATTATTCTAGACTTTGAGCTTCCCGAACTAACAACTAATTTCTTATGTTTTTATTTTAATCATTCATTTTTATTAATATCGAACATTAACTGTAGTATTAAAAAAAGAACATGACGAAGATATGTCATCTCCGCACTCGTTTTGGTTAGTTTAGATCTAAAAACCTAATATTGGTGAAAGTCAAAAAATGAAAATGATGTAAAATGGAAATTAAAATGCAGAGCATTTCTTTCAAGAAATATGTCTGCAAGTTTCGGAAATATTTCTTGAAATATGTTTTTTTTTTGTTTTTCATGAAATCGTTTACGTCAATCTGAACAAATGTAACAATTGCCGCTATGTACAAGGAAAGCCATGCTCATATAATTCAAATAACATTTAAAACCCTGGAAACTTTCATAAAACTTAGCTAGGAGCCTTACACTGTTGCAACAAAAATCTAAGGCGATTTTGGAATACTTTATAGTGTTAGAAGTTACAAAAAGATATTTATAAAAACCTTAGTAACCGCTATAAAACTAAAATTATCCGGAAAACCACTTAAAAAGTATTCATTTCAAAATTAAATCTGTTTTTTTATTCTTTTGCTCATGAAAAATAGAAGATAGAATTATGCGAAAAATTTCACACAGAAATCGAAGATGGATACTTTTTTACCCACCTTGAATATTTTCTGTTTACTGCAAAAGATGCACAAAAAAATTATGGTGGATATCTAACTTTCAAATGAATTTGTTCTATATTTTAGTTGTTCACTGTGTTCTTAATATGTTTTCAATAAGCAAAATACGTTTTTAGTAAAATAGCTACGAGTGTATTACATGTAATTTCTCACATTGGCACAAATTCTATGTATTTTTTTAATTTTTTTATGATTTTGATTGCACCGATCCAGTAGCTGTGAAGAAGGTTGTTGTAAGGCAAATACATAAAAAGAAATATAAAGAAAGAGTACACAGTTATAGGGCAAATTCTAAATAAGTTCAATCACTTTCTCGAGGGTCAGTACGGTTTGAATATGACTACAGAGTCAATTTTTTCACTTATCGGCAATGCATGCACATGCATTCTTAAATAGAGGTGTGCAATCCTTTCATAATGCAACTATCATTTGGTATTGTTGCTTGGAGGTGGCATTGCGAATCATGAGAAACAATAACATTTAAAAAGAGTACCTTTTCCTGGAGAGACCTTTTCAAGGAGCTAAAATTACTTAACGGGATTCCAATATGTTTCGTATTATACCACTTACGTAAGAAACATTTTTGCAGAACTTTTTAACATCTGCTAAAGTTCACAGCTATGTTACCATGTGAAGCAGCTACGTACTTATTCTATGTACTTATTATCAATGAAAGCAAATTTAAAAACTCACTTAAAAATGTATTATTGAGAAAAACAATACACTCCGTGGAGGAGTTTTTTCAGAACAAGTATTGTTTCTGTATTGTATTTTTTTGGACGAAACATGTGTACTTTTTTGGGTGTTTGGTTAGTTAGATCAAAGTAAATACCACATTTAGAGTTCAAAAAAACGCTAGCATTTTGTACTATTTTACATAAAGATTTTATACCGTGAATAACCCCATATACTATAAATGAGGTTTCTCGCTAAGGCTTCGTACTTGTCTGTCATGATAGCCTAAATATTTTACTCACTCGTCCAAGAGTCTGCTCATCGACGAACTTCTCTCCTTGTCCAAACTTTGGTTAACTTCTGCCAGGTGGTTTTTCCTCCTGAGCTGCCTCGATCTGGTGCCGCTCATGTATCCCTCGTCTTTGCGTTTGAACAGCCTTTCCTTCGCGGACTTTTCATTTTTGTTTCCCTTATTGATAACGTCGTTGACGCCCGAAGGTTCGTTATTATTTAGCGAATCGTCGGAACCGAAGCCCTTCGCGTCGACGGGCACGCCCTTACTTCTGGGTATGTTCGTGTCGCTTTTGGTGGTAGTCAGTGGGGTGCCGCCCGTTTGATTCAACGAAGTCAGTTGCGATATTCTTCGCGAGATGGTGTCGGGATCGTGCTCGATAGTCAACTAGAAATTATGCGAAAACTAGAGAATATAGAAAATCGGGTAACGGTACGGGAAGCACCTGTAAAACCGTGTCGGAGTACAGAAGCAGATGTTCGACATTCTCTATGGGAGTGTCTTTCACCGGCATACCATTAATTTCCAAAATTTTGTCTCCTATGTGAAGTGACATCAAATCGTTGTTGACGTCTAATCTAGAAAGGCAAATAATGTGGAAAACCTTCGAAATTGGAATAACATTTTCTTGAATTTTAGTTCCCATGATAAGCAATTTTAACTGGTACAAAAATGTGTGTAATAGAAAAATAACTTTAAAATAAAATAAATTCTAAAATACCTTATCTTGAATTATGTGGGTTTAATAACACACACTGAAGCGTTTTATTTTAAGAAGGATGTATTAAATATTGGAATTTACAAAAAAACTAACAAAATCATTCTACACTTGGTCCGCCATTCCACCGCGTGCTTGTATGTAGGATGTTCTATTTAAACAAAGTGAAGTGGCTTCTATCCTACTCTCTATAGCAACAACTGTGCAACTTTTATGCTAACTGAATAACGACCAGGAAGAGGGCCGGACTCAGTATCCCTAGGCATAATTCAACATTTTTTGAAAGAGGTCAGAAAAAGAGAGAAATTTAAAGGAGAGGTCATCCTATACTTACAGCACAAATGCTTTTAATTTTTGCTATTTATAGATTTTATCTATTTTGTAGTTAAGATCAAAATATAAATCAAGTACAAAAATTATTATCTGAAGTTCTATTTGCGCGAAGTGTTTTTTGCGAATTATTATAAGCAAGAATAAGACTGACCTTGTTGCACCGATAAATCAACTTCTACTAGACAAGATATGTGGTGATTATAACAATTACGTCTGGGCAGATGAAATTCCGTAGGTTAAAAGTATAACCTAATTTTAAGAGAAATAAATTTCATTGAAAAAATTCAAGCGAGAGTTGAAAATAATTTAAGAATGTTTAAAAAATATTAACCAATAGACGACACCACCTTAATTTTAGGGAGATGTTATACAAACAAAAAGTCCGATAACGGATAGGTGGTGACGCTTAATCTTACTAAAACGCCACACACCTCTTTTCAAGTGAATTATTTAAAATATCGCAACCCATGCATAAGTCCAATAACACAATAATCACAGAAGATCTGACAAGCCACTAGTGTTTGTGGCCACGATAAGATCACATTCTAAACGGCTTTCAATTCAGGACAAAAGTGAAAGTGAGTGTCTAGATTATCAAGTAATTTTTTTTTAATAACTTTTGAAATTTCGTGGAAAACTGTTAATGTTATAGCTGAAAAAGAATGTTTGATAAATTGAACTGAAGTTACTTTTACTTGATGAAAATCCTTTTAACAAAATAAATAAGAGCTAAAAGTTCAGATTTTCAGGAAATTATATATATTCACATGGCAATTGTTTCAACAACACCGTGTCTTTATCAAATGTAATATTTACAAACTAACTGCTACTACAGATACCGAAAAATGACATTAAAACCTTAAGTAAAGTTGTTGTGGGAATTTAAGTTTAATAATGGAGAGTTATTTAAATCTAATGGATAGTTAAACAATACATTTGAATGTCTCACTTTGTTAATCTCCATGACTTTCAATAAATTTAATTTTCTACTTTTCGTGGCTGTATGTAAAATATCAAAATTTTAGTCAAAAATGTGTTTTTCTGTGTTTAAGTGTGTAGCATAATTAGAATGTAGACTATTGTTTATAAACGCTCTTTTATGTTCGCCAATGCGTTTCTTGAAAGATCTACCTGTTTGTCCAATATAAATTTTAGGACATGATCCGCATTTCAACCTGTAGACGACTGATTTTTGAGATTTTGGACATTTCGTTTTACTGTTTTTTAAAAATTTTCCTATTGTGTTGTTAGTTCTGAGAGCTATTTTTAAACCATATTTTGACAAATGTTTTGAAACTTTTCCACTGAGTTCTTCTATGTATGTAATTGTTTTAAATTGTTCGTGTTCTGTATTAGGTTTCGGATTAATAGAGTTCACTGTTGTCTGGATTTGTTTTTATTTATTATTTTATCGATAATGGCCGTTGTTCAGTGCAATTTATTTAACGATATTAAGTTCTTTGTTGTAATTTTCTGTTGAGAGTGGCGTATTAAGAAGTCTGTATATAAAAGAATGACATGCAGCTGCATCTCACTCTTTTAATTTAATTTACTGGTGGCCATGGAGACTAACAAAATGAGACATTCAAATGTATTGCTTAACGATCAATTAGATTTAAATAACTCTCCATTATTAAACTTAAATTCCACAACAACATTAATTAAGGTTTTATTGTCATTTTTCGATATATATAGAAGCAGGTAGTTTGTAAATATTACATTTGATAAAGACACCCTGTTGTTGAAACAATTTTCATGTGAATATATATAATTTCGTGAAAATCTGAACTTTTAGTTCTTATTTTATTATTTTGTTAAAATAAGGTTTATTTACTTTGGCCACAATTTTATACAAATTTGGACAACAACTTTCGAATCTCCTTCTACAATGTCATTACGCGTAAAAATAAATACGTACAATACTACTGTGCACCTACCTATGCGGATGCGGAATTAAAAAGCAGCATATGTTAAAAGCGGATGTTAGAAGTGCGAAAGCCACCTCAAGTAACCTGCCCTGCAATTTCCATAGTAACCTAGTAAAAGTAAATGCATTAAATGATGTTAGAATCTCCACCGAATTATTCAAAAAGCACCGCTTTGATATCAAAAACTCATGAAATAAATGCACGAAATTCTTCATAAATTTATCCAACCAATAGTATAAAAATATTAATTACTTAACGTTAACTTAGTTGAGGAAATTCATTCTTTACAGTATCATGTATTTACAAACTTTTAGTAGTAAAAAGGAAATAATGGACTGTGATATTGGAAAGGTGTACACGAAGCTATGATAAGTTTCACTTGTGGCTACAAATTTACCATAAGTTCATTGCAAAAACTGTCTAAACTACCCAGGCTCCTTTTTAAACTCATTTTTTTTATTATATTTTAATCCCCTCCCTATTTATATTTTTTAGCCAAGGTCAGACCCATCACCTTTTATCGTAGATTATTTTATAATTGTAAATATAACATAAGTTTTTAATAATTTGAGTTGGTTAAACTGTGCAAGTGACATTTTAAGACATCCTTCAGTTAAAAACTTGATGAAATTCATGAATTTACTGTCAGTGTAAAACTAGTATTGTACACCAAGTTTACACAGTCATAACTTCACTGTTGCGGTTAAAAATTGTAGTTTTTTTTAATTTCCATTAATAAGTAATTCCAACTATAAGCAGTTTACAATGGACAAAGAAAATATAATACTAAATATCCCTTTTTTTCCTTTGAGCTGGAATTAAGAGCCATCATCATCATCATGTCTATCTCTATTTTAAATTTTATTATATATTATAATTTTAATATCAAAGAAAAATAAGTTAAAAAATTTATTATTTTATCCAAATTGGGTTACAGACTTAGAACCTTAAATCTTGTACTTTTGGGGCTCTCTAGCTCAAACTTGAGTGGAGTACTCTAAGCAGGTAAATCCCAAAATAAAATCAAACTAAATTTCACTAGATTGTGCAAATTATGCAAACACATTTAGAAAAGGCTGTTGAGAAAGATTTGTGAAATCAACGCTTTTTTGTCTTACACTAATAATTAATCTAGGGTTTTTATATAGATATGTACAACTTAAAATTATTCAAAACGGCAACACTTACTCGCAAATGGTGAAACACTGATCGCTGCCGCTCGGTACCGATTCCCGCAATAATTTAATACCTTTCTGTCCTCCGGGTATTTCGACCAGCCGGATGGAGTGCGGCTTCCGGGCAAAAGGGAATCTGGCCACCTTCTGCAACGGCTGCATCTGTCTCTTGTAACACTGCCCGCTACAAAAAACACATACCATAAAAGAGAAGATAACGGCTTCTTCACTCACCAATAGAGTTTGGATCTTTCAACTAGCGCATAAGAGTCCCCATCTCCAATAAAAGCTCCACAAGAGCCGCAACAGAAGCACTCGGGGTGGAATTTATGCTCGCCAGCCACCATTACAGGACCAGTGATTATCTGTATACAAGTGGATTAATCACTATTCTTTTGAAGCAGTAAATGAATTTACCTGACTACATTGTTGGCATGCTTCACCATATCGACTCCAATAATCATCCTTACAAAATAATAGTCCATCCTTTTCAAAATACCAATTTGACAAAGCAGCATCGCAGGCTGAACACCTGCAAATAAACAAAGCGCGTTTTAGTGTAATATGCCATTTAAATTTAATATTTTAAAATTACCTAAAACAGTCCATATGCCATTCCTGGCCCAAGGCGGAAATAAACTCGTCATCGTCCAACAGATTTAAGCAGCCAGCGCAAATGTTATCTGTCGGCGAAGATCTAATCTCGGTTTCTAGAATGCAAACAAAACATCAAATTCATCAAATTCTTTTGCAAAATTCCACCGGAATTAATATTTTCCGTACATCTGACAACGTAGCATGCAATATTTACCAGCTAAAAAACGGAAGGTAAACAAAATGAACATGCCCTGATACTTTCAAATTTCGGCGCATTAAAAACTTTCCAACATTTCGCTGTTTAATATTCCTTTGGTCTCTCCGAAATGAACTTACAATAACGGAAATATTAGTTATAAGTAACATATTTTTCTGTTGACAATTTCTGCCAGCCCACACAAGTAATCAACAATTGCTGCTGGAAGTCGATTTTTTTTTATAAAGCACTGTAGGATTGGTAAATTTTATTCCAACCGAACGAAGTTTTTATTATCGTTTTCGAAATATAATTAACTCACCATTATCTACTTCCTTCTGCATATTTTTATTCACTTCCTTCCTGTTTACTTAATGCCATGGCACAGATTTTTTATTTTTTTCCAAACTGACCAATGCACCCTATTGAAAAACTTCTTCTTCTTTACAAATGATGTAACTTTAATCAAGTTCAATAGAGATACTCTCCCATTTGTAGAAGATTATTATTTTTTTCGGAACAAACCAACACTAAACTCTTACATCTCTAAACACAAAAATCAAAATGTAAACTAAACGTCATGATCTAAACCACTATCAAAAATATTATACCGAAAAGCGGGGATTCTGTCTGGAGCGAGTTGAGGTTAGCTCCAACTGCAACGCTTTCACTCCTTTGCCATTCTTACTTAAAACTTGTTTGAAAAAAAAATGAATATGTTAATCATATTAAACTAGCCGCCGATGTAACTGTCCTTTGTGGTATTCCGTTTTTCGTTAAGTCTCATGGTTCGGTACTATGTGGTCTGTGATGTGGGGATTTTCGCAACTAACCACTTGTTCAGCATAGAAAGTTTTCTGTTTGTATGTTGATGTCGGAAGGGAGCGAATATAAATGAGAATTAAAATCAGCTGGTTAAAAAAAAATGTAAAGTTGAAAGAAATGCCCATGGAAAAAAGTTCATTGAATAAAAGAGTGTCTTAATGCAATAAATTTTACATTTAATAACGTTTTTGGTTATGTTACTTGTATGTGTTAAATTTATATCGATTTTAATGGTTAAAATTACATGATTGTGCTGCAAATACATAGGAAAATGGTTCGAGGTAAGTTTAATAATAGGTTGAAGTTTCTTTTTATTGTTTTTAATTAAATTTTATTTTTTAAACGTAGCTGTGAAATATTGATATGCAAAATGTAAAAAAAAACTGAATAGCCTAATTATAATTGTCGTTTATTGCAGCACTACATAAATGTATGATTTCAAAAATCTTCAAAAACCGTATCCCGGTGATGCTGACTTTCATCGTGATTCTGATCCTCAGTTTTGCCATTGTCTTGTAATACGGAAGATACATCCATTTTTACCTTCGGGTATGTTGGTGCTGCAAAACAACCACAATCTAATACAAATGCAATCATCTGTTACTGTGGAAACCAACTATCAGGGAGCCGCATTCTAGCAAGTAGCACATTCCTAGAGTGGTTCTCATTGATGGGGCTGCCAGTTGCATATTGAAAGCCCATACCATTAGCTTCTGGTTCACTTTTGTCGGGCACATCTTTTTTTGTATGGGTCGATGACAATTCTAAAATTTAGTAAGCTGGTAGTTAAAGACACACTATACATAAAGTACTTACCTTGTTCTTCTTCTTCTTCAAAATTATTAGATATCCGCACGTGACCCATTATTTTATGATCAGACTTTTTGGTAATTTTATCAGATGGATTTTCAAATATTCCACCACTAGGGATGCTTATTTCGTTGCTTCTTCTGAAACTACTATGCTTGGATTCTTTAGTTGGTGCCTCATGAGTTGATTTTTGTCTGGGTGGTGTTTCCACTTTGGACGGCACACTGTTTGTATGGCAGTTGCATTCGTCTTGTTCAACGCTTGCTGTCGATAATTGTACCCTGGAAAAATGATATTCTCGAAATCAGACTATTTGTCATAGGGTTTTTCAGAATTTAGTATTAAAATATTTTTAATATTGAAACAAGATGTTCGATGTATTTATGTATTTTATAAACTGGAACATTTTTTGTACATTTTCATACAACTGTGTAGAAACAATTGAAACTAAATATGTAAAAGTTATAAAGCTTTAATTTACCCTATGTCCTAATCTGGCGAAAATGTATACAATTTTTGAAACAAAGTGAGAAAAAATTACTTCTACAAAATATGAACTGACATATTTCTGAAAATATTCAGCATAAACCAATAACTATGGTAGATAATAGTCAGGTAAGCAGGTGATTAAGTGAGGTGAGGAGTTCCTTGAAATTTGCCTCTAAGTCTGAGAAATGTATATATATAATATCTGAAAACTAGCGACAAAACTATATCCCTAAAATCTTGATTACTGTGTTTTAGAACGTGTATTTTGCGTTTTACCCTGAGCGAGCATAGAGCATTTTCACTTCGTGCCCTTCGTCCTGGTCAGTACCGATTTTTTTATTCATTATGCTGTCCAAGTCGGTTTGTGTTTTCATGAGGATTTGCCTTAGTTGGGACGACCCTTCCACTAGTCTGTCATAGTGTATTCTGATTTCGTCGATCGTTTTGTCGTAATTGTTTTTAGCCCTAATGCGACTCGACAAGCTTTTGTTAACCTAGAAAAATGGAATAGTGGTTATACCGAAAACTGCAAATAAGACGGCACACTGTACAAGACATAACTTGTAGGTCAGCTTTTCTATTTCTGCTTCGATCTTTTTCCGCTCTTCGTATTGTTTGTCTATGATAGCACCGAGACTATCTCTTTCGGCCTGGAGGCCGCCCAGGTACTTGACTATGTCTTGGTTGTTGGTGATCAATTCCTCGCCCGATTTTTCGATGCCGCTGAAAGGCATTGTGGACTACACCGACACTTAAATTTCCCTTTATTTTATGTTGCATTTAACTTGGGTTTTGACATTGATTTATAAAAAAGTCCGTGCAGAGGTAATGACATTTTTAACACTTTTAAATTTTAGCGGGAACACTGTTTACTTTTACGTGTGGATGAGCAAATTTTAACTGTGGTTGCCACGTTTTCCCGAAAAAATAAATAATAGAGAACATACTAATAGTAAATAAGACAAATTAAAAAGGCAAGAGTTTATATTACCGAAAATTTTAAAATTTTGTTTGTTTGTATTTGCCTCGAGCAATGAAAATAGTCGCCGTTATACAGGGTATCTCATAAGTATCTAACGGCACATAACTTTGTCATTTTAAATAGAACGCCTGGTATATTATTTCATTTTTCTTGGGTTTCTTGAAAAATTTTCCAAGTCATTACATAATATTTGAACACCTAGTTTCTTAACCATTTCCAAATTGCGCTAATCACAGTGTGTCTAAAATTACAATATTTTCGAAGATGCAGAAGTTCGTTTTTTTCATATAAATATATAAAATTTATTCCACGCCGTTATTTCATACTCTCTATTAAAGCCAATCAAAACACAAAGTTATTGCAAACGACAAAAATGCAGTTAAATTAGCGCAAGAAGAGTTGCGTAATTTAATAAAAACAAACACTTGCTTTTAGATTACCACACGCATGTTTATTGCTTTGACAATTGTTTCGGTACACTCTTCTTTTCTATTTATTATACTTATGACTTGCCATAATTGTATCAACAAAACGTGGTCAATAAATTCTATTCTATTCTATTCTATTCTATTCTATCCTTGATTGCAGTTACCAGTACAGTATGTAATACCCCTCTCCAAATTCAAACCCGGAGACAAAAATTATTAATATGCAACGGTGCGAAGAATTCTCCACCTACGCCGCATAGAATCGAACTTAGGAATGACGAATTCGATCCAAAGAAGATAATCTTCGAACCATCCGCTCCCAAATGTAGGAAAAAGTGAGTACTTTGTCCTGTCTTTACGTTGTCGTTCCGCAACCGGATTCCCGTTGTAGATTATTAAACGGAACTGTACTTAACAATCATAACGAGATCAAGCATCAAACTAAAGACAAACCGAAGGGGAACCATAAACTCACAGAATATTTTACGATCAGAAGATCTGCGAGGAAAACGAAGACCACAGTTTTGGAAGAAAAGCAGCTGGCCCTGGAGCGCTTGGTTAAAGATGAAGTTGAAGATGGTTTGGAGGTAGAACGAATGACATTCGCAAAGGAGGCCCGACAAGTCGTTGATAAAATGCACAGAAATTCGCCTAGTAAACCAGTTGCTTGTCTCTAAAACTATAAAGAACTAAACTCAGTAATTTCGAGAAATTGGATTTAACCATTTAAATTTATTTTAAATTATTTAAATTATTTTAATAGCCAGTACTACCATTTGTAGCATCGATGCAAGCACAAAACCGACTGCGGTTAATTTGATGAGCTTTAATCTTTATCCCATAAGCGCTTTATAGGATTAAGGTCCATTCTGTTTCCGAAAAAATTTGCAACTCTGGTGGTATAAAAAAAATAAAACTAACATAACATAGCTTTAACCGGTTTGTTGAATGAGAATCAAAGGAGTTCTTTCACCAATTATAATGCCACCCCAAAACAAATAGTCTAGTCTTGTCATCTTCCAAAAGTAAGACATTTTCCCAACCCTTCAAACCCTATTATATTTTGTCTTGAGAGTTCTTTAACCCTTAACTAACTGCGACAGATACACTCACTCCAGTAGCTTGCAGAGGCCCTCGATCAGATATTGTAGGAATTCTTCAAGCTATTTAAGCCACAAAGCGATCCTGCCTTTCTGTAGTTACTCTTCTCGGGTCTAGTCTTTAGAGTTCTAAGAATGTGTCACAATGTACCTTTGTTGCATGCCTCGTAGTGTCAGCAATATTTCTTGCCCTTATAACCGAAGTACAGCATTTTTTTTAAGTGCAAAAAGGAATAAATTATAAAATCAATGCGACCTGCAAGCAAAACAATAAAATCTTATTCAATCTCATTCAATATTTCATATTAATGATGGGTGATTCTCCAAAAGTTTGGTTGTGGGTATACAAAAGCTGAAATCTCAAATCGGGGTTAAACCGTCAAACGTTTATGGTAGGTAAAATAAGATATCTCCGCCGTAAAATATTATAAAATCAATATTTGTTGTTGGTGTATTGAGTAAATGAGAATGGAAGCAAGGAAATCCGGCTCGAAGGACCAAATTTAATGCTAGTACCAAAATAACACCTGCTTTCGCACTGTAGAGAAGGACAGATATAGAAATGGTAACAAGCAATTGAGACAAAATAATACTCTTTCACCAAATATACAGGTATAGCGATTCTTTTTTTAACTCTTGGCGAAGGCGCTAGATAAACGTTTTCTTTTCATTAATTACTCAAAATCGTTTTGGTCGATTTTGATAACACTTTGCATCCTAACGACAACAAGGGGCTTTGTTTAGTGCAATCAACAACATGGCGTTCTATGCTTTTTTCTTTTTTTTTCTAGTAAAAATTTATCAAGATTTTTAGTTATAGCACTTTTGAATTAACTTTTACAATTAAAAAATGGAAAGAAAAATCTCGTATACTCTGGAGTAAATTTCTCTAGATAAGCCTAATCAAATAGCAGTTAAATTAAAGTTAAAATCAAAAATAATTAATACTTCGAAAACCACACTAAAGTAATAAGCAAGAATAATCAAAAGAAATGTAACGATGTTGCCATATGTTATTGTTAGAAGCGGCAACGTTGCATCGTTCATAACACTTCAGTTACTCGAACATGAAAATCCAAGTAATAAACATTAATAATCAATCCTGAAAAACAACTCCAGATGTTGTGTTGACTAATAAGAAATTGAAAGAAGAAAATATGTGGTTATAATGTTCTATATGTATTCTACAACAAAAGAATTAAAACCGAATTAAATAACATACACATATAACCAAATAACATCACAAAATCAATCAAAAATTTATTTAATAATTAAAGTTCATCTTTGACATGAGAGAAAAGGAGTGTTGGAAACAGCTAGTGGTTAGGTACTCCGAAAAGATTCTTTTACGCTTGTTGAAACGAAATCCATAGTTAAAGTACACCCGAAAGTAAACGTTTGTATACTTCGACCAGAAATATAGTACTTTTACAAGATTGTTGTTGTTTACAAATCGAAGAACTATGTAGAAGACACAAAAATACAAGAAGAAGAATGTTGTTAATCGACAGGCACTTAGCCTTACCCTTGGAACTAAGATTAAACTTTGAAGAACGATTAAATAAATGCTTCTACTTATTCGAAAATACCCCGCAGCATCAATGCTTAATCAAATTTAAAATTCTCCATTTTGGGATGGGTTTTACCACGGTCCTGCAAAGGTCTGCGGTTATGGTACTGTGAAATACTTAAAACGTCAAAGCCATAAATGCCCTATATTTTCGGTCGTACAAAACCTGTAATGAGCAATTCCTTATAACAATAATTTTGTATAACAAACGACTATAATTACCATCCTCTCCCTCTTGGTTTTTAAACCACCTCGAATGAGCAAAACTAATTTGCAAGTTGTATGCAAATCAGGCGCCTTTTGCAGTGATTTTTTTCTCTTGAGTTTACTGCTCCACTTTGAGAGACGGACCACTCTGCAATTACAATATGCGACTCTAGATAATCCCAAAGTTTTAATTTTATATCGCAGCGAAAAATTAAAGGCTTGTCGGTTCTCATTTGCATACGTCAGTGATTAGCGGTGGAAATTGGGTGCAGGTTAGATATTTCAAAGACAAGGGAAGGGGAGTAGTGGCGGCCAAACATTTCTTCAAAGGGGACTTCGTCGTCGAATACAGCGGTGAACTGGTCGACATACTGGAAGCGAAACAGAGGGAAGCCACTTACGCGCAGAATGAGAACGCAGGTTGTTATATGTATTACTTTAGGTACAACGACCAACAGTACTGGTGAGTGTTTGGCTTGCTATTGTTATTATTATTATATATTTATATTGGTTACTATACATTACAAGAACGTCATTGTTCTCAGTTTAGAATTTACTGTTATATTTTTTAGTATCGACGCCACCGCAGAGAGCGGTAAGTTAGGTAGGCTCGTGAATCACTCCAGGAACGGCAATCTCATAACGAAAACCATGATGATCGACAAGAAACCAAGACTGATACTCGTCGCCAAAGAGGATATTAAAATTGGCGAGGAGGTAAGTGATAGTACGATACGTCAGACGTTCTTTCGTTTTCCAATCACTTGATCTTAATCATAAAATAGATCAGGAGTGGAAACAGAGAATCTCTCGTCTAGTGCAGAGGCAATTGACAACATTTAAACAATGAATAGTCGTTTGCCAAAATTATTCGCAATTGTTTTGGGAACACATTGTAACTGTTTGCTAGATATTATTATTAACAATTAAAATTACGAGTGGTTTTGTTTTGGCAGTAAGGTTTTAATATTCTAACTCATGGTTTATCCGGACATGATTTCATTATTTAGTACTAGAAATAAGGATTTGGTTTAAGTGCCATACATTGTTGCATTATTAACATTTAACCTAGACTAGTTGAATGGTTTCAATATCAGTTGTCATTTTTGACGATTTATTATAAAATGATATTTCGTTTTTTAAGGAAGATAGAACGGCAACTTTAGATGGCATCTCGATACATTCTGACGGAAATTTTAAAATTTATCAAGAAAAGTGAGGATAATGCTCTATTCACTATATCACTTAATATTTTAAAAAATTCAAAACAATTTCTCATACTTACGCTGACTTTCTCGCCATAGGTCCATTAGCCAAAACTTTTTCATCAGAGTAAATAAAGTTACGAAAAAATAAAACAAGTCATTTATTTTTACTTTCCATAAGTAACAGTATAATATTTACCTTATCTTTAACTTAAATTAAAAAAACAATATAGGAAGTGCTTTTATATTCAACTATTTTCTGATGATATGGTAACCAAAAACAATATATATGGTGTTCACCCATGCCAAACTGGAAAACTGGGCAATGGTAACGCTGTCAGTTATATTGATACCTACAGCAGTCGGAACAATACCAGTCATTACTTAAGAATGTTGCTTATAGCGCCATCTGCCGGCACGGCCCATGTGAGTCAGTTACACCTATAAGAGTGCCCACACGACGGTATTAATGTTTTTAGGATGAGTCAGGGTTTTATCTGAGCATTGTTTTTAAAACTCGAAAGTGTGTGTGTTTGAATTAGTTGCTATGTATTATTGTATTCTTAACACTTAACATAGAAAAGTTGAATATTTTCAATATCAATTTGGAGGCTTCGAGTAATCAGTTGCCATTTTTAATGATTTATTCCTTTCCTTAGCACTGCAATTGTCACTCAAACTCGTAGATAAAACAGCAACTCTCTAATAAAGAACTGTATATATATTTATGTGCATAGAACAATATATGCTACGGCATCCTGTAGGGATACCATAAATAAAAAAATGTCCACTAAATGGCCTCTCTATACATTATGACGTAAAATTTAAAATTTATCGGGAAAACTGAGGATATTCCTCCAACATTATATCATTTAATATTAAAAAAATTCAAAACAATTTCTCATACTTATGCTGACTTTATCGCCATAGGTCCAGGAGTCAAAACTTTCTCATGAGAGTAAATAAAGTTCAGAAAAAATAAAACAAGTAACAGTATAATCCTTATCCAATTATCTTTATCTTAAAGTAAAACTCAACAATATAAAAAGTGCTTTTGTATTTAAGAACTATTTTCTTCTGAAACTCTCAGAATTTCGCTTATAGCCCCATCTGGGTTTTGTCAATTTAACGGAAACACCCGAAGATAAATCTTCCACTTTTTTATAGGTAACCTCCAATCACATGTCTCTACGTTCTATGTGGTTGAAGTGGTTCAACATTGAGTGATAAAATATTTTTAGCACTTAAATCACATCAGTTCTAGAACTTTAATCTGGTCGAAAGAATATTGTTTGTTAACTGCCAAACGTTTGTGGGTACCCATACACAAAAACTGGAACAACCTTATAAACCCAATGGCAAATCCGTTGCTTGGATTAGGAATTTTGACAGCTTTTAAATTTATAATAACGAAAAGCATATCTCAAAGGGTTTAATATTTTTTGTATCGTTTTTCTTGTAGATCCTATACGACTATGGCGATCGGTCAAAGGAGTCCCTAAAGTATCATCCATGGTTGGCATATTGAAAACTTCTTTTCCGTTCTGGTGTTAGTACGTATAGTAAAAATCTAATCGAAATTTGAAATTCGAACATTTACGTTGCCCCTAAAGAGAATCGAATAAACGACTGCTTTAAGGGAAATAATAACGCGCTTTTAAATTTGTACGTGGTGTCCTTCTAAGAATAGCTGAATGGCCAAACTGCAATTGCTGCAATTTATTTGCAAGTTCCTAAAACGGACGCTAGGGGGTGCACTAATGCGAATATAGAATCATAATATTGTCCATTTTTTCACAAAATTTTAAACGCATATTTCTAATACATCTTCCCTATCGAAAATTTTGTCAAAGTCCCATTTCCTTATTGGTATTGGAAGTTGCGCCCTCTAACGGCCGTGTTAAGACCTCTCTCTTGGTCCTTTGGGTATTTTTTTCGCGCTTTGGTACTTTGATACAGAAGTCGTTTTAATTTGTGACTAATAAGGGATGCTTGACATAAGACCCTTATTTAAACAATTATATAGCCCAGAGCATAGATTAAATAGACCTAGACTGATATTGCTTATGGAGGGGAGGATTTGAATAATATGCTTGTAATTTGTTTAATAATAGGTAATAGTGTATCAAATAATTTGTAAATATGCCTGCAGGGCATCAACATGATTTTAGTTCAAATACGTAAATTGACTAGCGACATCTCTTTGTTTGCGTCGAAATCACAGGCCAATTACATTCTATTTTACATTTTTGTTTAGTTAATGTCCAAACGAAAAGTGCCTGGGTGGAGTATAGCGGTCCAAATTGGACGATTTTAAAGGGAAATTGTCATTTCTAAGGACGTAGACGAAAACTAATTTTATTAGTTATCAACCGAAAAATCTAGTTTTTTTAAATTGGACACTGTATATTTTTGGGTAATAGAAAATAACTTAAAATTACCGATGCTAAAATGTTGCATACTTGATTTTTTGTCTAGTTTTCTCGGAAAAAAGGGAAGTTTTGAACTTTAAACAAGTAGGCTTTGGCACTATTTGACAACTACCAGTGTGCATTGTTTATTATGGCCGCCCCGTCCAAAGCTTCCTTGTTCAAACTGGTAAAGAACTCAATATTTTAAATAAGATTCGAGCAAAATATCAAGTATTGTATATTTTTGAAAAGGTAATTTCAAGTTCTATTCAATGAGTCATTAAAATTGTTTTGTTTTTGGTTGATTTGTTAACTATTTGCTTTTAAAATATTGTACGTAAGTCATTAAATTTTGGAAAAAAAGTTGTTGGGGAGATGTCTTCATAAAAAAAAAAAAATAAATCTTCTTTTCAAAAGTGTTCATTTTTGGCCCAACCGGTACACTGTGAGTTGATAAAGTTGACATGAACATGTTTTGTAAATTTTACAATTTTAAACACCCGTTGTAGGTACAGTTTTTTTTTTAATAAATTACATAATTTATTACAAAAAGTCAGGTTACCTGTGACTGACAGCCGGTATAGGAGACCTATCAACTATATATTGGGCCATGTAAGGATTTATGTCTAAATAAATTTTACTAAAGCCATAATTGCAAAATATTAAAACAATTATTAACCAAACAATTTACTATTTTTATTATTATTTATTATTAATTTTTTATATTTAGAAAAATTTAATGATTTAATAAGATGTGTGCTTCAATTTCGGCCAAAATTCTTTTAGGCATAGAATTCACGAGAGCCTGGCAATTTTCTAGTTTTATTTAGAATATATTTTTAATTTTTTAAAAAATACTCAGAAGTTGGTTTTGTAATAATCCAAAGCAAAGAAATCAAAAGTTTTTGTATTTTGCAATTATGGCTTTATAAAAATTATTTATTTCTAAAATGGAAGAATAAAAATTGTTAGGCTTCGTATTAGGAAAACGCTCATAAAAAAACCAATTAAATGGAAGTAGCTCTTATGTGTTATATATTTTTGAAAATATAATAAGAATAAAATTTTGAAAAGACATACAAATTTAGTTTGTTCATCAAAATTTGAGACCAGTTTCAAATCAAAATTCAAGATATCTATGACATTTCTCTTGGTGTCAATTTGATTTAATAAAAAAGCCGCAACAGGCGAGTTTTATTGATAAGGGATATTTCCACCATTGCGTGAAGTTTCTCGATTGTTTTGTATTTAAATTTCGTGCGGCTCAGATTTAGTGAATTTGTCAGTAGTATTCGAATAAGTATTAAGTACTCTCCGAAAATTAATCAAACTATTGTTAGTCTTCGGGCATCGGTTTTCGAAAACTGTTAAAAGGGTAGCCAGTTTTCGGATCTGCAGGGTCAGGCCTTTTACCAAATTCGAATGTACATATATTTATGATTTTAGGCGTTTCGATAATATTTATTTGCGCATTAATTTGGAAAATAAGAATTGATCAATAAATTTTAATGACCAGTATAGTTTGTTTTTGTATGTGACGAGGAAAACCGAGAAAATTGAATACGGGATCTAAAGGCAGGTAAGAATGAATGCGCATATTTTTTGCCTTATTTTAGAATATTAGAGTATTCCTTATTTTGCTCAATTTTATTGTTTATTGGTTGTTCTCTTAACGTTCAAACTAAACAGACTCAACTTTTACTTATTTTAAAAATAAAAGGGTAATTTGCAACTTTCAAATAAACAATTTAAATTTATTAGGTTTGGGTAAATGCAAGAATTGTAACAAATTTAGAAGATGGTTGATCCTTGTTAGCAGGGGCTCAACATTTTCACATAAACAGGACAAGAAGAAACACTTGGAAGGAATTTCATATTTTGTGCAATCAAGAAGTTACGTCAGATCCCCTTTTCCTTTCACCTCCTACACCTTTTATTAATGGAAGAAACAGTTGTTCTGCTTACATTAAAATGTTGAGCTACTACTGATAACTTAACAACGCGTCTTCTAAGTTGGTCGCACTCCTTGATTGACAACTCTGGAAACTGTGGCAACGCTGTCAATTTTTTTTATTTGACAGTGGCAGTATTAAAAATATGAAAACAACGAAGTTCGCATGCCAACGTTGCCAATTGTTCTGTTTTTCATTTTTATTTATTATACATTACTAAGCCACTGGTTTAAATCGAATGCAGTGTCGTACTCAGACTTGTTCTATAGTTCCCCGTTTATAAGTTAAGGTGAAAACCTAGCAATGTTTTGGAGGATGATAATACAATATTGGTAAAGTTATAGTTTCTTCACGACGTAATGACAGTATCTAGCTATAGGGTCGATCAGCGTCACTCTTATTTAGATCAATGATATCTTCCGATTTTTTATTTTAGTACATATACATACAGTACATAGTGAGGAAGAGGATAACTTTGAAGCGCTTTTGATATTGCGATTTTTTTTACTGAAAATTTTTTTTTCATTTTTTCATAACTCAAAATGACGGCTTGGCAAGGTTTCGGTTTACGTCTTATGGAATGGTGGGTCATGTGACACTTTATTTTCAAGGCCTTTTTATCAATAATTCAAATCTTGATTTTGAAGACATTCGATTAATTCATTTTTAAATGGCTAGCGGTTTGATGTGGTTTATGGGGGTAAGCAATTTTTACCTATTTTAGATAAACATTTGCTCTTCTCAATTTTTGTTTTTTTAGTTTTTCTAATTACGTAGTTTAATTAGTTTAATTTTAACCATTTTTTTTATTTACTTTAACTTACAAGTAAGTCACGTTGCAGAATTTAAACAATAACCAAAGAATAAATTAATGCTAATAATAGTAATAAAACATTATTAGTTCTCATTTAAAAATGTGTCACATGATCCCCTATTCCATAAAAAAAATAAACCTAAACTATGCGAGGCCCTCATTTTGATTTATGGAAATGTCTCATATAACACCGTCCCAAATTCTTGGCATTTTATCCTCATTCCACACTCAGTGGTGAGTGTGAGTACCCACAAAAAAAAACCAATGGCCTTAATATATATCCCCATTTTTATAAATATATTATGTCTTTTTAGATATTGGATAAAAAATACAAAAGCTATAATAGGGGTTAGTAATGCATCACACTACACTTTGTCATCTTTGTTTTACAATATTTTTTCATAAATTTTTGTGACTTCCCATAGAATTACGAAATCCTCAAAAACTGTTGTTGTTGATATACTAGTTTTATACTGACAATAAATTCATGAAGTAATAGAACCATCCTGTATAACATGATCGTATCATTTAAAAAATTAATTTGATACCACAGCAAATTCAGGACATACTATATATATCAAACTATGTACTATATACTGTATTAACCCATTTTCTCTATTTCTATTGGATTTTGAAATACTATAGGGGGTCGTTTTATTTGGAACACGGTGTTCATGTAATCCTTAATTTCGTGAAAGCAGGTCTCCGTTTTGAAACAATATCTGTTAGATAAAAAAGGTTACTCTAAAGTTTACGTCCATAGCATAATTCGTGGTTCGGATATCAGTTTTTGTGGTTTGTGGAAAATGACCCAGCACAATATCTTACAATGAAATCCATTTTGTCGTCGCTAAATTGTACGGTGGAAAGTCAAAAGCACTCCCTGCAATATTAAGAGTCAACTAGATATCACGAAAGGCCAGGTATCCATACGAACCTTGAACGATACCAAACGAACTATGCTACCTACGAAGTAGCTTAACATTTTTTCAGCCAGAGGTCTGTGGTCTGCTACCTACCGGATTTAAGGTGAAATATTACAACTATTAGCACTGGTTAGGATAATAAAATTGTGTACCCCTCAAAATTCAAAAATCTTCTCTCGACAAATATTTAAGTACAGACACTACGACCCAGATATTATGTCAAAGTAGCGTCAAATGCTGCAAAAAATCAATCTTTCCAACTGATGGGGTTTGACCATGTTAACCAAAATCTAAAGTTTGTTGTGTTCGTGATTAATTTCACTAGATCGCATTTGTTAAGTTCGCGTTTTAGCAACATCAACTTATCCCTAATTCCTTATTCTGCCTGTATCGAAAACTTTTAATAGGAAAAGACGAAAAAATAGCCGCGTCTTGCCGAAAAAAATACATTATTCACTGGCTTTCTTTAAAGAAGCGATTTTAGAAAGTTATACTGAAAAAAGAGCTTGAATTGGAAAATTGAAATAAATATTTAGTTTTGAGCCATTTTAACGCACATTATTTTTTTGATATATGACCAAACTTTCTCAAACCATAAAAGAATCGCAATGTGGATTTATCAGCAACAGTTAAGAATGGAAGGGAAGACAGTATATAACTGTAGAAAGAAAAATTCAAAATATGTTTATTTGCCTACAGCTTTTTTAGTGATATATATGTCTTTTAACATAAATTAGCCACCATATCTCTGACCATCCATTTAAGATCTTCATTTCTCAATTGAATTTTAATGTGATCACACAAAAAATTATAGCTTTTTGGGGGAGCAAATAGCATAATTTGTGTTTTTTTACAATTTAGCTTAAGATTTTGTTTTTTTACTATATTGAAAAAAATCCAAACTATGATTAGCTTCGACGTTATCATAATTATAAAATAAGATGTGTGTAACAGCTGGGTGGAATGGATGGAAAAAACGAAAAATCCGAGAGTCTATAGAAATCTATAAGCAACCTAACAATCTTAACCGCGACTCAGGTCTCTACCTGTCACCAATATGGGAATCAGTCATCCGAGACGGTGTTTATCGCCTTCATTTAGCTCCGCCCCCTCAAACAATATATAAGCAAGTGCAGAGTAAAATTCGAGCCCATTTCAGTCAATCTCTGAAGAAGCCAACAGGATGATTGGCGGAACGTTAGCATCAGTAAGAACCGACGCAGGGAGATTCCAGAAGTTGGAAGTTTCTTTAAAAAAAGAACCGACTGATTTGATGAGATTATATTATGACTAGTTAGTATGAAAGTACTTGCTGATGAACAACGTTCTCCACAGGTAATAGGCTGAAGTAAATTGTGGACCTCGCAAATGTTGTGGTAATGCTGGCTTGGTTCTCGACATGATATTTATTCTTCAGCTTCAATATGCAGGTTTTTTTATATCTGAGGGATGGATAGATAGAGAGATAGATATTTCGCTTTTCGATACTACATATTTGGGTATGGGTATATTAAGCACGTCACATCACATTAAAATACAGTGTTTAAACAACACATTTAAAAAAAATCATCTACTGAGTAGAGACACCTATCAGTTGAAAAGATCTTAATTCTTTTCTTAAACACAGATAAACTATCAGTTTTTTCGAAGCATTTAAAGCTCCGTTATTTACTTTCAAACCGAAATACCTTGGAATGGAACGTCCAAGTAATCTCTTAGCCGGGTGTCATGTTCGTGCACATCTCCTATTCCATATTGTCATGTTACTTTTGACGTTAATCAAAAGGGAATAAATATACAATGACGGAAGTGTCATGATCTGAAGTTCCCTAAATAAATCCCTCCATGAATGTTTACTAGTTACACGCATCATGTAACGAATAGCACGTTTTCGTGCCCAGTGTGCACCAGTGGCTAAACCCCAATAGATTATACCGTAACTATCACAGCTTTAAAACGTCAATGGATACTGTATCTCTAATATTTTGGATTAAGTAAGAACAGGAGCTTAATTTGGGCAATATGTTGTCGAAGTGATGATTCCGTGTAAGTTTGTTGTCAATGTGCAGACCTGGAAACTTAGTAGCCTCCACGTTCTGTATAGAACGTCCCTCTAATTGGAAAATAATACTGGAATCAACGCGAGTATTTTTTGTGACTATTGACTTAGATTTATTTAATTGTAGTCCGTTATCGCGACACTCGTGACCCTTGGTTCTACGGCCCCTTTTAAATTAGCTCTGCTTTTATCTGTACTGAAAATGCTTGTATCATCTGAATATAGTACAAATAATGCATCCGTATTATCCTGAAGAAGATCGTTAATAAAACAATTACAGAGGCAGGATCCTTGCGGGGTACCTCTTTGCTGGACCTCTAACGCCTATAGTTTCCAGTTTTTTTAAGAGCAGGCTGTGATCGACAGTTTCGAATGCGCGGCTCAAATCCAAAAACAAGCCTAGTGTGGCTGTTTTGTTATTAAGGCTGTCGTAGATATGCTCCAGAGCATAGTCCAAAGGAGTACTTGTGAAGCGGTTGGCTCTGAGCATCAGAAATCAAAGAGTATTTTTCAAGGAACCTCTACAGTCTGTCATTATAACAGGACTCAAAGATTTTTGCCACTTGACATTGAAGAGCTACAGGGCGGTAGTCCTCTATGTTGGTTTTATTGCCTTTATTTTTAAAAATAGGTACAATTTTTGAGTTTTTTAAAGCCTGTGGATACTTGCCAAAACATACTTACGTAAACTTTTGTATCTATTCCAGTTTTTGACAGTTTTGAAGCGTGGATGCATCCGTAAGCCATGGCGCTAAGGATTTGCTCAGCCTAACTATTTAACTGAGGCATGAAAGTCATATTATTACTTCAATTTATTCGAATGGAACTCGTTTTTCTATTGCAAATTAGTGTGTGACCTTAATTTAGAAAATTTTTATCTCCCCTTTCAATGATCCCTGTCATCGCAAATTTACATTTTATAACTCTCCCGTACCAAGAAACGCGGTATAACAGTCAACCTTTCGTCTCTGCCCGGACCTCGTCTTTCCAATTTCTTCTGTCGAATCTTGTCAAAAGAGCGTCAAACGCTGTCAAATTCAAAGAATCACGTGATTCGGTTACGTTTAACGTCACTCGATAGCACAGTTAAGTCTGGTCGACGTTTCCTTCGCGTTTCCGCCCGTCGCCATAGTTTATTAATGAACACTGACCTATCGCAAGGCGTGCTCGGCGCGCAGGCGCGAAACGGCAGTGTGACGTCACGCGCGTCAATACCGAGAAGCGCCGTCCACAGCCTACTTATCGTGTGGTGTTTTGCGAAGTTAACGTGCCCCTTACGTTTCGAAAATTTGTCGTGTTTTCGCCCGGACCGTCGGATAGATTCGCACCATGTAAGTTGACGATCAAAAAAACGCGACGGTTTGCGAAAATCGGCCGCCGATTCGCACGGGGAGCGGAGGGGGCGAGAAAACAGGGCGGGATGGCTACGTGGAATATCCGATTTTGCAGTTTTACCTTGGGGAAACGGCGTCGATTGAATATTATCGCGTACAGGAATCTCGATCGTTGATAATAATATTTAACTAATAAGCAAAATAAGCGAGGTAATCGACGGTAGGTATTCGCTTAATATTGGGTGGGTGTTTTCGGTCAGTAGTTGAAGCGAAAATCGTGTTCTAATTCGTTTCGAGTCGGTTCGGCGTCGGTGATTTTTCTCGCGAAACTGGAAAAATTAATACTGAAATAAATAATTAATTTTTTTTTAAATAAAATTGATTTTAAATGGCACTCGGTCGGGGCGCTTGCGCGTGTTGTTGTCGATTCGGTCCGCTCCAGATTTCTCGCTATGAATGAAGCCCTAGACGTACAGTCGGTCAAAAAAGTCTCCGTACACATAGTATTTTTTCAGTTTTCTTTTAGTTTCTTTTTTCACGTATATTTAATTTAATTTAAAATATTTCAAGTAAATATCGGCAATCTCATAGTATTTTTTCAATTTACTTTTAGTTTCTTCTTTCACTTAAATTTTATGAGAAACATATTTCAAGTAAATATCGGCAATCTCATAGTATTTTTTCAATTTTCTTTTAGTTTCTTCTTTCACTTACATTTTGTAAGAAATATATTTCAAGTAAATATCGCCAATTTCATAGTATTTTTTCAATTTACTTTTAGTTTCTTCTTTCACTTAAATTTTATGAGAAATAAATTTCAAGTAAATAGCGGCAATCTCATAGTATTTTTTCAATTTTCTTTTAGTTTCTTCTTTCACTTACATTTTGTAAGCAATATATTTCAAGTAAATATCGCCAATTTCATAGAATTTTTTCAATTTCCTTTTAGTTTCTTCTTTCACTTGCATTTTATATGAAATATATTTCAAGTGAATATCGGCAATCTCATAGTATTTTTCCAATTTCCTTTTAGTTTCTTCTTTCACTTACATTTAACGAGAAATATATTTCGAGTAAATATCGGCAATCTCATAGTATTTTTTCAATTTTCTTTTAGTTTCTTCTTTCACTTACATTTTGTAAGCAATATATTTCAAGTAAATATCGCCAATTTCATAGAATTTTTTCAATTTCCTTTTAGTTTCTTCTTTCACTTGCATTTTATAAGAAATATATTTCAAGTGAATATCGGCAATCTCATAGTATTTTTTCAATTTCCTTTTAGTTTCTTATTTCACTTACATTTAACGAGAAATATATTTCAAGTAAATATCGGCAATCTCATAGTATTTTTTGAATTTTCTTTTAGTTTCTTCTTTCACTTACATTTTGTAAGCAATATATTTCAAGTAAATATCGCCAATTTCATAGAATTTTTTCAATTTCCTTTTAGTTTCTTCTTTCACTTGCATTTTATAAGAAATATATTTCAAGTGAATATCGGCAATCTCATAGTATTTTTTCAATTTCCTTTTAGTTTCTTCTTTCACTTACATTTAACGAGAAATATATTTCAAGTAAATATCGGCAATCTCATAGTATTTTTTCAATTTTCTTTTAGTTTCTTCTTTCACTTACATTTTGTAAGCAATATATTTCAAGTAAATATCGCCAATTTCATAGAATTTTTTCAATTTCCTTTTAGTTTCTTCTTTCACTTGCATTTTATAAGAAATATATTTCAAGTGAATATCGGCAATCTCATAGTATTTTTTCAATTTCCTTTTAGTTTCTTCTTTCACTTACATTTAATGAGAAACATATTTGAAGTAAATATCGGGCAATCTCATAGTATTTTTTCAATTTCCTTTTAGTTTCTTCTTTCACTTACATTTAACGAGAAATATATTTCAAGTAAATATACTTACTTGAAATATATTTCTCATTAAATGTAATTGAAAGAAGAAATTAAAAGAAAATTGAAAAAATTCTATGAGATTGCCGATATTTACTTGAAATTTATTTCTTGTTAAATGTAAGTGGAAGAAACTAAAAGAACACAAGTGAAAGCCAGCTGCAAATTTATTGTGATTTAAACAATATTTTAGTGCCTAAGCAGTCGGGCTTTTGCTCCAAACATTCATGCGAATCTGTCGTTGTTACTGTCTGTGATGATTTCTTGAGGGCCTTGGAGGATGGTAAATTTGTGTTGGCTGTATTTTTGGATTTTAAGCGTGCTTTCGAAACAATAAGTAGAACTAGACTGTTAAGAAAATTGTACGAAATGGTTACTAAGGGAACAGCGTATAAATGCATATCTGATTGCATAACTGTAGAACATGGTGCTCCTCAAGGCAATGTTTTGGGACCAATGTTGTTTCTTATGTATATAAACGATATTGCAAATATTTTAGATGATACTAAAGCGGTGTTATTTGCGGATGACACTATGATTTTTATTGTGGGTAAAAATGTGGATGAAATGCAAAGAAAAATGAATGCTCATCTGGAGAATGCTTTTGAATGGCTGTGCAATAATAACCTTTGTATAAACACGGAGAAGTCAAAATTTTGTATTTTTGGTAAACGACATAAATTGAGCAAATTATATTTCGATCTAAACAAACCAAACAAAAAATTAATTCATGAAAACGAAATTAAATATCTGGGTGTTATATTTGACTCAAATTTGAGGTTTCATTCACATGCCTCTTACGTAATGAATAAATTTTATTTATTATTTATTTTTAAAATTAAACAGTAGTGTGTTCCCAATTATGTTGGTGAAAAAGTTACCTATTTCAGAGATTACAAGAAATTGTGGTAATTTTATGTTGAGAGAATTTTATTCTAGTCATATACAAAACTCTATATTACATAAAGCCCTAAACAATTTCAACAATTGTGATACTCTTAATAAATTTAAAAGACTTGTAAAACGTATTATGTATTGTCCAAATTCTGATTTCTGTGTGCTTAGTTTTGGGTTTCATTTATCTGAAATTTTATATTTTATATATATTATATATCTTCGTACACTATTACTTTTTATGATAAATTGAAAAGTCTTTTTGGAAGACTTAAAACAAACTTTCTTGTAACTTCTGGCCATATGTTTTCCCACTATTCTCTTAACCTATTTTTAGGTCTCCTTTTCGACTATATGCAGGTTTTTCCAATTATACACAAAAATTTGAAAGAACCAGGAACTCAAAAATCGTAAAAAATATGGCTAATCGGTTTAAACTGTGTTATAGGCCGCATCAAGAGCTACAATTTTTGTAACTGCGGTTTTCATCACACACGCTGCTCGAGATATTTGAAAAAATCCATATGAAAATCTATCCCTTGGGCTTAGTCGATACGCGATGACGTCATTGATTATAACGACGCACTTCACGGTTTCGGAAAAAACTTATTTGTTGGAAAACCATTTATTATTTTGGAAAAATTTTTGCACCAGAAAACATAGGAGATGAAGGGCTATAACCTGCGGCTCTGGAAATTTTTCAATTATGTACAGGATGTGCCGATTAAGGGCAAGAATGTTTAAAAGAGTCTGAAAATTGCCGTTTTCGTGGATAGACTATTAGCCGTAAGCTTTATCGAGAAAGTTTCAGGTTTCGTCTATCATACAGGGTACAATAAAATTACATCGACTTTGCGAAAGTTCCATAGTGGTCCGCAGGAGCACTGTAGAAAAACAAACAACAAAATAAAAAAAATACAAAGCTGCGTAGTCAGACAAAGTGATTAGTCAGACGCACAGCCACGATTTTTCGAAATCAATCTTGTTACTTAGTGTTTAGTCCCCTTAAAATGGGGGGAGGGGGTGGCTGAGGGATCGGGAAGTATTGTTAAAAAATTAAAAACCTGCAGAAGATCCGCGAGGCTATAAATCTTTATTCTTGATAATTTTCAAAAATGCACAGGCTGTGTCCGGTATTCGCAAAAAACTGAAAGTTGGGGTACCCTTAAAATGGTAATCGGAGATTACTAGAAGGCTGTGGTTCAGTTGTCAGTTTCTTTCGTATGGTCCTATAGCCCATATTTACAGGTAAAAATTTTGTATTTAAGGTTTTTACCTATTGTACAGGGTGTCAATCTTGTTTCACATACGTCTCTGTCAACTAGTAAGTGAGTTGGGTATAGTTTTCCTCGAGAACGTAAGATTTTCGAATTGTAGTTCTGAATTGACTTTTAACTTCTGCGAGGCGGTTGGCGCCAAAGTTATTTTTCGACCTATCCATAAGTGTAATTGTCCGAATTCACGTCTTAGGTCGGCAGGAGACTCGTTGGGGGCAGGCGGCGGGGCGGCGGGCGGCGATGACGGCATCGTGGGCGGCCCCAGGACGCCCCAACAGGTGGCCGCCCAAAAGCGACTGCAGCAGACTCAGGCCCAGGTCGACGAAGTGGTCGACATCATGAAAACGAACGTGGAGAAAGTGCTAGAAAGAGATCAGAAGCTGTCCGAATTGGACGACAGGGCGGGTAAGCTTTTGTTGACGTACGACCCCACACCCGACCCCAGATTTGACAACCACGTGTATGCTAATAAAATAATAATAAGAATAATTTGACTTTATTAATCAAAAATAATTTGCAATCAGCTGGGTGCTAAATTTTAAATAATAATAATATTTATTTTTCCAGTCAATAGAGAAAATTCATGATAGGTAGAGGTAGGTGAATATATTTTGACACCCAACTACGGGATTAGTTTCGAAAGACAAAAAAAAGTGTAAATTCAAAACTTTGAAGATTTTTGCTCTATTATCTTATGCAAATGTCAGAAAAAACAAACGACGATCGTAAGCTGTCAAAACGACAGCAACATCATTTAGATCTTTTTAGGCAATGACACTATCGCAAGCAGAGATACTGTGAGGTTTCTAGGATTGAGTTTGGATGAATGTTTAAACTGAAAATCTCATTGGGATATTCTTATTTCAACTCTAAATAGTGCAAATTATCTTTTTATAAATCTTCGCGAGATTTTAACTAGGCAACAGTTGGTCAGTTTATACTATGCATAAGTGGAATCCCGATTACGTTATGGGATTAATTTGTGTGTGTGGAGGGCAGAGTATTTTTGGTTCAAAAACGTATATTATGGAGTATTGCATACATCTTGTAGGGGTTTATTTGCCAAGTACAAAATTCTTACACTGGCGAGTCTTTACATTTTTGAAATGTCTGTGTATGTCTCAGATGACACAGACACGGAATTTAAAACCCTCTAAAAGTTTTGTGATGAAAAAGGAATTCTCTTGAAAATTATATCAGATTTTATCAAAAGGAAATTGTCTGATTCGTAAAAAAAAAATGAAAATCAAATTCAAAATTTTGGCTACTGGATGCCTGGATTGTGGTCGAAAATTGATTACCTGTCTATATTGTTTCTTTCGTTATGATTAAAATATATTATTAATATTATAAAGTTGCGTTTTAATTGCTCTCACTGGTAAAAATTTCTAGTTTGGAATGTGAGTTTAAACACCAGAACCCACTAATATAGCACACTGTGACTAAATTCATTCAATTAATGAAATTGTGGAGTATATAAAAAATGGGAGAAAAATAATTGATTTTCAAGCGTTGGCGATAAAAGAAATAAGTTTGATAATCACTGGTTTAAAACCTTGTCTATTTAAAAAACGATTTGTCAGTTGTAATGAGTAATTCATTATATTTTGACACCCACCTACAGGCTTAATTTTGAAAAAAAAAAGTGTAAATAGAAAAGTTTGAAGATTTTTGCTCTATTATCTTATACAAATGTCAGAAAGAACAAACGAAGATCGCAAGCTGTCAAAATACCAGTAACATAATTTAGATCTTTTTCCCTGTTTTCAAACACATATAGCGATGTCTGGACGATAGCTATATTGTTTAAAAATTGTCAAGTCTGCCTTGACAGCAACCATATTATGTTTGTTTGCAATTGTTTTAAGAATGTTCTACTTTTGAAAACTGATCAAAACTAAACGTCTGCAGCGTAAGTTAAATAACTTCAAATGGGTGGGTTGTACTGAGGAAGAAAAACGCCAAATAATAAAATTATATTATTCAAACGTACATAACTTTGTAGTTAAAAGAGAATATCGACAAGTATATCCGGGTAGAAGAGTTTCTTCAATAAATACAATTAAAAATGTAATTAAGGACCGAAATGGTGGCACACGGAAGACCAGGACAATATAAAGAAATATTGATGAGCACCTCAATATATTACTTTATTTTCAAGGCAAATCATTACGACACTTGACATCATGACTTTAAGTTCTACTTTTTTAATTTTTAAATTTCATATTAGAAAATCCTGAATATTCTATACCTGACGTTAAAAAATTATCCGGAAAGTTCTAAAGTAAAATTCAACGAACGCTAAAAGAGACTTATGGTCTCACCCATTTAAGTTCTTTCTAGTGCAAAATTTAGCCCATGAACATAAAAGGCAGAGGCTCGAATTTTGCACTGAAATATAGAAAAGAGAGGTTTGGTTCACAGTAGTATGATATGCTTAACCAATTATATACGAAGGATCCTTGGATGGCCAAGGATATTTAAATTACCTTGCAACAGAAATAGAACAGTTGTTAAAAATGTGCCAGTTAGGAATTAAATAAATTTAATTTGGCATCAAGATTGCATACCTCCACATAATGTCCAACCGGTTACCAATTATCTAAATAATAAATATAGACCTTAGATAGGTGGGCAAAGAACTATCAAATGGCCTGCCAATAGTACCGACCTGAATCCTTGTGACATTAATTTGTTGGGATACTTAAAAAATAAAATTTATTATGTTAGGCCTGAAAGTTTACGAGAAAGACTTAATATCGTTTTACAAGATCTAAACAGAGAAATCGAATGATAATTATATTTAAACTGAAATATCTCAAAAATGGATAAATGAAATGCCAATAAACTATATGTTTTTGAAATCACGAAGAAAAGATCTACGATTTAAGCTGATAATATATAGGGCATTATATTTAAAAAAATGATGTTGCTGCCATTTTGACAGTTTGCGATCTTCGTTTGGTCTTTCTGACATTTGTATAAGATAATAGAGCAAAAATATTCAAAATTTTCTATTTAGACTTTTTTTTTCAAAATTTAGCCTTAGGTGGGTGTCAGAATATAATGAATAACTCATTACAACTGACAAATCGTTTTTTAAATAGATAAGGTTTTAAACCAGTGATTATCAAGCTTATTTCTTTTACCGACAACGTTTGAAAATCAATTATTTTTCTCCCATTTTTTATATACTCCTAAAACGTAAAAACCACAATTTCATTACTTGAATTAATTTAGTCACAGTGTGCTATATTAGTCGGTTCTGATGTGTAAACTTACATTACAAACTAGAAATTTATACCAGTGAGAGCAATTAAAACGCAACTTTATAATAATAATATATTTTAATCATAACGAGAGAAACAATATAGACAGGTAATAAATTTTCGACCATAATCGGGAAATTGACTTTTGTGGCCAAAATTGTTGGTAGCCATTTTTAAATTTGATTTTTATTTCCTTGTTTGTTGTCAGTTCTATAAGTTCTTCTTCTGGTTGTAAAAACGAATCAGACAATTTCCTTTTGATAGCAGCTGATATAATATTCTTCAAGAGAATTCCTTTTTCATCACAAAACTTTTTAGAGTGTTTTAAATACAGTTTCTCCTTTTGTGTCATTTGACATTTCAAAAATGTAAAGATTTACCAGTCTGAGAATTCTGTACTACAAGAAGTGTGCAATATTCCTTAGCGTCCTAGTGTCATTACCTAAAAATGGCATGCATATGAAAAAAAATAGCAGTGTTAAACTAACTTGCACTAATATGGTAACTCATAAAATTTAGATTATATACAGTTATATACTAATCAACAAAAATTGCTGTGTAGTTTCGTGTAAATATTTTGAAAATTAGGTTTAAAATTTTAAGTTTAATAAATCAACTGGCAAAGCATTATAATCAAAAGCTGGATTACAAGAAAAAAACTGATGGGGTGGAAAGATGTTGCTTGAACCTAAAATTACTAGCGATTATTATTTCCAAGTATCATGTATCATAAATTAAAACAATTTTAGTATTGATTATGGATATTTTAATATTGTTTTTAAGAAAATCTACTTCATTCTTGCTTCCAAAACATCATAAAAAATTTGCTTCAGGTTAAGTGTTTTTTCACTAAACTTCACTTTCACGAGAAATGTAATAGCCTACAAGAATTGTTCCGTATCAGAAGAAAAATAAATTTGCATTTTACAGTATCGCAGTGAATTCAGAATATCCCACGTATAAACGAGAAAAATTGAGGGTCCTAAGACGGTACCTTGTGGAATGCCATATGTAAAATGTATCTGATCAGATAAATTCTTATTACACCGTATAGACTGAAACCTGTCGTCTTGTAAAGAACTTGTAAGAAAGCTGCATTATCAAAACCATAATATTTTAATTCAGATAACAGGAGTGAATTAATATTATTTATTTGTATTTATTCTTTATTTTTGGTTAGTTTTCTTTTTCAATATAGGTTAAAATTACTTCAGTTGTTTTTTGGTTTTCCTTGTTTAATTTAAAGGGACGAAATTTAAATATTTTTTTTCTCTAAACGCCAGAAAAACAGAAGGATTTTCTAAAATTCCATTTTTCTCTAAGAAATTTCTAGAAAGCATAAAAATGACACTGAAATCACCCTATATTTCCGTCGACGATTTTTTGAGACTGACTGCAACTTGCCGAGCTTTAATAGCACACCTGTATATTTTTAGTTTGTACGCAAAAAAAAAAATAACTCTCCATTTTCGTGTCAAAATGCCGAAAAATGAAGTACACGTCATTTTAGAGGGGAACGGAAAAATAAAATAAATAATTCATGTTTACTTTATTTATAGACACAGTCTTATTGCCGCTATTTCCAGATTATTGTTTGGTAATCAAACAGTATATTTTTAAATAAATTAAAATTTATAATAACGCAATTCCTCGAAAAAACCTGCGTTTCTCTTAGAGGGCCCGAGATTAGAAACAGACTTTTGCCAAACATGATTAAGGTTCATTGTTGCAGATGCCCTACAACAGGGCGCATCACAGTTCGAACAGCAGGCGGGAAAACTAAAAAGGAAATTTTGGTTACAAAATCTAAAGGTAAAGTGCCCTTGAAAAGCGAATTCAACGTTTACAGAATATATATGTTGCCTCACTCTTCCGTGGAGAACGATAACCCAAGGGACTTTTTGCATTGTGCCTTCAGACCAGCAAAATGTATTGTAAATAAATGGCGTTCCTTGCACTTGTAAAGCTAGTTCATTAAAACTTTGATCATATGTCATTTAAAAACGCATTTCAATTTTTCAAATGAAACGCCTCGTATATTATTAGATTTTGAGATTTTGTGTGAAATTCTAAACATATTTTGTCTATAAGATCCTCTTTGAAGTTTTTGACCTTAAAAAATGAATACTTTTGTAGTTTTTGAAAATTTGATCCTGATATCTATCAAAATGTTAAAAATGAGGCGTAACTTGACATTTTTGTTTTCCCATATACAGGGTGCGTACGATATTTGAGGCCAATTAGATATTAAAATTTATTCATTCGTATTAACGTCAACGTCAATTGACTCTTAGACTATACAATTATTCAATAATCGAGGGGACTAAGATCCGGGGAGCTAGGTGGCCATAGGTTTGAGATGATGTGGTCATCGAAAAAAAAAAGAACAAAAAAATTGTTCTCCCTAAATTACAGCCGCAAAAAGGGTTTTGGATAGTATCGTATTTGTCTAATTGAACATTTTCCCTCTACCCACTTGGCTATGGAAAAACAATTAATAATAACAACAATGGCAACAATGGTTTTTCCCTAGGCAAGTTTAGCGACTTGTCCTAATTGTGGACACCCGGTAGAAAAGTAGACAACAACAAGCGCGAGAACGTGAGTTTGAGCCTCTTTTTTAATATTTTGCAAATTATGAGACTCGATTTTTCAGAAATTACAAAAATACATTTGTTCAAAATTGATTGGAGGTTTTTTTTTAACGTCAAATATTTCGAAAACGGCATATATAGGCATTATTCATAAAATATGTTTAGAATTTCACACATAATCTCAAAATGTAATAATATAGTCTGTGTTCTGTTTGAAATAGGCAGGAAGTTGACAGCAACTTAAGATTAAAACAAAAGTGACAGACCCTGTACAACTCCACTCATCATCATCATCAAACCATAGAATACAAATAGATTAAAAAAACTGCTCAAACTGATTTCCAACACTTTCAGACATTTTTCGCATTTATAAATATATTACAGAAATTTATGTAAGCCAATCAACAACTGTGAATATTTTTAAAAATATTTAAATTAAAAAATTTAATTAATTAAATTAAAAAAAATATCATTTCATATACTTGTATTTCAAAACTTGCAACTAGTCCAATCCTCAAATGAGCATTTTTTTTTCAACTTTCCGATTTTTGTATTCTATTCGTATTTTTTAAAATAAAATTATAATAAGAAAATAAATTTAGGTAAAACAGCAAATACAGGTCGTTCTATAAAAAAAAAAAAAACGTAACTCTACCTCGTTTTTTTTCACTAAATCTCATGGCACCACTCTGCGTAATCAGATCTATCATCACCTGATTAGGATACATGGTGTTTAAAATACAAAGGAAAAACTGAAATGGAAATTTTTTTGTTTCACCCCGTATCCCGAAAGCAAAGCCAACTATTAGTGTTTTGCAAACGGCTTCTTTTGTTTCGCGAAATTCAAGCACAATGTTACGTTATTACGTAGCATGGAAACATGGATACACTGTACGGATTCAGCTTCTCCACAGCAACGACAGCGGTGCGGGGTAGGGGGAACGTAGGCAAGGGCGTGATCTCGAGTGAGGCAACTTATATAGTATTCTATAGACTTTGGCGTATGTCAGATGAAACCTGTATATTTTTTATTTACAGATGATGATTATTATGGGTGTTATTGGACTGGTAATTTTAATCATCATAGTCAGTAAGTATACCTACTCTTGTTATTTTTTTACATCGTCATTAGTTACGCTACACAGTTACAGAATAATTCGGAGAGACCTGGAACTGTAAAGATTAAAACGCCCCCGCCAAGTCCCAAAAATTATTATCCTTAACTCGTTAAAAGATATTTTTAAAAGAATACAATAATATACATAAATCTGGCAATATATAAAAAAAAAGTAATTTTAATATACTACATATTTACAAAGTTTAAAATACTTCAAATGTGCAGGTAGACATAAAGCATGTTTTACAAAATAACAAAAAATAGCAAAGGAATACATAAAAGCATAAAAAAAGAATATATAAAAATTCTTCCCAGTATAGGACAATTATAATCTAATTCTTTCCCTCTGATATCAGAAAAGTGATTAAATATTAAGTGTGAGCACTGATATTCATGTTTTGATGAATTCGAAAATGTAAATTCGAGGAATTGTTATCAAGTGTTAGCAAAACTGCTCAACAATTTTCACTGTAATCTAAATTTAGCAGAATCCTTTTTGCTTTTTTTTATTTTTTTACAAAAAATAACTGTTCTCGATATTCGAGGAACAAAGAATTTGCATAAATGCACGTCAATAACTGAAAACCATTTTGTTGAATAAAAAATTCGTTTTTGAAAAAACTAAAAAGTCACCTTACTTTTTGAACACACCTGCTCTAGAAAAATAATCCACAGGATCCCAAAAATTAATTAGATTTGTTATCTATAGGGTTTATAACAAACAATACATTATCATATAATTTTATTATTTATTAATGATAGCAAAGATCAGGTCTGCTTTCGCAGTTTTCTCCTAACGAAAATGCCAATATTTGACACGGTTGCCAAAAAGGTAAAAGACTTGATCTTCTGTAGAAATTAGAAATCAAAAAAATCCAAAAACTCCTATTCTTGATTTTGAGCAAATATTTTGCCTAGATCTCACTCCAATTTATGTCTGTGTGCGTTTGAGTTGACATTTGTGCTATGCTAAATGCTAAATGCTTTGCTAAATTCGTATATATTATTTTAAAAATTTCTTTTACAGGACTGAGCAAACGCGTAAAGTTTTAAGAATAATAAATTTTGAGACATTGACTTGTGGGTGTGTTTCAATCTTATAGTTTTTAATAGAAATGTGTTTGTATACAGGGTGTTATAGAAATTACATAGACGAAAACACCTCAATAACTTTGGTATAAAATCACACGTGATCTTTTGTATTTAATTAGTACAAATATGCAAAAAAAGAGTGCCTACTAACATTAGTTTCTTCCATTGCCATTAGTTTAATACGTTCAAAAAAGAAAGAAAAATGCATTTGCGTATATGAGAGATGACCCAGGCACCGTTTTGTAAAATTTTAATTAGGTTTCTGTTCAACCAAAACTGTCTTATTTATGATTATTTTATTTATTATTATTTTTGTTCCCTCTGTTTAAATTTTTAGAAAAACAACCAATACGTTCAAAAATCACCACAAACAATAAGGTCATTAGAATTCAAAATAATTGCATATGCATTCGTCACCTGTTTACGTTGCAAAATTGTTAGAACACATAAAAGAGAAGATTACCATGACTACAAGAGTTTTTAGTTTTGAAACATAATAATAAACACGTTTTCATCATGTTTTTCTTCTGCAAGGAAGGCGATTTTTTTTCTATTCACTGCTTAATAACGCTACTAGAAGTACGGGGAACATTTTAACGCCTGACGGTTGCTGTTGAAAATTTGCTACCATCAAACATTCGTTATTTTTGCCAGTGCATCCTGGATTACGTAAATACAGTAAAATTTCCATTGTTATTGTACCTAGAAGTACATTTCTGTGGATGTAATTGTTTACGCGAACGTGGTTTTTAATAACATTTTTCGATATAGTCAAATTTAAAGACGTTATTCTTCAATAAAATTCTTTTTTTTTTTTGACAAACCTCGTATGCTAAAAATTGATACCTGATGAACGTGTTTTAGATTTTAGAACCTTTTTGGAGAATATTATTTTTCTTAAAATTAATGATAAAAAAGTTTCACTTCACACTAACTAGGACATTTTGTACCGGGTGGCCCATTAATAGAGGACGCCCTCCATATTTTAGGAACCGTTAGTAATACAACTTAGAAAAAAAAATATAGGTAAATCGGTCAAGAGAAATTATTTTCAGGTAAATAATATGGTCGCTAGGGGGCGTAACCTCCCCTGTAAATAGAAAAAACGAGTTTTCTCAAAAATATTCCAAATTGACCTATATCAAAATTAATTTTAGCGCAATCTATTCTAAATAAGGAAACTTTTTTGTTTGAACTATTTTTTTCTATCTCGCCAAATTAAGGGTAGGGGAAGGGTCAAATATTGGTTCAGAAAAAGTTGAATAACCTTTTTTTGGCCAATCCGATTTCGACGAACTTAGTTTAGTTTTAAAGGGTATTTACATGAGCCTCGATTGACAAGTCAAAATCACGATATTGTTTCTTTTACGAGTCCGTAGGAGGCGCAAAACAGCCATTTTTATGATTTTCTGCAAAATGTCAAATATAATGGTATAAATATTTTTAGCGAAGATAAAAGAGCGTAAAAAAGCACAGAAAGTAGTGCAAACGGCATAGCAATATCGTTGTTCCCCTCTGAGATATAAATAAATTTAATTTAAAAATACTTTTTTTAGGTAGAAGCAGTATTAGCCGTTACCATGCCAACCGCTAAGCCTACTTAGTTATTTTACCCTTTTCTCCAATATGGACAATAACATGTAATATATTGATTAGTGATTATTGGCGATTATTGTGAACAAATTAGGACAAAATCAAATTTAACTCTATTACTATGCTACGGTTGAAATATATATTTAATAAACACATTTCTATTTATATCTCAAAGGTGAAAAAAGATATTGCCATGCCGTTTCCACTACTTGGTGTATTTTTTTACGCTCTTTCATCCTAACTAAAAATATTTATACCATTATATTTGAAATTTTCGAAAAAAATCATAAAAATTGCTGCTCTTAACATGAAGCGCCTCCTACCGACTCATAAAACAATTAATATCGTGATATTGACATGCCAATCGAAGCTCCTATAAATACTGTTTAAAACTAAATTAAGTTCGTCGAAATCGGATTAGCCAAAAAAAAAAGTTATTCAACTTTTTCTAAACCAATACTTGACCCTTCCCCAAACGTTAATTTCACGAGATAGAAAAAAATAATTCAAACAAAAAGTTTCCTTACCTAGAGTAGATTACGTTAAAACAAATTTTGATATAGATTAATTTGAAATATTTTTGAGAAAACCCGTTCTTTCTATCTTACAGTAGAGGTCACATCCCCTAGCGGGCATTTTAATTAACCAGAAAATAATTTCCAGCTTTTTTTCTTGGCCAATTTACCTATAATTTTTTTCTTCTAAATTGTAGGACTAACAGTTCCTGAAATATGGCCGCCGCCCATTATTAATGGGCCACCCAGTACATAATCAGTATCATTTATTAGATTATTTAGTGTAATGTCAACGACATCCTGTATACGAAGCGATATTAATATAGTACGGGTCACTCTAATGAAAAGATAAAATAAAAATACTAAAAGTTATGACTTGGCATTAAAAAATATATCGACGTATATTTTGAAACACCCAATATACAATTACCGACGATTCCTCCATTAACTTAACAATTTTGACTGAAACAGGAAATATCCAAAAACAACGAAAACCGTCCTTAAAATTAACATTTTTTTAATTTTCGTAGTGAACTTCATGTAATTGTCAGTGGCGTTCGGGCCGAAAAGAAATCGGTAAATTTGAATGATATACGTATTCGGTGTGTTGATATGTGTATACCTAAAATGGCTTACTGTCGTCTGTCTTTCTGTCCTCTAGAGGAAGATTGTTCATAATTTATAGCCTTATCCAGCCTCGTCCTCTCTTTACATGTATTTTGCTCGATAGTCACCTCATTTTCGACGTACGGGGTGTTGAGGTACGTCAAAGTTTTATGGAAAAATAAGTTGTTTGAAATTTAAATAAAAAAACCTGATAGTTCCTTGCAGTGCCAAAAACGCCACAAGAGGAATACCTGATAAAAAAATTTCACAATCACTTAGTATTGTTTTCGTAGTATACGTGGCAAATTTGCATATTCTGGAATAACTGGAAAGGGCAGTTACTATTGATAACATACGAAATTTAGTACACGGGGGTTTCTAATTGGACTAGATCCATTGATGATATAGGGGACGTTGCTTTTAAAATCCAGAGTATTTATGTAACAACCCTTATACCCAAATTCAACCGTTTAATTAATAATAAAGGCCACCAAAGATTTTGTGATTTGGTATCTTAATTTTTTTTTAATTTTAATTTATGAGAGAAATCGATGACAGAAATTATGCTTTTAAATAAAAATCATCTCTTTCCTCCATAAGAAAATTCAAATATATTTCGGTTAGTGGCATATGTCATTTTTCATTTGTTTAAATTTTTGAAAATTGTACGTTCACCTATCTGTCTGTCTTTTGTGTTATGACTGACAGCCCCTAATTTGAGTATAAGTAAAGAATATCGATATCCACAAACTTAAACGCAAGATTTTAATTTTAAATAAATAATAAAAAATTGGTATGGGAATATCAGCGTCAGAAATTTTTTTCGAAAATTTCTTTATGAGTTATGAAAAGCATCTGGAACTTTAGAAGTTTAAGTATCGGAAATATTCGAAATGAAGATAAAAATGAGGAAAAACTATCATTTTTTTATTCTCCAAAAGTCGCAGTCAGTCAGATGGAAACGATTTTTTTTGTAAAACTTTAACGCCCTTACAGCATCGTATTCCGAAATGCCCCGTACAGAACTGAATCCGTTGCATGTAGTAGTAGTAGTAGTTTCTCATGTTGTTAAATATTGCCATGCATGAGCGCACCAAACTGCTTTGAATTGTTTTTGCAGAATTTAATTTAATTTAAGATAACTTTTTCTTTTTAGAAAATTTTGGGTTCGCATAAAAACGCTATTACGGCATTTTTTTAGACAAACGCAGTGACCATAGTTGACTATGGTCTTAAAAATGTCCGGGTTAAGCCCTTTTCAGCGATATGTGATCAAAAAAGGCGGAAATAAGGGGCATTTTTTGTTTATGTTTAGTAGGCCATGCATAATATATCCAGAAAGACGTCACATAGAAACATTTAAAATAACACCGGAACTTTAAAAGAGATAAGACCAATTTGAAATAACTTAAGTGAAAAACACGAAATCCAAGAACCATTTAATATTTTTATTTTAATTTTGGACATTATTTTTAATAAGGTTTGATGGAAGCCCACACTTTTCGAATCACTTCCTCTAAAGCTACTTTGGTTTGAAAAGTTCTTTCTTTAAATATTGGTAGCGAAGATATCGCCATGCTTCAGTTCAAAAATAAGTTTTTGCTATTAAAACGCTGCGATCATATATATTATTATATGGTAAAAAAAAGTTAACAAAAGTTGTTTTATTACACTGATTGAAAATCCATTCCTTTTTTATTAATCAGTATAACTAAAAATTAAATAATAAAAGATGACGAAACTCAAAAAGTTAATGTGACACTGTACGAGGTTAGCGGCAAAATTTCCCGGCCTGACATAGATGCAGCTCCAGTATCACGATAAAACTTTGTCTTCTTTTAAATATATATCTTAGTAGGCTGCGAAATAAAAAAAATTGAAGTCTTGGGTCAAATGGTTTTTTGTTCACAGCATTTTAAACAAGACGTGTCGGAAAAAATGTCGCAAATAACGCATATTGAGTATAGAGCAGTCAAAGTTTTTGACAAAAGAAGCAAATTATTAAAGAAAGGCTTTATGGTGTGTACGGCCAAAGTTCTCCTTCGTATTCTGTAATGAAAGAATGGGCAAAACGTTTTCGAATGGGGCAGGAGTCCCTTGAAGATGATCCAAGAACTGGTCGACCAGTGGAAGTCATAACTGAAGATATTGTTGCGATTGTGGAAGAGGTGGTATTGAGTGATCGACGTTTAAAGTTCAAAGAAATCTCAGAAATTACTAAGCTATCTGATACAAGTGTTCGTCGAAGCCTGCATGATCATTTAGGTATGCATAAGGTTAGTGCAAGATGGTTCCTAAAAACCTTTCGACTATTCAAAAACAACGCCGTGTCGAGTGTGCGCGGTCCTTTTTGTTATTCTGTGGGTCGGAACCGAAGCCTTGTGATACAAACTATAGTGACGAGAGATAAAACTATGGTTCTCTATCAAAAAAAGAATCAATGGAGTGGCGTCGTAAGGGCGAAGCACCTCCAAGAAAATTCAGAGTCTGCCAGTCAACAAAAAAGGTGATGGCCACGATCTCTTGGGATTGTGAAGGAATTCTTTTGATAGATTTTATGCCGCAATATCAGGACATCTTAAATATTCCATATGGAAAAACAAACATTTGAGTGCAGAATGTAAGTCAAGAATATACAAAACCTGTGTACCACCAGTGATGACATATGGTGCGGAAACCAGAGCTGAAACATCAGTAACAAAGAGAATCCTACGAATTACTGAAATGAAGACCTTAATAATGATAACTGGATACACATTGAGGGACAGACAGAGAAATGTAGACATAAGAGAAAATTGCCAAACAAATGACGTTGTCAGATGGATAAGGCAGAGAAGAAGAGAATGGAACCAGCATGTCAGTAGAATGGGCCCCGACAGAATGGCCATAATAATTCGCAACAACGTACCCCATGGCAGAAGACCTACTGGACGATCACCTAAACGTTGGCGAGATAGTTGGCAGTCAACCTCGCAAGAGTTGCTTAGACGAGGAGGAAAACCGAACTAAACAGGCGATACGCCTTCGAAAAGAGGAAGAAAATTTTAAAGAAACTAATACCAATGGGAAATATTACGCAACATTATTACATAAATTGCGACACTGCATATGTGTAAAACGTCAAGGAAAACTGACCAGGGCCGTGCGTCATTTGCACGATAATGCACCTGTCCATACTGCTGGTGTTGCACAAGCTGCCATGTTAGAATGTGGGTTCCAACAGATAGATCATCCTCCCTATAGTCCAGATATGGTCCCCAACGACTATTATTTGTTTGAAAAAGGGCATACGTGGACGGCAGTTTAACGACGAAGTTGAGTTAAAAGAGGCTGTTTTAGCTCATCTTGCAGACAAACCAAAAGAATATTTTTTTAAAGTGATTGAGTTGTTAATAAAGAGATGTAATAAGTGTATTGAAGTTAAGGGGGATTATATTGAAAAATAATACAAAATTGTTACTCTTTCATATTCGGGCCGGGAAATTTTGGCGCTGCCCTCGTATTTTTAATTTTTTTCGAAATTATGGAATGGTAGAAAAAGTATATTTTTCATATTTCTAAAGTCCCAAAGATAGGAAAATGGGGAACGGGGGCCAAAAGATCACGAAACCAAGAAAATATTCCACAAACACCCCGGAAACTCGTAACTTGGCAACACCGCAAATTTATCTTCAAGGAGAATTCAAAAATGCATTTCCCTCTCTAATTTAATTGCACTTCAGATGCCACATTGAATTTTTGGGTTCTACCATCAAGCAAAGCTATCTTGTCTAGATGGTAGGTGACGCTGTAGCGCTAATAAACGTCATTTTTTTAATGATTCAAAAGGCGAAGTGACTTTACGTAGGTATGTTAGAGACCACATAATTTCTGGACGGCTGCACAATTTGATAAGTTGCACGAACGCATGATATGTGTTACAAGCGGTGAGCTCGATCTAATCTGGAGTGGCGTGATAGAAAAGCGAGGCAAATTTTGCGATAGAAAAAGAAGGCTAGCAATAAGGATTGTTGACTTTCTTTTGCTCATTTATCTAAATGAGGAAATGTTATGTTCAACGATACATTCTTACTAAATTTATTTATTTACACATAATTATGTGACGATTTTAAAATATTTTATTTAAATATTTGTATAAAATAAAATTTACTTCCATTGTTTCTAAAATTTGGAAATGCTTAGTTTTCAAGGTAAATATTAAAAAATAAAAAGTTTTTAGAATTAAGTTTATCGTGACCACAGGTTTTGTCAAATTTCATGAGTTTTATTTCAGCCAAAAGAGTTTTTTTTTTCGTATTTACCTTTTCGGGTAATCGTATGTATTTATATGAAAGCTTTTTTTTTGGAATGACCAATCTCCAGGCAAGCGTTGACGCATGTTTTTTGAAACACGCTGTATACACTGCAACTACATGCAAAACCTAGAATCTATCATTTCAAAACAATGTTAAAAGGAAGGAAATTACCGGGTCCCTCTCCTTCTAAATAAAATTTGCCTCGCAAAATTCATATCGGCTACGCCACTAGTTGTTTAGATGTAGTTCACTGGGTATACGAGGGTGTGGTGAAAAGTTTCCAGTCTGGCCGAGAGGTGGCGCCACTAGGTCTACTTTTGGAGCGGTCTCTTAGACTTGAAAAATGAAAAATCGGAAAAACGTCATCAAATACTTCTATTTAAAAAATTTTACACCAAAATGAATTAAAGAACACTAAGAGTGTAGTGATTCGAAAAAACATTTTTACCGACAATGTGACGCTTTACTGACGTAATCCAAACTTGTTGATGAGACTTGGGCCCATCACTACACTCGTGAAAATAAGGAACAGTGAAAACAGTGGCTAGAATTGAAGTTTGAATTGATGCCGCGACCTCCCTACTCTCCAGACTTAGGTCCCAGCGACTATTACCTGTTTTCTAACCTCAAAAAAGGTTATCGAAGCTGAAAATCAGTATTGTGAGGATTGATCAAGCCGGAAACCTTTCACCCCACCCTCGTACGTCGCATCCGTATCGATCGAAACCAACTAACCGTTTGTTTTATATCGTTTCCAGTCGCAATTGGCCAAAACTGAACAAAAAAAAATCTACCGTAACATAAACAAATGCACACTGGAAAAACTAACGCATATAGACAAGGAAGTCAAAAATACAGAAAATAGATAAAAAATAATTAGGTACGTTAAAAGCGTGGCATGTACTCCGTTTACATACCTGTAAAAAAATTATATAGGAGCAGAGCTTAACATTTTTGAAATAGAAAACGAAATACACCAAATGTCGCCATTGACGAAATATGTTTCAATTTTAGATCAAAGCGTGCGGTGGTCCGTTTGTTATGGAACCTGTAATGTTTTTTTATTTCAAATACTTGTGGGAAGCATTTTTGAAATTCTCGAAGTCTCACCGTCATAGACAAGTCCAATGTCACTGTTACCAATGATAAATTTTAGCAAATTTTGGATGTCACCAAAGTTTTTAAAAATTCGCCTTTATTTTGTTAAAATTAACATTTTTTTTATAAAAAAAATATTAAAAAGTTCATGCGGTTTTGATATTTTAAAATCAAATTGAAAATTAAAATTCAAAACTCCTAAATGTTCTCGTTTCGCGGTATAGTACGGTGAATTACAAATGATTCCAAACAAAAAGTATTTTTGTTATTTTTACACACAATAAACGGGCCACCTTGTACATCATTTTGAGTAAACAATAATGTCAAAATTGAAACATTATTTTAGCTGCAATTTCTGAAAGATCGCATTTTCTCTCGAAATTCGAAACTCCTTGTTTTGCTAATCGCTCAGTACGATTTTTCCGATTTGTTTCCTTCTTAGGAGCGTCTCGTATCAATAAATAGCGAATATACGAAAAAACCTTTAGACTATACTCGTGACTTGCCCCTGTACATTTATATAAAGGTACCGAAGTGCAGGGTGATCGGTTTACTTTACCTCTAAATATAAAAACAAGTTTGCGTAAAATAAAATGATCTTCAATTGTTTCGTGTTATTTCAATTGTCACTCAAATGCGTACAGAGTGCTACCCGATATTTCGCAAAATATCACTTCTCTCGCTTTTTTTAAATCAAACACCCTGTATATTCTTGCACTTACGGCTTAAAGGACGAATCCAACGATATAACGTTGGTCTGCGATACGCCGTTTCGAATTTATTGACGATTTTTATCAATTCCGCAATTGAAGCTTAATTCTGAAAGCGTCTCTAATATTTTTTTTATGAAATTGCCGTATCGATAATATTGATGATATCGATAATATTGATTTTAAATACTGATAGATTATTTTATTTTTAAATTTAAATTAAATTTTATATGAAATTTTCTACACTTTTGAATAATGCAATTGGTATATACCGGGTGACGCAAGAAAGTGGGAACACTAAGATAAGTAAATACCCTTTTATAAACACAAAATATTGCTTAGGTGGCTTTGCTTCTATTCATTGTTAATTGTCAAGTCGGTAAGATTAAAAATGTAGAAGAATCTCTCGACAAGCTGATGCAAGATGTAAGAGAAACCACAGATTAGTATGTAAAAAAAATAAAATAAAATTCAAGGGAGAGTTTCTTCTGAGATTCAACGATTAGAATTTTTTGTTGAAAGTGTTTATACAGTCAGAAACTAACGCAAGTATTGTATGTATATATGTATTCATAAGCTACAAGCAATTTTTACCGGAAACTCAGAAGAACAAGAGAATACAAATATTTTTCTCTTTTCAAATCTGTCACTTTTTGGGATAATTCAACACAATATTTTGAAAATCTGTTAGAAAATAAAACCTCAACAATGTGGGAGTTTTGTTTGTTTTATTTGAATTAAATAAGTGCGATAGATATTTACTTAATAACCAATTTATTTTAAGATGAAACTTTCATAGAATGTTTTCAAAATGTCCTCCTTCTTGTATGCGACACTCCGTAGCTCTACATTCGCCGTAACCCTTCCTAACATTTATTAGATAAAATTGTACAAACTGTCAGAATTTTCAATCATGCCGACTTGATGATGAATAGAAGCAAAGCCACCTAAGTAATATTTTGTTTTTATAAAAATATGTATACTTATATGGTTTTTTCCATCCTGTCAGTTTATTTTTTAACGGATTTTGAAAATTTTGGTATCAAAATGTTGCACAAAAAGTACCGGTTTTAAAAAGTTTTTGTTCCCAATGCGGGTTATCCAAAAAAATTAATAGTTCATTACATTAAATACTACCTCCTAGCCTCCTAGACACAATTTCCAAAAATTTAATAAAAAATTTAAAAAGCAAAAAAATATGAGAAAATCTATCTTATCCTACATCGAATGATCGCCTGAATCCAAAAATGCAAAAAAAATATAGGTTGTGCCGTCTAAAATTCGAACGTTACTGCCGTTTCCGCTCAAACCATTGACTACATATTGTAAAAAATTGAACATTCAACCTATATTAACCGTTCCCACTTTCTTGTGTCACCCGGTATATTACCTCCAAATGATTTACGGCATTTAATTTATAATTGTTCGCATTTAATTGAATGATTGCATCCCGAATTTGTTATTATAATGCAAAAACTTCTAAGGGCTTATTTTTTTACACTATCTCTTTTAAAGTGTCCCACAGAGGCCAGTGGGTTTAAATCCGGACTCCCTGCTGGCCAGATGTGTCATTTTGTCCAATCCATTGTCCAAAACTTCCATTTAAAAATTCACTGATATATAATTCCGAGTAACAGATCTTCTACCTTGTTTATGTTGTAAATATCAATGCATGATCGAATTAAAATTAATTAAATTAATTAATGACATTTAGATTCCAATATTTTTATATTTTACGATATTTGAAATAGATTTCATAAAAGGAATATAAAAATAAGAATAGCTAAGAAATTGATAAAATCGTCAATAAATTCGAGACCTTGCGTCGCGGGTCAATGTTGGCGTATATCGTTGGATCCTTTTTTTAAAGGGCTTTCCGAAAATGCATCGAGGGCGTTTGGTTTACGAAAATTGCGAGAAGTCACATTTTGCGAAACATCGACAATATAAAAAGTATTATTTTGTAAAATATGTTACGCGGAAAGGTGTTTTAAAGGTTAGTGTGAGACGCAACAAAAACCTTTCCGACATAACCTGAATCCTCAAGATACTTTCAACACCGATATTTATACACAGGGGGTTTTCTAATTCGATCTAATCGATCTTAACGTCTTAACTTTTGAAATACAGGAAGGTAAAAGTTTCAAAAATAAAATATTTTCTTAAATATCAGCAATACCACTGTAGATATTTTAGTGAAATTTGATACACATGTACTATATATATCAGGAGGCATTATTTTGTGTGCCACAACTTTTTTTTAATACACCAAAGGCGGGCGTACGTAATTTAACTCGATTTCATTATTATTTCTTACGTAAGTAATTGTCTGTATGGTTTATTAAAATACGAAGGACGTAAACTCAAATACATTTAAATAAGAATCGTTAATTATTTATCAAAACTGTAAAAGAAAAAAAAACAGTCGTCTAGTATTTTTTTTTTGAAGGACACTAAAGGTTGGTAACTAAAAACTAGATATTTTGTTTTAAATAGGTAATTTATATCTCACAAAAAAAGTTCTCGATTTGACCAGTACAATTAACCAAAATATTATTTGCTCATAGACAGTCAGTGGAACGCCACTGATTTCTTGTGGTTTTTATTTTTTTCAGCTGAAACCGTATATAGGATTGAAAAAAGTGAAGAAATTAAATTTATTTAGAAATGATCATAGATGGTAAGGATAATTTTTATTTTAGGAGAAATCAGTGGCGTACCATCAATGTCTGCCAAAATAGACTGGTGAAATTCCGTACGCCAGCCAGTGGTGTATTTTGCAAAAATTGTGGTACACTAAATATATGCCTCTTGATACATAGTACATGTGTGCCAAATTTCACTGAAATGCCTAAAGCGGTATTACAGATATAAAAAAAATATATTTTCGTTTTGAAAACTTTAACACCCTGTATCTCAAAAGTGAGGACGTTCAGGACATACGTTCATATGAAGTTTCCTTTTTAAAATGCACCCAAAAATCGCCCCTCTTATTAGAGAACACTCTGTATATCGTCGGATCCGTCATTTAAACGGGTATTTAAAAATTTAATAAAATATTTGTTAAAAAACGTTTTAAACCCTGTATGTAAATGGGTGACAATTGAAATAATACAAAAACATTAAGGATCGTTTTACTAGAGACAACTTTTATATTTAACCTTGGGCCACCCTGTACGTTCATTACAAATGCCGATACAACTAAAAATGTCAGGTCGTCGATGAACAATCGACCCGCTAGATTGCGGACACTTTGTATAGCCGGACATCAACGTTTTTCCGTTGTATAATTGAAAACAAATTGAAATTGTTTATATGTGTCTCTTAGTCAATATTAAAAATGTATAAATAAATTAACTTGAAAATTTGTAGTTTTTTTTATTAATTGGCAATGACGCGTTCCCAGATTCTTCGTGACGACACACATTTCATTAGCGAAATAAGTTAGGCATAGTGCTTTCGCAGATAAATGGTTTGGCAAAAAAGGTTTAAGGTTGAAAATATTAAGCTTGCTTAGGGCACACTTAAATGTTCAAAAAGTATGGAATGGAATGGAATTGGTCAGAAAACAAAAAAAATGCAATTAAATATTCAATTAAAAAAACTACTGAATAACACCAAACATGACCCCTCCCCACCCCATCAACCCAGCTTTAGTGTTATGTTGGTTCAAAAAATAAAACGATTATTTTCTTTTGGGATCTGGCACACAAAAATGAAGAGTATTTCAAACAAATGAAAATTGTAAATGACGCAGCAGAGCGCGGAGTAGCGTTGGACTCTGAATATAATCAGCGTTTGACCAAAAACGAAGAACAGTTTCAATACTTGTCAAAGAACATCGAGGACTATTTCCTCATAAAAGTCGAATTGTGTAACTAAATCTAAAAAATGTATACTTTTCTATTAATACTGTATTAAGGTATAAAATTTCATATGGCGGAACAGAATTCTTTTTCTATTAATGCATTTATCGATATTCCTTGAATAAAGACCTTTTTTTTCTGAAATTCAATGAATAAATGGAAAATATATATTAAAAACCATGGGATTCCAATTCAAAATATCTTCAAAATGGTTCGAGTATTCGATAAATCGCAAGAGACCATTTTTGTGGAGTATTCGATTTCCTATAAAAATTATTAATAAAATTGACCTTAATCTAATCTATTCGTGATGAAACGAACAAGACCTGTCGTTTTTGTATATATCTTTAATAAAAAATTGGAAAATAATTCTATTCTATTTTATATATAGAATTTAATCACAGTCATTAAATCTACACCACCATCGCTTAGAGTGGGAGATAAATTTTGTGACTTAATGGTTAGTTTTGTTGGTGCCACATAATATGGTAAGAGCCCTAACACCGTATGTCCCAATTCCTCTGCTCACGAGTTACGAATGTACACTTTCTTAAGCTGAAAATTTCTAAAAGGTCACCTATTTTAATAACCTTCTTCCGAAAACCAAATGATTTGCTGCCATGTAGTTTTTAATTTCCGGCTTCGTATTCTTTAACCATAAAACTTTAATGTAGTTGTCGACTGTTTCCATTACTATAAGACTTCGAGTTATACCCCAAAGGTAGAGTTGCTACCAAAACTAGGGAAGCAGATTACTCTACTTCCGAGAATTACAGTCCCATAAACCTCACGTTTGTTATTGGACAGAGCTGTGGTTCTATACCTTCCGGATCGCCAGACCATCCTTTGGGTGAGGTGCCAAACCGTGCCAAATGATTGAGGAAACTTCCACAGATTTACAAATCTAACCAAGTTAATCTTAACTGTGACTCAGGTCTTTACTTATCATCAAAATAGGAATTAGTCATCCGGGACGATGTTCATGTCCCTCTAGCTCCGCCTCCCTCTAACAGTATATAAGCAGGTACAGAATAGAATGTAAACCAGTCTTACTTAAGCTTTCCAAACTTTTATAGTTTATTTAGGTTTCGTCATAAATAATGCCAATTTAAGACTGCAAATAGTACCCCTTTTAGTTGCAAGCGTTAGACCAAAGCAATTTATCTGCGAAAGTACTATACAGGTCCACTAAAAAAAAAAGTGAAAATATTGAAAAGTAAACTGATTGGAAATTGGAAGATGGTGCGTGACGGCGGACAAAACGGACTACGACCACGACAGGTATAAAAAAATATTTTTTTTTATTCAATAATATTTTTTAAGCATGCCGTTTACATCTTACACCTATACATCGATGCTTGCATATCATCATTATACTTCATATCAGTAACGAATACATTTTTCACACACGGAAAGACAGACAAAGCCACACGACAAAAGTAAACTAACCAAAACAGAACGCTGCAAAAAGGATCCTATTTTAGTGTACCGGGTGTCCCCTCATGGGCGACTCTGTTATTATTGAAAATGCGGAAACCCTACTTGAAAAATGGCGTCATCGAACGTTGAAGAGAACCTGTCCGAACTATGGGACAAATGTTAGTTATATTGGAAAAACGTTTTAAGAAACTGCTATTATGGGTGTCCAAATAGCGTAGCAAAGTAATAGACAACAAAAACAATTTAAAATTAATTTTAAATATACACAAAACACTATACACTATACATACAAACACTCACTATATTGGTTGATTGAGTATACAGGTTGTACCATTCAAAATAATATAAGTTTGATTTTTTGCATATTTATGAACTACCTTGTATATTTCAGTCTTATCCATAACTTTTGTATTTCATTTTTTCTAAAACAAATAATAAATTAGATACACTATTTGGACACCCTGTATAGCCATTTCAAAAATGTTGTTTTTCCAATATAATTAACATATGACCGATAGGTCGGACAGGTTGTCTTCAACTTTCGATTATTTATTTTACAAAAAAAAATTAAATACAAAAGTTATGGATAATACTGAAATATACAGGGTGGTTCATAAATATGCGAGAAACCAAACGTATATTACTTTAAATGAAACAACCTGTATATTATGGCATTAATAGATATTACACTATACTCAATCACCCAATGTAGGGTTGTTATACCTATATATACTGAGTGTTTGTATATATAGTGTATAGTGTTTTGTGTGTAAACCTAATTTTTACTTTTAGTCTCATCTGTAACTTTTATATTTAACATTTTTGTCTAAAACAAATAGTAAACGAGGTATTTTACTTTGAGACACTATTTGGACGCCCTATGCAAGCAGCTGATAAGAAATTAAAGAAAAGACCATAATAATAAATCATTTGTTTCGGTAGGTGTTACGATATTGTTATTTTTGTCAAAAAATATGACATTTAATGATAAATTATTAATTATTGATTAATTATTTTTGATAAGACTTGTCTCAACTGTTTTCGTTTTTGGTTTTGTGCTTTTGTGTTAATTGGTCCATTTTTAAAAACAAAACATAATATGTATGTCCAATACGCAAGTGATATAAACGCTTCTTGAAATGTCCGGTAAGTAGTTCATATTTTACAATTTATTGAAATTAATTGTTTACTTTTCTTAATTTTAGTAGACTACAGGAAAAGAAAAATAGAGCAGCTATATCGAGACTTAATTTTAAAGTCTCTCTTACGGATGTTTTTTTTATATTTCGTATTCGTTCTAGAATGGTTGTTCGATCTTTTCAGCTTTTAGTTATGTCTCCTGATAGCTTTTTAGTAGCCTAGATTATTTATTGTGGCCAAAATATCATTTTCTAGTTTTCTGTTAGACAATATCTGTATCTGTATCTGTGAGTGAAGGGGAGTAGCCTACACTGCAGCACTTTGGCATCATCAGGTCCAAAGGGCTAAAAATAACTGAATAATTGAATTGAACTGTTGACACAAAACATCACAAAGGAACAAAAAAATATGCAAAAAAATACCAGGCCTCTATTTAAGATTCCTACTGTGAAGGCGGTCCCGAAAAAACACAAGGCCCTGGAATTCAAAATTCAAAATCATTCAAAATCTGACTGTGCCATTTTAGTAGGGTAACGTAAGTGTCAAAGCCATCTTTTCATCCTCAATAATAACGGAGTTTCCCAGATGGCATGGTAACAAACGGTATTACAGATTAAAATCGGGGTTTAATTAATTTAAGTTTAATTTAATTTAAATCTAAATACCGAATGGTCCGTTTAATTTGGAATAGTAACTTGCCTCGAAAGTTATAAAAAATATCAAAATAAAAACTTAAATTGGATGCATTTAAACTTTTAAAATATTGTTGTATTGTAGCGGGGTTTGATGGAACAATTAAAGCTCCATGACGCATGCAGAACGGAGGATCACTTATCTGACGACTGACAGTTATCACAAAAAGGTCCGCGTCACGAATATCCATGGTCTGTGACCGTTACAATATTATATATACAGTAGGTTTTTGTTTTCGTGGACGTGGACAACTAAAAACATTAAGGAATTTTTAAATTACAAGAAAACATTAAAATTATTTATTTTTAATAATGTAAACGACTATTTATTATAGTGTATAAGGACTGTGAATGATTCTTGATTTTTTAGATTGATGAGGTTATGTTTAATAGAGCCGCTTGGGTGATAATTTGCCTATAATATCGTTTTTTTTATATATTTGTCATGATTAAATTAAACTGTAAAGTAAAGTTTTATTTTTATAATAGAAAACTGTTTCATTTATGGATAATTAGAAATCTACAACTTTTAGAAATAGGCAACCTTATTCATATGACATTATGAAAACGGCGAGTTTCCATTTCCAAAAGTGACTTCAGGATTTTTCATCAAATTTTTTAGTGTTACTTTTTGATACCTCTGTATTCAGTAGATCGCTTTCTTCAACTTTTTTATTAATAATAATTCATATATAAACCTAAAAAAATACTAGTTTTTACATATTTGATGTTAGCGTTATTTGAAGACGATGTAAAAGATATATGCAACTATACGGTGTTCAAAATGGACAAATATATGTGGACTATTTTAAATTGAAAAATCTGGATTTCTTTAAAAGGCACACCATGTATATTATTTTTTCTGAAAGTTTATTTTAATTTTTCCAATATTTACCTTTCTTTCTGTTTAAGACAGACAGTTATTAGCAATTTTGGTAAACATGACCCGTACATTTTAAATTCACAGAAAAGGTAAATAATATTAATGCCCTTCTACTCGAATACACATCTTTAGTCTTGTTCGTATACCTATTTTCTTTTACGTTCCTTATTTTCCACCTCAGTATATGAATTATATTAATAAATTCAGCTTTAGAAAAATCCATACTTATTTTTTTTTTAATTTACTGACACTACAATACATTTTTTGAATTTATTTACTCAGTTTGACAATGTCAGTTTATCATAGCCAACTATTGTTATATCAGTAGTCTTGAACAGCAAGAAGC